TGACCACACTAAGGTACCGCCGCTTTTAAGGGACAGTTTACGTGTTTTAAAGGAAATTATATTTATTAGAAGAGCATTTAAAAGTGTAATATAAACTTCCACCAAACAATCCTTTAAAAAAAAACTGGGAGTTTTCGTGTTATTCTTGCGAGAATCACGGGGTAACGAATTTCGGGGGTCACGATTTTGACTCCGAAAAATCGAGCTGTTGAGTGCTTAGTTGTGATCCCTGTCGCACAGTGTTTCGCATTCTGCGGACGTGTAAGTAACATCATGAAGTGTATGTGCTGGGTAATATGTGACGAACACAACGTGTAAGGTACACGGAAATAGACACGGCTTGAAATACGTATGCTTATTCCATAAAATGTCCGCCGCGTCCGATGTAAACAAACAGAGTTGTTCGTCTTTTCCCGCAAACGGTAAGACATTAGGTTTGTTCCTTTAACCAGACCTTTAAAATAGGACAAGTAAATAATCCAAGACATGAAATTTTCGGAAATATTCAGGCCGTGATGCCCCTTTTGCGACCTTGTACATAAAAAGTACATGTACATCATTTGGTCGGACGTGCGTTGGACATTACGGAATTGCCCCAAAGACAAATATATACCTTTATCATGCTGCCACCATTTCAGTCATGTTCCCTGTATCCAATAACAGCACTGAATGACAATTTTATTTGCAATAAGGAACCAGACTATTTTTCCTTCCAGCCTCGCTTTGGTTACGTTGATTTCTATGGGGAAAAATCCAAATGGCCGCAACATGATAATGGTCTATTGTCTTAAACCAGTATGATCTAAAGACAGTGTTTAATATAAACCGGCCAGTGGCCACACAACACCAGTCAATGAAAATAAAGCTTTAAAATGCAAAAGGCAGTTCTTCTCCTGTACGATTCATGACAATAAACATCGGATGTTTGAGACACTTTCGAGGCACTAGTCCCGCCTTCTCTGTTAAAACTGGTTTAACCTTCACAGCCAAACAAATGGCTAAACAGATACATCCAACCAAACTCCCCAGTATTCATTTGTCACAACATGAAACCACTTCAAAGAAATCTTGGCCAAAATTCAATTATGGCCAGCTCCATTACCGTGATCAAAATAAAACAGGAACTCCGACTTTCATATTTTGTGGCTAGATGCAGCGTGACAACGATACCAAATTCGTCATCCGTTTTCTAGGATGTACTCCTGAGTGCATGCAAACTGTTAGGCAACATTTCTAGCATCAATTATCCCTCCTATCGTATACAATGTACGCATCTGCTCTCTATAAACAAACCAAGATATGAGAGGAAAGAGAGGAACATTTTAAGACTTCGCTGGAATCACGAATGCTTCTCGGTAAATGAATTACTCACAAGATAAATTGCTCTGGGCACCTGGCCAAGCAATCATTTAGCGTCTGCACTTTGTACACCCCCAGTCTTCCACTCGTCAAGAAGACAATGCTTGTATTACAGATGATGGCGTTGACTCCTAAGCAAATATGGGGGCGGGGATAAGGCGGTGAGGAAGGAGGCATGAAAGTCAGTCGATGATTAACAGCCAGCTATGATTGAAAGAAATGGAAAAGAGGCAAAAGTAGAACGACTAATAGAATCAGAGTACTGACAAGCGAAACCGTAGACCTGAATAGCACTCCTTCAAGCTTTTGATCTGAAGAACCGTGCAGCGACAAACGGTGGCTTCTGTGCGGCAGATTCAACGTTGAGGGCGCTAGGTGCGCTCAACGATTTCACCAACAATTTCGGCAAGTCAAGGTACGGGTCCGAGTTGATGTGATACCGCCCTCTCTGTGGAAAGATATCTTCGGAAAGTGGAGGGGGTGCAGCCTTAACCTTTAAGGCCAGCTTAGTAGAAGTGCCCCCATTATGATACAAACATACCGTTGTATATGCTTTTATGTAAAGAAAAAAAAAACTGCGTTAAAAACACGTTTATGCCTGGAAAAACTAGGCCTACAGAGTGAGTAAACAAAAAACCCCTAACCCAAATGTCGGGACAACTGTTTCAGTGACGTTCTGCACGTAACACTTATAAAATCTAGGATATGAAAGCCCAATTTATAAGCTTTGTTTTAGTACAAGAACCATTCCAATCACTCATGTACTTTTGAAGTAACGCAATTTGAAACACAACCACCGTTTTAAAGTTCTGTCCACGGATCATAGAAAAGGTGTGTGTTCTTTCAGCAAAATGAAAACAATTCACACACTTCACTAAAACAACGGTCCCGACATTTGGGTTTCGTTTTTTGGTAAGGTACTACGTCTGTGGCTAAAAATACTTTGACTCCAGAGGGCGCTATTTGGACATTTTGGGACACGCATTTTGACGGACAGAGGTCGCACTAGTGTTTTTCCGTTTTAGACGGTTCATACCGCATGGTATGAAGAAGGTACACGTATCCTGCCAAGAGACATTTCAATGTCTCCCTAATACCTCAGCTCCTATTTAGAAGCAACATTTTACGCGAATATGTTATACCGATTGCTCGTGGTCCAATTAGTAAACAAAAATCAAAATTTGTGGGGGTAGGATAAGGGAAATTGGGGTTAGGGGTCACGAAAGTCGGACTCGCACAAGTCTATGGGAATGTCTTCCAATGGGTATGATTATCAGTTATTATTGCTATTATTATATAGTTATCAGATTCAACACGCAAAGTTAAGAGCCCCCCCCCCGGCCCCAACAAACTTCCAACAAACCCAAGGAATGATACTTTATTGCTAGGAGTGGAAAATGTCAAGCCAAGCAGTAACGCGCGGCGTTTGTTTAGGCTACTCAAATTTCCCGCTGACTCCAACGGGCGTGATACCCATGCATATAGAAATTGAACAAAGATGACAAATTCCGTGGCTAGTGAGCATCTTAGGGTGCGTTCGTGCAGCTCACCTGGGTCGACACGGGTAAAGGCAGACGGGTCAGCCACGACAGCCGGGCTAGTCAAACGCTGACCCGCGAGCCATTACGACCCTCACGTGACGCCCTTAGCCGGCCGTGGCCGTAGCCACTGACAAAACGCCCGTTTCGGATAGGATCTTAGTTTGAGATGTCCTGCTTTTTAGTCAGATGCTAAACTAAAAAAAGTTGGGCTGAAACTATAGCCCCAAAAGTCGCAATGAACTCAATTAATGATTTAGACTTCAAATAAAGTCCACTTTTATTTTAAGTCCACTTGAGATTTCCGCTGTCCGGCCGCCATATTTGTCCGTTTCTAGGGAATGAACAACTTATGTGTGACGCGCTTCTAACAGTGACTCCGCTCCACCAGCAGGGTATGTGGTGGCTGACCCGGGTAAGCCCTGAGGATGACGTCAGAGCTAATCGAATGGCACAGGGCTGCCCCGTGTCGACCCTGGTGAGCTAAACGAACGCAGCCATTGCTAGTCCCTGTACATTGTTGTTCTAATAAATACCAGAGATTCTACAAAAGAGAGAACAAGCCCTAATAAATTAATTTGAATAAATTAAGTCGTGATTAATATGTATTATGTAACATTATCTTGCCATTAGTAATAATAAAAGCCTAATGTAAGAACAGTCGTCATCTGGCCAACGATTGGATGGGCCCCGGTGGTGGGAGGGCCGTATTGTTTTGCATGGCTTTTGATTGGATAAGATACGTGTGCCATCTAAAACGAAAGAACACAACTTGCTTGTTTTCGTTGTCGACTGTGACCGAATCCATCGCAACACTAGTACTAGGAACATTGCAAAAGGAACAGTATTTTGGAAAATAAAAAAAATACGAATACATGTTCATGGTTTAAATAAGAAACTGAAGGGAGCTTCAGACCACTTAACAAAAACCTAACAAAAACCTGATTAAAATAGAACCTTGGGCAACTGTGCTATTTTTTTTATAAATAATTTTTGACTTCAGACTTGACTTTCTGGACATCTTATCATCACCAGTAAAATGTCAAGGTCTTCTATAACATCAATTCTGTTCACACAATTACACGCTCTGTTTACGGTCCAAATAACTAGAGTGTGATTAATACTGCTGCCGCTAGCTTTAAAAGCCAAACTGTTCTAGTTTTGAAAGGCAGCCCCTTTCAGGAAATACGGTTCGTTAGACAAACAATGACTGACAGTACGCACAGTCTGGCACAGATGTTATTTCTATGTTCAAAGATCAATGGCGTACAATGGGCTTATGAATAACGGTTATTTTAAAATATTAGCGGCACCTGCTAGCTGAATGGAGTCATATAGTAATGTTTAAATTTGACCTCAATTTGCCTGTTGACCCCAAGTGGGCGTGGTAAGCTTTGGTGAAGCAATTTCGTCACATTTTTCATCATCAATTAACTTTTATGTTTTGCATAAACAGTGATACAATTTGGAGTGTTTTCATATAGATAATGTTGTAATATTTAACTATTCAAAGTCTAAAAGAAACACATTTGCCAAAAAAGCAAAGCAAAACAAATCAATCATTTTTTTCACGTGCCAACCGTGACTTTATAGGACAAAACAAATGACTGAAATCAGAGCATAAATAAACCATCTAAGCACCAACATGAGCATATAAAATAATGCTTCCCCTTTTGAGGGTGTTGATATGGATGGGGGCTGCAGTACTGTTGCGCACAGACATGTTGCATTCAAAAACTGTTATAAAGAAAAAAAACCCCGAAATTGGAGTAAATTGATTATTAATGGTTAGCCCTTCAACAAATTCTACACAACTCCCCCCCCCCTTTTTTTTTAAAGGTATCGATGATTTTTCTGGCATCATTTTGTTTTAGCCATCTTGTTGCATTTTCTGTACGTAAAGCGATTAACTATACTAAGTATGCACGTTCAACACTCTAAACAGTCCCGGGTCAGGCTTGACCCGGAAAAGGGTCATGTGGGGCCTGACCCTTCTCCGCGTCAAAAATGACCCTTTTCCGGGTCAAAATTGACACTTTTCCGGGTCAAAATGACCCGGAAAATGAGTCACTAAGTTTAATTTTGATCAGGAAAAGTGTCATTTTTTTACACGGAAAAGGGTCAGGCCCCACATGACCCTTTCCCGGGTCAAGTCTGACCCGGGACTTTTTAGAGTGAAGGATTATCGAGAAAAAAAATAAAGATTGCTAATTTCTTTGGTTGTTATGCAAATAAATTTACGAATTTTCCCATGATCTGATTATGCATTGCAATTAAAATAATGTTCTCCATTTAAAGACTCATTTTACATTTTGAAACGGCACATAATAGTTTTCCATTTGTTAATTTTTTTTTTTTTTTTACAGTACCAAAACCCTTTGACAAACAATAGCTGTCAAAGAGTTTTGTTTTGGTTAAGGGAAGAAGACTTATTCTTCCTTACTTCGATTTTTTTTTTAAATGAACAGTATTCAATCTTCTTTCTACTCTTGCCCTTGATTTTCTACAAAGCACATCACATTATAATGCAGTACTGTAAAATTCACTGGTGTCTTCCGACCTTGCCAAACGTTCATTTAAACGAATCGAGATTTGTGTATGCAAATGTCCGTGCATTCGTGCATTTTGATAGTGGAGACAATACTCGACGCAATTCAATAATTAAGTTATTTACAGTCGTTGGTTTTATAGTTTAATGAAATAGTCGCTCTGATCTCAGCTCCTTGCATTACCAATGAGGTGCTGGTCATTTCTTCAAGTTCATAAGTTACTGTTTAACACTGGAACCCACGGATCGTCCATTTATTAAAATCTGACTAGATACGGTAAATTGTTGTTGGATTCACTTTTCTGTGGCTGTTGAGAAAATGAAACTCATGTCCCGTGATTGAGATCCTTTACTTTTGGTTCGAGGTTTAATCCTCCATTTTGCAGGCAATCACGAGCCTAATTTAAGCATAGTCCAGTGCAAAATATACATTGTCAACTAGGCCTATTCAAGAAATTATAAGACTTTCTTTCCGGGTCAATGTGGCAGGCTACTTTTGCCGCGACGTTATCACATGGCGTCAATCGTCACCCACTGTTTTCAGTCCATTTTTGTGCGCATGGAATAAAATGTATTTCACAAAAGTTTCTGCGACATTTACGATCATGTTTTGAAGTTTGACAAGAAATGGGTCAATCCTGTTTTGAACACAAATTTTGTTCAGGAACACGACTCGACGCATATCCCTGAGGATGAGGCGTTTGTGGCGGTTTGTTTCTGGTGTTGATGTATAGTGAAAATCGGTGCGTTTTTGGTGTATGGCACTGGGGGTGGGGGTGCTGGGGTGGGATGTTGCCCGCTACCGCTTGCCCCATGCCCAGCCGTGTCTATTTGGTGTAAGGTCCCCGTAGCTTGCTCGGGCATGATGCCGACCTGCCGCTTGATGCATGGTAAGAGCTGCCCCACAGCCGCTCGGAAGTTCTTATTCAGCCCGATGTAGATGGCGGGATTGATGCAGGAGTTGAGGAACGCCAGGACGGTGAAGGCTCGGTAGGTGAGACTTGAGAAGTACTCCGGAGAGAGACCGCCGAAGTTTAAGATCAAGAAGCCGATTTGATCCGGAGCCCAACAGATGATGAAAGTGACGACGACAATCAGGACCATTCGGATGACCCTACCGCGGGACTGGAGGAGCGAGAAGGCCGGGGAGGTCTTGGACTTGTTCCGCGCTAGGAGAGACTGGGCCTGCCGTTTAAGACCCCGTACAGCGAAGTAGTGAGACACGACCATCACCGCAACCGGAATGACAAACTCTACGATGAAGAGGGTGAGCCCGTGGAAAGCTTGGTATGCGGGGCTGGGCCAGAGAAGGACGCAAAAGTTCTGCTCACCGACGTCGGGGATGTAAAAACTCCCGCAGTTCAAGATGACCGCTGATATCCAAACAGCAGCAACGAAGCGCTTCAGTCTGGGCTTGCTGAAGACGATCTTGTGCCTGACTGGGTAGACTACTGCAAAGAAACGCTCCACTGATAGAAGAGTCAATGTGAACACCGACGCAACAATAGAAATCCACATGATGACTCTGGAGTGGATGAGCTTACAGTAGACTCTGCCTGCAGCCGTCAGCGGCACGTAGGACAGGGTCGGGAGCGGGATCGCGGCGACGGACGTCAGGAGATCCGCAAGGGCAAGCAAGGCAATCAGTTTGTTGGAGTTGCTGCGGACCCGGAGTTTCTTCAGGTAGACCATGATGACCAAGCTGTTACCGAGGAGGCCTACCAGGGCGAGAACGAGCTGAACGATCCAGAACCAGTCCCAGGGCAAATTGTTGATTTCCCCGTCAAGATCGCCTGTGGTAGCTTCGGTCCCCTCCGTTGTGTTCTCCGGTGAATCCATGCCGCTCTGTGAATCTGACGGTGCAGTTTTGAACTTTTCTGGCAAGTCTTTGCTGAGTCACTCCCCGACTCCCCGACTAGCTGACTTCCCGACTAGCTGACTCCCCGAGTCACTCCCCTGAGACTTACTGAGTCGCTGACTGACTGACTGACTGACTGACTGGCTGCTGACGGGGAGACTCCCCGAGTCACTGAGTATAAACTGATGTCGTCAACTGAGACGTTCGAGTCTAGATTGATCGGGCAAGCCCAGTCATGTTAACACACTTCGTCAAATCGATGAAGCATCAGCACATTCGTATCCATTCGATCGACTGACGCAAACTGGCAGAGAACTCGGTTTACGAAATCGAATCACTGCTGTTAAATTGCTCTCTCTGGCAGGATTATAAGTGGATTCGGAAAACCAACTTGGTAAATTTCAAGTTGTTTACTGCCGCTAGGAATGAAAACGTCCACGCCTTGCAAACTGCAACTTAAGACTGTTCCAACAGTGCTGTATTTGAGTAGTGCAGTGCAGATCTCATCTGATGCATACACAAGAGAGTTTGAACGGTAAATGGTTGGTCGTATCGCGGAGGAAGGAAACAGATGGTCGTTCCAACTACCTGCTTAAGTGATTTTATGAGCGATATGAGAACAGTGTACCAACGCACATGCGCCTCTCACGTGCTGATGACGTATTTACTGATAAGCGTTGGCTTTTGGCCAATTATAATTGTTCGGTTTCAAGTGGATGGGGTATATGGGGAAATCTTACACTATTAAATACATTTTTAAAATAGGAGGCTAAAATAAGGCAAACTTTTAGGGCTCGGGAAACGTAAGTGCGTGCGAATGGAGAGCTTTTGTCTGTTTAGTTTCCTGTTTCTTCTTTGTTTTCATAGTGTAATCAAGTGTGTTTTGATTGTGTTCAAACATTTCAGGAAGGAAGGAAAGGGAAACTGCATGTGATATTAAAAATACAAAAGAGTGAAACTTCCACTCTTTTGAAGAGCCATATGGGGCACAAATTACTCCTTTCGAGTGTTTTTTTCTCACTATTTTAGAGTGAAATTTGCGTCTTTTTGATTGGTTTTTCACTATGGTCCGTAGGGAAACCACTCTAAAAGAGTGAATAAACTTACTCTTTTTAAAGAGCATTATGGGGACAACTCGTGGTTTTTGTCCAGGCTTTTTTACATTTAGAGAGTACATTGCACTTTGCTGTATAAGGCAATTATAACGACCGATCCAAAAAAAACACGGAAATGACTGCATTTGCGCTTAGCACCTCTGGCCACACGCCCCGCCCACTATGTTTTGTGTACATTTCTCAATACTTGTGACCGAGTTTGATTGGGCTACTGTGGTCACCTGACCAACAGTCGCGATGTGATTGGTCAATGCGCACTGTTCATAGCCATCTGGATTTAGGTGATGGTGGTGGCGGTGAAAATGTAGTAGTGAAATTGGATTTCACTCAATGTCTATGAAAGATGTGTGAGCAAAAACATTTAGACGTCGAGTCACGCACTACAATGATGTGCCAACGCATTCTTGTTCCAAATCCAGCAGCTAGCGTGTCACGGGTACAATGTACTTATGTACATGTATAGTTCCAGACGGTATACAAAAGGCAGTCTGCTGGAACATGTCGATTGATGATGCATTCGGAATCATTAATTTTACCCAAAAAAATAAAATCCGTTATATTGTTTATTGGTTTTTGTCAAACGTTGATTGACAGGTACATTATTTTAATGCCAACAAGACAGCAAAACTGACAAAATTCTTTACAATTCTTCGCCGATACCCAAAAAAATTATGCCTATCCACCAAAAGTCACCAGTAGGCTTTAGTCCAAATTGCAAAATATTTTCAAGAAACACTTCCTACATTCAACAAACACGATTGTCATTAAAGTATGAAGTGTGCTGAGTTTAACAGAATCGTACAGAATCCAATTAACATAAAACAACAGAAAGTCTTCAGTTTCCAGGATATCGAGCTCACACAAACACCTCCCTTTAGATTATGACAGACTACAAGAAGAGTTATAGGCATCAGATTGAAACATTCAATAATTATGAGTTGAAAAGAAGTAGAGGCATTTTTTGCTAAAAAAAAGGTATGTCACATAGGCCCGACACGGATACGCCAGGTGTTCCCCACATATTGCGCTCAGGGGGTCGCCAGCGGGTCTAGACGGGGCACTTTGACTCTTCCACGCCCGTAGGGGCGCCGCTCCACCAAAAACAAGGATTATGTTGCAAAATCACTCTGCAGCTGAAAAGTAAAACTAGGACATTCCTTTAAAAAAAATGTCATGGATGACAGACACAATGATTGCAGCTAAATTATTTGCAAAGCAACAGTTTGGTTACTATGAAACAAAATTGGGCTGCATTCTCCAGACCTGAAGTTAAACAAGTCAAAATTCCCACTTGGGATCTATTCGTCGTTTTGATGTATAGCAAGCGACCGTAACAATTTATTGATATCAACTTTTGTTTTAGTACATTTGAAAGATTTACAGTTTTTGGTAAAAAAAAAGTGTCGACAAAAGCCTATGGGGAAAAGGTAAATCCACTTTGGATGATTCTTTAAACCATATAGAGCTCCGAGTTTCTAGAGTATTCGATTTTCTATAGAGTAATAACTCTAGAAAATCGAAACCCTATAATTATGGTTGAATAAGCATCCAAAATGGATTTAACTTCCTCCGCAGGCATTTGTCGACACTTTTCCAAGAGTGTAAGGGGAAGTTGCAACAGGGTTCCTTGTCTATAACGTTGAGAATGACAATGAACACCGAGTGGACAGCAGCAGTAAAGTACATCGACAGAGAAACGAGACATTAAAATAATAATGATATCTTTTCCCGGGTTGACGTCATAAAATTATGCACGAAATGGGCACTAAAACCGACTCGATAGACAGCCAGGCACCGAGGTTTACTTTAAAGCTGTAATCACATGAAGGGTTGAAACATTCTTCAACGGTATCACAGATCATGCAGAATATAGGCCCACAGAGACACTGAAAACATTTTGATGATTTTCAATTGATACAGAATTAATATAAACCTAACCACCAATGAAATTCAATATTGGGTTTTGCCCTCCACCGACGTATTGTTACAAACTATGTCATGATAGTCAGTGTTGACCCGTACTTCTGAACACCGAGTTTTTCCAGCGCTTATAAAATACGTCGGTGAAGGGCACAACCCAATATTGAATTTACATCATCCCGACGCAAATTCCATAATAGGATTATAGTACGAATGAAATGTTTCGACTTAGGTCATGAAGACAGTGTGGCTATGCAACAAATGTGGTAGATTACTTAAGTAGTCAGAAATATTGCATGTAAACTTCATATAAATATTTCATGTACACTTGATGTAAATATTTCATGCAATTAATATCACTATTTCATGTACTTGATATAACTATTTCATGGGCGACGCAAATATTTTCTGTACTCGATATTATTTCATGTACTTGATACACTCCATGTAGTTGCTATACATATTTCATGGGCGACACAAATGTTTTCTGTACTCTATATAAATATTTCATTTTCTTGATATATTCCATATACTTGCTTTATTTCATATACTTGATATGACTAGTTCATGTACTTGAGTTTTTCAGGCAATTGATGTTACTATATAACACGCACCTGAGATAAGTATTATATCAACCTCGTTCCCAGGGTGTCGAGCAGTACGCTCCCACCACTACCTGCTCTCTCACCCAGGTATTGGATCATTTGCATGTTCAAAAATCTTGCACAACACGTATTACAAATTAGGAATAGTCTGGTGGCTGGCTGCGCGTTAAATCAGCGTCTGTTTTGTATGCGGTGTCTGGAGCAAAAACAGAGTCAATTCGTAGCGGCGAGAGTTACGAAAACACGATTTTTGTTTCAATTGAAAATGTTACAATCTTATCCGGCCAATGTGCAGTATCACACTGCATATCAATATGAGCAAATTGGACAAGAAAGGATTATTTTTTTTCAGAAGTTGTGGACGTAAGAATTACAATGAACGTGAAAACACGCAATGCACGTTGTAAATAACCACCAAGTAGGGCCTACACGATATAAATCCATTACCTGCTAATGTCGGTATCGAATAAGATACAGGAAGCAAGTTCCCATCCCAGGGCTAACTATTGGAAAGGAGGTTGGAAACAAAGTAAGCTCTGGGGATGAGGTTGGTATGTCATGTGCAATCAATAGCACTCGCTTCATTCAATTTCTATATCTTAGGCCTACGCTGTTCAGTGCAAGTTCAACGCCGCACGAGAGTGCATTCTGCTTTACCGACCTATTTTCATAGCTTTCTGACCCAAATATCCCTTTGTTACCACCACATGCAATTAATTTTCATATTCAATATTCTTACACAAGCGGCTTTTGGGTGCAAAGCTCGGATCTATATCCACTTACATCACGTCTACCTCAACGCCCCTACACAAAAAGCTGATTTGAAAATCCCTCGACTCTCAAGCCGCGGGAAATCAAGCGTCTCATCCCCACGGCAACGCCGCTAATTGGAAATTCCCAAATCGAAGTGAACCACAACAGAGTCGTAAATAACAGTCCCGATACATGTTTGATCGCCTGATTAGTTGGTATTATTTCGTTCTCTGCAAACTTGCTTGACCTACAAAAGTTAATCGCCTTGGAAAGACAAATATCTTTTGAATGAGCGTTTGAAGAGAGCCGCTTATTCCAATCTTCTTCCCACGAAACATGATCGCACAGTCCAAATTTAAAAGCGCAGGGAACAGACAGATCGACAGTTTAGCAGCAGACGAAATCGTTGAAAGGTGCTGCTGACTGGCAATTAACTTTCTAAAAGTTGCAGCGACAGTGACAGTGACACGTAGAAAATGCGACCTCGGTCCATGCAGGCCCGTGTGTATGGTGTCCTTGAATTGTCACTGTAACGACAGTGACCCCAATAAGCATTTGGCTTGCATGTTTTGTCATTGCTGTTTCGAAAGTGACCATGAAGGCTCTTGGATCAGGTGACGCCCTCGTGTGATTGTCACTGATTTGTCGTTGTCGTTACGACAGTGACAAATATTTCCTGCCCTGAAAATGACTTGAAATGTTTTTTAAAGTTATAAAGTAACAATTCCAGCAAGTAAAACATCTCGGATATGTCTTAAAAATGATGATAGTGACAGTCACTTCTTTCATGAAGAGTTTTACCGTCCGAGATAAAAACGCTCCGAGCATTTCTGTGGATATGGTATTGATCGTTGTCTACAGCTTAGAGAACATCCTCAAGATTAGATTTTCCCCCCTCAAAATTCACTTATGATCCATAATTCTATTATGTAGTTTCCTAATAAGGACAAGAAATTGCAGGTGCACGTCGAAAGTGCGACTCAATTGATTCCGAAAGGCACAATATCATTTGCCTCCTAATTTCATTCAACACACAAAAGGTATATAGGCTATACTCTTTACAAAGCCGAAATACTATTGACCGTATTCTGTTGCATCACGCGCACAAGACATCAGCGCGCGAACCAGAGTGAGAACCAGAACAATAACGGCCGATGTCACATTTGGTAACAGAGTACACTCACAAAACAAATAGTGCAATGAAAATGAAAAGCCGGACATTGGAGCACATTAACTAAAAGGCTCTTTTGTTTTAACCACAAGGATATAGCTTTTCATTTGAGTCATGATTGGGAAGGGTTTTCTCAGAAGACAGCCGGCCAGACCAATCAAAAACGAGAATTTTGGTGACTATTTTTTTCCTTCTAAACTTCTGTGCTGGAGACAGAAGGATTCATCCAGACATCTGATACGACTTTAAATGATTATACTTTAAGCGGAATCCCCCTTTTCCCCAAACAGGCATTTATAAGAATGGCTTTTATTCATTTCAAAAGATCTGAGCCAAGGACTCAAGACTGTAATTTCTTCTCATCGTCTTCTCTCTGCAGGTTTCTTCAGGCTTGCGAGCTTACAGTGCCTAGGGCGCTCTTGAGGATTCCTTGGTTTCATAACCAGAAATAAAATAATAATAAAGTGCGATGTCACTTCAGGCAGGAACCTCTATTTCACAGCTATTTCAGTACAAAAAAAGTTATCAGGATTTTGGATATTTTTGCTGTTATAAATTTTCGTTGTTGTGTCAGTACATGGCAGCAAGCCAGTGAGCAAACTTTTTTCATTTTCAATGAGCAGATTTTTGGGTTCACATTTTGAACAGAAAACCCGTAAACTGAATCTTCCTGAAATGACATCATAGCAACAGTGCCCTCAGTTGTCCGGAAAAACATGGATTAAAAAAAAACTGTTTAAAGAAGTGCACTTTTGAATAAAGTTTACCAAAAAGGGATGTCAAATAGTTTCATACATTTAAGAGGAGTAGAAAGTTGCACAAAATGTGTTCCTAAGAAAAAATCATTTTATGGACACTTTATTAAGTTCTTCGTTTTTAATCGCCAAAATAACGCCCTATGTGCTACAATCTTGGAGACATTTTGTACTGAAAAAAATCTACATTTACGACACACAGTTTTGTGATGCAGACACTATGCTCTCTTAGTTGGATTTTTTTTAACGATGATATAACGATCGAATTTTCAATTCAACAGCTATTTTATTATAAGGGAAAATTTCCTGAACTTCAACCCAAAACGGAAATTTATCTCGCAATCCGTGATTTCGAAAATGTCTGGATTATTTTTGCACTATATCTATAACAAATAAATAGGCTAAATGCAAAAACTGAAAACTTATGGCAGTGTCATTTTACAGATGCGGATCATGACTTTTACAATAAATTTATGATTAGACCATTAATTAGATCTAGAATATCAGTGCCACGTGTGCAAAACTGCTCAATGGTCAACGCAGTATGGTTGAAGCTTGTATGTCGTTATACCAAAACCTGAAGAGCGGCTCGCAGGATAGTTGCTTGTGATTTAATTATATCTTCACTGTGGCCCTGCATAACTTAGCAAATCGGCTGAATGACTGACCAAATTAAATCCACGTTCAGGGATATTATGTTTAGCCCTGATCTTTGATTTAATTTTGAGGTCTGATTCAATCACTGACAACTCTAATAAGGTTATCCTTCTGACGTAATTGGGAGTAGAGAAGGGGGTTGTTTACAGTCGGGTTTAAGAGCCTCCCGTTGGTTTACTAACCGCCAATTTTTGCAAAATTTACAAATTTCTCATTACGCTAGTAGTTATTTCGGTCGTTAAATTGGCTTCATCGCTATCTCCCACAACAAAATACTCTCGCCACGCCCCTCGGGTACGCTAAAGCAGTAAACAAATTGCTCTGTCGCTCCGTAATGAGATACATTTTCGTGCACTTTTTAAGCAGCTTTATGCGTTCCTTTATCAAATATAGTATCTTTGTTGCATGCCTCAGTGAGGCAATTTACGGGAGCAAATTTGCCGTGACGGCGAGCGACAGCTTGATGGGCCAACGGGAAGTACGCTCTAAAATTCCCCCGGGCGTAGCGCGGGAAAGCTCGCTACCGACTTACGCGTCCGGGAGGGAGGCCTATGCACGCCGGGGAAAAATAGACACGCAAGCACCAAGGTTCAAAAATGGAGATACGGGCTTATCGTCTAAGACGATTTATGAGACGATCTCTTCCACCCAAAGACCCACCTCCACTCCCAAGAAATCGCATTCAAAACTATGGGAAGTTAAACTGTAAGCTCTTTAGCTGAGCTCACACGAAGGGAGGAAATTGATACTGTCTTCGGATTACTTGTTAAAATCGCTCCTGGCGACCTTTATTTGGAACAAGATAGATTTCATAAATACTAAACATCGAGAAGCAGATTGTAGCGGGTGAAAATGCTCTTTAATATTCGGGGCTAGCCAAGGATGGTCCGTAACATTCATTCCGTTATAGAAGTGACAAGTGTAATTAATGAACGCTTACACCGCTAATGCAAGGGGCGAGACTTTAAACCTCTCATCCTTTAAGCACTGTTCGGGAAATCACAAGGGTTCTAAGTTCTAACCTCGGCAAGGACTGAAAAGAAAGATGCCGACTCATGCTAATGCTAAAACTAAGATGCGTATAGAATGCTTAATTTGGACGACATCGACTTGGCGCCTACTTCTATAGCAAGATATGGTGTTACGTATACACAGTCATCGATAGATAACAATCCGTGGCTGCGAGCTTATAGAATGAGGAAACAAATAACATTGCTAAGGCAACTAAAAGCTGAGAAACTGGTTCACTATAGCTTCTTGTTTCAACTAGGTAGACCATTCAGTGGAATCCAATGGTCTCCAATGGGGTCAAGTAAAGAGAAGGCAATGTGCAGAAATGCGAGTTTTTAGACGTGGGAGGGAAACCCCAGAAGGATATTCGGAGGAAAACCAACGGAATCAAGTAGGGACTGAAAACCCAATCCACATATTGGCCCAGGCAGCAGTGGCGTAAATCTGTGCCGGCGACTGGGGGGGGGGGGGGGGGGGGGGGGGGGGGGGGGGGGGGGGGGGGGGGGTGGGATGACCAAAACCCAAAAATTGCCCGGCCGTGGAAATTCGAAAGGGGGGGGGGTGTTGGCGGACACATTACACTAGGGGGCGCTCTTCGGGATATAGATGTATATCAATATGTATACTCGCGCTTACATCAAAACGGCGCATTTTAAAAGCTTTTGTACTTTGTTTCACCACTTTTCAGTGCTATTGAATACATTTTTGTTGTTGGGATGTTCGAAAAATACCTCGAAGTCCGCATTTTCTTGTTCTCATCGCAAAAAAAAGAGTGAGTATGTGTGTGTGTGGGGTTGATTCAATAGCCCATCCCCTGGTCAAAATGTGGGAGGGGGGATATATACCCCCCCCCCGGATTTACGGCCCTGTCAGGCAGGAATCAAACCCGGGTCACAGCGGTGGAAGGCGAGGAAAGTATACCGCTACCCAACCCGACGCGCCTTTGGTCAAACCTCTGCTCAATCTACATTGTAGATCGGTTAAAGACTGAGACACAGGACAGAGCCCCGTCTTTGGTAGAATCTCGAACCTAATCAAGATTCCTGAACGGTTCTAGAACATTCAGAGGATCCAGTTCCAAAATCCCAAGTCAACATCGTATGAGATTTGTCTACACCCACAGGTTTGTATATTAACAACCATCTTGATATTTTTTCTTCTCTAATTAAGGAAAACAAATGATACTTTATTGAATTTCCACAAATATCTTGTAAATGTGACGGCAATTCGACTTACCTTGTAATCTTGATGACGTACGAGGGGACAGGGAGATTGGAGGAATCAGCGGGAACTTCCTTGAGTCCTGATGAAGACTGTCAGATAATTAAGACACCAGGAATCCAATTAGGGTAGTTCCGGAGGACAGTCCTCTTTGATTCTCGCCTCAACATCCTTGAGGAATCTTGTCGATTGACACTTCTCCGCACATCGTCAAAGATCCGTATCCGATAAGGCAATAGGACCTTCCTAATCCTGTGTTTTCTCTGCTGCCTCATGTAAGATGTTGTTGGTTCGGGGATAACTTGGCCTTCGTCCGTCAATCCTTTTGTTTTTCCGATAAACAAGTCTCTTGATATGTCTTGGAAGGACATTCTGGAGCCAGTAGTGTCTTGGGAATAAGTACGCCTAGAGTACACAATCTGGATGACCACAACACAAAACCACCATCAGACATACTGAAATGATATTGCATATTTCCTTCAAATATATATTTGTTTATTTCAGTATCAAATGATATTTTCTTTGGTTCATTAAGTACCGCCACTCTTGCTTTTTTAAACATTTTCATCGATATGATTTTCCTATAAGTAAAGCTCAATTAAATGTACTTTAAAAAAAATGTAAATAAAACGGTGTCAGACTCAAATTGCTCTTACCCAAGGGCATTTAAAAATCCGTTCAATTTGACCATTCTTTTCCTCAATATGACTTACCACATTAATTAAAACAAATCATTGATTATAAAAATACAGAAAGAATAAACTGAAAAGGTAACAAAAATCAGAACAGAATCAGTAAAACAAATAAGAAAATAACAACCAAATTAACAATAAAAACAAATTAAAAGTAATACAAATTAACAATAACAAATAAACTAAAATGGTAAAAAATATTAGAATAATTTAAAAGGGTACAAAGTAATAATGACAATAATAACACAAAAGGAAACTGCGATTTTGTTTCCACATGAGCAGCAGATTGGAGTTTTATGAAAACAACTTTGTTATTTTATTTATTCTTGGATAAAGCCCGTCATTGGTTCAAACGAGGCAGAAAATGATAAATATGACAACTGTGGGCACGGTTGTTTAAATGCATTTAAATTATATGTGAAAACAAATCTGCACATTACAATTTGTCAAGTTGTGAGTTATGGTACACTGCTATACACCGTTCTAAAACCACCCAGCTGTGCCAAAATATTTTGAAACACGCGAGATATCAATTATAACGAAGTTGATATTTAAATCGTTGTATGTATTAATCATATTATTTTTTTCTGGCAGTTAGATGGATGGAAACAACTAATTAATGGAAAATGACTTTCAGATCAACGAACCATTCCCCATCGGTTCTTTCTCTTTTGAACTTCATATAGCGTTTCCTTAAAAGTTTTAATTTGTTAAAAACAATTCTATGAAAAGAAGTTCATGACAACTTTTCGTATGTGCAGTAGCATTTGGCTCACACAAACGGTCGACAGTTGCAAAATAAAGTTCAATTTCTCGCCCAAGATATTTATCTTTGGTCTTTTGCGTTTTAATATTTATTACGCATGCCCCTTTAGGTGAAACAGGCACGTGAAGCAAAACCAGAGAAAACAAGTTTGCAATTACAGGTGAAATAATAAATTGATGGTAAATTCTGATTGCCTAGACCTCAGACAAATCCGTACCCGAACATAAAACTGATTCCAAAGGGAACTGGCCCAGTTTTCCCGGCTATCCGTCTGAGAAAAAAACCCTGTTCAGGTATCTACAACGATACGGTAAATCAGAGAGACTGTTTGCTGGGGGGGGGGGGGGGCCTCTGTGACGATTGTATCCGCTAAAGGGTCGTCAGGACAGATTCCAAAGGTTGATTGGTCCGGCTTAATGGCTGCTTTCCGTTTCTCGTTAGATTCCGGGAGGACAAAGATCCGTTTTGAATGAGACTGGAGAAGATTGTAGAAGATTGGAACCAATTTCTGATCTCGGATCTGTCCACTGGAAAAGCTTGAAAACAGGTCAGTGTAAATTTGAGACAGTGGGATGCCTCCCCCTATAGGCAGACCCTAAATAATAAATGTCCTTTTAGATATCCCGGTACCTTGTTAAAGCTGAGGGGGGTATTTGACCTATTTTATTTCAACTCAATATAAACTGTAAGAGTTACAGTTTTGGTATAGAGTTTTGGATGCAGTTCTTATACTGCACTGGCTAAACATCACAGACTACATGTAAAAGTTTGATATACTGAAGCCACTTATCAAAAGATAAGTGATTACAATTTTTTTTCAGAAATAAATTCCATAAATATTTACAATTTCGTTCTACCTTTCATACAATGTGATTTTGATAAAACAGTGCTGCTGGAAGGCTGACGAGATGAAAGATGGCCAACTGACCTTTTTCCTTCCGAGCTTTTGGAAGGCACTGAATTATTAACAGCGCTTATGAAATTACGTTGTTGGAGGGTGAAATCCAATATCAAAATTTACATCTCCGCCCGATGACAATTCCATTATACAAGATAAAGTTTCCTAGAAAGCAACCTTGTGCTCGGTCTAAAGTGTCAATAATTGGGAATAGATAAGCTGATGCACCAGCCGTGGGGTATGAATATAATATCTGTTAACACTATTAGGGGTCATATCGTTCCGATGGGAAGATGAGCTGTACGAGCCTAATGTGATGGATAAGTGCTGTTTAATTTTTGTTTAAGAAACTTGTGGAAAAGATAGGGATTTTTTCTATTTACTTTTCGCACTGCATAATGAGTTAGCTATAAATCAGTTACATGTAGTATTCTGATTTTCAGTACCAAGTTGCTCAATAATAACTAGGTTCTCACATCAATAGTTATTCAAAAGGTTCTGAATCCCCCAAATTTTCCATTTGGCAGGATAATAGATCATTCTCCGTACTTGAACTTTCGAGGGTGTTCAACCCAATGAATAGAGAGAGAGAGTGGCTGGGCTTTACCTTGCGTAATGCTGCAAAGTCCTTCGGCTTAAATTTCATTTTTTTTTTTTTTTAATTTTGAGCCATGAGTGATTCGAGATACACCTGGCAGACAACCACTTCTTGATCAATCTACTGGAAACATTCACAAGGATAGTCATAAAAGTATGGCCTGAAGAAAACAAATCACACTTTATGTCTTCTGCCTCTCTGGTTGGTACTTGAAGCGTTTCAATTTTCCCCCGGGCTCTAACTTAATCCACCTTTGCCCAAAGTGGAGATTTTACCGCCAATTTATATTGCATTATCTCATCACAGGTTTCCATATAAATTGTTTTGACGAATGGCACTTTGCGCCTTTCCTGACTTTCCCGACTGTTTATAAAAACGGAATCCTCGGAGGAATTCACACCTAGCTTTATTTTTTTCAAGTCAGACAAGAAGATCCGAGGAATGATCTGAAAGCATCTTCTTCACATAAAGTATTAAACTTGGCAACCATTATTAATGGAGCCAGATTAAAAACGGCAGGTACATAATTTTTTTTCCAGGTGGTGTGGTGAGACCTTACAGTTCTCAGCCAGTTGTTCATCCATATCGCCTCATTTATCGTAATGCATAACTCAGGACTATAATTCCTTAGTGTAGTCAGTACATGAAAGATTACTCTGAAGCCTCTCAAACACAATTTACAACCATTATTATCAAAACAGAAAAACAGAAAATTCCCATTTGCCATTTCGATTTCTGTCCAACATAAAACTGCTGTTCCTATGGTCTATAGACCACGCCCCCTGTGACGCCATACCGCAAGGCAGCCCTAACATTTCAGCATCTTCTCCATGTTATTTACCCTCATTAAACAGTTTATGTCAACACTTTTAAACGACTCCAATTTCAAGAGATACACATGCAGCACAGACGAGAACGGTTAGCTGAAAGTTGGCATAGTGTGAACATAACATCCAAATGTTTAAAGGGCCCATGACATGAATTTTACTTGAGAACATATTTTGTGCAACTTTCTACTCTTCTATAATATATGAAAACAACTTGACATCCCTTTTTGGTTAATCTCATTGAAAAGTGCATTTCTTTAAACAGTTAAAAAATTCCATGCTTTTCCGGACAAATGAGGGCACTATGGCTGTGATGTCATTTCAGGAAGACAATAATCAGTTGAGGGTTTTCTGTTCAAATACCGTGAACCCAAAATCTGCTCATTGAAAACTTTCTGAGAAATTTTGCTCACTGGCCTACTGTTATGTACTGAAACAACAACAAATCAACAAAGAAAGGAAATACGACAGCAAAATATCCCAAATTCTGGCAAGTTTTTGCGCTAAAATGGCTGTAACATTGAGTTTTCTGCCTGAAATGACATCATGCTTTTGCTCATGAACATGCAAATGTGCATGAACATCAAAACCAAAAAGCACCAAAATGCCCTTAAATATGGCAAATTGAAAATAAGGTTAAATGGAACACAAAGGTGCAATTACAAGAACTGCATTAAAAAAATTACATTACATAGGACCTTTAATCAAATGTGGCATGATATTAATGCTTTGGTCTTGTTCTTACCTTTAGAGCATATATGGGTCACTGTGTGGGTTTTAGAGTGCTTATGGCACCTTTGGCTTCAAGTTGTTGAATTTGGGATTGGTCGTAGCCCAGGACCTCCAAGAGGACTCGGTTCGTGTGCTCGCCCAGCTGAGGCGAGGAAAGACGCACGTTGGTCTGAATGGTGCTGTATCCAACGGGAGGGCCTGTGGAGATAAAAGTTTGGTATTGTCTGTGTGCCTGACTAATCGAGGGCGCTATGTTCTATTTAATTTTGGGGGTTCGCAAAGACTTAATGCTACTTTATGCCAAGTTGATATAATATTTCTACGATCTTGATTTTTTTTTAATGGGGCAGGGATTACTGTATGTGTGAAGTTAAAAAGTGAATTCTGTTGTTTTTTTTTTACCCCTTAAGGCCAGTTTATACTTCATGCGAATGCGATGCAAATTTGACGTCAAAATGCATTTGCAGCAAAATTCGCCGGAAGTGAAATGTGTTAAACTTTTGCGAATTCGCATCACGGAAACTTGCTCTGAAGTCACAAATTCGTGTTTGCGTTAATCAGGCATGCAATTGGGAAGTCACAAAAAAAAGGAAATTCAAATCTTTCCAAGACTTTGTACAGTGTTTTTGTATTTTCAATAGCACACATGGGAAGCAAAAAAAAGAGGAAATCAGCTGATCCGAGGAAAAGTTGCATGCCTGTATAATTGGTATGTTAATAGCAATAGCACCCTCAACAAGGAAAGAGTATGGCCATTACAAATAGATGCACATATAAATACGGAGTAACAGCAAGTAACAAATATGTATTCCTTTTAACAAAGAACCATGAACATAATTCAAAATTTCAATGCAGATTCTACTGTAAAGCTTCATTTAACAAACATTCAAGACTTGCTTGGGAATCACAAAAGAAACTGTGTAAAGAAAGTACTGCGGCATATGGGTTAAACAAGCCATTCCATAGACTGCAAGCAACCGTCATGATTTCAGGCTTGTTACTCTGCATTCAAATATTTCTTAGAGGGCGCACAGGAAACATCAGCTTGCAGTGTCGGAGGCAAACCCCATGGGAGGTCTTTATCGGGTTAACTTACGGGACCAATTACAAACAGCGCTCAAGGAATCAATCCTTGATATGCACCCCGTGGGAGACAATGCATGTCATTAGGAGAGTACATCGTTAACGCAAGGCTTCAATTATCAGGGTTTGACCTTAACTTTTCTTTTCGCTTGCCAGCTGGGCTAATGAAACGGACTCTTCACTAGCCTGCAGGCATTTTCACTAGCCCGCATGTTTTCTTTTATAGAGTGTCTCATAAACAACAATGTGCATACATGTAAAATGTGTATCTTGAGACAATCCTGTCAGTATTCCTAACAACTAGATCTAATAATTTAATCCTTAACAGTTAATGAAATTAGACACAAATTGATACAGATTTGCTTTCGGAATTTAATGATTATTTCTTCCTGTCCTTTCATCTTTGCCATATCCCAATAATTTTTGATTCGCCAGCCGGGCTACTTAAAGAATAGTTTGACTGGCCCGCTGCTGTTTTGACTAGCATTTGGCTAGCGGGCTACCGCTTAAGTCAAACCCTGCAATTATGTATAATTTAATATTATGATGTCCTTTCTTATTTTTTATTTGCTGTTAAATGTCAATCAGTTCTGTCTTTACAACATGCGATTTGTAGCACCTAATTTGCATATCTGTTTTCATTTGCTGCATATTGGCTTAATTTCCATATTGGACTTTATTTGCATATATTACATTGGCATGTCTTACTTCATTTACATATCTACTTCATTTGCATATTTGATCATCTGTGCTTATCAGATCTCTTGCAAATTTTTTGCATAATAACATGAGCTATACCTAATGGTCAAGATTTCTTGGTATAAATGTACTGACGTTTAAAAAATGCCGTTACAAATTGATTAGTTTGAAAAGCTGGCTACCAATATCCTTGCCAAAACACAACTTTATTTAATAGGGTTTGGCAAATAGCCCAGATTTTTGTACGTTTGCTTGTCATATTGACAGTGAACAACCTAATTTGGTTCGGTGTAGTTTAAACATCAGGGGGGAAGACATTTATGTGCTCAACAACTTCTTTAAATTTACATGTTTGTTTAAATTTACAGAAGGGACCTACAAAAATCAAAGCTGAATGGTCAGAATATTGAATTGCATGTTCGCTTTTGCTTTTGGTTTCAGGCCACTGTTTGCATAAAATGTATCAATAATTTGTGTCTTGATTTCCCTGTTCTGAATTACCTTCGTACATCTTGCTTGTCAGTTTGTTGAGACTCTTGTGGCAGTATTTGAGTTTAAATACAAACAGGGAACATGATGTACAATGGATGTGTTCTTGGGCAAGACACTTTACCTCAATTGGCTCTCTTTTACCAAGCAGTATAAATGGGTTCCCGTGTGGGGTAGAGAACTGATTGCACTGATCTATAAAGTCTGTATTTGATCACACAGCCTGATGAACAGGGGTAATAATTTTGAATCCTTTGAAACATTGGTTCAGAGTGCTATATCAATAGCACTGCATTTGATTAATTAGCAAGTTGTGTTACATTGTATCACATTGTATACATTTGTATTACACTGTATATATTTCCTGATGAATCCATACAACCATACAGTACTGTGGCAGTTTGGGGCAGTGTAGAGAGTATCAGGAACGGCAGTTTGGGGCAGTACAGTGACAAATGGGTTTAGCTTACCAGGCACTCTGACGTTTCCGACAGTAGGGTGATTGAACTCCTGTATCATGTTATTGTGGACGACTTGGGGGTCGCTGAAGACCTGTTGGAGATTTTGCACCGGACCAAACGGGAGATTAGTCCTCTCGAGAGCTGCCACCCAATCGGAAAGATCCTTCTCCAGGAATCTGGAAAACACGCAGAAGGTAATATATGAGACTCATGCAAAAAGAGGTCAAACCTAGAAAAGGTTCAAAGGTCACTGCTATTGTGTCCCTAAGCAAGACAATTTACATAAATTTGTAATGCAGGTAACTTTAGTGATCAAACACAGAATACATAACAATGTCCCTGGCCGAAAGTGTATTTATCAACGAGTCAATGTTGAATACTCCTAGTTCATTTGATGTGTATCACTACTATTGTGTCCTTGGGCAAGACAGTTTACACCAATTGATTTCTACAGTTATCAAATACAGCTATTTTGCACCCTACCTGGCTGACAGTGTCTTTATCAACGAGTTCCTGTTGATTACACGTAGTTCATTTGATGTGTATCTTTGGTCTTCGATAAGTTCTTCCATTTCCAACACCTATGGGGGAAAGTGATTCCAAATACTTTCAGATTTTTCTGACAGTGATCAAACAAATTTGAAATTCAAGAAATGTTTTCAGTTAACTTCACAAACAAATCTTGCTCAGTGCATTATTTTATTTGTTTAAGACACTGCCTTCCTCAATCCTGCAAATCGTCAAAAACCTCCCGGTGATTTATGAAGGTACTTGGAGGGCAAAAGTTAACGCCAAGCAAGAGAAAAGAAAGGAAGAATTTTGTCTTCAAATAATGAACCCATATGGCCCCCCCAAAAAAGGGCTCCGGTTTCTGGTATGCAAGAAACTGGACTTAAAAAAAATATTTCAATGTAAGACGATGTCTCAAAACTGCCAAACTCACTGGTGTGACTGGAATCCTGCTGCTGCACAATTTTAATGTGTTTTTAGATGGGGTTACGATCGAGTATAAGCTTTATGTGGCCTCTCTGGGTTCCCATACATTTTGCACTAAATTTAGTCGGGCACCATTTGCAATCATCAGCCGACGCTTGAAGAAAAAACAAGTAAAAAAAAAGAAGCTGCATCACCGCACCACTTTTGGGGCAAGCTCCATACCAGAAACCGAAGACTTTTTTTTTTGACCTATGGGTCAATCTATAAATTTAGGGTCCAAGGTGTGACATTTCTCCTGTTCATGTTATCTTGGTACTTTGTAAACAACGACTTCAAACAATTTTTGTATTTGTTGGGTATGTAGTTTTGCTATGAATAGCAAAACTATCCTTGGATAGTCCTAGGGTCGACCGTGCCACTACATTCATAATCACTCTTTGAGAACGACTGCATTAAGGAGTACATCATACTTAAAGAATCACAGATGTCAGATGTAACAGGGTAAAGAAATGGACCAAAAACTGATCCTTATTTCATCTACTTCCATTAATGTAACATTAGCTGCCTCATCTTCTTTCCTATTAAGTAAACACAGATGACTGCAGAGCCTATTTTTAATCAGGACCTACTTCTAATCAAAACATGAGTCACGTCAAATATTGGATCTCCTGAAAGACAATCATCGAGCACAAATGTCAAATATCAAATACCTTGCAGAGAGTCTTGAAGTGATCATTGTTACCCGCTCCGACGATCAGAAGTCGGTCATCTGATGTCTTGAATGCCTGCAGATTAATCAAAAGCAACTGTGTGTCTGTCAAACTAGAGACGTGATTTCCGCTAAAAGACTTAATAGACGTCTGCGTCTGTTTAACTCGGCTTCGTAATAGATCGATCTGTTAAAGCCCTGCCTACTCCGCACATGGCCAACTAACCATGAGCCTTGTCAATTGGCTCATCCGTACCTGATAAGGGACAATACTGCCATGGCCGGTGCCCCATCGTTTGGCCTCCATTCCTGCCATCAAATAATTAGCCCCGATATGAGACATGATAGCCACCTGTTGATAAAAGAATGGATTTTATTCAATAAAATTATAACCGATGTCAAAAAGTGCGAAGACCAAGTTATGTAAATTATGCTTCCATCAAGAAAGGCAAGCCTAGGGGAAAAAGAAAATCCCTTTTGGCTAAAACATCGTACCTGAGTTGACAGGAGGTTGCAGTCGATTTTCTGGCCCTGCCCCGTCCTCTCACGATGTAAGAGGGCAGCCATGATGGCTCCGTGAGCAAAGAGCCCCGTCGATAGATCCGTCATAGCCACGCCCACTCTGACTGGGTCACCATCCTAAATATGAATAAATTAATTTGGGAGAAAAATTTAAACCACGCCCATGAGTAAAGACATGTTTTAATAGATCAGTCACACAGCCACGCCAATTCTGTCTGGCTTACCATACTGAGTGATATAGTTCACTTTTGGGCAATCCTCAGGCTTGTCTTTAAATGTATCTCTAACTGTTGTTTTATTGTATGCCTGAAAATAAATAAATAAATTAATAAATATGAATAATAATTAGTAAAACCACACCCCAAATAAAGCGGCTTATCAATAGATCCATCATAGCCACGCCCATCCAGACTGGGTCACCATACCGCACATGTAAAATAAATGATAAACACCACACCCACAAGGAAAGAAACCTGGACACAGCCACACCCTCCCTGACTGGCTCACCATCTTATACAGAAAAATGACCTCCTTAATCACCTCATATCCTGTGATGTGTATAAGGCCAGCCATTGCTGCTGCAACAACGTCATAGCCCCCTCGCTTGGCATAGGGCCCATCTGGACCATAACCTGAAAAACCAAGCACAAAACAGGAAATTAAAAAAAGCAGATGAGCACTCCAAACGTACAAATTGCCAGGCAATATTTGGCAACTTGGTAGCTTCGTGCATGCAAGTCCGTGCTTAGCCTCACCTGTGATGGAACAGTAGATTAAAGAGGGGGCTATTTCCTTCAGTGTCTCATAGCCCAGACCGAGCTTGTCAAGTTTACCTGGTAGGTAGTTCTCCACAAGGATATCGCTTTGGGCAACAATCTATTAATTGAAAAAAAAATACCAAATTTACTCATACAAAGCTTTCCCGTTGGAACAACTGGTCTTTAACCCTTAAAGGACGGGTTATAATGGGGACATTCCTCCACACATAGAGCAAGTGGCCCGCATGACTGCACAGCCTTTGTGTGGTAGCGGGACTGCACAAAAGCAGCAGCTGTGGAACTACCCACTAGCCATGTGCCACGGTGTGCCACGGTGTGCCACGGTGTGCCACGGTGTGCCACGGTGTGCCACGGTGTGCCACGGTGTGCCACGGCATACCACAGCTGGCAACTGCATTCCAATGAGGATTAGCGGCCGCGGCCATGACCGCTTCCCGTGCGCATGGGGAACAAGAAGAAGTGGGAAAGAGGGGGAAGTTTCTATGCATTCTAAGTTTGCATGCTTAGAAGGTGTGTATCGGAACCGGGTGCCCGAGTACCCGACTGCTGATGTCTGGAACCGGTTTCAGATTAGGTACCCGTAACCAACTTTACAACTCACTTAATGACTTCTCAGACGATGACAAAGAAACTTTTTGAATGCCATTTGTGGCGAATGTTCAAAATGATAACCAGGCTACATGGAAAACAAAAACAGATTTCATGTTTATGTGCATTTTAACGCGTGACAAATGACGCTCCCGAAAGATGCAGTTTACACCATGAAGCTCTTTCAGACAACTTCCGAAATTTGAATTTAGGGGTTGGGTTTCTTTTATGGGTACCCGTACTATCAATATTGCACACCACTTTGTGCTCCATCAGGTGACCAGATGAAGAGACTAGATAATAAATAAGTACAAAAGGGAATGTAGGCTTTGAGGCAGTGCGATATGAGATGAAATGAACAAGGTTTTTACCTTTTTGATTATTTGCAACCCCTCAGGATGTCTGAGATCGACACAAATACTCTGAAATAAAAACAAAAAAGTAAAAGTTTCAAATTTAGAAAAATCGCACTTGTTCACTTATGACTGTGGAACTGTTCAAAATTTTGCAGTTTTGTTAAAGGAATATAGTAAAATTCAAATAAAATGTTTTGGTTCAAAATAACAAAACTAGCATCAAATGTGGCAGAAAGCTAAAATAACTTTACCAGCTCTGCGCTACAGAATCCTTGATAAAAATGGCAAAAAAAGTCAAAATGGCTTCCAAGCTTTCTGTAATCCAAGGTTTACCTTTTTGTTTCTGTTGATGGACAAGAAGTAGCAACTTTGGTCTTCAACAAACGGAGGACCCCAGAGCCGTGTGTCGTCACCTGAACCTAATGAGATCAAGTTTCCAAATCAACTTAGTTTGGTTCTGCCCCTAATTGCTATGGATCAATCAAAATCAGTATTTTTAAAATGAATTTAGGCAATATGGAAAAAATGTTGCAACCTGACGCCATCTTCATATCATCTCAATGAGAGTCAGTCATTGCAAAAATGATGATAAGACATGAATCTGGGACTGACACACATTTCCAATTTTGTTAGGAGATACTAAAAAAAAATTCTTGACTCTCCATAGACTTTGTACACAACCATTGAAGTGGCGTCATTTTTTCCACTAATATTTTGGGACACTATTGAAGACTGACCTGGTTTTTCAACTTTGATGATGTCAGCTCCGAGATCTCCAAGAATCATTGTACAGAATGGACCAGCTAGAACTCTGTATAAAACACAACCAAGAAAGGATTCCACATTGGTCAATGTTTAAACTCAAATTCAGCGATAGAAACAAGGCAGATCAGGGTTCAACCTTGACTTTTTTCCACCAGCCAATAGACTTTTAACTAGCCCGCTAGCATTTTCACCAGCCCGCATGTTTTTGTTAGAGTGTCTCACAAACAACAATGTGCCAACATGTAAAACGTGTATCCTGAGGCAATCTTGTCAGTATTTTTAATACACAGATCGAATAATTTAACCCTAAACAGTTAATAACATTAGACACCAATTGATACAGGTTTGCTTTCTGAATTGAATGATTTATTTCTTCCTGCCTTTTCATCTTTGCCGTATCCCAATAATTGTTGACTCGCCAGCCGGGCTACTTAAGGAATAGTTTGACTAGCCTACCACTATTTTGACAAGCATTTGGCTAGCGGGCTACCTCTAAATTCAAACCCTGCAGATGAATATTGTATTTTTTTTCTGCAAAAACTGTACAAAGAAATGGAAATGGACGACACTAATGCTCTCATTTACCTTGTAAGATCCAGCACCCTTATCCCTGCTAATGGTGCTGTTGGGGTTGGTATTTCAGTCTTCCCTGGGGCGCTTTTATTAACAGCATGTCTGTCTAGATAAAGGAAAAGAAACACAAAAACTGAACTACTGCAGAACGTATGGTTGCTAACTAGACCCAACATCTTTTTAAAGCTTGCAACTGATTAATGTTCATTTTTCGTGAAATTTTCAGATTCATTCGCACACGTTTGCGTATCAAAATTTCAACATGAAATTTCACGAAAATTAGACATCTGTGATCTGAAAAAGGCAGCAGTTTAAAGCAAATATAAATTACAAACTAAGCCTAAATGCGAAAATCAAAATTTGACAAAGTTCGACGTTTTTGTACATGGTGGAAGTGTGGGCTTTATTTACGGAGGTAGTCCAGTAAATTACGCCACGCCACGTTCACGGGACTCTAACTCGACAGACACGACAGGGAGACATTTACGCAATATTTTCCTATAAATTCACGCCCTTAACTTACCAGCTGTTGTAGAAATAGTCCTTGCACATATGTTTGCATGGTTGGCCGAACAGAACTCCCGTCTCCCCTGAAACCCCCTAAAAAACCTCGAAAAGAATGTCAAGTGAAAAGAGTGGACTTTTCTCATGGAGGCCGCCATCTTGGTTGACCTTTGGCCGTACGGGCAATGTACAAAATTTGCATAAGTTGCTCTCTCAAACGTATGGAAATTCTTCCAACAAATTCGATTTCATATTTTGTTTTCTCTGAAATGTCAAAAAAAAAAATTCTCTTATCGTGGCTGCATGGATTTTTATGAAGATTCTAGCATCGCACGCTTGATCTCAAAAACCCCAAACACAGGCAAAGCACACTGATTGGTCTGTCTGTTCTGGGGTGTAAAACTTATTCGGCCAATGAGATGGCAAGAAGCAGACGACCACATTTACGGTGATCCTGCAAATCCTAGAGCGCAATTCCCGCACCGGCAAATGTATCCATCAAAATAAAGGAAACACTTTTTAATGAACAAAAAGAATTTGAAGTCTCTTTTCTTCCTTTTCGAAGTTCTCTCATGAATTTTTTGAGTCGTTTTGTCAGTATACATGTAGAAGTAATATTTTACGTCAAATGTTTGACAAGATAATAAAATATGCTCAAAATAAACGCTCTTAAGCCCGATTCATACTCGGCGCGGAAGCGAAAGCGAACGCGAATTTACGTCATGGCAAGTATTCCCACTTCGAATTCGTAAAAGTTGAACATAATTATTTCAATTCAGGCGAATTTCGCCCCATTCGCATGAGGTATGAGCCAGACTTTACAACGCGAAAATATATTGATACTCTTAGATCAATATTAGGAAAGTAGGAAACGAAAAATCTCGCATATTTATTTCTTATCGGGAAAAACAAGATATGATATTGTTTTAAGTACAATGTACTGAAGTTTTGAGGTTCGAGCTACTATCAAGTTAAAGTTGTGAGTAAGGTTTCCAAATCATTCCACAATAATAGGTCTTGTCGGTAATTCTGTCCATCTGCTTGTTTGTTTTGTCTTGACAAATTAGGACTATTTTTTTTCAAAATTTGCATAACAGAAAATAAGGATAAAGTATCGACTATTAGCATCATTCTTTACATGCACATCACTATAGGGCTACGGTTTGCAAAAAGGCAATAACAATCTTCTATAAAACAGTATCAAATAGAATGCTTCTGAAGTTCTTTCTTAGAAAAAGCCCATTGATGAAGTTAATTTCTTTTATATACTTTTAAATATAACAGCTAAATTTGTATAACCTTACATAAAGGGCCAAAGTATATCAAAAGTATCTTCCAGAATGCTTCTGAAGTTCTTCTCTTATAGAAAAAAACCAATGAAAATAATTTCTTTATACACATGTACTTTTAAATTAAAAAAATCTTCGTCTTCACGCAGTTCATTCAGAAGACATGACTCAAATATTGTCACTTCTTGATCAATAGAAATGAAGCCTTTTGCAATTTGAAGATCACTGGCTCTTGTTTTGAATACAGGAAAGTTCTACGGAGAAGGTAACTCTGCCACGAAAATCAGCATCTTTCAAACACTTTGTACAAGTCTGGCAGATTGGCAATTTGGAGTACGTTTGCATCTTGGGCGAAAGTCTTTGGAGGCAAGAGCAGTGCTTTTAAGGCGGGATAGACGACGTGCTCGATGGTCCACCTCCAGTTGTAAGTTGGCATAGTCGCTTGACTAGTAGAGGCAGTAGGTTCCTACACAGACAAACCAAAAATAAAATATTATCAACAGAACAAGACCAATTCTGACAAAATAATTTCTTTAAAACAAGGCTACGAAGCAAAAATCGTTGAGATATTCTGACCTCTTCTTTTCCGTCTTTTTCTTCAAGACGAATGTTTTTGTGGATTCCGTAGAAGAGGCCACACTCCCTGGCCAAACTTTCGAAGCACTCTTTCTCAGAATCCCACTCAACCTGTCAAATGAGGATGGAAAAGGAAAACAACTGAAGAATGCACATTATGATTACAAGCGATCGTAAAGAATTCTTAAATTTCTTGCATGCATGTATTTTTTTTTTCATTTCTACTGTTCGAAGGAGCATCTCAGAAATGTCTGTTAATTGGGATTGCTAGATCCGTCTGTTTAAAAAAAATGTTTGGGTTTAAGGGTATATTTGTCTCACCTCCGTGGCCAGTCGGAGTACAAACATTGGCAGTCTATCTAGAGCTGGGATGTAGTCATCAAGTAACAAGGGTATTGTGCATAGGTTACCCTCCTGCCAAGAAAAAAAAATGAAAAAAAAATGTTGCAACCTGACGCCACTTTTTCTTCATATATCATCTCAACGACAGTCATTCATTGCACAAATGATGATAAGACATGAATCTGGGACTGAGAAACATTTCCAATTTTGTTAGGAAATACTTAGAAAATGTTCTTGACTCTTCATAGACTTTGTACACAATCACGGAAGTGGCATGAGGTTGCAACATTCCCCCCCCCCCCAAAAAAAAATCCCATTTTATTCATGGAATGTTGGGTCAAAGTATTGGATTGTAGGATTCAACATCAGGCTGAGACTGCAGTGCTGGTGTCCTTGGGCAAGACACATTACGACTACTTTTCCATATAATTGCTTATAACACAGTTTCTGAGTTCACATCCTTACCCAGTCCATTTTTTTATCAAGGGAATAAACATATGCTTGGCCTGTTTCAAACGTACGGCCAAGCACATATATGTATTCCCATTCATAAATACCTTTGAGTCAAAAAGTCAAAACAAGTCAAAATTGTAAATTTTACTTCATGTTTTTTTTAAACACCCCTCTAGCTATGCCATGGTTTGTGCCTCTCACAAGTAGTCGTAAACATCTCCTTATATGGAGATTGGTGCATGTGTGGCACGCACTGCGCGATGCGGTGCAGAACACGGCGGTGCTGGTGTAGTGTTTAAAACCAGTCAGTTTCAACCCCCCGTTTTATAACCACTCAGGTGACAGACTCTGGGTATGCAATGGGTATGTCCTACGTATTTATGAATATTTATTCAACAAGACTAAGCATGCCTAGTCCAGCTGGACCCAGACGTGTGACAGCTGGTCAGCCGGTCAGCCCCTGCTGTACAGCTTCAGTTGGTCAGTTTTAGTTGGTCAGTTTTAGTTGGTCAGTTTTAGTTGGACAGTCTCAGCTTGACAGCTCAGGACATTATTTTCAATCTGTGACTGATCAGGCACTCAGTCAGTGACTCGGTGAAAGTGTAGGTTATTATTTGTACTCAGTGACTCATTCAGTTTAGTCAGTCAGATCAGTCAGTAACTCTGGGCAAGCAAAAATTGTTACTTTTTACCTCATCGATCTGAAGAGAGAAGTAATCCCCAATCATCTCGGCCTTAGACTGTAGGAGGTCTAGGACATACTTGGCCAGCTGCTCCTTGGGACCATCATCTTCTGTCCAGCCACTTTCCTCCGAGTCTAAAGCTAGCATCGCCAGGTCATAGATGGAAGCAGGTGTCTGTAAGAAAGAAATGATCAATCCCAAAATGGAAGTCAGACCACATCAAGCAGCGCATCGACACAGTCAAGCTTTTTTCCAGAAGAGATTATGTTTCCCAGTTGCTTACAATAGATGTAGAAGTAAAGAGTAGCAAAACAGCAGCAACGTCTGTTTCAAGCCGACATGGCTCATCACACCAGTGTGTTAATCACTTGTTTCCTGGGCATTGAAGGACTGAAACATTTCTAATCCTGCTGGATTGGATGCCAAGGTAGGCCGTGTCCGAAACGGGCTTCCAGAGCTACGGCTACGTCTATTGTCAGCGCGTCCCAGCGTATTTTCAATGGGCGCGGACCTAGACCTAGCTCTAGACAGTTGATTCGGATGCAGCCTTATTTCTAATGCAGATACCCTTCCTTGGTGGATAAGGTTATTGGAGTAAAGTGGCTTGCCCAAGGACACAATATAAGACCAGGTTGATATTCATCTCTGGTTTTCAGAGTGTGAAATAACTGAGAATATTTCTAATCCATCTGCGTGGGATGCCAGTCCACGACAGGTTACTCCCAATTTAATACTGGTAGGAATTTATACTCCTGGGTGGATTGGGACCAAAAAACATCTTTAAGTAGTAGAGAATTTCCAGACTGACTTACAGAGAGTCTCATGATGCCGCAATTCCCGAAATCAAAGATCATGAGTTGGTAGAACAGTTCCCGGCTGAGCTTGACAGTGTTAACGAGGTAGAGTTTAGTCTGGTGCTGAATCAGCGCATGCTCAGCGTTGACAAGACCCACAAACGTGTGGTGATGAAACACATCTCTCAAACCTGGAAGGGAGCAAGACCAAATTACTTTGCTACAGCTGGCATGTCCACATGTGCTTAGGCAAGCAGCTGAATAGATGTCACAGTATTTCTCAAGAACATTTTCAAAGCAACTTTCCACAATTCTACCAAATTTAAAAGAATAAGTTTTACCTTGATGCATTTCATCCTCGATCAGCTGCTGAATGGACAAGACACTGGTGAGGCGGATTTCTCGGTGATGGTGACCTTGACCCCCACGGCGACCTTTCAGTGACCTCTGACCTGATGTCTTCACATCCCCGGCCTCTTTTGGACTGTTTTCAACTGGAGGTTTCCTAAGATGGAAAAAAAATTAAAAAGATAAATTAATAACAGAGAAACATATTTAAAATGCTTATCATATTTCCATTTACAAAAAAAACGACTTGGTGCTGGAAAGCAAAATTTTGATTGAATCTAGATTTTTGGAAATCTTGTGAAATCATTTCTTCACCTTGCAGAAGATGTCGAGGGTTTTTCTCCATCGTCAGTTTCCATTGGCTCATCGACTTGGTTTTCTGAACTCGTACTTGGTGCTGCATTCCCACTACAACCTTGTTGCCTGTCTCTGTCCATTTCATCTGCGAGCAAAAAAAAAAAAAAAATCAATTATAAAGACATGAGAAATTGCATTGAAACTAAACAAAAGACAAAATCTTCGGATGGGATGAACTCCTGGGCCCAATTTCACTGAGCTGCTAAGCAGAGAATGTCGCTTAGCAGATTTAAGTGCTAAGCACAAATGAGCTGCAATACACATTGCATGGTATTTTGGCTGGTAACCCATTTTTGCTTTATTTTCCGTGCTTAGCAAAATTCTCCAGGATGGTTTTCCGGATGTTAATACAAAATCCACAAGTGTGCAGTAATATTTCTTGACTAACTGCTCACCTGTAGTTGACTGCGTCTTCATTCTGGGTAGGAAGGCTTCCAGTTTCTGGGCCTTGTCGTCTGTCCGGACCATCTGATGGGCGTAGACTGTTGAGGAGGTAGCGTTGCCAGAGGGTGTCTCGGAGGATTTCTGGGTGATATCGGAGATGGGGACCGGAGCGCTGGGCAACAGAGCCTGGAGAATAGTTTACGATGGTCAATACTTTTAATAAAGATGAGGATATTTCTACTCTACTGGGGATTGGGGGGGGGGGGTAAAAATGGCAAACTGCAAATAAATAGATCAACATATTACATGTTCATTTGTCTCATGAACACTGCCACCTAGTTTTTAGACGGAGCACAAGTTTGGGACTCCAAGTATTTATTTGAATTTCTTGGGGTCGAAATATTTCATGCTATTGGCCCCTGGCACCAACAAAAGAGGGTGTATTTTTACCACTGTTGAGAGCCCCGAGGACAAGACACACAGCGTGTGCGTACTGTACTGTACTGGTTCGCGTCTGCAGTACGCACAACTTCATGAATGTGCCATACATATTAGCCACAGCATCTTCGCCTAAGCGTCAGGCGTCGTCGGTACGAGAATACGTTCGAATTCAACTTGCGATGGTCTCCCAGACTAATCCCTGCCCCTAATAACTTTGGATCACTTCTGATGCCCAAGTTTTGAATACTTTTCCTTCATTTTACCAGGTAGTTGATCAGGCAAAGTCGACCAACCCCTGAAAATTGTTTTTAATGAGTCTTCTCCTGATAATCGATCGACCCACCTGGGTGAAGTACGTCCTGGAAGCGTTGGATCCCAGAAGTTTCTGCTCGATGCTTTTCTGGATGTCCTCAATGATTGCCTCCTCGTGTAAGAAGTGAACTTCTTGCTTTGTTGGGTGAACATTCACATCGACGTTATGTGGGGAAATCTCAAGACTGTACGAAAAATGAAAAAACGATAATTTGAAAGAATTATGGAATCCATGTAACACCTCGGGAAAAAATAATGAAATTTCAATGAATTGATTCTCTGCCTTACCTTAGATACAGGAATGGATGGGTATTCTTTGGAAGGTAAGTTGCATAAACGCTCTCGATGGCTTTGCGCAAACTTGAAGATTCAACCAGGCGATCTACAACAAAGCACAAAATTAAATCCGGCTTTAAATTAAAATACAGAACACTTTTCCTCAACATTAATCAATGTTTCTATCAATGTATGTTAAATGGTAAGTTTGGATGCTACTTTTACGACACAACCATCAAGTCCAAAATCTGGAATGAGAAGAAAAATGTGGAAGAAGGAAAGGATTACGCTGAACTTACGATTGATGAAGAGGAGGAAGATACATTTCTTGACGGAGTAATTGGCATTGGAGATGAAACCACGGAGCTTGAAGGCAAGTTTGCTGTTTTCTGTTTCAATTTCTAAGACTTCCCTGTCAATAAAGAATATTGGGTATGGAATATGGAATTAAAAATCATTTAAACACGGGGAAATTCATAGGAAAACAAACTAAAGACTGCCGGTTATTAAAGTCCAGAGTTTGATATTAGTTTGATAAAAAATTTGATACGGTCAGACATCGGACAAGTACTGACAAAAATAAGTTTGTCTGAAATCTTTGTACTTAAAAGTGTGCAGTCCAAAAGTGAAGAACACCTTTAAAATGATGAAAATAAGACAATTTTTTGTCAACATAGTTTGTATGGCCTAATTTCAAACTGGAGATCAAAGAGAAAGATACCTTGCCACTGACGGACCGTAGATGGTTCTGATATTGTCCAGGGTGGATGCGTTCTGCACCGTTCTGACGTCGGCTGAACTTTCTCCTTGCTGTGGGTGTTACAAAAACAAAACTCTTCAAACTAAGCGGACTTAATTTTGGATGTATAGAGCTCATGAGACCTGATGATGATTGGACTTTTGATTAACTTGTGATAGGACTGTGATTTGACTTGTGATTGACTGGTGATTGACTGGTGATTGACTTGTGATTGACTTGTGACTGACTTGTGATTGCTTTATGATCTGCGTTGTGATTGACTTGTGATTGGATTGTGATTGGCTTGTGATTGACGTGATTTGATTAGTGATTGACTTGTGATTGACTTGTGATTGACTAATGATTGACTTGTGATTTGACCTGTGATTGACCTGTGATTGACTTGTGATTGACTTGTGATTGACTTGTGATTGACTCTTGATTCAACCAATTACAACTCTAGTTAGTGTTGTAGATAGCGCACACTGACTAAAAACATGTGCTATTTTGTTGCAGAACATTTTAGAAGCGCCAAGTTAAAGTATTACCTTTTTCAACGTGAACGCAATACCGGAGTTGTGGATAGCGTAGCGGCTTACAACCTCAGCGATTTTGTTGTGTTCTTCGCTCGCACTCTTCAACGCTTTCCTTCTTGTGTTCACGTTGTAAAACAGATCTTCAACCTGTAACAAAATCAATCAAACATAAACGTAATTTTAAATATCTCTTTCAAAACCTAGAATTCAAGTCTTGATGACTGTTTTATGAAAAATGATATTGCTTTAATTTTGACCAATCTTTTGGGGTTTATTGAATACAAGAAACATTGTGATACTAAACATTGCAACCTTAAGTCTAAAAACTGCAACTTAAAGTTGCAACATCAGGCAAACTTACAGTGATTTGTGTTCCCTTGTTGCCAGCGCAAGGCTTGATCGGTGCTTTCAGCTTGCCATCAGCGTAATTACCCCTGTCAAGACAATCAAAATGTGGTAATCTCGGATTTGAAAAAAAGGGATGTTGTTTTTCAAATATTGAATCAGCATGTCTTCCTTACTCCTAACCACCTCCAACCCTTCAAAATCCAACTGCATATTTTGTTGGAATCTGTTGGAGTGAGGACTGCACTAGTAAACTGATTATGCTTTACATGGGGTCAGGCGTACCACCATAATCAGAGTCCAACAGTTTGGGTGTTGAGTTTACCAAATGGTGTTGGATTTTGCAAGAGTGAGGAAGGTTCCCAGTAATCACTGAAGGAGTTAAGGTAAAACAAGAAAGATCTCAACAAGGATCTTAATGTTCAAAACACCTTGGAACGCAACCTTACTTGTAGGCACATTTGGAATCTTCCGTTCTTGTTGTGATGGTCACATGGGCGACATGACTGATGCTTGCGAGTGCCTGACAGGGGGGGGGGGGGGGGGGAGGAAAAAGAAAATTGAGAAACTTCAAGCAGGCATCCTAGATTTGCCATACCAGGAACTCAAGACAGAACAATGGCATCTTGTCCAAGTTTTAGCTCCTTCTTCTAAATTTGATACTCAATAAATAAAGGATGATCTGTGCCCCCCAAAAAGTCTACAGAAACAAAAATGTCTATTCAACAATTAAATCATGATGACATTTTCCTCATTATAGAAAAAAAGAACCCAAATTGTGTTTTTTAATCTCACCTCACCACGGAAGCCATAGGTTGCAATGTTATTCAGATCCTCAAACTGCCGTAACTTGCTAGTGGTGAAGCGCTCACACACAATTTCCATGTCATCTTTCTGCAACAAAAAACAAGGAAATTAGAATCCACTTTCTTTGAAACTACTCAAGTAATGAAAACTAAACCTTAACCCTAAGCCTCATGCTCTTTGCAAAGTGGAGGATTTTGCAGGATTGAGGCTATATGGCAAAAATGTGTAGGTGATTTTGGAGGATGCACTGTATCAAGGTCTTGGGCCGGACCTTGCGTTGTTTATGCTCAGCTGTGCATAAAGTTAGGCCTAGATTATACTTGAAATCCTCCAAACTGCTCCAGGACGTCGCTGGCTCTGCCTCAAAATATTGACAGTGATTGCTGGAGGATTTTGCAGGATTGAGGCAGTGGTCACCCCTCCAAGTCCAAGGACCACATTCAAGAAATAACGGAGGATTTTTCAGGATTGAGGCTGTTTTGCAAACAGTTTTTACATGGAGGCAGTTGGAGGATTTTTGCAGGACTGAGGTTGCATCCTAGCAAAAATGCCCAGGGAGTTTGGGTTAATGATTGACCAACCTGAATTCCCGTTCCGTTATCTTGTATCTGCAATAGTTTCATGCCGCCAGACTTCACCGTGATTTGTATGCTGGTAGCCTGGGCATCCAAGCTAGAAGTAAACCAAGTAAATATCGACAAGTTTCACTTCTGCTGACAACTCCGAGGTATAAACTCAGACAAAAACCAAAACAACACTTACAAAATCTAGACCTACTTACTGCAGAGCCACACTATGTAATTGAACCAACATTGGGCTTAGTCCATCTGGTACCTGGACAATTTGGAAGAAGTCCAAATTGATATGGGCCCAGTTAGGAACAAGTCCCAAGTTAGTCCAAGTCCAAGTTGGTCTGAATCCCAAGTAGTGTCTACGGGGCCAAGTTGATTTGGTCCATGTTGGAAATGCACCCAACTGATCCGAGTCATTGCTGATTTGAGTCCAAGTTGATATGGGCCCAATTAGGAACAAGTCCCAAGTTGGTCCAATCCAAGTTGGTCTGAATCCAAATCGGATTATTCCAAGTTGGTGAGGCAATTCATGTGAATGCAATTTCCACCAAGCCTAAGACTGGGCCCAAATCACAGAGGTTATATTACAAAAAAACTAGAGAGCACACTCGCTGTACTCGCACGTACCAAAAAGCGTGCACAGCCTTAAATATAGCACTCTGTGCGCGTGTGCGTGTGTACACCTTATTATTACACCTTGCACGTGGAGACTGAGTGCACTTGGGAATTTTACAATCGTGCTGTGTTCTAACTATAACTCTGCGGACGTGATTGTTTCACCTAAAGTATGGCAGCCGCGCGTCCGTGTCAGCACATCCGCGTGTGCGCCTGGTATATTACTATTATTTTTATTATTATTAATCATTTCTGGTAATAAAACCAAGGATTCCTGAAAAGCGCCCTAGGCACTGTAGCTTGCAAGCCTGAAGAAACCTGTGGAGAGAAGACAATGAGAAGAAGTTACAGTTTTAGAGGTGGGAGGAAAAGCCCAAAAGAACATTTTGGGGAAAACCCACGGAATCAGGCAGGGACTGAAAACCCAATCCACATATTGGCCCAAGGCGGGATTCGAACCCTGGTCACAGCGGTGGAAGGCGAGGAAAGTACCTCTACGCCAACCTGAGTGCGCTCTCTAGATTTTGAAATATAACTCCATGGGCCAAGTGGACTTAGACCGGCAGTTATACATGGGTTTGCAGGAAGTGGATTTGGCTGCCTTCATAGTGTTACTACAAGCTGTAGCCATTTGGTTGGAAATCCAACTTGGTTTCGGTCTGGGTCAATGTTGGTCTTCGTGATAAGTGTTATTCTAACTTGGTCATATCAAGTTTGCAGTTGGGTTGTGTCATGTTGACTCTCACCAGTTTTCAATCATCTCTTTGAGGGCATTGGCCGGTCGCTGGATGACCTCACCAGCCGCGATTCGGTTCACAACTGTCTCGTCAAGTTTCATGATTGGCCTGGCTGCCATGGTAACAACTCGTCACTCCCTGTCAGCTGAAAAATACAAGTGAAAACTGTGAACACGAATAGGATCTTTGAAAATCAACCTTTCTGAATGAAACCCACCTTCCGAGTATAGTTGGAATGATTGCAATAAATTCTTTGTTTTGTTTATTTTCAAACCCTCAACTTTGGAAAGCAATTATCCCCTTAAATGTGGCCAATTTACTGGACTACCTCCGCAAATAAAGGCCACACTTGGAACATGTACTGATGTAGGCCTACCCGAACATGTAGAACTTTGTCAAATTTGGATTTTCACATTTAGACTTTATTTGTAGTTTATTTATGCTATAGAACTAGAAGCATACTCGCCCTCTTGATAGCGATATAAAATTTAGGCCTATCCCCCTTTTTCAGACATCTCTACTTTTTGTGTAATTTCGTGTGGAAATTTAGATACGCAAACATGTTCGCACGAACCTGGAAATTACACAAAATATAGATTTCTGAAAAAGGGGGATGAATTAAAGAGAAAGCACTTTAGCTTACAATTGTAAAGCCAATTTAATGTTTTCAATGAGGGGAAGAATTCCATACACAGACATCATCACCACCACTGGCACTTTTTCCATGCATCACAGCAATCACTTGTCATGTCACTTGTCAGAAAAAGCAGAATTTTGCAGGGAAAGTTTTGAAGCATTTTACCCGTTTTACCGTTTACTGAGAAAACCAGTCTGTTTTGTGCATAGGGTGTCAAGTGATATGTCCAGGTGTCATGGAACTCTTTCCGAATGAATACCTAGAAGAATAGAAATGAATCACTGAAGCTTGAAGTGAAGAACATGCAGAATCGTCGCCCAAAAACTGTGTAGGCCTAGGTACTATATAGCGCGCGGTTCGTTCGTTATAGGCTAGATGCATATTTACGAACGAACCGCGCGCTATTGAAGCGCGCCCTCTATTGACAAACAAACAAATAGGGAGTGACACTGTCTGGGAATTCCCCCAGTGAGAAATCAGTATTGTCTCATGACCAGTCGGTGAGCAACACAACAGATGATGATGTGGCAAACATTTCCTCCATGATCTCTCTCTGAAGCGGGCTAGAGGAGCGTTCTCTGCCGAAATCTGAGTCCCTGGCCTCTTATTTCAGCTACATCGAGCGTCATTTTCACAGTTTGCAACTATTTTCTGTATTTTTTTTTATTGAAAACTAAATTTATAAATGCAGCGCCAGTTGACCATAGCGTTCTTCTAGTCCGAGTAACTTGGACCCAGTGAGTTATCGCCTTTTTTAACATTGGTCTGGCGACTTGGACCAAACTTATCGCCTTTTTAACATTCGGACATGGTCTGGCGATCGCCAGTCCATGTCCGAATGTTAAAAAAGGCGATAAGTTGGGTCCAAGTTACTCGGACTAGCATTCTTCAATATGCAATATGTTCTTTTAATTTTTAAGACTAAAAGTGTAAAACCAATTGTCCAGCTCCAATGCTGCCTGTTTATTACTAGTTATTCATTTTCATCTAAAAAACTTGTGTTTCGTATGTTGTAGACTACTGACTAGTACCAGACTAATATAGACTAGTACCAGATGTTTCTCTTGACATAGACCCGTGAACGTGGCGCTGTATACAATGCCACAAGCTTCCCTCGGGTAAATACAAGCGAAAGCATTCTATCTTTTGATCCACTACATATAACCATGTATAATTTTGCCCATAGGTGAATCACTTACTTGTTGGGCTTCTTAAATTTACGCGAGTGTTGGATCTGTCATTGCCAAGAAATTTGATGTAAAGTACGGCACAACTTTGTCACAATGAATGTTTTCAAAATGATCAGAAAATCAAAGACAGGCATGACACTCTGGTACCCCGAGCTCCGCATGCGCAAAACAGTAGGAGTATCGCCAGTGGGTAACTGTCTTGCATGGCAGGATGACCGTAATACCATATACAATTCTGCTAAATCCACTTCGAAAGTCTGCCAAATCACCCAGTATATATTGCTGTTCCATTGTGCAAGGGTTTGTTTCAGGGATCTTTCAAAAAATGAAGGTTTTTCAAACCAAATGTGCAATATTTCTCTAATCTTTTTCATTTTCCTTCATCTTCATAATTCTGCCGAAAAAAATATTCTGCTGATTTTCTGTACAACTCATTTTTGTATGCAAATATTCTGTCAAATGTAGCCGAAATTCGGCTAGAACGGTCACTCCATCTTAGTAACCGCGGATCACAATAGAGTGCTTTTACTATAGACTGAAGCGTGGCTATGTATATAGCCACGTTCACGGGTCTACTCTTGACACAATTGTTTGATGCAGAGTTGGACTGGTTGTTTCATTTGCCAGTCTATTTTCTTGTATTACTAAACATTTTTTCACTATCTTACCTTTTGGGCCTCTCATTCATGAAATTCTGAGTCCCAAATTTTCGGACTAGGTAAGCCCATCACATGTACATCATTTTTGATATTATATTGCCAACTTATCACATCGAGCGGACGCATAGCCTAGTGGATAGCACACTTGCCTTGCAAAAATGCCACTTGATTTTGAGTCCCAGCACGTCCGTTGTTTTTTAAACTTAATTATTTTTGTGTCTCAAAAGATAAGAATTGTCTTCTGTTATTGTTATAAAATCAAGTGCTACATTATTTAATTGCAGATGGGGGAGTATTCATCTTTTTCTGATTCGTTGCTCTGGAGGATTTAATTTTTTTTTAATGAAGGCCAGGGAAATAAAGTCAGAAATTGCAATAGGTCTGATTCCCTTTGTAACTAAAGTCACAATGACAGTTTTAGCACTGAACCAGATGAACATTCGTCACGGTAAATATTTCTAAGTAAAAAAAACGGTCACTACGCATTTTTCAGTGCAGTGCCGGTACAGCACTGAAAACAACCGGGGACTGGTCCATGGTCAAATATCCACTGCCAATGAAATAATGTGTGCAACATGTTAAAGATGAGAGGCTAACCCCATGCTCTTAAAAATGTGAAAGTTTTTCTCCTCACAAAGTTTCAATTTGTATGTGTTACCATCTTTCAAATCACCAGTACATGTTGATAGTGCATTCTTTACCTTACAAGATGTTCAGTATAATTAGCAAACATTGTTGTTCATATAGCATAATCCCTTTTTTATATTGCAGATGAGGTCCTGAGACCTCAGTGAAGCCACTATGGATAATAGTCCACGTAAACCAAAGTCAGAGAAAAAGTGGATGATCCAGTTCAGCGACTCTGGGTCAGATGATGAGATGGAGGAGAGGGAAGAGGAAGAAGATGAAGGTAATGAAACAGGAAACTAAGGATGTGAGACTAGGATGTTTTAAAGACCAAAGAAATCAAAATTACTCCAGAAATTTTCTAAAATGTTTGTGGAACCCAAATTTTTAAAAAGGGACCTGGTATTTATGCCTTCCAGTTTTATTTAAAAGAAAATCAGTGATGCTCATAAACCTGTTTAAGTTACAAAGCATTGCAGACACCTTAGTACTTGATCATATCCCACGAAGTTTAATTTAATTATTTTTTCAATGAGCAGCAACTTTCTATTAAGGTCAACCAGGGTGTACACAGTTTATTGTGGTTAATGTTTTTAATATGTCTTAGGGTAAAGATCATTTGCCATGTTAAAATGTTTGAACGGATCGCGAAAACTTTGCTAAACGTTTTTAACAAACTCAATGTGTATTCTCATCCTTACAGGAGACGGTGAGGAAATCGAGAAGGAAATGGGAGAAAGTACAGTGGTACAGATTTATGGTATAGATGTACACTCCAAGGCGACTTGGTCAGTCCTGAAAAGCTACATCAGCCAGCACGCAGAAGGCTTGAAGGAAGAGGGGGAGGACACACTGCTGCCAACGCAACCAATGACTCTTCACTTTGAGTCTCAGGCAGCTGCTCAAAAAGCCTGCTCTGTTTTATCAAATCTAATGGGTCCCAGTAGCAATGAGATTAAGTTTGAGATTCTCAACACGGAGGGAATCCAGAATGCCTACGATGTGGGACAACAGCCTGCAGTCGAAGAAGCCACAGGTAAGACCAAGAAGCCTGGGCCAAGGGTACGGCACCGGAAGCCAAGGGAAAGAGAGCGAAAGAAACGAGTATCTGGGGATGGTCTTGATCCAACATCATCAGCAACTCTTGAGGTGATCAACGTTGGCATTAAGAAGGATGAATTTCAGAAGCTTCTCACTCAGCTTAAAATAACATGTCAAAGCTTATTTTGGAAGCAGCAACCTAATGGAAGTAAAGTCTTTCTCCAGTTTAGGAGACAAGAGGACGCAGATGCTACTCTAAAGATCTTGAATAACCTCTCTGTTGGTGCTGCTAACCAAAAACTGGTTGCAAAGATTGTCAAACCAGATTCAACAGGTGGCAAGGGCCTGGGACAGACTCCGGCAGGAGCAGCATCTCTATCAGAGCCATTTCAAAAAGGGCCTGCCAGAGCCTCAGCCGACAGATCTCAGAAAAACAACAGATACGGGAACAGCAGTAACAGAAGTTCCAGGGGTGGACACACAAGAGTTGTTGGAAAGCAGCCTGAACAGCATGGTCTGGATGGCACTTGCTCTAGTCATAGACAAACACGAGGCCCTGGACAGATGCCGAGAGGTCCAAGTAAAATTCCTTCTTTGATCGAATTACCTCTGCAGAAACCAGCAGGTCAACAAAGAGAAAGGAGCTCTGTCTGTGATGATGATGATGATGATGACAGGATAAGTGCTGTATCAACTGCGAGTAACGCCAGTGCTTCCCCAAAAGTCAATAGCATAGAAGTGACTAACATTGATCCAAGAGTAATCAACATTGGCTTTTGGCATTTCTTAAAAGATAATAGGATACCTGTCGAACATCTCGAATTTCAGACTACCATGACACAGGAACGATGTGCAGTCATCTACTTCGCTACTACAGAAGACACTAGAAGGTCACAAGAGTTTTTACATGGGCGTCGGATTTTTCCAGGAGGTCCTCGAATGCAAGCCAGCTTTATCACAACATCAAACTCAAATGACCATCGTAGGGTAGATGATGATGCAAATGACGGACAGGTCCGGGGTGCAACTGGAGGACCTCCTCAACACCCCTCTCCAGGAGGTTACAGAGGAAGGGGAGGGAGAGTTGGCAGAGGTGGCAGAGGTGGCAGAGGTGGCAGAGGTGGCAGAGGTAGATCACAAAACAGGCACAGGAAAGACGAGGATGAATCAGACAAGTTTTCTGAATGTAGTGAGACTGTGAGTGTCGCATCGAGGAAGAGTTTTGCAAGCTCCAATCGTGGAGGAAGACAATATGGCAAGTCCTCATCACTGTACATAACAAACATCGGGAAAGATTGCGACGAGGGGGAACTTTGTGGTTTCCTACAGTCTCTTGATTTAGAATGCGAATGTTTGGAGTTCAGACAATCCAAAACGACTGACACACAGTATGCTGTCATTCAGTTTCCAAATTGTAAGAAGGCAGGTGAGGGTAAGAAGGTTCTGGGTAGTGATGAATGGGTACTAGGGGGATCTCTAATTAAGGTCAGTTTCTTCTGGAAAAATGTCTCAAGAGGAGGAGGAGGTTCCTTGGCCACGCAGCTAAGTCAGCTAGAAGTTGAGGACGTCGACAGTCGGAGTAGTATCCATACATGGCTAGACAAAAGTGATGCCTCAGCGGGAATTGACTACAAAAACAGTACCAGGGGTCAAAGGGGGCGTGGTTATTCTCAGAGAGGTCATAGCGGTCAAAGAATGGGGCATGATCTAACAGACCAAAGTTCCAAGATTGGACATGCTGATGAAGATGTTAAAGATGGACACCGATTACCACAGGGACCAAGGGCCTCAAATGCATCACCAGACAGATCACATGTAGATGGAAAAGCAGATCTTTCCAAAAGGTCACACAGAGAAGCCAACAGATTAGGTCAACAGGATTTAGAATCAAAGAACCAGGCTTCAGAACCACCAAACCAAAAATTGCCAGTTGGCAAGAAAGCTGGTAACGGAAATCCTTATCAGTTAAAAGATAAAAAACGAGAGCCAAATCTGAAAGAAATTGTGATAACTGACCTTCCCAAAGACATCTTCGAGAAAGATGTTGTTGACATTCTGACTAAAGAGAAGTGTCGGGGATTCATTGATGTACGTCTTGTGAAAAATAAGGATGTCAGAGATCGTACCAGTGAGTGCTTTGTGAAGTTCAGAGAGAGGGAACAAGCGATGGAGGCGGTGCTAAAACTTTACGGTAGACCGATACATGATCATCGCTGTGAAGTCCGTCTTGCAGTCAATCATGACCAGATGGAACCAGCGATTGCCAGAAAAACCCTCATCTCATTTCAAGAGAAAGAAATGCCTGACAAGGTTCAAACAATCGAGAGTACCATTGAAGGTAAAATCGAGAAAATTGTAGAAGATGTACAAGATCTTAGAGAGGTTTGGGAAGAAAATCTGTCTTATGCTGATCAGGAACGTTGTGAGAGCTCTATTGTAGCACTCGAGCACCAGTTGAATGAGCAAGAGAGGTACTTGAGGGAGTTTAAAACTGCATGCATCAGTGTAGAATCAGCAGTCGACTGTTTGATGGAAAGAGTTGTGGCCCTATCGGAGGTACAGAGGATTCGCCATCGCTTTGAGAGAGAATGTCGCCGTGCCGAATCACCACTGCCAGTGTATGGCTACAGACATGACATTCAGGAAACTATCCAGAAGAACATGGCCGTAGTCTTACAAGGGGAGACTGGATCTGGGAAAAGCACTCAGATTCCCCAGTATGTTGTGGACATGGAACTTCAGAGTCGACATGATGGTGAGGATGCTCTAACTGGGGTAGGGCAACAGTGGCGAGTGGTGTGCACGCAGCCACGCCGGGTTGCAGCCCTGACTCTTGCCAAGCGTGTCGCCGAGGAATACGGCTGCCGAGTTGGGGAAGAAGTTGGTTACTTCGTGGGGAACAAGAAGCTTGTCAAGGACAACACGGTGGTGACCTTCATGACCGATCGCAAGCTTCTCAACATCTGCATGGCAGATCCTGACCTGTCCGAATACACCTGCGTTATCGTAGACGAGGCGCACGAAAGGTCTGTTGATACAGATATCCTCTTGGCTACCTTGAAGAAGCTCTTGACGAAGCGACGTGATCTTCACCTCATCATCATGTCGGCTACCATTGACATCAAACTGTTCACCGACTACCTGGGTGGGTGTGCCAAGCTGAGCATTCCAGGTCGCACGTTCCCCGTAGACAAGCATTGGTGTGGGGATGACGTCGGCATTGGTGAAGGCGATTACCTGAAAAGGGCCATACAGCAAGCTGCAAAGGTGAGATTAAAAAAAAACAACAACAAATATGGAATCTGTTCATTCAAGATCTGGAGTTAAATTATTGGCTTTGAAGCCAATAGCATGCCTCACTTTGGAATGGTTTGTAGTGCCAGTCTCATTATCAACATTCCAAATTCATCTCGGTCTTTGTCTTTACACATCATAATACTGTTAAATTCTTGCAACAATTTTTGGCAAAAGGCACTTGATTGCTTGTTAAACTCTTGACTCATTACCCACATTGAATCCTTGTTCATGAGCTGTGTTGTCTGAATGCTAATTTAGGTCATGCTTACAAATACCTTCTTTCGTGAAAACATTCATTTTATGATGAGTATTTACCAGAATTTTCATACTCTTTACAGGTGCATAAAAATGAAGGTCCGGGGGATATCCTTGTGTTTCTGACCTCTGCTAACGAGATTGAGACTGCGTGCAGAGATCTTAAATCAGCCCTCGGGCTTAAGACCGCCAACGATGATGAGAGTCCTGTACTTATCCTTCCTCTGCATGGAAGACTTCAGCCTGAGGATCAGATGAAGGTCTTTGCAGAAACAAGAGCAAATCAGCGGAAGATCATCTTTGCTACAAATGTCGCTGAGACGTCGGTCACCATCAAGGGCATTAAATATGTCATCGACACAGGCGTTGTGAAGGAGTGTCAGTATGACCCAAAGCGCAGCATGAGCCTTCTGAAGGTGACTACAATTACGAGAGCATCAGCTGAGCAGCGGGCAGGGCGGGCAGGGCGGACCGCGCCCGGAGTCTGTTACCGGCTCTACACTAAAGAGGAACATGGCGAGTTGGAGGAGACGATGAAGCCGGAGATCCTAAGGGTGCATCTGGGGATGGCAGCTTTGCAGCTCTTGGAGCTTGGTGTCGAGAACGTGGAAAACTTCGACTTCATCCAAGCACCTGATCGGGACGCCACAAGGCAAGCCATGATCACCTTGAGGCTCTTGGGTGCCGTTGATGAGGATGCCAAGCTGACTCCCCTGGGAAAGAAGATGGCTACTCTCCCCCTCGAACCACGTCTGTCCAAGCTGGTTCTTGAAGGAGCAAAGAGGGGTTTAGCCACAGAAGCTGTTGCACTGGCTGCTTTGATATCTGCACCAGGGAGCATCTTCTACAGAGGAGGCTCCGACAAAGACAAAGAGAAAGCAGACCGACTGAAACTTCAATTCTGTCACGAAAGCGGTGATATCATCACGATGCTGAATGCTTATGTTCAATGGAATAACCAACCAGAGAAGAAGCAGAAGGAGTGGACTTTGGAGAACAGTATGAATTCAAAGACCTTGCGAGCTGTCAGGGAGACGGTGAAGGAAGTCGGTCAGGCACTCAAGAAGGAGCACAGTATCGACTGCAACTACAGCAAGATGGAAGCACCAGATAAGGTGAAGAGTGAGGATCTGCAGAAGGTCATCATGTCTGGTTACTTCCAGACAATGAGTCTCTACAATGGCCATCATCGGGCAGGATATACGGTCCTACCCCAGCAGAAATCGGCCCATGTCCATCCATCATCTGCTCTCAAGGCCCTTGGTAGCCATCCCACCTGGGTGGTGTATGAGGAATTCAAGCGCACCTCACGCGATTTTCTCTTCAACGTTACTCAGGTCGATATTTCTTGGCTGGAGGAGGTGGCTCCAGTGTTCCATAGAGAGATCGATCTGGAAGCTCTCCGGGAGATGGCCATGGTGGAGCTTCCTCCAATTTCCCTCGGAACAGCTCTGATGAGACAGCTCATAGCGAAACGAAATGAAAAGATAAGAGCGCTTGAAGAGGAAATCACAGACAAGCAGAACTCACCGTGCATCATTGAAATCAACCGAAGCACAAAGCAGCTGCACATGTTTGTCAATAAACAGTGTTCCTCATTTGCCGAATCTAACGTCAAGGGCTTCCTTGAGGATGAACGCAAGAGGATCGAGCGTCAGCAGATTGAGGTGCCAGTCGGTGACTCGGGGGTTGTCCGTCAAGTGGTCATAGCGGGAGCAGAAACAAGGTTCATCTTGATGGCCAAAGACTACCGAACCCTAGAAATTAGCAATGTGCCTGCTGATGCCACTGAAGATGACGTGGAGAGAATCATCCGCTTCGCCGGTTGTTCCAGAGAGGAGATCATCGATGTGTACAGATTTCCGCCACAAACGTCGATGGCAAAGGCCAGCAAGTGGGGCCGTGTGACCTTCATATCTCCAGAAGCTGCCGAAGATGCTAAAAAGTGGCTTGAGGTGGCTGCTGCTGCTGAGGAGACATCGATGACGGTGAGAGCCATGCAAGGTCGAGGTTTCCAAAGGCGTGACATCCGACGAGTCAACACCAGATTGGTCGTCACCTGGTTCACGTGGCCATCCAAAGGTCATGCATTTGTCAACTGTGATTCAACTGATAATGCTGTGCAGCTGATGTGTGAATTAGCTGGTCTGCGTTTGAAGGGGATGATGTTGATACCCAAGCTTAAAAGGAATGACACAAGGGCTGTGCTTATAAATGGTTTACATCCAGATGCAACACAAGATGATCTTGAGAAGGCCATCGAAAGGAAGACGGACATCCCTTTCACCAGATGCTACATCGTCCGACGGGAACCTGCAGGGTCTATACCAACACCAGATGAAGTGACACGAGACATATATAGCATGTTTGATGGGGCAGTTGAACAGAATGAAATGAATATCGACATACTCCCAGTCAAGTCTGAAAAAACTCAGATGCACAAAGCGATTGTTACTTTCTCAGGTGACAACGAAGGTCAAGTAGATGCACGTTTGGCCGAACTCCAGAACAACCCGCGACGTAACCCACAAGGGCAACTCTACCACCTGAAGATCACAGCATCTTGCATGCTCTTCTGCCGTCCCGAAGTTTACGGGTGTCTTGAAGAGGACATCAAGCAACTGGTGGAGACTGCAAAGACAGAGAAGGAAGACCTGGTCATCAGAGTCAATCCGAGCAGGAAGACAAGTGACTGGGTAATTTCCATCTCGAGTGGGAGGGCTGAAGACGTGCAGACTTTGAGACGCTCACTTCTGGTGTATGTGCAGGGAGAAACAGTGCCACTCTCCGACCTGTACCATTCACAAATATCACATCAGAAGAAAAGCAAAGTCTTGGAGATGCTTCAAAAAGCTCTAAGGTACGTTCAAACCACAGATCTCTGAGCCACTAATTTGATTTGCTGATCTATATGTAATTGACAGCAACGCTTGAAAGGCTTTATAACGTAAAATTTTTCAAAGACAGTGATTTTTAAATGTCTACAAAACAATCTTTCTGAAAAAATAAACCCTAGGAATATGTAACAACAAAGAGTTTATTGTGTTTTACAGGTTCCTGATTGATGATTTGGATGCCCATGCTATGATCGACACCCGCAGACAAGCATTTGTCTTCTTCGGAAAGGACCGAACCCGGGAGCGTCTTAAACGCCGTTTTGGAGACTACGTTGGGATCATCTGCAACAATATGCTGAGAGAAATTCCTCTGACAGCGAGCGTGTCTCCTCACTGCACTAAAGGCAGGGCCATCAGGGCTTTAGTGAAAGCCTACGGACCTTGGCTTAAGGTGAGGAAAAATAGTTCTTCCTGTTAATCCGAGCAGGGAAACTTTTGTAAACTTCTTGGTGGGATATTGAAATTTGCAGTTTTTCCCTGCCAATAAACATTATGGGTTGCAGGTATCTCGGAGGTTTACTCATGCTTGTGAACTCTTAAAGTGTCCGTGTGATGAACTTTTCTTGAAAACACCTTTTGCGGCAACTTTATACTCTTAAATTTATGAAAACTTTTTGATATCCCTTTTTGTTTTTTATTGAAATGTGCACTTCTTTAAACATTTACAAGTTTTCCATGCTTTTGCAGACAACTGAGGGCCATGTTGCTGTGATGTCATTTCAGGAAGACATTGTTCAGTTTAAGGGTTTTCTGTTCAAACTGTGAACTCAATATTTGCTCATTGAAAATATTTGTGAGAAAGGGTCGCTCATCATTGGCTTAAAATTATTGCCTTATACAGCAACGTATGAATCACAAAAGAAATGGAACTTTATGGCAGCAGAATGTCCAAAATTCTGGATTTTTTGTGTGCTAAAATAGCTGTAACATGGAGGTTTCTGTCTGGAATGACATCACAATTTTGCTCATGAATATGGAAATTTGCATTAGCATACAAAAAAACCACAAAGGCTACAACATACCCTCCAATATGGAAAAGCCCAAACTGAAAATTAGGTTCAATGGGACACAAAGGTGCATTTTTAAGGATAGCATTAAAAAAATTACGTTGCGTGGGCCCTTTAGTCAATAATGAATCGCGTGAAAAATTCACCTCAACTTAAGTCTTGACAGAACCTATCTGTGAATAAGTCATATTTTTTACCCTCTTCTGAACTTTGCACCTCGGACAATACATTTGCAGTTTTGGCCAACATTCCTGAATCCTGCGTCATTTGATTTCACTCGAATCTTGACGAAACTGTAAGTAGACATTCCATTCTTTTCAATCTCCAACAGGGTCTCCAAGAGAAAAGCGAGTCGGCTGCCATTACCATGAATACGAGACAAGGAGTGCTGTTGATCGAGGGCAATCCGACAGTCTTTGACAAAGTCCACGACTTGGTCTACGATTGCCTCAAAGAGGCAGGTCTAGAAGATGCCATGAGGTGAAAACAGAATTCATGAGCTTGTCTACTAATACAAAAGCTTATCCCGACAATGGGCTGCAAGCAGTGTTTTTGTATGCTGTTGGAGAAATCAGATCAGTACGATTCGACAAAGCAAGAAATGTTAATTTGTTTTCCCAATTTTCAGCGTCGAAGATAAGCAACCCGTCGAGGATATTGAATGCGGTATTTGCTACACGCCGGTGGATGGTCACGAGGAGGTCTATCGTCTTAGTGCCTGCTCTCACGGCTTTCATCAGGGGTGCATCAGGGAGCTGTTTAATGTCCGACTGAAAGATTCCAGCAAGGACTACCCTATAGGTATGGGTTTTTGCAGCAAGGGCTTACGAGAAGATTGTGTACAGATGCTCCAAGCCTTCCCTGTTTGGAGATGTTCCCTTTGCAAATGGGAATCCTTGATTCTTAAGAGAGCCATTAATATAAGCGTTATATGAATCTTGACTACATACTCGCATACTTGTGTTTTGAGTTTAACCCTAGCCCTTCCAGATGCAACACAGTGCAGCAGGTGGAAAAGACATGGTGCACTTTGATGCATTCGGCTACCAACACCAGTGCATGAATGGCCAGCTCTGAAACAATGAGAGCCAAGTCCCATTGAACAATGCCACAGTTGTATCCTGCTGCGTGCGGTGACCACGGACTCTGAGGCAGTGTTGCCTTGAGACTTTTCCCCTGATGGATCTTGCTACATTTAGCAGGCTTGTCACTTAGTCAAGTGTTGTATGTTGCTACATTTGGCAGGGTTATGGCTAACATACCCTGGCTGGTTAGGGCAAGAAAAAGAATTATTCCACTTTTTTTGTTTAACTTGTCTTGTGGACCGACGAATTGACATTCAGTGTACAAGGCCACCATCTGTGGACAAACACCCATAGATCCACAAGAGGGGGTGCTTCCAAAACATGGCAACTGTATAAACATATGATTTGAAATCATGAAGATGCACATAGTGTTTACTTTGCTTTCCGCCCGATTTCAGAGTGTCCTTCGGATAGCTGTGGCCGCCCCATGCTGTTGTGCGACATACGCATCCTCTGCCCGGAGGAAGACACGCGCCTCAAGTTGTACCAACTGGCGCTCGAAGCTCACGTTGCTCAGCAGAGTGACGGAAAGCTCAAGTTCTGCCCGACGGCCGATTGCCGCATGATCTACAAGCACACGGATGACGCGCAGACGTTTGTGTGCCCAGAGTGCCGTGCCCGACTGTGTTCGTCTTGCGGGGCGGAGCCTCACCGTGGACAGACGTGCGAGGAGTTTAAGGTACCCATACCATTCTGAAAATAAAGAAATTGTGAAAATGAACTGCAATCAGTTTTGAACAAAGGGAATTTACAGAAATTGGATATGAACTTGCAGCCTCTACTGGCAGTGTACTAACGGAGCGATCCAGCTGTACAATGTTTGTTAGAAGTCTCCCAGTTTGTTACTTTCTTTTGTTCAAGGGGTTCAAGTTAGAAACTTTTTCATGCCCAAACTCACAATATTAACATTTGGCCATTGGCAATGTGGCTTTTTACAAGGAGTCATCAGATAAACCACAGGTTAAAGGCACAGTCCATCATTTGCAGCTATCCAAAAAGTAACTGACAAAATTATTGCTGTAAAGCATCCATGGTTTAAAGATAGTGATGGTACTAATCTCCCTGTGAAATTATTCTTTCTGGCACCCCCATATTTTGAAGAAAACAATAAAAGGCCATTTCCAATGATGTGTCTAAATACAACTTTTTGGAAATTTCCGTTAGTAGTTAGTTACCAGTGTTCTCCAACTTTGAAAATCAAAGGTTGGCGCTGGGGTCGGCGGGGACTCCTGCGAGCGCGGAGCGCGAAGCCCTTACGGCGTGGGGTCCGGGGCCCGCTTAAGGGCCCCGGGAAAATTTTGGATTCTAGATGCTCTGTGGTGCAATCCAAGGCGATTCTCCAGGCCAGTTCCCCCGATTTTTTTAGCATTCAAAAATTTCCTTTTCAACCTAAAGCAGACTTCTCTCAGATCAAGTGACGCCTTTTTGTAATTTTGAAAAACAAAACGGGATACAAATTACGGGTTTTTTTAACGCAATTTTATGGGTGGTGATGGTGCCGTGCGATCATCATCTTTATTTTCATGTTGCGTTTTGTCGTTGTCATCGTCATTTTCCCCCAAAATTTCCCTCTATTAATGACCTACCTGTATGTTCTTAAATGTCGCCAACTAGTTTGGTAAGTCAAATAAATTAAAAGTGGATTTTGTTCTCTTAGGGAACCGGGCCCATACACATCGCCATTTATAACTTTTGACAATCGGCATGATCGGAACACAATGTCATGTGCACGCGTGTTTTGGCTGGCCTCGAGCTCGTTTGCCTCGTACACATCAATGCGTATTATATTGTGTACCGCGCGTGCAAGCACTGAGAAAAAGAAAGTCGGTTGGCTGCACGTAAGATCTGCCGTACGTACTCCTGCTGGTGTGTGTGTGTACTAATACAGATATATATTTTTGCGGCGGGGTTGTCGCTACTTGAAGTATCGGCACACTCCGGAACTGGGGATTCAGTTGTCAGTGTGTGTGTACATCGCGCGTACTATAGTATAGTACGTACGGGTGCATGGGGAATCGCTGGTGTTTGCACGGCCGGCCGTGCGTTTGATTGATTCAGCGAGATTTTAAGACAACCCCGATCGGGCTGGGATGACATCGAAAAACATTGTTAATGTGTGGGAAAACAACTGAAATCAATTATTTTAGTTGTAAATGTACACTGTAGAGTCAAAAAAATTAAACCTGGCGGCAGGATTTTAAAGCTTGGCGGGGACTTCTTAAACATGGCGGGCGCCGCAGAAAGCATGGCGGGGCGCCAGGTTTGTTCTACATGTTGGAGAACACTGAGTTACTATTTCACCGAAGCCGTGAATGAGTGCGCGCAAGCATAGACACGCCATGCATGCACAGCATGCACGTGTGCGGCGTGCACACGTGCATGCTGTTGCTATTCAGACTGTGTAGCTGCAATCTGCTGAATGAGAACGTATCTCAGACGCTGATTACGTGCGCAATTCAAAACATGTCTCGGCAACTTTTGAATTGAAATCGAGATCCTAGAATATTTTTTTTCGGAATAAACGGCATTCACTGAGCTGAAACTTATAAGCACCTTTTTTTTTAGATTTTGAGCACTTTTGTTGCTTGCAATGAAAAAAATTCATAAAATACAAATGATGTACTCTACCTTTAACAAAAATTGACCGTTATGCAATTTCTTCTCAAGAAACAAACAACTCCACATACGTTACAAAATTCCCATTACTTTGAAATCCATAACTTTTGCAATCAACACTTTTGGCAGTAAACCCTGGGCCCAATTTCATAGAGCTGCTTAAGCAGAAAATTTGCTTAAGCACGAAAAAACATTGCTTAGTAAAATTAGGCTACCGGCCAAAACTCCATGTGATGTATATTGCTTGTGACTGGTATTTAGCTGTTGTTTACTTAGCATAACAATCGCATGGAGTTTTGGCCGGTAACCTGATTTTATTAAGCAAGACGTTTTTGTGCTTAAGCAAATTTTGTGCTTAAGCAGCTCTATGAAATTGGCCCCTGGTCTTTTTGGTCCCATAGATCCATCGTCCATTTCTTGTTCATTTTGCTTACCGACACAGATATCTGGCAAGAATTTTGACGACATCGAGGAATGGATGAGGACCGGCGTGGACGCCAAAAAGTGCCCGGTGCCAAACTGTGCTTGCGTCATTGAGAAAATCTCCGGGTGTCATCACATGACGTGCAAAATGTGTGGCAAGCACATCTGCTGGGTTTGCCTGCGTTTCTTCGACACCGGCAACCAATGCTACGGGCATCTTCAAGAAGTCCATGGCAATTTCGTGTAATCCATTCAATCGCACATTATCATCTCAACTTCCAAAGTTATGATATTATACAAATATTGAATGCTTCGAGTGGTGTAGTAAACTAGCCTCCCAAGGTGATCCATGGACATTGTGTTTTTGAGGCAAAGCTGAGGGAAAAAAGAATGCTCCATGGATCACGGAGGGGGGCTAGTTTTTACTTCACCACGAGATAAAGCATTCAATATTTGCTTTACATCACTTCACCCTCAGCTTCTGTGTGGTTTTTAATATTATGAATTATTTAAATCTGAACACAGTTAAAATCAACTTCAATTTCAATACAAAATTGGTGGGAAATGTATTTCTCTCTTCCAAACCACCCCTTCACAAAGTATCTGAACCCAACTCTGCGGTGCGCTCTCTTGGGAACAATAAGCTCTACGCGCAACGCTCAACGCGCACACCAGCGTGCAATCGCACACACATACCGTGCCATGGGCATAGTACTTTGGTTTAAAAACTAAAAGCTATAGTACTTTGGTTGCACACTGAAAGATAGCAAAAATAGAAAGTACCATGTGACCAACTCTCGGCCAATCAAGACACAGAATCTGTGGTCGAGGTGTTATAAAAATGAATAGATATGTTAATGAAATTTGTGCATGTGATTTATAATTAAAAAAATGTATGCATGTGACTTATTGAAAATAGAAATTTAAAAAAAATATTTGAAAGAATTTATGAACAAGTGATGAAGACAGCAATGCAGAAACTGGGTAATTTTGATGTTACATTGATGTTTCATTTTATTCAGCACTACACTAGAAAAATCCTTCTTTTATCACCCTTTCGTCCACCGGGTTAACAATGTATATTTAGTTACATTCTCAGTAACGTGAGTTTCTTCACAACTGAAACAGTTGTTTGGAAAATAATATCAATATAATTAACCCCTGTTGAGAAACTGAATTAATTTACTACAAAATAAAAAAAGTTTTGAAATTTAAAGTTGTTCAGTTCGGCATCGACTTGCAGTGGATAGAAAGTGTGAGTGTATAAACGCATCAAAGTTTAAACAATTTAATACTGAAATGAATTAAACTGCTGCAAACTCGTGCAAACTTCCCACTGACTGGGTTAACCTGAAATGTATAAAAAAAATTTAAATGGCCTATTTCACCTTACATAGCAAGGCCTTCTTCAGGGCCTTCTTCAAATATCAGGTCATTTTAATTTTTACATTTAACATAGGATTTTAAACACTTCCATTTATGAAAGAAAATGTGAAATATATATTTTTTGAAAAACTTGATTCTAATAGTTTAATAGTCTAGAATAGCCAGTAATCTTCATTTGATGATGAGATGTGGGGAGTGGAATTAAAACGTTTGTAAAAAGTTCTATTTTGAAAAACCTGAATCTATTGTTTTAATAGTCTAGAATAGCCAGCAATCTTCTTTTTTGGGGGAGGAACGGAGAATTATCTTTATTTGATGATGAGGCATGGGTGGCTTGTGCGTAAAGCGCTCGCCTCTCACTAAGGTGACCACGGTTCGAATCCCGGCCGCGGATCACATGTGAGTAGAGTTGTGCGTTGGTTCTCTCCTGTGCCACGAGGGTTTTTCTCCGGGCCCTCCGGTTTTCCTCCCTCCGGAAAAATCAAACACTTCTGCGAGTAAGGATGATTAGCCTCCCAAATTATTATTGTTGTTATTAAACATTTGTAAACAATGCTATTTGCAAAATGTAATTAATGTTTTTTTCCTGCAAGGGTAAACAATAATTTCAATAACACAGAAACGTCTGTCTGATGACATTAAATAAACTGCATGAATCAGAACTAACTGTGTGAGTAGTTGTTTGTGATTTCAGTTTGAGAATTGCTCCTTCAAACAGTTGCTAAAAACAGACTTTTCTTTCTTATAGTTGAAAGCCAGTTTTTACGTTTGCACAAGTATGACCATAGTGACGACTTTTCCCCCAAAAAACATTTTCCAACCGGTATTTAAACAGATGTTTAAGAATTAATTATTTGGTGTTTTTGATAATTACATGATATTTTTACTTTTCAATAAATTATTTCTTTGTATATGAAGTGTAATGTCGAAGAGAACAAATTGACCATGATATCTAAATATAATTACGATTCAGAGGAATGATCCAAAACTCCTAGTCTGTAATCTCCTTGACCATTACTAGATGATGGATGTATAAGATTTGAAAAAAATAAATTTTCAGGTTTATTCAATGAGCTCTGTCGCAGACATTACATAATTCTAGAATCGCCCCTAAAAAGAAAAAGAGAAAGTGTACATGTTTCACACACAAATGCAAAATAATCAAAACCACCCTCCCCCCCCAAAAAAACCCAACAACGACCAGAAGAAAAAATGTGGAAACCACAAGCCTGCTCAGTTGGTGAAAATAGTCTCTTCCTGTCGTTTCTTCCGGTTCATGACGGTTCCAGGCTTGTTCTGAGCATCGGGGTGACTAGAGAGCTCTGGCGGGCACGTCGATACGGGGCTGGACAGCAGCAGCTGCTTGAGGTCGTAGTAAACGTCGCTGTCATCTGGTGTCAGGAAGGAGATCGCAGTACCCGTCTTGCCGGCTCGGCCCGTACGACCGATGCGATGGGTGTAATCTGAAATAAAAATCGTAACGGAGATTCCTTCAAATACAGCCATCCAGTATGCAAATAGGAGAGTCGTTAAACTCAGGCCCTCCCTGGTTATGCAAAATCTACCAGGAGGTTTTGTAGGATTTTGTAGGATTTTGTAGGATTTTGTAGGATTGAGGAAGATGGAGCCCAGCTACTATTACTTTACATGTATGGACCTTGAAACTTGGTAGGTGCAAAGAGTGTGCCATTGGGTTCTTGCACAGTGGAAGATTTTGTAGGATTGAGGAAGGTAGAAACAAGCCACTAGTACTTTACATGGGGCTTGATAGCCCTTGAAACTTGGTAGGTACAAAGAGTGTGCCATTGGGTTCCTGCACAGTGGAGGACTTTGTAGGAATGAGGAAAGAAGAGCCCGGGTACTATTGCTTTACATTGGGCTTGATAGACCCGTGCGAGTTGTCTAGTAATTTTTTCATTCCAAGTCTAATTCAATAGTTCAAAACTTTTGTATCGGTAGAAATATAGCACTCTGTAAAGAACAGGTCCATGGGCATGGGGGGGGGGGGAGGTAACAAACGACATGGGGTAATAATAGATGGGTATTTAGTATCACTGATGTGACAAGAATATGACGAGTTAATTCAGACTCGCCTTCAATATTCTTGGCCATGTCAAAGTTGATGACAATGGAGACATCACGGACGTCGATACCGCGACCCGCGACGTCGGTAGCTACCAGGATGTCCTTGATGCCCGTCTTGAGACTGGCCAGGGCGTACTCTCGCTGCTCCTGGCTCTTGCCTCCGTGGAGGGTCACTGCGTTGTACTGAAAATTACCAATAATAAAACATGAAACAGCCACTTAAATATTTGCCACTTAAATATTTGTTGTGACATGGTGGTGTAATGGTGTAAACTGACGTGATTCTGAGGTTATTGATGCAAGTTTTCATTTTGTTACAATTCAAAAATGGCATTCTTATAATTTTTACCTTTTTTTTTGGAAGCAAACTTTATTCAAAAGCTTCAGTAAACATGGTATTTCAAATATCTGTACTCTGAAAAAAGCATCAATCTACACCGTTTGCTAAAAAAATCTTGCTTATTCCGATTGGTCTTCTAAGTTTGTAGGATGCAAAGAAGGAGCGAGACTTACTCCCATTTTTTCCAGCGACTTGGCCAGCACATCGCATCCCTTCTTCTGATTGACAAAGATCATGATGGGCGGGTCGTAACCCTTCTCCAAAATCTGGACCAATCGGTGCCTGACAGAAAGAAATGCATCGACAACTTTATCAAATAATGGCCTTACCTTGTAAGCCCCACCCACATTTCTAGATTTGACCATAAGCCCCACCCACCTTTCTAAATTTGACTATAAGCCCCACCCACCTTTCTAGATTTGACCATTAGCCCCATCCACATTTCTAGACTTGACCATAAGCCCCACCCACCTTTCAAGATTTGACCATAAGCCCCACCCACCTTCCTAGATTTGACCATAAGCCCCACACACCTTTCTAGGTATGACCATAAGCCCCACCCACCTTCCTAGATTTGACCATAAGCCCCACCCATCTTTCTAGATTTGACCTTGAGCCCAACACACCTTTCTAGATTTGACCATAAGCCCCACCTGCATTTCTAGATTTGACCATAAGCCCCACCCATCTTTCCAGATTTGACCTTGAGCCCAACACACCTTTCTAGATTTGACCATAAGCCCCACCTGCATTTCTAGATTTTGACCATAAGCCCCACCCACCTTTCTAGATTTTACCATAAGCCCCACCCACATTTCTCAGAGTGCTTGTGACTGAGTTTGACTGAGCAATCTGGTCAGCTGACCAAACGCCTTAATCTAATTGGTCAATGTGCCGTTTCACAGGCAGGAAAGGTCAAACAAAAATGCTATAATTTCCTCACAAAATACCAAAACTAAAAAACAAACAATAATTATCTGGGTACCTCTATGGACAAAGAAACAGGTTTAAATGACATTTTAAACTGTTCGGTGAGCTTGGAAATCCTTCGGTTGTTCTAAGTGGAGATCGTAGAATACTTGCCTCTTTTCTTGGTTGGAGACCATGTAGACGATCTGTTGAACCTTCTCTACCGGTTTGCCGATAGAGCCAATGTAGACCACAGCGGGGCGACGTAGGTAGGATCGGGCCACACGCTCTACAGCAGTAGGCATAGTGGCTGTAAACATCACGGTCTAACGGAAGTGAAAGGAAAAAACTCTAGCCAATATGAACTCTGTGCACAGGTACCTTATTAACCCTACCTTCCCCAACTCCATCAAAATTCATCCCCCCATTTTGGGGGACTTGGTCCTGCAGTCCTAAAGGTAAAGGTAAAGGGGACAAACCTGTGTTCACAGGAACAGAGTGCCCATCTCTCTTTTGAAGCGATTGGGCCAGACTCATATGCTGCTGTGGGGGGATCGCCACACCTCCTCAACAGCGAGTCTGTTACCTTCCCAGCATTGAATAATGCTGGTGCCCATTTAACACCTGGGTTGAGAGGAGTAATTGAGGTAAAGCACCTTACTCAAGGGCACAACACGCAAGGCCACGGCGGGGCTTGAACCAACAATCCCACGATCATGGGGCCTGTGCTCTACCGCTAGACCACACGTGCCCACTTAAATATTGATGCAGTATGATGGACTTGGCGCCTGGAGGCCTGAAGCAGTGCTAGGGGTATCCGATTATTTTTGCACAGAGATTTGTTGGGCACAGAAAATATTTGCTTTCAGTAAAAATAGGGTACCACCAAAATGCACTGCTGTGTATGAGCTAATGCGTCAACAAGAGAGGGCTCTTTTTTACCACTTTTTTTGAAGTTTTCGAGTTTTTCCCAGTGGTCTCCCCCAACTCTCCATTTCTGACCATCGACGGAATTTCTGACATTTTCTGACAAGGTACCGGGACTCAACTCTAAGAGGCTCATCTATGAGATTATTATTTTTTTTTCCCACTCCCTGTGACCTTTGATCCCTGTGACCTTTGATCCTTCCCCTTTCTGGTCCCTCCCCTGTTCATACCAGACCCCTTGTGGTTTGCCATCTCCCTTTGTTTCTTTGTTCTCTCATCCACCCTCCCCTGCATCTTTCCAAACCTTTCACACCTAATCCTCCTTTTGTGTTTCTTCTTTCATCCCTGCATGTTTGTGTGCACCCCCATGTTAATGTATGTACCTCTGTCATTTCTGTTTTAGCCTCTGAAGAAGAACTTGCTAAGTTCGCAACGTCAGGCCACATTAATTTTTAGATTTTTTTTTTTTGGCGAAATGTTTTCATCCATCTCACCTGTCGGAATTTGTGCTTGGTAGCGAAATTTGCGAGGAGGACTGCTGAGTCTTCGGCGTCGTCAGTATCTGGTTTCTGATTGGTCACCGGTAGATACTCCAGAATCTTCTGAACGTCCGGCTCAAAACCCATGTCGATCATACGGTCAGCCTACCGGGGGAAAAAAACGGGGAAAAAAATTCCATGACCAGCGGTGTAAATGTTATCACTTTATTTAAAGACTGGTTCCAGCCCCTTTCCTTCACAGTGTGGAGTATTATGGAGGGAATGGGAACCAGCCTACCTTACTAGGCTCTCTCTGTTAGGTATTCCCCCACGCAATAAATCCCTAAAATAAATAACGAGATGCACATAAGGCCAAAAAAAAAAAGTCTCCGGTTTCTGGTATGGAGCTTGTCCAAAAAGTGGTGCGGCGACGCGGCTTTTTTTTTTTTTTTACCCGACTTTTTTGCTTCAAATGTCGGCTGATGACTGCAAATGGTGCCCGACTAAACTTAGTGCAAATATATGGGAGTCCAGAGAGGCCACATAAAGCTTATTCTCGACCATAACCCAATCTAAAAACACGTTGAAATTGTGCAGCAGCAGAATTCCAGTCAAACCAGTGAGTTTGGCGGTTTTGAGACATCATCTTTCATTAAAAAAAAAATTTTTTCATTTTGCCGACGCGCATGGCTACGGCTACGCGCGCGCATACCAGAAACCGGAGACTTTTTTTTTTTGGCCTAAACCAACGTAATATCTCAATAACTTGTATTCGTATTGTAAGGCTTTACATGTCCTTTTGAAGTTTGTGAACAAACTCTGCTCACCTCATCCAAGACAACATAAGTGCACTGATTCAGAACCAGATAGCGGTTCTCCAACACATCGATGAGACGACCCGGTGTTGCTATGACAACCTCGCATCCCATCCTCAGCTTGAATCCCTGGTCCTCCCGTGATATGCCACCGATGATGGAGACAGATCGGACACCTAGCGGCTGGCCGAAGCGTACCGTCTCTTCCTCGATTTGCTGCGCCAGCTCGCGAGTCGGTGCTAAGATAATGGAGTACGGGCCTTGATCGACATCCTCCTCCCTGTGGGGAAAAAATGGCTGAAATGGTTAACGACCTCCTCTCTGTGAAAATAGGATAGCTAAATTGGTTGTCTTCCTCCCTGTGGGAATAGAATAGCTAAAAAGGTTAACGTTCTCTTTTTTTGTGGAAATTAAATGGCTAAAATGGTTGTATTCCTCCCTAAGGAAATAGTATGGCTAAAATGGTAAAAATCCTTCCTCTGGAAATAGAATGGCTGAAATGGTAACCTCTTCCTCCCTATGCATATAGAATAGCTAATGTGGTTAACGTTCTCCTTTCTGTGGAAACAGAATGGTTGTTTCCACCCAATGGAAACAGAAATGGTTAACATTCTCCCTGTGGAAATAGAATTGCAAAAACGATTGTTTTACTCCAATTGAAATAGAATGGCTAAAATAGTTAACGTCTTTCCCCCTATGGAAGTAGAAGAGCTAAAATGGTTAACGTTCTCCTTTCTGTGGGAATAGAATGGCTAAAAATGGCTAATGTCTTCCTCCCTGGGGAAATAGAATGGCTGAAATGGTTAATATCCTCCTTTTCTGTTTACAACGTGATTCAACAATTACATGTACTGTTGGTGGCAGATTTTTATTGGATTTGCCCGGCAAAAAGTCAGGTGTAGCAGCTCTTTGGTTTAAACAGGGACGAATTTCCAAAAAGTTGATAAAAGGTCAGAAAAATACATTTCTTTTTATACTGACAATGTCTTTCTCTAACATTCAAAAAGTCTGATTTCAGACTAAAGCCCGAAAACAAATCTCATGCCTGTTGTTATTTGTGTTTGGCGCCCTCACTGGCTCATGCACAAACGTCATGGGGCTTTCTATATGGAAAGAAACGAGAATGCGAACCTTTGGATTTTCGGCAGTGTGGTGATCCAGACCAGGAGGGGGATCAAGAAGGCAGCCGTCTTACCGCTACCGGTCTCCGCCACGCCGATGATGTCACGGTTCATCAAACCGATAGGAATGGCCTGTCTCTGGATGGGTGTGGGGTCCTGTGAGCGACAAGAAAATATGAAATGGTATATTTAACAATATGGAATTCATAGAATTATCACAACAGACTGAGCTAACTATAAATTTTTACTGAACGTAATTTAGACTTCAATATTTAAAAGAGTAACTTCATTCTCCAAGTAATTTATGATTCTAGGTGAGACACGAGGTTAAGGTTGTAGAACATCAAATTCTTTGCAAGATCGTAAGAAAGATAAAAGTAATTTTGACTTCAATATTTAAAACAGTAACTTCATTCTCCAAGTAATTCATGATTGTAGATGAGACACGAGGCAGCAACAGACATTTTTAAGGTTGTAGAACATCAAATTCTTTGCAAGATCGTAAGAAAGATAAGATAAGTAAGATGCAAGTTAAATGAGCCGTTAGGTTCCTGCAAAGTTGCAAGTTTGTGAAGAAGTCAGAAAGAATCCCAGCCCAACAAAAAAACAAGTGGATTTAGTTTTAATAAAGACTTGCTTAGCATGTAATGTAAACCGGTTAGCCTTGTAATGTTAACCAGCCTCGTACTGCTAACTGGCTTAACCCTAATTTCCAAGCATGATTTACTAGGAACCATACCCATCCTGGCAAATTCCAACACCATATGGGAAACTGCACACACATATTTCGGGAGGTGTGCCAACCCAATGTGAAAGACTGTCAGTTTAGGGGTACTGTACCCATCCTGACAGATTCCAACAAAACATGCTGTTGGGGTTTGATGGGTTGAGTTCTGTTAGGGTTAATAATACCTGGTAATATTAACTAGCTACCTTTTATAGTTGACCAGCTATTAACCTTGTAACACTAACTGGCTTACCGTGTAATTCAGACCCTGGATGACATCGTTGATATTTGACGGTATTCCTTCACACTCGGCCCAGGATCGCAGCGGGTTGGGGATGCGTCCTCCCTTGGTGCTGATGTTGTAGTCCTCTCGGAAGATGCGCCAATCTCTCTCGGTCATCTCGGGAAGTTTCTTGTCCTTCCAGTGCCGGTCGTCCCACTTCTGCTTCTGCTCCCTCTTGTCTTCTTTCTTCAATCTTGTTCTTTGAATTGAATTGAATGGATTCAGTATAATTAAACCAGTTTATTGCAAAGTTCAAGAAAGAAAAAGGATTTAAATGACTTTAGAATTAAAAGCGAAGTAACTACCAACTTTAACCCTGACGTACCTGAATCCATCAAAATCCACACCCCTGTTTTGGAGGATTTCGGCTGATTCAGGATACCTCCATATTGAACGAGTTGGGGGATTTTGATGGATTCAGGACAGTGAGCCATGCGGTACTGCAGGATTTTCATGGATTCAGGATACCTCCATAGTGAACAGTTGGGGGACTTTGATGGATTCAGGATCTCAACAGTTTAACTCCATGGCTATATGTTTGGTGTGTACGAGGTAAATGTACTACACTGCTGATTCTGATGGACTCACTGGTGGATTCTGATGGAATCTCGACGCCAACATTTTTTTGGCATGACAAAATTGGTGGATTCTGGCAGATTCAGGATACTTTCTAGTAAAAGTGCTCAAGGGGTAAGGGTTAAAGGAACAGCAGGAACACGAACATAATTCCTTGGAGATTAATCATTGGTGATCAATTACTGGAGTTTCTCAAAAGCATGGAACAGTTTCTTATTTCGGAGTGAACAATTCCGTGTTATATTCAATGCCTCCCCCCCCCCCACGCCTAATTCTTTCTAGTTTTTGAAAAGAAAAAAAAAAGAAGACAAAAATTTCAATGAATGTTAAAACTTTCAACTTACTTTTCTTGCTCTTTCTGTTTTCCAGACCGCCGTTTATCGAGGAGGTCGGAGTAGAATCGAGCCTCTTTCTTCTGTTGCTTGATGTCTATGCCTCCAATGTGGCCACGCCCGAATAACTGAGCCTCGTGTTTATCCTTATAGCTGAAAAAACAAAAAACAAAAAACAGATATGACGTTACACTCATGTCTATGGGAAGAGGCACACTCCATTTCCATTGGCATATGTGTATAGCAAGTAGCCAAATAATTTGGACACAGACTTACATCGGGTTGAAGTCTGTTGAGGTGTCTTCCCCCGCGTCCCAATCGAAGACAAATTTCCGGTCGTTGAGTCTCCGGATCCGTCGCTTCTTCTTGACAACTCCGAGGTAGCGATCCTGCGAAAAAAGGGGGGGGGGGAGAAGAAATAGTGCTGTAGTCCATTTTGATGTCATGGATCGCAAGTACATCGCAAGTCTAATCACAAGTCTAATCGCAAGTTGACTCACAACTCAAGTAAACTGTGGATGAATAATGACAAAGGAATGCCGTGGCCACAGCTCAATTGAATAAACTGTTGAGTTGAATTGGGACTGGAGGACTTGTGATGGACTTACGATTGATTTGTGATGACTAGTGATGGACTTATGATTGACTTCTGATGACTTGTCATGGAATTTGTGATGGAATTTGTGATGGACTTGTGATTGAATTGTGATTGGATTGTGATGGATATGTGATGGACTTGTGATGACTTGTGATGGACTTGTGATTGACTTGTGATTGACTTGTGATGACCTGTGATGACTTGTGATGGACTTGTGATGGACTTGCGATGGACTTGTGATGGACTTGTGATGGACTTGTGATGGACTTGTGATAACTTGTGATGGACTTGTGATGGACTTGTGATGTACTTGTGATAACTTGTGATGGACTTGTGATGACTTAAGATAACTTGTGATGACTTGTGATGACCTGTGATGACTTGTGATGACTTGTGATGACTTGTGATAACTTGTGATGGACTTGTGATGACTTGTGATAACTTGTGATGACTTGTGATGACCTGTGATGGACTTGTGATGGACTTGTGATAACTTGTGATGGACTTGTGATGGACTTGTGTTCGACTTGTGATGGACTTGTCACTGAATTATGATGGACTTGTGATGACTTGTGATAACCTGTGATGGGCTTGTGATGGAATTGTGATGGACTTGTGATCACCTGTGATGACTTGTGATAGACTTCTGATGGACCTGTGAGGATTTGTGATCGATCACAAGTCCCTCTACTTCAATAACCAACCAAGTTTTCTTCTTTTTTCCTCCCAGACTGACCTTGATGGCTTGTTTTTCCTTTTCCTCTTCTCTTTCTCGGTTCTTGGACGAGTCGTCGTCCCTTTCTCTCCGCTCTCGTCTCTCCCTTCGCTCCACCCGTTCCCGTTCCCATGGATCGCCTGTTGCCATGGCAATACAGCAAAATAACAACAAATCAAAGCAGGTTAGTTGATGAGAAAATCTGCTCATAATGCATCTCTTCTTCCATAAAATGCTTCTTAATTGTACGTTTGAAGACAATTTCGCACCGCTGAATCTGCTCACGTTCCCAAGATGTGTTACCATAGCATCCAAGCAAAATAAGGAGAAAAAAAACAGCAGCTAAGTGTATAAAAATAACTGCTCATAATGCATACGTGTTTCCTCCAATATAACATTTTTTTGATTGAGAGCTTTTTCATACATGCGTTTTTGAAGAATTTTTTTGAACCTCTCAAACTTCTGAAATATTCACTGACCGGCCAACTGTGAATTCTTCAAGAATTCCATCTGTTTCTTTCTCGCTTCGTCCTGGTCCTTTCGTTTGGCCTCCACTTCCTCTTTCCGCTTCTGGAGGGCCTGCTTGGCCCGCTCTTCCTTGGTCAGAAACTTTGGCTGCAAGACAGGAAAAAAATGCAACGAACAAGTCAGTATTTAAGCAAGATGCTAATATAGTGGTGTTAGGTGCCAAACTAAGTTATGTAAAAGAAAACAGACAAAAAGTGGTAAAATCGGGCATCAACATGGAATAGCATTAGTTACTTTTAGGACCCCTCTATATTTGGGTTTCCTCGATTTTTGAACTTACAAGGTGTTTGTCATTCCAATATTACATCTGCAGTCTCAGGCAGTCTTTTTTTTAGTTTTAGATTGGCACTGTATTTTTAAACATTTTGAACAGGGCTTGAGGATAAAATGTTACATTCTTAGCAGTTTTGGCAGTTGAAGATGTATGAAGCATAAAAATGGGTTTGTGTTCTCTTGTATAGGAACGGGGTCCTAAAAGCAATTAACGCCGAAAGTAACTAACACCCATGGAATATTATCTTCTGTGAAGAAATGTGGTTCTGAAAACAACCAGCGTTAAGATGTGTTTTCTCAGACAGTGTGCTCGGTCCGTCTTACCTTCGACAGAGCTTCTTGTTCGGCTGCTTTCTTCGCCAACATCTCTTCCAGGGAAATCGGTTGTTTCTTGTTAAGTTTTTCATCTTCTTCTTCTTCATCGTGTTTGTCTTTCTTCAGTCTGTTTGGAGGAAATGGTTTTTGTATCAAAATGCTACTCTTCTATCTGAATTCCCTGTAATATTTTGTGTGAACGCCACGTCTGATTTTATGAAATTTGTATCATAATTTCCTCAGGAGAAAAGTGATTCACACGCCCTCAAATCCAGGGTTAGTATTCTACACTCCAAACAAATTTTATATCAGAGGTTGCTAGAAATTTGAATTCATCGTACCTTTGCTTTTTATCATTAGGCGAACGCGATCGGTCGCGTCGCGATCGGTAGCGGTCCCTGTCGCGGTCTCTCTCTTTGTCGCGATCTCTCTCCTTGTCCCGATCCCTGTCACGGCTTTTCTTGTCGTCCCGCTGCCTGTCCCTGCGGTCGCGATCCCGGGACCGAGAACGAGATCTGAATAGAAAATAAAGCAAAACATCGAAATCAACCGCAAACCTCAGAGTGTACTACAACCAAGTAGACAAAAATCTCAGTTATACCATCCCTTAAACCAAGCCTAGCCCACCCCCAACGAAAAACCTCAAGAAGGAAAACCTGTAAATTTTTATACTTTTTGAGGGAAAGTGGACACAATAGGAGTGTGCAATTTGGTTTTGATAAAGTCTCGTGCATTTACCAAAATTTGCCGAAACTAAAAAGTACCTTCCAATAGTGTCTACCATTATCACAAAAGCTGAAAAGAACGTTGCAACCTGATGCCCCTCTTTTTTTCTTCATATATCGTCCTTTCTTCTTATATCATCTCAATAAAGGTCAGTCATCGTATGAATCTGGGACTGAGAAACATTTCCAATTTTTTTAGGAAATACTTACAAAATTTTCTTGACTCTCCATAGACTTTGTACACAACCGCTGAAGTGGCGTCTGGATATTACATTCTTTCCCAAAAGGTACTCTTTTTTTTTTAATTCAGAGCTTATGGGCTACGTGCGCCAACAAAAGAGGGCGCATTTTTTTACCACTTTTGAGAGCCCCTTGGACAGGACACTGCGTGTGCTGATTCGCGCGAGAAGTACACACTACTTATATATCCTGAATGTCCACAAAGCTAAGCCATACGGTCTTCGTGCGTGAGCATCAGGCGTAGTCCGCGCGCGAAAACGTTCGAATTTAACTTGCGATGGTCTCCCAGACTAATCCCTGCCCTGATAACTTTGAATCATTCGAAGTGGATGGACCGGGAACCAGTCTAGGTCTCCCCCAACTCTCCTTTTCTGGCCAATGAAGGAGTACTTGTGCACGGATCCCATTTTGATTACTTGAATGGTGAATTCTCGCTGTTTTCCCCTTCATGTTGGCTTGTCAATTCTCACCTTTTCCTGTCTCTGTCACGCCTGTCTAGTCTGTCGCGCTCATCCCGATGGTCCCTGTCCTTCCTGTCTTTGGACGACATATTGTCGAGGTGGACTATGACGTTAGTGTTGCATTTGCGTCACTGGTTGAATATGAATCTATAAAATGGAGGGCAAAAGATGAGACATCATAGATAGAATACAACCGTATGCAGTGGTAATGTAAAAAAGTGCCCAAAAAATGTGCGCCAGTGTTTGGACTAATCTCCTCAGTAGGTTGGAAAACCAGACGTGTGGCCGAACGTACAGCGCAGCAATACGGAGGCCACACAAGTGGGGCTACTAATAAAATATGACTGAGAAAAGACATAGGCCCACGTGCATGACATAGTCAGATATGATAATATCACACTAATAAAGATTTTGGTACTAAGTGAAATAACATTGATGATTTGACATTTTATACTAATTTTGAAATATTTGTGGAGACAATATATGCTGCCCTCTATTGTCGAAACAGTGTCAGTCATGTGATACACCGCGCTATAGCCGCATAAAAAAAACCCGCGCCCCATGGAGCAAAATTGTGACAAGCTAAACAAAACTGACCGACCTTGGCTTACAGTTTTAAGCTTAAAATATAACATGGCAAAATATGTTTAAAACAAGCAGACAATATAAAACTAAAGAAAACCGATAAAATTGTCTAATTCTACATGGTTTTTCTTAGCAAGTCTTCAAGGCAAGCCTACCTACCATTCTCCGCAACAAAACAAAAACGTTCTGGATGTGCAATAATAGCGCCCTCATTTGTTTACATGAAATTTTGCACGCGACAACTATTGAGGGCGCACTGTAATATTTCTGACAGCAATTTTGTGCTTGCTCTACAATTTACAAACGATTTTTAAAATGATAATATTGTGTTAAATCGAGTACCGTAGTTTTGATGGTGAGTGCAGACTTATTAAATGAAAGTCAGGCTTTTAATTCGTGATGATCATGACTTGTCAAGATGGTTTGATGACTGAGCCAGCAGAGATTTTTGTCTGGTAACCATGGTGACTTTTGGCTCTTTTCTTTTTCTTAGAAAAGAGGCCCCACCCCCTCAAAGGCTCAACCCCATTCCTGTCACCTGATTTACCCATACTTTAGGAAAGAACTTTGCATCCTGACGCCACTTTTATCATAGTATCTCAACGAAGGTCAGTCAATGCAAAACTGTGTTGGAAAGACATGAAAGTTCAAACATTTCCAATTTTGTTAGAAATACTTTGAAAATGAATTTAGTCTCAATACAATAGACTAAGTCTTTGTAGTTTGTACACATCTAAAGAAGTGCGTCAGGAAACTACATTCTTTCCATAATAGATAACAATTTCATTGGGCATAATTCCTGTTTTGTCTTTCAGTCTCATAACAGCCTGAATCAGTAAACATAGTCACAGTGGCGATGGGGTAAAAGATTGGCGACAACAATGACGGGCCGTGACTACAGAAGTTTTGTGTCACATTATCGGACTGGGCCAAGAGAAATTGGAAGGGCCTATGAATCAGGTAAAATTCGACTCTGATAAAAATATGGCAGGTTTCCATTTATAATGTTTCTTCCATCTTTCATGCTTTCTAATTTATTGGTGTTTTCTTTATGTTTGTCGAGGGCCAATGCTGACTTTCCAACTTGAATTGATTGATACTCAACTATCTGGTGACAATTTACGCTTCTGCCTTTTTTTCTCAGATAAGCTTCTCATTCGGATGACCGAGGGCTTAGGAAGCAGCAGGTACACAACGCCCGACTATGAGAAACTAAAATCCCAGGCCTTGGAGAAGAAAATCACCGGAAATCGCTCGCTCATCAAGGTCAATCGCCTGGCTGCTATCTCCAAAGCCAGCCAAGAGAAGAGCCTCTTGAAGCAACATGGGATGGTGTGGCAGCGGGAACTCGGGCGGCTGGACGCACAACGCAAAAGAGCGGAGAGCGAACAGGACTCGTTCTTTCTCAGCGGCACGTCAGAGCAGTCGGAGATTGCCATGTTTATGCTGGAGGCTGAGGATTATCAGCTTCAACTAGACGCGGAGAGGAAAGCTTTCAAAGGAGCCACCGCTGACCCCATCTGGACCTTGCGGGAAGACCTTCAGGCTTGGTTGACGGAGAACTCACCCCAGTTTCATCCTGGATCGCCAAGACGTGAGGAGATTGTGGCACAGCACGCCCAAGTCTCTGAAACAATCGACTCGGTCAAAGAGCAACAGCAGAGCCTCTTAGTCAAACTGGACCATGAACAGAAGGCCTTGGAGCAGGACCTACAGTCGAATTATCTCCGGGGTCTCTTTGCTGGAGCGGAGAAGTGGGTGGTAGAAGGCGTGCCCGCTGAGGCTCAGATCCTCATCTGCCCCGATGTTGAACTCCGAGACTCGGTTCTGGTTGAGTTTGAAATCCTGGACCAGAGATACTTGGCACGGCTTAGGGAACTTGACAAGCTGCATTCTGATGTGCTGAGGTAATCCTGCAAAATCATTCCAGAGAATCAGGCTGTTTTTTTTACGGATCTGGGATGGTTAGTCAAGATTACTGGTACTGAAAAAAATTGGAAGACTATCAACATAGGGCCATCAGGCCTGGTTGAAAGAGCACAGGTATGGTGTTCCATAGGTTAGAGGTTCAAATCCTGTACTATCCATTTATTTTATATGCAAACGTATATGGCTTGTTTGTTCCCCAGGTCAGACACCGGTGGCTGGGATGCAGGGGACCACTTTGCCTTCCAGGCGATAGTTGATCAGTACCCCCACGATCTGACCAATCGGAGAGCTCTGTATATCGACAGGTTGCGAAGACAGCTGCCTCACAAGACAAGATCAGACACAGTGAGCAATTGGCAAATTTTGCAACTTTAAAGTAAACCGCATTGCAAACTGGTGGTTTTTTTTCTATTGTGAACTGCTCATATTCCGATTCCGTTTCACAGGTGTCCCACGAAGACTGGTCCCTGCGCCACCGTTTCTACATCGAACACCGTCGCACCTTGATCAACTGCTGGGCGCGGGACAAGCAGGAGTTGTACGACAAGGCCGTCGCTGTCTTCGCCGACGCATGCCTGGCCGAGGAACTGCAGCAGGCTGCGGCGATTAACAGGCAGAGACAGGATGAAATCTGCAGCCAGCTGGGACAGAAGGTACGACGGCCGAAGACCCAATCAAATCTTTGCCATCAATAGTAACTACAGATTCTTTGGTGCAGGGTTCATCTTCTTATTTGTAGACTGCAGTTAGAACCCCCCAAAAAGGAAGGCACAATTTTTAAAAAGCAATAAAGCTGAACACAGTCATGCAACTTTTCCTAGGATTTGCTGATTTCTTCATTTTAGTGTTTCTTCATTTTTTTCTAAATTCCCTGGAATTTGAAATTCCTAATTCTCTGAAAATTGACTGGAGTGGGGTTTGAACCTGCAAAACCCCGATTGCTGTTCCGGTGCTCTACTGACTGAGCTATCCAGCCTTACGTTGGTGGTTCTATTTTGTCAATGTCTAACTGTTTGATTTGTATTGCAACTTGAGTCTCATTTTGCATTTTGGGAATACGACTAGCTGGGAAGTGCATTTGCCAGTTGTAGAGTGAACATACTGAGAGTAATTTTTCTGGCGGTTGTCGAAGGTTCGTCGATGGAGAGAACAGAAAGCTGAAGCCATGAGGCTTGAGGACGACCTAGCATCTCAGCGGCGGCATCATTTTGAAGAGCAGAGAGCCAAGGAGCAGGAAATGGATAAGAAGAGGAGGGCCGTGGACAAACAAAAGGTAGGGCAAAGGGTGTATATGTACGCACCATAGAGGGCGCCATTTGATTGCTCAACAGAGCTAAGTGAGGCATTGTTCATCGTATGCCTTGCAATTTAAATCCAATCGTACTTGGGATGCCTTTCAATGAGTTCCCTGTGCTGTCATCTCTTATTTTGCCAAGGTGGAAACGTACCGTCATAAACTGAGGAAGGAGCAAGAGGCGAGGGAAGAGGAAAACATGAGACGGTTGGCGGAGATCAAAGAAGCCATGGAACTACAGGCTGAGACGGACCGAGAAAGGTAGTTAGACCGAGTCCAAATTACTCGGCTGCGGCTGCCGGTAACACGCATAGGTACATGTGCATTTGCAAGCCGTAGCGAAATAATTTGGAAGCGGCTTAAGTAAAGCTAGTCACTGAATGTGTGCATGAACCAATGAGATTGCTATTGCACTTGCTTCTGAATAGAAGGTGTTTCTTGGGAACTGAGGGTACAGGCGAACATGCAAGTCTACTTTGAAAAATGCAGTGTGCTTGTTTACTGGTGAAAAATGATGTTAGGCAATCTTTACAAATTGACAAGTTTTTCAAAGATGCAACGTACATACAGCAAGATTTGTGCCACTTAACGGCAGCTTTTCTGTGTTCTGAATTTGTGAAATTGCAAAAATGGGGATTTTTTTTTTTTGATTTTTTTTTGTTAGAGTAAGCTACCGAGAAGCACTACTTGGAGAACGCAAAGAGCGATACAGGGAGGAGAAACGCAAGGAAGCCGAGAACGAAATGGAGCGAGAACGGAGACTGGACGCACTGAGGCAAATGGTAACGATGGCTCTTTCTTGCACCTAAAATGAACTTACAAAATTTTTGAGCTTGAGCTGTTTAATCATAGGACTCCTGTTTATGTCTTGCAGGTTGAAGTGCATGTTGAGCATGATCCACAGCGCGTCTTCCAAGCAACCAAGGTACGGTATTTTGTACTCCTATATGATCCCCTGTGTAGTCTGTGCATGGCTTCCCACCCCTACCCACCCCACCCCACCCCTCCCCACCCCACCCCACCCCTCCCCGCCCCACCCCCACCCGCAGCATAAAATTAAAAAAAAAAAAGATGTATATGTGGGACGAGAGATGCATTGCCCAGTTGGCCTTCTGCGATGGTTCAAGCGTTCCTAGCATCGATAAAACTGGGGCACTACTTCTATAAAAAAAAAGTCAGGCGAGGGCAAGCAGAGCCAAAAAAATGCAAGTAACATTGCCCACACTACGTATACCATTTCTGAACCATCAGAACCTTGCCCGTGATGGTGTCTTCCTCTCCAACAAGTGCGTGCATGCAACATATCCTTTCTTGGCTCTAATTAGTAAACCACGTAGCACTGCACATTTTTTTGTTTTACAGAGTTCAAATCAAACCACAAGGCAATACATCCATTTAAAACTCTGTTCTCCTCTCAGAACCCTACCCTTTTCCCTAGTTAACTTTGGCGAAACAATCCTTCCAAATTTTTATAATGAATGCATTCTTTACGCTGTTGATCCCTGTCAGGCCTATAATGCCCATCTCGGCATCGGAGTAGACGAAGACGTCAACATACAGAAACCGCTGTTTGACGCCAGAGGATTCACCAATGAACAGGTATAAAAGCCAGTTTCATTTCGAACTGGCAAATATTTGCTCGTAGTTAGGGCAAGTCTGAAACCTGAACATGCATTGTGTTCCTTTCGGAATCGAACACTCCAAAAGGGTGCTCCTGGCTGAGAATTCCAAACAATTCAATTTTAGAGTTGCTTCTGAAGTGGAGGTAAGATTGCACCCTATACTATAGTGTTGTGTGCGTGGCAAAAAGGCGTATGCACTTACGACCTGACGTGCGAACGCGTAATCACCAAAATTCTCCAGCAAAAGGGCATATGCAGAAAACTGCTAATGAAATTTAAACATTTTCCTCGGAAATTAATACTAGTTGTTCAAAGAATTATGATTCATACGTGTGACAAATTTGAAATTTGCACGATTTATGTTACGCGTTGGAGAACATTGGATTCATAATACGCGAAGGGGAACATTGGAGCCTTACAATGCAATTTTTTTGAAGTGATTTTTCGCGTCAGATTGCTCATATGCCCTTCTGCAGGGCCCCCGACGATAGATCGAAAACACATCCTACAAGTTAGTGTAGACTAGTGTAGAGTCAAAAAGCAAATCCCTCAGTGGAAGTTTTGAACTGAGCCATGAGGTTTACTTGTTTTCTGGGATAGGGCAGTGGGTCTTTGATCAAAGGAGCTGAACCGATTTTTCTCCTCTCTTTGTTCAAGGTGTTGTCAGACCCGCGATTCAAGCTGGAGCAAGCGTTGCGCAAAGCCGGCCTGCATGCCAATCCTTACGCTAGAGCCATGCTGGGCGACACCAAGCCCCTGAAACCGCCGAGAAGGGATCAGGAATCGACGGTCTTCAAAGATATCAAACAAACTTGAAGGAAGAGTGAAAAATGACCATGCCAGCTGCAGAACAGTGCAACAATGGGCCATCAACACCAGTGCTTAAACGGCCAATTCGGAGACAATGGGAGCTAGTCCCATTGAACAATGCCACAGTTGTATCCTGCTGCAGTTGGCGACCACAGACTCGGACGCAGTTTGGTCTTGGGATTTTTTAACCTGTTGGAACTTGTTACATTGGGCAGGTTTTCTCACTTTTAACAAGTGTTGCATGTCGTTTCCGCATTTGGTAGGGTTTTTAGGCAACATCCCTTGTAGAGTTCGGCATAACTGTACAGATTTCGTCCAAAATTTATTTACATCCGTGGCATTAAGAAAATTAAAAGATGGTGTAAGAAAATTGTTTTTGAAAAATGTACATAATTGTGTTTATAAATGTATACAGTGTAGCGTTCATGAGCAACGTTTAGCAGTAATATTGTACTGTAAGCTAGAAAGGCTTCCAAACAAAATTTCATATTTTAGTTTTTTTTTTCAGGCAAATTCATTCCACATAAAAATTGATTTTGGCCATCCAGGTAATGTTTAACTAGTGCCCATGATTATTCTAATTCTACCTCTGCAATTTGTTTATTTTATCAAATAATATACATACATCAGGTTTTTGGTATCAATACGACATTTCATTTACCTTAAATGCACTAAATTAGTCTACAACATTCCTTAGCCCTACAGATAAAAGAAGTGAATATTTATCCTTCTGGTCAAGTCGGCGTTTACTCAGGAACAGGACAGCCTCCATGGTATCTGTAGGAAGGCGAAAAGAAAATTCTATAGCTTTTTTACATTTTGACAAATTTGTCACAAAATATGCATGTATATTGACGAAATATAATGCATGTTCAATCTAACGATGTTGGGACATCGACAACAGAAAAGAAAGGCAGTGGATATTTTGCCGTCACCGAACCAGGAATCTTTCTATCCACAGCTTATCTCGATATCAACTGTGGCAGCTAGATGACAGCCGTTTCTTTAAATTAGTTGACTAAGTGATAACAATAGCATGACATCATTTTCTTTTCTCATGAATAAACATAACTTTCCCATCAAAATAGCCAATCACAGCGCACCGACGGCAAAATAGCGTTAGGAGGTATATTGCCGGTCTAGGCAAAATATCCACTGTCAAAAAGAAAAGGGAAAAGTAACATCATTTTTTTAAAGCTTCCAGCCTGAATTCTTCCCATTTAAAATTCAATGTAAATAGTGGAAAATCATGAAATAAAAAAAAGATACAACGGAACACAATGAATGCATTTCTCTCCATTTAAATAACTGCTCAATCTACCTCTTTAAGACTTCACAAACACCCCGCCCCTGAACTCCGTTGACCGTAAATCGACTCAATCCTTCCCGTATTTTCACGCTCCAGTCGCTGTCCATGTTGAAATACATGACGTCATCGATTTGAACCTCCATATTAAGTTTCTCTCCAACTATAACATAAAAAAAGAAATTGAAAGTTCGCTCCATTTTTCATATTTAGCTTTCCTGAAATACCACTAAGTCTTTACCCAGTAACATAATGTCCTTTACCAAAACAATATTCATACCAAATGCCCAGCATTTTTTTCCCGCCAAAAATCCCCCATAGATTGGCACATGGCAAACGTACCTTCTGGTTGCATGCTCAAAGCGAATCTCATTGGTGGATCTTCCGTCTTTTCCATCAAATCAGCCAATGGGAGATCGACAGACACGGCTGGGATAACCTCTCCCGTCGGCTGCATCACAAAGCCAGACATCAAACTGAAACAAAAACAAGGCAGACGTTGTCCAAGTTGCAATCGTATTCATAACAACATCAATTGTGGTTCCTAAAATGTCATTTATTGATATAAAAAGGTGTTTTTCCGGATAAATGTTACTTTTATTTCTTACTTTGAAGCGACGCCGGGAAAGCAAAACGCTCCCACGTGCAGACATATCCCGTTCTAGTGTTGTTGGAAAAAAAAATAAACGAGAATAAACACGTTGTTTCAAGTTAACCACATGACGTTGGCCCCTTAATTCAGTTTTACTACATCTCATAAATATTCATGATCAAATTGGAGCGCGTCATTGGCCGATTCCGCCGCGCGTCCGGGAACTAAAAAAATACGTGTACCATCATCTTTGGAAAAATTACGTTCTTCTTAATTTAGCTGGCATTGTTCGTCCATAACGACAACACAGAATAGCGATCATTATAGAATACTGCACAGTGTACCGAGTTTTCAACAAACTTACACAACATTTTATAGGGTAAAAGTAACGCAACGCACGCGCTTTGTCATGAGTAACTTTCAAATTAGCTTAATCTCGATAGGAATAAGTATGAAAAGGAAAGTACGCACGTCGAGAACGATGAAATTCAAGACGTAACTGTGCATGTCCGCCCACCGTCGAGGACCTGAAAATCGAATATTAAAGAAAATGTGTCATGTCTAAAACACTTTCAGGAAATAAAAAGGCGAAGACAAATTTACAAATCAAAGGGCAGGAGAAATAAAGTAATGATCTGACTACGCGAAAGAAGTGATTCCAGTTCAGTAACCATCGTGGATATCATGATTTCAAGGAAAAGGAAAGACAAGACGCATCTAACGAATGTCCACCCTGATTAGCCCCAAATTCAAGGTCCAAATAAAATGACCGAAATCCTATAAATTTTTGATGGACGACTTTTTTTCGGAAGGCTGTGGACTTAACAAATCGGCAATTACGGGCGATCCTACCTTGTGACCGGTCTTTGACCCCCGTCAAGATCAGCTTTCGCTCCTCCTCTTCACCGATCCGTACCACGCCCTCTAGCGTTCCAAACTGCTCAAAGTGAAGCTGCCTCATACTAAAATGAGCGGGCCGGAAAAAAGGAAGGCATGCAACTGATTTTCTTTAAAAGTAATAATATTGGGGTGCGGCATTCGAGATGTTTTTTGCGAAGTGCATGTTTAAACAAACATTTGCAAAAACAAACTTGTAACACTGCTAAGAAATGGCAGTCGATGGGGGCGGGGCAAGGGCTGGGCACACGCAGATTTTCAGAAGCCCCTCCTTTAAATCGAATCGTCCCACCCAGGAAGGGTTATCTCTGCCTAGTAATATGCATTTTGTTTTTAATTAGCAGTGTATTCATTGAACACTAAACATCTGTTTATAAAAGAGGTAGATTTTTTTACATTTCTCGTTTTGGTTCATATAATTACAATGTATCAGGCCCATACAAATTCTGTGAATGTATTTTATTCAGTTTAGAGTTTTTAGGTTTATAAAAAAACATCAGCGTACGATTTGAGTTTTTGGAGGAGTTCCCCCGTCCATTTTTCCTTGGCGAGGTTGTAGGCTGCTAATCGCGGATGAATGTCCGTAGTGAAATCATAGTAGGATGTTACCGCTGACCATCTACAGAAAACAAATCACAAGGAATATTGATACTTCTCTGTTTATTACTCGGTGATACACTGGGCGTGACCTAACAGAAAAAGAGGCGGGGTCAGCCGGGAAGCGAGACATATGGGAGTGGCCATAACGTTTTTTGGGGGACGTGACTCCCAAATACGTGCGCGCACGGTCGAAGTACATAAAACGGAATCAGAAAAGTGTCATCTTGACACATGATGTCAAAAATGACATCTGTTACACTTAATATTGACCTTTTGCTTCCAAATACTGTGACATCATCAAACTGGAAGTTAGCTGTTGTTATTACATACACTTAATTTGCATATTTCCATGCGTTATTTTTACTTAATGATAAACAAGTGTCCTCCCTTCCCTGTTTGACTGATGACGCCTTCAAACCAGAAATAACTTGTACACGTACCCAACTGTTTACTAAAATTTATCACACCTTAAAAGACGCATTCTTTTTGTACAAAATAATTGGTACTGGAAATGTTGAAGTTCTTGGTCCTTTTTTTCTGACATAAACATATTCATAACTTAATTGGACAATGTCCAGTGAAATGGTTGTCTACCCGACCACTCTGCGTTTGTAACAACAAACGCGAACCTCTAGTCATTTAATTGCAACTATACCATAAATGACAATTAAAAGTCACAGCAAATTGATTGGCGACATGGGTATTTCGACTATACTACATAAAAGGCAATGACATCGCCCAGCTTACGTGAATACGCAGTGAACATTAACATCCGGCCTGCTGTCATTCTCTTCCCAGTCGCGTCTGATTCCAAGCCTGAAACAAAACCACATTATCATTAGTTCATTGGATACTGTATTCGGTCCATGCACAGCCAGCTGTGGGCGCTATTTAATACTAAGTCGTCTTGCTAATTCTCGCACGGTGCTGTTTTGGGGAAGAAAATGACTCACTGTCGCACTAGTTTGTAAATCTGTGCCTAAAATACTTCTCCCTGAATCTAATCATACTTCCAGGCAAAATAACTATATTCCCAAGGGGTAGTGATTACCGGCAAGTTCCTTTGTAGACGACCCTCCATTTCTTCAAGGGTTCAATGACCGTGATGTCAAGCCCTCCCCCGCTGAACCCTTGCCCCAAAACACCGTCCACCACGCAGTGGGGGTGTCGAGGGAGCACCAGATCCCCCAGGCCCGGTAGACGGAGGAGGAACCACACATCACGGCGGCCGTCCGGCCTGATAGCCACCCGTGCGATCAGGCGTGTTGCACCCGTCTGGTCCGAACCGTTCACGTAGAACGAGTTGTGACCCTGTTCGGGGGAATTGGGAGTATTTTCTTTTAAAAAGTTGTACTTCCTTGTGTTAGTCACTATTTAGCAAGCTTAGGAGTGGGAATAAATTTGTTCTGGTTAGTATTTTCCCTGAAAGGAAAACACGACCTTAACCTCCGATAGGTCTACATGAACTTGATTATAACAATCACTGTGCATTGAAGTGCTACATCGACCGTAAATTCTGCTGAGAAGAGTTTAGACTTGACTCAGCAAGCTTTTGATTACTCGACTCGAAACAACCCTTTTCATGTGAATTAGTAATGATTGTAAATGATGAAATAAGTCAAAAGTGAAGTTGAACAGAATGTTGCAGTAGGCCTACTTTAAAATTGCCTTGAAATATCGTTCCCAAATCGGATTCCTTCTTTCGTAAGTTAAGTGCTACCTCAATGATAAACAAGTCTACGAGGTTGGATTTAGTTCACCATCTGGGTATTTTATGCCAACATCCGGGGTCCATCCAGAATCGAATACACCAATCACCGCCCTTCATTTCGACTTGTCGTAAAAGGGGGTGGAGCAACAAGTTTCCAAACGGGAAATGCCTACTTTATGCGCACCGATGTCATGTCAAAAACACAAACACGAGGACATTTGTTTTAACTCAAAAAATTTTGACTTACATACGGATCGTCACCTATCCCCATGTAGACGTCAAGTTGAGATAGTTTTTCTTCTCCTTTTCTCATCTCGTCCGGGTCAACCGATCTTTTCCCCGCGTGAGGGGCACGGCGCCGCGCTAACGTCAGCATCAATTTCACGGCGTGATACTTGAGCGAGAACCACCTGCCGGGCACGGCGTAGATACCGTACAGCGGCGCGCTGTCCGGTACGGTGAGGTTCACCGCGATGTAGACCAGAATCGGCACCGCGAGAAAACAAAATATGAGAGATATCACATCCATGGCGACACAAATTGTGTTCGACTTCAAGTTGACACTTGTTTCACCGTACGGAAGATCGACAAAAGTCGACCACAGCAAGCTAGCTCAGACAACGTATGACGATTGACGCCTACACCAGCCCGTATGCGAAATACTGTCTGTATTCCTAGCTTTAGTTCTGTGGGTGTTATAATAGGGTTTATTGCACCCCTCCAGCAAATCGCAGGGTCAACGTACAGAACCTGTCGCGGTCATTTAACCCGCTCAGATTTTATTTCACATACTTTTTCCTTTCTTTGTCCCGTTTCTCAAAGCACTGGCTTAAAGCAACAATAAATCGACCTCATGAATAAACATGGTATTTGATCGCACCAACAGAAAGAATTCGCGGCACTGTGGGTTGTACTCAATTTGAAATCATCCAACAATACATAAAAGCATCTATTTTATTACAAAGATATGAGTGTTGCGGTTATCTTTTTGGTTATTTGAACAAACATTACAACCATTTCCAAATGGATAATTCACAGACGAGTTTACAGTAACTGTCTATACTGTATTTACACAAAGACCAAAGGTTACTGTGTGATAGCCATCAGATGAGTTTCAAAGTTTATAGTCCCAAATAAATTTGCACTTCATTGTCTATGACATCATGAGTTTTGCTCGCTCTTGCGCATCGTGAACAGGGCTGACAAAACACGAGTATAGCCACAAACATGCATGCGACTTTGCATTCACAGATGCAAGTTCTCTTCACACATTATACACTGCATTCAATTCACTTCACGATATGTTCTCTTTGTTCGATCTTGGCCTCAAAATGTCAAAATTACCGTAATAAAGGCAACATTGCGAAGCGGATGTACGTGTGAAATGCTTTTCACCTTGACATTTTCAAGCTATCAGCACTACTACTTAGTACTACTAGTAACACTGAGCTATAGTGTTGTTATGATGTGGGTATATGCCTTGAGGCAGCGCGGGCTTTATAGCTTCATGCTTTCATGAAGGCCGCCATGTATTTACTAGTAGCTATAAAAAAGGTGATAGTTCCATACCAAGGCTTTCGCTCAGAACTTGAATTTCAAGTTAACCTCCAAAGTGAGGGCAATGGTGCTCTCTTTTGTGGGGAGGATTAAACAAACCTCATCAATGGCCTACAGTGACTTAGCACTGAGAGCCTCGCTTTGGATGCTTGAGATTCGACTATGAAGGTCTATTATTAGTGAGCTAATTATTTTTCACTGATCTGGCGGTATGTGCACAAAATATTTGTATGCATGAATATAGATACCGAATACGTACATTATACGGTATGGAATAAAACACAAGATCCGAACGTACGACGAAGTACAACAAAATCAACCAGTAAACATAAATAATCCTTATACACTGGCGGATCTACAGGGGTGGGGGTCGGCGTTCATCGGCTCATGCACAAAATATAGCGTGTCTGCTATAACACTCCCTTCACCCTTTACAGCTAACCCCTTGATTCAAAGTTCGATACGCCCCTGGCCCTGGGCATGTACATGTACAAGGAAGGGTTGACATTGCGTGTGAACTTCAGTAATCCATGGGTCCACACAAAGGATATATTCGCAACGTACGTGCGGATTTACAATCGCCCGTACAGAAAGCGGGGGAAAAAAGGGTACATGTACCTAAAAGGGTACCTATTCGCTGCGACCGAGTTCACATCTACCCCAAAGAACCAAAGATGAAGACTTCAAAATAAGAGGAATTATTTCACACTTGAGATAGCGTCAACGCGATTACACGTGCGCGTTAATATAAGGGCTCACCAGAAATCCATGCATAAAATAGTAACACTGAACTTTTTTGATAAAAAAAAATCAACAGGAAATCCGCAAAGAGATTTACCACCCTTGTTGTGGACACTGAAAAAAATTGGCTTCACTTGACAATTACGATAGAAAGACATATACTGCGCACCAAAACTAGTCGTTACGTAAGAACCCATTTACGGATCCGAATAGTCTGATTCTTGCAAGTACAGCCTCACTTTCGATGAACCGTGCAAAGCGCCCGCATTATACGTGGAAAATACATTTTTCTACCTGCCTGAACTTAAAGTGACCGTAATGATTTATTCAGGAATTAAGTTATTTATGTGCAGCACGTTGTAAAACTGACATATATTTAATTTGACTTGGTCTCTTAAAGTTGGTATATACGGGCTTTTTCAAAATTTTGATTTTCTTTTCCGAACGAAACTTAAAGGAATGTAATGTCCTGTATGTAACACATAAACTTGCTTGTTTGTTTTTGCAGGCCTTTATACAGTTTTGAAAACTGGTTTTAAATGGCGCACTCCAGTCCAGAAATTGCGCACACTGCTCAGAACGAATTAGGAGCGTCCCGCTCTTAATTCAAAAGTTGAAATTAATTAATTGATTGCTTGTCGTGGGCCGATTTTGCGTGCGATATCTCGTAGAAAAGCTCGTAACTAATGTAATGGTAGAGAATTATCAATTCAATTTGAAAATCTAGTTTTCAAGGTGCCACACCCAAAAAGCACGTATACACCAACTTTAACCAACACCATTGACTTAGGGTCGTTAATGGCAAAGCATTATGAAGTACTGTTGCTAAAATTATTCCAAATGGCTAAAACATTAAAACATACGCTTAATGACTACAAAGGAATTAACATCGTACAATGGCGTCTGAAGCAGACTGGTAAACTGCTGTTTCACAGAAACAGGTGCAAGTTAAGACACTATGAAGCACAATAAAAACAAATGTTTTGTGCATAAATTTAACCTTAATCACAACTAAACATTAATTTTTAAAACGTGAAGGATTAAAAATATTTTCCACCTCACCCTCCTCGTTTTAGTAAAATATCAACTGCATTATGTGTTTACTACGATATTATAATTCAATACATTAAAATAAACTCTTAGCACGTACACGTATATATTACTACTCATATATTCATATATTCATATTTAAATTTAAGTGTTACATATTCATAAATATTGAAGTGTGCAGCGATCATAATAGTTGATGAATTTGTAAGGTTGTGATGAGATAGATGTTTGTTTCAGAATTCCTATAAATTGCTTGGCAACAGCGCCTATGCAACAGCGCCCTCCAGTGGCCCTTGGCAGTGCTCCAACTTTGTGTATATATTATTGAAACTTGAAATTAATATTTGTAATTGCAACTTGCAATTTTATAATTACTTTACATTTTTTTTATTTATATAGTATACATTATTATTTTAAATTCAAGTATTTGCATAATATTCCATGCATTGTAAATGTAATTCTTTTAAAAGGCAGTTTTTATTGTGATATTGTAGGCAGCCAGCGCAGGCTTTTTTTTTGCGATTTTTTTTTTTGCATACATGCACAGTAACAATGCATATTTATACATATACATGTATGCACATCAGATCTGTTTATAGAAAAATCTGCAAATCAGATATGATATAGGCCATTCAGGAATTGTCCCGAGTAATATAAGACGCTTTGGTCGAGCAGCAGATTTAAAATAAAAACCTATATTCTGTACACATGCAAATATTCAAACTTCTAAATACCCTGATATACAGGCTCATATAAATATTAATTACACTACATACAACCATATTCACATACTTTATACAAATAAAAATACATGTGCATACATTCAACTTAGGCCCCAAAAAATAAATAATCGGTCTCTGTTCAGACCGAAGTTCCAGAATTGATGCGGCGACGCGGTATTATTATTTTTTTTTAGTGGCTTTTTTTTTTTTCAAGCTTGAATTGTACAGACAAGGTGGGTACTATTTTGCATTTTTGTGTCCTCATTATACATTGGTGTCCTCCATCATTTGCCTTGGTGCCCTTTATCATTTGCCTTGGTGCAATTTCCCCATTCCTTGGTGCTCCATGGTACAAAAATTTGAGGAGGTGCGGCAATAGAGGGCGGTGTTGTAGCTTCCGTGTTAATTTGAAAAAAAAAAGAAAGGTTGACGCCCATGATTAAAATCGACGCGCGCGTTGACCAGAGACTGATTACTTTTTTTTTTGGCCTTATATCGATATTTTGAAATATGGAAAGCACTACATGAACCTGCAATGTATGAAGTATTACATTCAGTGGCGTACTGTGTAAGTACTTGAAAGTGGAGAATTGGTCCTCTTCTGTGAGTGAAACGTGCACAAATTTAATTGAATCCCGTCCCTTTTTTTCTTGGAAGAGTTATTTCAAGGTGGATTTGGGGGCGGGGCTAGGGATGTGGCCTCTTCACTTTATGCATAAATTGGTGAATCCCATGTCAGACCAATGGGTCAGGGGGCGGGGCTAGGGTGTGGCCTCTCTAATTTATGCATAAATTGGTGACAGTAGAACTGGCAAATCCCATGTCAGACCAATGGGTCAGGGGGCGGGGCTAGGGGTGTGGCCTCTCTAATTTATGCATAAATTGGTGACAGTTGAACTGGTCAATCCCATGTCAGACCAAAGGGTTTTCAAGCCAACTTTGGATAAAAATAAAACAAAAAAATTTATAAAGCATACCTTTGTGAAGTATTAATGGAAAACAAGTTTGGACATTCAACTCGAAATGGTTTGCAGGAGCTTTTTTTCCAGTCATGACGAGGTTTTGGTGTAGAATGATCAAGATATAGTTATGGAGCATGGGGCTCATCACCCTCCCAAATTTAACCAAGTCCGTATTTGAAACCCCCCTCCAAATATTCAGCTCGCAGGAAATGTTTAGTCTGGCCACAGTCCTTGTAAAGTGAAGTAACTACTGCCCCCCCCTTCATCATTGGCTCCGCCCATGAGATTCACAAGCCTGGTTGAGTTGACAGCGCCTGTAGGAATTGCAGTAGCGCATCTTTGCTTCGATAGGCGATCAACCCTCCGGCATTGGCCCACTCCTGTCCCGGGTCGTTACTACTGCTTGCGTCGCGCCGATGATAACGCAGCTCGGCCGGTCCCAAATCCAGTCCAGCTGGATTTGAGCTGCTACCCGGTTCCCCGCTATGCTGCGCGCGATAGACTTGCAGCGCGGACTTGAGATCGATAACGCCCCCTCCCATGGATTTTAGTATCGCGTGGGGACCACAGGTGTCCCATTTGAACGTGCTGCCCACCGATAGGACGTACGCGTCCACGCAACGCTCGATCGCGCAGAGGATTTTGTAGCCCGCGCCGCTGGCGTATCGGATCTTACCGGAGGTGAGTTGGGAGAGCGTGGCTCTGATGTCGTCGTTCTCGCTGCGACTCATTATGACGGACAGGCCCTGGGTGGATGGACGGTCGTTGGGGGTCAGGGTGAGGGAGTTGGCTCGGAGGTTGCCGTGACTGATGCCCCAGATGTGACGCCCCTGCCACCTGCAAGAACAAGAGAAGCACCTGTCAAGCAATCAGTGAAGACTGACAAATGGGATCTTGGCTTCGTGTGAATAGATTGTGACTTGAATCGGGACTGAATGACTTGTGAGGACTTGTGAGGACTTGTGAGGATTTGTGAGGACTTGTGAGGACTTGCGAGGAATTGTGAGGACGTGTGAGGACTTGTGAGGACTTGTGAGGACTTGTGAGGACTTGTGAGGACTTGTAATGGACTTGTGAGGACTTGTGTGGACTTGTGAGGACTTGTGAGGACTTGTGAGGACTTGTGTGGACTTGTGAGGACTTGTGCGGACTTGTGAGGACTTGTGAGGACTTGTGTGGACTTGTGAGGACTTGTGTGGACTTGTGAGGACTTGTGAGGACTTGTGAGGACTTGTGAGGACTTGTGAGGACTTGTGAGGACTTGTGAGGACTTGTGTTGACTTGTGAGGACTTGTGAGGACGTGTGAGGACTTGTGAGGACTTGTGAGGACTTGTGATGGACTTGTGAGGACTTGTGAGGACTTGTGAGGACTTGTGAGGACTTGTGAGGACTTGTGTGGACTTGTGAGGACTTGTGAGGACTTGTGAGGACTTGTGAGGACTTGTGAGGACTTGTGAGGACTTGTGAGGACTTGTGATGGACTTGTGAGGACTTGTGAGGAATTGTGAGAACTTGTGAGAAATTGTGAGGACTTGTGAGAACTTGAGAGGACTTGTGGGAACTTGTGAGGACTTGTATGACCTGTGGGGACATGTGAGGACTTGTGAGGACATGTGGGGACTTGTGGGGACTTGTGAGGACATGTGATGGACTTATGGGCACTTGTGACAGACTTGACTACAACACTTATCACAACCCACCGATTACTGTCATCAGTTTTACAGAACGGCTGGTTTATAACTCCCATCACCGGTTCCCCGCTCTGCCTGTTGAACGCCCCAATAAGTATGATTGCACATTGTAGTCCCTCCTCATGGATACCGTCCGTCGGTAACTCGTCACTCAAGCCTTTGATATACTGCGCTGTCCCATCTGAAACAAGAATGAAATGATAGTGAGTGAATACAGAATTGCACTTCGCGTTTCGTTATGCCTGGAATATTTCGGAATCCTTGCACTTTCTTCGTACTTCAATTCTCAAGTTGCATCAAGACCAATATAAATAACAGTGGCTGGGGTCAGTGTTCCTCAAAACTTTCCAAAACCTCCAAGTGATTTTTAAACGATCTTGGCGGGATAGGATTAAGTAACATCCATCCAAATTTTCCAAAGTTCAGCTGTGTCTACTCTCCACTAATCAATCAATCAAATTTCTCAAAAACAAATCTCACCAATTGGGTCAATCCAGATACCCAGCGAATCAACATCCAGCTCTGTATTCACACCGTCCAATCCCGGATCAGTTGGCATGGCGATGTCATCTCGGTGGACGGCCTTAGCCAATAGGGACGCAGCGTGCACATTGCCATCAAGGACCTTGGTGAGGAGGTCACACGTTTGCTCCTCAGTTGGTTGGACGGCGACCGTTATCGACTCTCCCAAAGTGTTGGTGAATTTGTTGCTCTCTTCTCCGAAGACAAACTCTTCAAGATTTGGAAACTATCATGAGAAATTTACAACATATCCAAAACATCTGATTAACAAATAAACAAAAACTTGTTCAAAACTGAGACCTGATGTGCATAAAAACATACTGTCAAAAATCACAAAAAAAACCCAAACAAGCCAATTTTATTCACACTTATAATAACCCATTATTCACTGCACCGCCCCAAGTTGCCCTGCCTGTTACTCCCTGTAGACCTGCCCAAAACTGCCCAAGTACAATGTAATTCTGGAAAGTTTGGGACTGTTGATACAATGCACCGTTTTAAGGGTCCAAATTTTTCGTTGAAGAGAATGAACAGGGGAATCTTACCTTCTTTGCAATCTCATGACGAATCATCTCCTGTATCAAGACGTCACCCAAAGTCTTGAAGTCCCTCACAAAACGCTTGTTCTTCTGCTCTCCCGTCTTCTCTTCCACCAGCAGCTCAAAGAGCGCCCTCTCTGACCGGATGATGCGAGCAAGGTCGGCTGCCTTCTCCGAAAGCAAGACGAGGGTGCGGAGGACAGCGGCCATGTTGGGCGGGGTCGGAGGCAGGCAAAGAGAGAAATCACAGGGAGAAATATGCTGGTCTCCCCGAGGATGTACAAGGATGCGTTGCTATGGATACCACATCAGCCAAAAAAACAGGATGATATGGAGACAACTTTTTCACCTGGAGAAAGATCAATCAGAAATTTCATTTACTTATTCAGCGAGATTGCACAAGAAAAGTATTTCACTCATTTTATCACACAAATTGAGCCGGTTTAGACAATTTCACATTTGACCCCCAAAAGGTCAGGTTTTTTAATTCGCAGCGGCTATTGTTACTTTACGGCAGTCGGCCATCTTGTTCTCAGACCTAGTAGTATTCAACATCAGGATCTTTGGCTCTTGGGAACCCGACTATCCAATGAATGGTTCTCGGATTTTTTATTTCCCTTTTAAAGAAAATCCTCCAAAAGCCACGGATTATCATTATGAAGAAGAAAATGAAATCTTCTTCAATAAAAAGTAGAATTTGATTAAAAAACATAGAAGTAGCCTAGGCCTAAATATATCGCAAATACCGCTCGAATGAATTTGCACAATGAATGACATGCATTATCATATGGGAAGAGAAAAGGCACAGAAATTGCCCCCTTTTCCTGATCCTGCCCACTTGGGTCTTAGTTTTTTATGTCAAACATGTCCAAAAAAGCGGTTATTCTCCCACTTCAAATGGTTTCCAAATATAATAATACATTTGTATTAATCTCACAAGTAGATGGGGTCCAACCCCTTTGGCTAATTTCAATCTTACCCGGCGAATAAAATGAAACTAAGGGTTTATTTTCAAGGCGAAGTAGCCGGCGAAAGATGTACTGTTGACAGCCCGTCATAATTCATGTAATTACTGGTGAAGCAATACAGCGCCCTCAACAGTTCGCTCCTGGAAATGTTAGTCTGACATCTAGTCTAGTTTCCAGCCCTCACCGGTTTTGTAAATTTACGGTCTTGCACGTGGGTCAATCGCGATGATCCAGTTGTACGGCTGCGCTGGCATGTAAAACGTTTTTTGAGCAAACAAATACAATCCGGTAGGTGATAATTTGCCGTTCTTTCGATTACCAGAAAGGTCATACTAGGCCGATGTACAAGAAATGTTGGGGTAAAAAGTTGACATTATTCGTCATTACTTCACGTGATTCAGTTCATGAGGGGGGGGGGGGGGGGAGTGGGTGGGCCGGGCGTGGGGGGGGGGGGAGGGATTTGGTGTGATCATTGGATCATTTTGCAAATTTTTTTTTTGCATAAACGAGACTAGAGTGAATATTTACAGAAACACTGGTTGGTCAAGCAGGTTGATCTATCGGTTGTTCGCAAAATAAATTTATTGATCATGTTGATTCAACCATATTTCCATAACGATTAACGGTACAAGTAGGCCTAAATCACTAAATGAGAGCCCCAAATTTTCAGCATAATATCTCAAGCACTAAGTGTGATACCCCAGCCCCCCCCCCCCCCCCCCCCCCCCCCCCCCAGTTAAGCCCGGTTCATACTTCACGCGAAAGCGAAAGCGAAGCGAAATTCAAGACGTCAACAATACATTTGAAGCGCGTCCACCATTGTTGACGACATGAATTTCGCTTCGCACATGCTTTCGCATGAAGTATGCACCGGGCTTAAAATGTGTATTTCACCCGTTTAGGGAACTTTAGGCAAACATGGCCAAAGGTGGACGAAAGAATAAGGAAAAGAGGAAGGATTTTCAGAAAGTCAAGTTCAAGGTCGGCAAGAAGAAACCGCAAGCCGACAACTTCACTGTCACCACCTTCAAGTCCCAGGCCATCCAGATCCGTGAGCAGCTTAAATCGGGACCAGTAGACGCTGACGAACCGACAACACTGAAGAAAAAGAATATCCATGTGAGTGCGTTGTTTATAAAACCTGTAGGAGGATTCGAATGTGCTGGAATTTACAAACAGCTGATGGCAAACAGGTACATTCCAGATCCAAGGCTTCAGCAGTCTGTCCGACCACACAACCTGGCAGTGGAGGTACCAAGATCAAACCGAGTCGGCCATCAAAGGTCCTTTTTACCATCTATGGCCCAAATATGGAACTCTCTTCCCGCCCACATACCCACTACCAGGAATCTGGCCAGCTTCAAGAGGGAGGTGAATTGCTATCTGGGCGACAAGCCATCAGCATTCTCTATTATTTAATTAATGTTTATAGCTGTTAAGGCCCAGATATGCTTGTGTAAAAAACAAAAACAAAAAAAAAACAACATATAGGCCTAGTTGGGGACTTTAATATTAGAAGTTTTTTTTTTACAAATTTGGAAAAATTTTGCTTTATTACAACAGGACCCATGGAAATATTAATTGCTAAAAGATCCTGTTTTATGTGGTTAGACTATTTAGCAATTGACTTACTCTAGTAAAGTTTAATGGGAAGTACTTGGAAATTAAAAGTAAACAGTTAATGAGATAATAAGTAAGCAGATCAGTTTAATAAGAAGTTTACATCTTTTATTATTCAGGATCTTCTGTGCCACCTGAATCACTACAATGTGTCGATTCGTCAGTCTTCCATTGCTGGTATGAAGGAGCTCCTGTCTGCTCATCCGTCGCTGATATCTCAGCATCTAGCAATCCTGATTGACAGCTTGTCTATCCTGATGACGGATAAGGAAGATGCAGTACGAAAAGCAGGTTAGAAAAATCTTAAATGACTTTCAAAGTGGAGCACTGTAGCCCTGCGGCGTCCAACTCGAGATCTGTGACTAATTCTGCAGGTTGAGGGTTCGAGTCCAGTCTGAGGGGTTGTGGTCTGTGTGTCCATGGGCAAGACACTTTATCACTATTTGCTTCATCCCACCAAGGACTAAATGGGTGTCAGTGAGAGCAGAGATGGTTAGTGTGATTGATTTTAGCTGCTTTGCATCTATTTGGCAGCAGTGAGTGTACACTCCCAGAGAGTTAAGACAGCGTTTGGAATGTTTATATTCCCATTGAGCAGGGGTAGTTATAACAGCGTAGCACCTTATAGTTAAGTGGCTTGCACAAGGACACAACATGAACAGCTGTTGGATTCAAACTTCGAAACCTTCTGATCATGAGTCACAAACTTTAACCACAATACCACACTCCCCTACAGTTCAAAGTTGACAGTTTTTGAGAGGAAACGTTGTATTGAATTCTCTTTTATCAAATTTACTTTGTTTACATTCCGATCCAGGGATATCTCTTCTGCAGCTAGTTCTCCAGGCCACCCCGGCGGACCGCGTTGGGCCGTTCTTCCCCGTTCTAAGCGCCCACCTGACTTGCGCCATGACCCACCTCCAAGAGGACATCCAGTTGGACTCTCTGGCCATCCTGGACCTAATGCTGGCCTCCTACCCCCGCTTGCTGACCGGCCGGAGCCAGGAGCTACTGACCGTCTTCGTCCAGCTGATCTCGCGCCAGCGGAAGCAGTCGGTCGGCTGGACCGAGGGCGAGTTGGACGGTGGGGAGCTGGCGATCAAGCCTGGCAGCAGGATCTCCAGCCACAAGTGGAGACAGAAGGTCAGGAACTAGACTCAGGCCACGTCTGAATTACTTAACCAGTTCGCGTCGGAGGGCGTGATAACACTCACTGGTTGTTTTTAGACACAGGCACGACTGACAGGTTAAAACGTCAAGATTTGCTCAACTTGCCTCTGGGTGACGTCTAAACATGCTAATTTACATGTTGTCTAAACATGCTAATGAGTTTACGCTCCAGTGCACACTTCGGAGTATTGAAACATATGAGGTTTCGGCAAGAAATATCGTACAAATACTGTTGAAATGACTCAGTATTTGTGGCTTTTGGGTGTATATCAGAAGTTGGCTGGAAAATTTAGCTTTTTGCGAAAATTGAAATTTTTGGCCAAAATATTCCTGGCGCGAAGGGGTTAATACTAAATGGTCATAATTTAATTTGAAAAACCAACAGGTCCTGCAAAGGCTGAGGCAGTTCCTCACAGCGTTACTTGAGGAATATTTCATTAAGCACTCTCGTCAAGCTGACAGCGCAGCTGAAAGTGACAACTACACAGTCAAAATACAAGAACACAAAGAGACAAATGCACCAATATTTGCCCCAGGATCCCACGCCCATGGATACAGAGACGAGTTCATTTTGAGGTAATGGCAAAATTATTGTTGAATTTTACAGTGGCTCTCTCCATGCTATAATTCATGTAAACGCTATTATTCGTGTAAAGAGGCGCTATCTAACGTTAACCACTTCGCCAAAATAAAAACCTTTTTTCTTTCTCAGAAAGTTGCCGACACCAAAAAATGTAAAAAAAACAGAGAGTTTCTTTTACCAAAATTAAAACAAACAAATTGAAAATCGTTAGGATAATAAAGACAAATTGAATTTTTTTTGGGAGGGCAAATGTTTTATTTGAGTCATCAATATGGAGTCTAGCCAAATTTGTAGCAATAAGCCGTTTGCGAGTAACCTATACCCTTTGGGATTTACGTTTGAAAAACATCTGGTACACTGACTTGTTCAGAATGCTTTGCACATTTTAACTTTGAATTCTCCAGACCAAAGACACTGTTGCTATATCACATGATTCGGGGCAAGCTCTTGCATAGTTATGTAAGAGACGCTCACCCCAATACATCGTTCACAATGGTGAGAATGGCACAAAGACACCAGACCATGCCAAGGCTGGGAGTTGCTAGCATAAGGCTTGCCCCGAATCACGTGATATAGTAACAGTCTCTTTGGTCGGGAGAATGCAAAGTTAACACGTGCAAAGCATTGGATTAAGTCAGCGTTCCAGATTTTATTCAAATTTAACTCGCAAATGGCTTATTTAACTGAGGGTTTGTTTACAACTAAAAGGGAGCTACCTGGCTAAAATGAAACAAATTTAATCAATTACAGTTTGACATCATCGTCGTCATCATCAACTTCATGTCAAGATTTCAGCGAGCCAGACAACCTTCTTGGGTTTGTGCGTTCGTTGGTGCCCTTGCTACTCCAGTGCTGGATGGAGGTCGCCCCCAAATCGCAGGGTCATTCCCAGGCTCATTTGCATAGTGTTGCCGTGGAGATACTGGACGGCGTGCTGTCGGTGATCTTGTTGCTATGGCGATGGATGCAGAGCGTGTGCGAGGAGAAGTGCAACTTCAGCGTAAGTTTCATCATTTGGTACTTGGAGAGTCAAAGTTTATTTAAATATTTAGTATTTGGTGTTGCCCGTTACCGACATAATTTCATAAAAACTGTACCAACTCTTGCTTACCAGTGCGTTGCGTTTCTCTCATAACCAGTGTATGACGCAGCTCCAGAAATTGTACCACAAGAAATTTGTAAGCCACCTCCTTCCCTGCTTCCCCTACACATCCCACGATGCCCCCGCCAGAGCAAAGCGTTCTGGGAAGGCGACACCCATGACTGTGGTGAACCTCAACCTGTCCGCCTGTGAGATCATGTCGTATTTCATGAGCAGGGGTGACATTTCGGTCCCATGGCTGCGACGCATCATGGCGTACGTGCTCGAGACGTGCGTCGAGGGCGGAAGCCTGTCGTCTGGGCATGTGCAGAGCTTGTTGGGCGTCGTGCGGCGATTGGTCAAAGTGCTGCCTAGCGAAGGTGAGCATCAGGCATTCTTATGGTTGTTTCTGTAAACACGTGACATCAACAAGTTTTATCCCTCATCTTAAAAGTGGAATTACTATTCAAATGACTTTACTCACAATAGCAGAACAATCAAAAATCAAACAAGGTCACATATTAATGTCGCTGTAACTACCTCACTTTTTGTTGTTTTTTGCAGAGAGCGTAAGCGATATTCTGCAGGCTGTGTTTTCATTGTACGAGAGTTGCCACGTCCTGTCGGCACACAGACAGGCAGCAATGCAGTGCCTGGACGAGTTGTTGACGACCCACGGAACAAAACATCCTTCCTCACGGTATTTGTGACATATTCAATTCACCTTCGTCGCAAAGATTCGCTTTTCATACAGACTTCCTATATTGTAACAAAAGCAAACTTGCAAAATACGGACAGCCTCTCTTTCAGTGTGTACTGACCTTTGACCTCTGGTGTTCCCTCCGCAGGTCCGTTGACAGTCTTTTCATTCAGAGTCTTCCAGAACTGATCAGGACGTTAGGTTCGGTTTCCTCCAAAGCCTTACAGATACTTCTACGCCGAGCAGCGCAGCGTCAAGCCGAAGCACTGACTTGTATACAGAAGCACTTGAAATCATTCGTAGGTAGGTATAATTATTAGTGCCTAATAAAAATAAACTTACCCAAAGAATCATCCAGGGCCAATTTTTATAAAGGTGCTAAGCACATAAATTTTTAAGCACAGAAATTGAATTGTTTAGCAAGCACCAGTTAAAATGTCATGCAATATTCATTGCATTCACTGTTCTCAACTGATTTCTGCTTTATAGTTCATAGATGTTTGTAAGCAATAATTTTCTGCTTCCACAAAGGAGTTCCACGAAACTGGGGCAAGGATGTTAATCCGTACAAATATTAATTCATACTGTTGCCAATTGGGAAAGAGAAATGCTTTTTTTGGTAATTTTTCAATTTTTTTTCGTTTTCCACTATCACATGTAGACCCAGAGAGTGGTGTTTTATTGAAGCTTTCTGCAGACCTGCAAGTTCACATCATCCACTTGATTCACCACGCCGACCCCCTCGACCTGGACACCCTGAGGTCGTTGGCCACGTGTTGCCATGACAACCGCATGAGCGCAGAGAATGTGGCATATCTCGTAAACATTTTGTCCACAAGGTAATGTCAGAAAGACTGACTGAAAGACTGACCAACGTATAAATAATTACACTCCCAAGTCTAGCTAGTCATGTTATGTACATCATTCTATTCATATTTTGTTAATGCAGACTTCTAGAAGTTGGCGTCTCACCTTATGTTGACCGCAAGTTGCCCTTCAACTCGGCCGACTTCATCAGTTTCCTGTTCTCTGTTTCAATTGGTAAGACGTTAAATAAGACATTAAATATCAATTTATTTCATGTAAATGTCTGTGTTTGTATCCAATTCACATTTTTACAGCCTGGAATATCAAACCAACCATAAAAAGTCCCCATACCACTGTAGATTCCGACATTATAGGCCAAGTTCGGGCAAGGACCATTAGTCGACTAGTGGTTGATTTGTGACGTACCTTACGCCTGCGCACTAATAGCAAAGTGCGAACGTCTCTAGTCGAACGCTGGTCAAAATGTCATCGCAAAACGTCTGGATCCTGGCTCCCTGCTGTACGTTATGAACCCGCGCGGCTATGGTTACCAGCGAAGCAACCAACCCCAGTAGGTTGGTTCCAAATAGTCGACTAGCGTAGTTAACCATCGTCGACTAGATAGAGTTCGGGCAAGCGTTAGTCGACCAATGATTAACTATAGTCCTTGCGCGAAGTTGCCCATAGTTTAGCAACCTGAACCTACATATATAGTAACTGTGCAAAATAGTTTTATTTTCACAAGTTGAGTCGCACTTTCAATCCAAAATGGCGGTTCCATGCAAAGAAGAAATGTTATTTGCTGTACTTACTTTTCAAAATGACAGGTTCCACTCAGTTTGAGCTTGCAAGTTCAGACGGCCAAGATAGTACGTCCCAGGATGTAGGAAAACCTAGACCGTTGCCAAGCAACCTGACATCCGTCTCCATAGCAACCAAAGCAGGCAGACCATGGCAGCATCACTCGGCTATTGTCAAGGTATAAATTATTCCTAAAACTTTACCGCCAAAATGTACTTTTCAGGTTTTTGGGGAAACTTTTAGCCCTTCTCAATGGGCCTAAAATTTCTCATTGTTTTTTTAAGCTTTAATATGTCAAATTTCAAGATTTTCTTTTCGTTGTAATGTATTTTTTCTTTGTTTTGGCAGAGTGTTTGTTTGGGCTACAGTCTTATCTCCAGTAAGCAGCAGATGTGGGATCTTGTGCAGACGCTTGTCATTAAATTGTTGGTAAGATAAAATTCTATTTTTAAACAAAAAATTGTTTTACAGTTATTCCTTTTATCATGATGTTTACGACCGCCATCTGTTCTTTTTCAGAATTCCCAGAAAACCATTACGTGTTACACAGCGTACGCCGTACTACATGCAGCCAACTATCTCACAACAGGCAAGACTTACTGGAGAAAAGAGGCACTCAACAAACTAACAGACTGTTGCTTAGCAACACTGTACAAGGTGGTATCAGATGATGTCATGGGAATCGGCAGCTCTGATTGGTCGGAGGCCATTTGGGAAGAGGCTGTGGATATGTTGGTGGCATCCAAGCCAGTTCTGATGGAGATGATGCAGCGAATACATGCATATGTTACGGGTAAGTTGTGAATTTGAACTTGTAGTTCATGCATATTCATGTTTTAGCCTTCTTCTCCTATTGGTCAAAATTTGCAAACTTATTGGTTGGTTGTATTGGCAGAGTTGTATGGTGGTAATGTTTTAAACAATTTTGTACAAGCTGTTGAATATTTCATAGTCTTTTTTTTGTTGCTTTGGCTCTCCATAGATTTGACTGACCCTGAACATGTCCATCATGTTGCTATGGTGATAGTAAGACTACTGCAGACACAGAGATTATCTGCTATCCTGGCACAGATTACGGACAGTGCCATGCAGGCTGTAAACAGCATCATGGTAAGCCAAAAGAAAAAAATATTGACTTTGTTGTGTTTTATCTGTTTTGGTGGCGAGTATTGAACGGAATGTCATTTTTATTGAAATTTGCATTTTTCTTTTTTATAGAATCATCACCTGGCAACAGAAGGAAGTCGCTGGGTGGCCGAGCTGCAGTACGAGTCAAGCGTGGTTCTGAACGTTAAATTGCAAAGATGACAATAGGCACTTCCCGGGATCCCCCATCCCCCACCCCCATGTCCTACACCCTGTCCCCTCCCCCAGCAATGTTGAAATCTAACTAGACATTTTTATGTTCTTCAGAAGAAATAAAGACAAATTTGGTCAACAGTTTGTTTAATCTGATGACTGTACACATAGTGTAGTTTTATTGGGTTTCTTGAACTCAACATTTATGATTTACTTAGCCATTAAAAACAAAAAATGAGACTTACGGGTGTGAAAAAGAATAAGGGAGATGATACGAAAAGGATTTCTGGTCAAGTTAAAATATGGTAAGGCCAGGTACAAAAAACCCAAAAAAAACAGTTGATCGATTGGGATTTTCAAAAAGAGGAGGATGAGGGCCTTTTTATTTAAATTTTTTTTTCAAAGATGGCCGCCAATTATTTCAATTCAAAATGGCCGTCAACATCAGTTTAAAATGACCGCCAGCTTTTAATTAGCTATCCTAATAGTTCTATGTATTTTATTAAAGCAAAATACAAGAAAAAGTTAGCATTTTGATGCGAGGAAAAAAAAATACAAAAATAAAAAGATGCGGCTTCAAAAAAAGGATGCAGGCGGGGACGATCAACTGGTTTTTTTTTTACTTGGCCTAATTTTATGAGTTACCTGATGAATGTGTACACTGTTTTATGAGCATATATGAAGGGCATGAAAGCATTAAAGCATTTTACAGTACAGCGTTTTAGTAATTAGCCAGCCTTTTTGAGTTTTTTCCACACGACTTTAAAGTGTTGAGATGCCATTTTGAAGAATATTTGGGTTTTTTTTTAATTTGTTTTCAGTAACGGTTTTGAAATTAAGACCATACGTTGATCTGCAAAAAACCTTGATGAATAACATGTATTGATTATGTGTGTGGTATAGCCCCCTTCATTTTCCCGAGCCTGGCTCCCTCAAATTTCATTCAGTCCAACTTCCTTCAACTTCAAATCGTAAATCGGGGATTTAATGATTTTTATACAAACGTGGTGTTGGTGGCATCACCAACTGTTGACGCTATCTACATATACATTTCAATGAGGGCAATCTTATAAGTCGCAACATTGAAGATGTACCAACTGAACGTACACTTTCTTTTGCTATCTTCGTGATGAATATTTACATGATATGACATTATCTTGTAAGAGCCCAGAAAGAGCAAGTACACCTGCATAAAGTTGGTGCACACTTTGATGATAAACAATGATTATTTTATAAGTGGCCATTTGTACAAATGCAGTGCGCCAGAGTAAAGTTAATCAACTTTCCGCTGAGAAACATGGATTATTTTATGAATGGCCTTTTTACAATAAATGAAGTGCACCAAGATAATTTGGCACGCATGTGACTGACAAACATTGCTGATTTTTCCTCTGGCCATCATGGTATCTAGATATCCCACCAGCATTTCCCCATGCTTTATAAACTAATTGCAGCATAAACCGAAGTAGCCATTATGGTATCTAGATGTCCCACCGGATTCTCTTCTTCTTGGGCCTCCCTGCTATCAAGAAAATTTGGCAGACATGCTGTTGACCAACAAGGTTTATTTTCCAACTGGCCATTATGGTATCTAGATCTCCCACCGGCTTTTCCTCTTTTTATGATCAGCACCGCAACAATTTGCACATACCCACTGAGGAACAAGGCTTATTTTTCAACTGGCCATCATAGTATCTAGATATCCCACCACCTTTTCCTCTTCTTGTCGCCTGCCTTTTTATTACAAATACAGTGCACTGAGATAATTTGGTAGACACAGCCGAGAAACAAGACTTACTTTTTGACTGGCTGTCATGGTATCTACATATCAAATCTGCTTTCGTCTTCTGTGCATCTCAGCCACCATATTGTCCTTTTTATCTAGATATCCCATCGGCTTTTCCTCTTCTTGGGCCTCTCCGCCACCATCTCGTCCAGTTGGTGGGCCCTCTTCAGGGCCTCCTCCAGGGCGTGGTTCCGACCGTCCTGAGCATCCTGGGATACAGCACCCGGCTGTCCGAACCCACCCAGCTGCCAGTAGCCGTGGTTGTCCAAGCGACCCGTGGGACTTGAGAGCCCCGCCTCACCCTTGTCTTGCGAGGAGCTACCATCCCCGCTGTCCCTCTGTGGGGCAGTATCCCATCTACTGCCCTCCTGCTTTTTGCCTGCGCCGTCCGTGTTGTTCCTAGTTCCTGCTTCTGGCGACTTGGGCCCTCCGATATCCCATTTGGACTTCCGAGATGGTGTCGCGCTCGTGTTGGCCGGCTTGTCTTTGCTCTCTTGCGGGACCAGCGTGCTCAAGGTACCCTTCGGGTGACTAACGGGGGCCTTCAGGCTTAACCCGGCTGCTCCTTGAGCCTTCAGACTCAGTCCGGTACTCCCCAGGGCTTTTAAGCTCAGCCCGCTCTCAGCAAGGCTCGGGTGGCTGTGGGATAGGCTTGCCGCGGCGGGGTTCTTGGGAGGCATGGCGTAGTGGCCCGTGTTCTCAGTCGAGAAGGTCTTGGAAGTGGACGAGGAGCTGGCTTTCTGGAAGTGCCTCTGATACTGGGCCTTTGGAATGAGATTTTAAAAAGTCGTAATAAGAATGGTTGATGAAATTTTGCGATTTACAAGGTTGATAACAATTGTGACTGTGAAACAAGATTGATGCAAAACTAAAGGCTGTACTGAATATTTAGATTTGTGGATATTTCATCAATTATGAGACAACTTTTAAATTTGAATACTTGAAAATGAAATGCATTTCAAAGCTCTTGATACAAGAGTTGTCTATCTCATTATTTGCTGAAACCACTAGATTCATTGTTGCTACTAGCAGTATGTTGTAAGCTAAAGGTTCTTTGATGACTATTAATGTACAGCTTTATGAATTTCTATAGCTGCTATTGCTATTCCTTAATTCATCCCAAAATTCTCCTCCTGCTAACCATAAACATTCGAATATTCAGATATCACATTATTTGAATTATCTCGGCCCTCAATGGCACACTAACCTTGAATGTATTCCTCACGGACGTGAGACGTCCGCCCTCCGACTCCGATGGGTCTGCGCCTGCGTAGCCTCCCCCTAGGGGGCCCAGCGTGGGGGCGCTCTTCCCTCCAGAGTCGTCCTGGCTTCCCAGGCCTGGCCTCTCCTTGTTCTTTGATCGTTCCTTGCCATAGCCAAGTCCTGAGCCACCGCTAAGCTTGCCCTTGGTACCGTGGGTACTGCGGGTCTTACGGAACCTCGGATTCTGGTGGGAGAAAAAAAAACGTTAGTCGGGTGTTTGAGGAGCAATTTTGCCAACAACTCATACGTCAGGTTCTTAAAGGGAATATACATCATTTGCTTTTGCTGTAAGTTTCAGAAATGGATGGAATTGGGGGGTTGGAAATATATATCAAATATAGTTACACTGACTTTTTTGAGGTTTTGGGTTCGAAAATGCTATAAAAACCAAGAAAAATAATAATTTTCCTGTAGTCTGGTTCCCTGACTCCATATAAGAAGAAACAGAGCAGTTTACATACATTAGGGAATTGTAAGGTCGGGGAACCAGTCTAGCTGGCTCGTACCCGTTCATAGGTTTGTAATCGAGTGCAAACAAGTGCGATGGTCAATTGGGGCCAGTATTTGAAAAAAAGCCAGTTTTTTCCAACGCTGATCGGCCGATCAGCGTTGGAAATTGATACAAAAATACCACTTTTCTTGAAAATGACAGTATACCAGGTGCCATGATTTTACAGGATACTTTACACTGTCATTCACTAACAGTCCAGCAAGGTATTTCAAAATGATTTGGTAGTTTTATTTTTTGGATGTTTGCAAATGTTGTATTTTCCCTTTAAGAAATGGCTTCCTTCTAAACTTGTTTAGTCTGGTGCTCAGGGTGACTTAAATTGGCCCAATTGACATTTTTGTATTAATTTGGGAGGCTTATCATCCTTACTGGCAGCTGAGAAGCTGAATTGCGAAGGACGCAGCTACAACGGGGTCGAGCCGCTGGCATGTATTAAGGCACCTCTGGCAGCCAGCCGCATCGACCCATATATTACCACGGAGCACAGCCAGAGATCGAAAGTGTTTGATTTTTTCCGGAGGGAGGAAAACTGGAGGGCCCAGAGAAATATCCTCAGGAGAAAACCAATGTATGGTCCGCGGCCGGGATTCGAACCAGGGTCATAGTGGTGAGAGGCGAGCGCTTTACGCACAAGCCACCCATGCCACCCCAATGTACAAACTCTGTAGGTTGCAACGACGGATGACATTGGCCCAAATTGCCTTCATGTGACCACCTGGAAATTTATATAATGGTGTTTCCAAAATGTGGCTTTCTCTCCAGTTTGACTTCAGCACAGTTTAAGCCCCTGACTTTTAATAGGGATATCCAGCTCAACATAGGTCCATGTCCAGGAATATCAAAATGTAGGTTTTTCCATTAAGGCTTCAAAATGATTCTGTTTGGCTGAGTCGAAGCCAGAGTTGGAGACTTGAGCCAAGATTTGGAAAATGGTCAAAACTCATTATACAAACCTGCATGGCGAGGTCCAAGAGCGACTGAGTGACAGACTGGTTAGCCCCTTCCAGATTACGGACCAAGTCACCGGCAAAGTAGACATCCTTAGACGTCACCAACGTGTAGGCAGTGCCCTTCTCCCCTAGAAACATGGAGAATAGAAATCATATTTAGAATGGCTCAGCTTAATCCCATACTCCAAAAGGTGGCGGGAGATGGTAATTGGGACAAGGACAAGGTTTGAAATCCTCCCTGCGATAATTACACACCTGCCCTGCCCGTCCGTCCGATGCGGTGCGTATGCGTGTCGATATCCCGAGCTACATCGTAGTTGACAACGGTTTTGACTGACGGTATGTCCAGACCACGTGCTGTGAAGAAGATCAGTACAATAAGTCAGTATTTCACAAAATATGCAATCCTGCCATAACCTGATCCATAGTATTACCCCTGACCAGCATCTGTTTGCCCTTTTCTTTTCTTTTTATCAATATGGTGTTTTTTGTAAGGCGGCAGAACGCTATGCCCCAATCTGTAACAAATTAGCTCAAGTTGTCTACTTACACCGTTCAAGTAGGCATGTTTTGTCGACTGTAAACTTGAAAAATTGACTCTCCATGGCAAACTCTTGGTGGCACACTGCACCGAGAATTGCCGGATTCAACTAGATCCAGGAATTGCTATTGCTTGCTCGAATCATACACTTACAAAACTACTGACCCGAAAAACGAATTTGTCGACCATCTCCCACGATGTACTGGGAAAAATGAACTCTCCGTGGCAAACTCTTGGTGGCGCACTGCATTGTGAATCACCCAAATTCAAAGGTACTATTAATCAAAAATTGATTGATACAACAACCAATTATGCCTCCAAGGGTACCCACAATGCACCTGTACTTTCTTTCGCCAACAGAACCAAAAATCTATCTTCCAAACGGCTGTTCAAATTTTTAATCCTGCTTTAAATGTCAGACTTACAAGCTACATCAGTTGCTACCATGATAGGGATGACTTTCCTCTTGAACTCTGTGATGACACTGTTCCTTCCGCTCTGGTCCATGTCACCGTGTAACAGCCCAACTGAAAAACACAAATTATCAATGAGACAGAAAGACATTTGTTTTTTTAAACTGTGAATCAAATATATGTTCTTTACTTTGAAAGACAAAGACATCAACAGTTCTCATGAGCATCTGAGTTTAAATCTTCAGCCTGACCCTCCCAGATCCTTCAAAATTCAACGGGGGGTTTTGGAGGAATTTGTAGGATTGAGGAAGGTAAAGCACAGCCCACTATTAAATTGCATGGGCTTGATGGCCCTTGAAACTTGGTAGGTACAAAGAGTGTGCCACTGGGTTCCTGCACAGTGGAGGATTTTGTAGGATTGAGGAAGGTAGAGCCCAGCCCACTATTAAATTGCATGGGCTTGATGCCCCTTGAAACTTGGTAAGTACAAAGAGCGTGCCATTGGGTTCCTGCACAGTGGAGGATTTTGTAGGATTGAGGAGGGTAGACCCTGGCCACTATTTGACCCAAGACTTGAAAGCAAAATTACAAAATCATTGTTTTCCTGGATTGTGGAGGATTTTGAAAAATTCTGGCAGGTTTCTTTTGAAAAAATGTCTAAGGCATTAAGCTAGGTTCTATATTCCTCAATCCCATAAAATCCTTCAAAACCTCCTATCAGTTATTGAAGGATCTGGGACCTACCATTGAAGTCCTGCTGTCTGAGATTGTTGGCCAGTTCCTCCGCGTTGAGTTTCTTGGTGGCAAAGATGAGCACGCTGCCCAGGGTGGTGAAGCGGACCAGCTGGCCGGTTAGCCACTTCCACTTGCTGTCGGGCGCCTTCTCGTCCCGGAACACTTGGACTATCTGCGTCACGTCTTCGTTCGCCTGAAGACAAAAAGACAAAAACCGATAACCAAGGTCTATATCTGTTTATGAACAGATTGTATGCCTTTTTAAAATAATGCCAGGTCATAAAACACAAAATGACGAAAATTCATTAGAAAAACATGCACAAAGTCTATGGATTTGGGAGAAAAAAAAAAAGGAAAAAGAAGGAGAAAATAAAAATCGGAACAAAAACAATGGCTTTTCAACAACTCCAGCAACAAAATTATCACAGGGTTTGTCAGTTGGTGAACAATGATACTTAGTTGATGGGATAAGGAGGATCTGGGGATTTCACAACGCACTTGTTTACTTTGGCCTGTCTATTGCAAGAGAGCTCTAAACAAAAGATACAATGGCAGATATTTTTTTTAACTGAAAGATCGTGATCTTTATAATAACGACTGGCTCACCTCCCCTGCATCGCCTTGCACCACTCTGATTGGATCAGTCAGGATGTCTCGGGCCAGTCTCTCTACCTTCTTGCGGAATGTTGCGCTGAACAACAACGCTGCAGGAATCAAAGAGGGGGCGTTAAAACCCAATCCACATATTGGCCAAGGCGGGATTCGAACCCGGGTCACAGCGGTGGAAGGCGAGGAAAGTACCGCTACGCCAACCTGACTCCTTATACCACCCCAAACAACCCCAGCGCTCCATGCATTTATGGATTTCTCAAGGAGTAAATACGGTGTATAGCACGATTTAATACAAGCACTAATGGGTTAAACACATACGCAATCATTCATATGCCATCATTTTGTTCAACGATACTTATCATTAAAATGTACTTGATTAAAACCGAAGGGCTGTAGTAGTACGGGTATGTAAACTGAGCGTTGGCGATTTCTTACTTTGTCTGTCTGGCCTGACGTGGTTTGCAATGGACCGAACCTGTGGCTCTGTGGATAGATGAGAAAAAAACGTGCACAGAATCATTCCTGTTCAAACTGAGTTTGTGAGAGTGTTTGATTACATCAAGCATTTTCAGAGGGAGGGCGACATCATGGGCCCAGGATAAGCCCCATTTCGACGGTGAAATATTTTGATTTCATTGCACGCATGCTGAACACAATCTGTCTCATTTTGTTTCCATTCATATTCCTGCGTTACTATATGCAACTGTTAACTCACCAAAACCCATGTCAAACATTCGATCTGCCTCATCGAAAATTAGGAAGGTAACCCGCTGAAGATTGGTGGATTTCTTTTTGACCAGGTCAATCAGACGACCCTGGAAAACAACATCAATGATATAAATGCCACGAGCTAGGGAGTCTTTCAAAGGCTTCTCTGACCGTATAGCTGAGGGACACTTTGATATGTAGAGAGTTGTTAGGTCAAAGTTGATAGTTCAAAGGTCAACTGACCGGTGTACATATGATGACCTCTGTCCCCTCCTGACACGCCCTCTGCTGCTCCCACATGTTCCCGCCTCCGTAGGCGCACACTGCCTTGATGTCGTAGGCCTTCCCAAAACGCTTCACTTCCACGTAAATCTAGGAATCCCAAAACGACTTCTGTCAAATGTTATCAGTATAAATGGGTGAACAAGTCTCAGCACTTTTAAATTTTCTTGAAATGACAGCAGTAAAACATTACTCTTTTCACGATTTGTAAGATTTGTAACCCCTTATCTTCTAAGATCAGCTTTTGGGAGATTGTGAAGGAAAATGGAAACTTAGGCCCAAAAAAAAAAGTCTCCGGTTTCTGGTATGCGCGCGCGTCGCCATAGCCATGCGCGTCGGCAAAATGAAAAAGTTTTTTTTTCAATAAAAGATGATGTCTCAAAACTGCCAAACTCACTGGTTTGACTGGAATCCTGCTGCTGCACAATTTTAATGTGTTTTTAGATGGGGATATAATCGAGAATAAGCTTTATGTGGCCTCTCTGGACTCCCATATATTTTCACTAAGTTTAGTTGGGCACCAATTGCAGTCATCAGCCGACATTTGAAACAAAAAAAAACAGGTAAAAAAAAAATAAAAAAGCCGCGTCGCCGCACCCCTTTTTGGGCAAGCTCCATACCAGAAACCAGAGACTTTTTTTTTTTGGCCTTAGGGCCTGGGTACTCTTTTTTTTATGGGGTCTGAAGCCACTTGACAGGTTTTTTTTTAGGGTGCATTAGAGTAGTTCACCCGGGTCAAGTCAGGTTTAAATAGCCCCATGCCTTTCGATTAGCTCTGACGTAATTCTCGGGGCTCACCTGGGTCAGCCACCACAGACCACCACTTGCTTGTGGAGCAGAGTCCCTGGTGGAAATACGTCACACGCATGCGTTGTTCATTTTTAGAAACAGACAAATATGGCAGCCGGACAGCGGAAATCTCAAGGGGACCGAAACGGGCATTTTGTCAGTGGCTATGGCCGCGGATACGGACATCATGATGTCATGATGGCCCGCGGCTGAGCGTTTGAATAGCCCAGCCGTCGTGGCTAACCGTCTGCTTTTACCCAAGTCGATCTGGGTGAGCTACTCGAACGCACCCTTAAAGGGAATATACAACATTTGCAAACATCGAAAAATAAAATTACCAAGTTTTTACGAAATACCTTACTAGGATGTTGGTAAATGACAGTCTAAAGCATCCTGTAAAATTATGGCACCTGGTGTCGAGTCTTTTTCAAGAAAATGGTATTTTTGTATACATTTCCAACAATAGTCGGCCGACCACCGTTGGAAAAACCTAACTATTTGTCAACTACTGCTCCAGATTTACAATTTTTTTCAGTCCAAGTTTTGTTTGCTACTGGTTACATGTTCATGAACGGGTGCAGGCCAGCTGGACTGGTTCCCTTAAGCCCTGTCCGCACTGGACTTTTTTTGGTCAAACTAACCGAGACTATGGGTACTTTTCCCATTTTAAGTCCAGTGCGGACAGCCTAGGACGTTTTCCTCTCGGTTACTTTTCCTGAGTCCAGCGGTTACTTTTACTGGCCAACTGCTGCCCAGGAAAACTTCCCACGCGCCCAGGAAAACTGACCACTTTTCCCGAGACGATAAGTCCAGTGCGGACAGTGCGAGTCGGTAAAAGCGGCTCAGGAAAGCGTACATCCGGCCCGAGCGCCCTGTTATGCATACAGAGACCGCACGAACCTGCACGTGCAGTGGCCGAACATTTTGTAGAAACACGCTGCGATGTATCATCAAGTCCGAGCAGTAAAATCTCGTTAAAATATATATTTAAACGGACAAATACATACAGAGAGAAGAGAGATCACGTTCTGAGAATTAATTTGCGGAAATTCTCTTTCTCCACCCATGTATGTTATTTTCTACGATCCAAATTCGTCCTGATACGCTACTGTAGTCATGCACGGAACATCATGGTCCGGTACCGTACGTAGGCCGTAGTCACTGGTTCCTGACCCACATCATAGCTTCGATTCTGTATGTAAGCATGCGATGGGAACCAACGAATACTGATGGCACTGCTGCCGCACGGAACATCGTACAGCGGCATGGCTTCGACGACGTGCATCACAAATGCGTCAGAATTATAGGCCTTTTCGTCAAGATTTAGCGTGTCAAGATGAAATAATATCGTGTAAACGATTATGTTGTGCATGCAAATGGCGTGTGTAATATTACTGTGCATATCGGCTGCTGAAAATGTGATCGGCAATTTGTTTTCTGTGTACGGTGAGTCATTATACTGACACTGTGACAGCTCGGTTACTTCTCCCACGCGGTCTGGGTAAATTTTCCCGTGTCGAAAGTCCAAGTGCGGACAGTGGTCACATTTGACCATTTCTCATTTTACCATCGTCTCGGTAAAACCTTCAAAAAAAAAAGTCCAGTGCGGACACGGCTTTACTGTACAATTTTCTGACATCTATAAATTGATCCAATTTATCTTTAGTGGAGTCAGGGAACAAGACTACTTAAACATTTTTGTTTTTCTTGGTTTTTCAAGCATTTTCGGACACAAAACTTCAAACATGTCAGGTAAACAATATTTGATCTATTATACTAACCCCTCAAATAGTTCATTTCTGAAAATTACAGCAAAAGCCAATGATGTACATTCCCTTTAAGTATGAGACACGTACAAAAAATAAGCCATTTGGTTCTTCCATAATGGTGAAATTTAAAGGATTAGGGAATGTTCCAAACAAAAATATCCCGGGTCACTCTGCCCTTACTGACCTGCTGAGCCAGCTCCCGTGTTGGGGCACAGATCAAGCCGATGGGCCCTTCGGTGGTCTTCACAGCTCTCTAAATTACAAACACAGCATGAAATAATAATTAACGATTAAGCTTTTCATTATTACCCTAACAGTCCTGAATCCTCCAATTTAAATACGATTTTGCACACCCCCTAGGGAGTTAGGGCTGGAAAACAAATGTTAAAACTTTGAACTATCCTGGTAGGATTGTGTAAAGACATTGGTCTTCCCATCCCATCAAGTAAACAAGCCATCACAAATGTGACCTACAGAGGAAAAATGAGGAATGTCCCCTCCCCAAACCTTGTTTTGAGTAATCGACACCTGAAATCGGATTTATACTAGAAAAATCATGTCAAGATCGATATTGGTTTATTTTGTATTTTGGGGTAGCCAAGGTGTCCAAGATTCACACTAGGCACAGAGTCAAGTAGGGAATAAAAACCCCAATCCACATATTGGCAAAGGCAGGAATCGAACCCGGGTCACAGCGGTGGAAGGCGAGGAAAGTACCGCTACGCCAACCTGACTCCCCTGACAAAGTGATTGACTTTTGATGTCTTGTGTTTGACTTGTGATGTCTTGCGATTGACTTGCGATGACTTGTGATTGACCTATGCTTAACGCAATCCTCTCAATGACAACTCTGACCACAAGTGATCCTAATCACATCAAGCTGCCTCAAACAGGACTTGAACCCCGGATCGCTCGACTGCTAGCCCTTACCTGATCCATTACGTGTACCAGCATAGGCCAAACGAACGCCGCAGTCTTTCCGCTTCCTGTCTTAGCGATTCCGATGATGTCACGGCCGCTCAGTGCGATGGGTACTCCCTGGGCCTGGATAGGGGTGGGCTGGGAATACTCCGACTTGCGGATGTAATGCATGAGTTGTTGGTCGAAGCCAAAATGACCGAAGCTACTTACGGGCTTGGGTGGGTCAAAACCGGACACCTGTGGAAAATTCAGAATTTCAACAATTAGAAAAAGGAAGCTTCCAGTTTAATATGCTTCAACTGTATTTAGAAACGACATCAATAAACGGTACAATCGATGCACATCTAGTTTTGAAACTTACTCTGATTCCAAATTTCTTCCGCAAATCCAGTATTTCTGAGTACTTCAGTGCTGCAATGTCCTTGTGTTCTTCGTAGAAGTTTTTCGCAAACGGTTCGTACTTGATCTGAAATAGAACGGTGGCGATAAAAAAGAAATAAAAGTCACTGGAGAGTCAAAACATTGTAAAATCAAAGTATAATAGTTTGAAAAAAATGTAGCCTCAATCTTTCAAAATGAAACGGCAGCTGAAAGCAGGCAGGTTTTTAATGAGGTCTCACCTCCGTGTGATCGACTGGTGGGAGTGGGTCGATGAACTTTGACCTTTCAGGAATGATGGGATTGCCGTCGTCATCGTATTCGAGGATGTCGTCCGCATCGTACATCGGCACGCCGGCATTAGGATTCTCCTCCATGTACTTGAAGAAAGATTCCTGGAATGAAAATTGAATCAAGATTGAATGTACAAGAAAATTTACGAATTCTTTTCACCTCATAATTATTACCCCTGACTGGCTAGCCAATATTTTTTCAAGAATTTGGTCAACGACCGTAGGAGCATGATTAAAACCCGTTGGTAGAACTACGTCAATCATGCTAGTATAGTGAATGGTATCCATTTGCAATTCATCATCGTTATTTTATCAAACACCTTTCTTCACATCCTTCGCTTCAGTGATCAAGGTAAAGTTGCTTGCCCATGGACTCAAGTCACAGGCTAAGTGTTCAATATTCTTACCTGATCATCCAGTTCCTCAATGTCTTGCCTAACGGCTTTCTTCTTGTCTTCACTGCTGTGCTTCTTGGGAGCTGTTTTCTCCTTCGCCAAATCCTCCTTGAAAACCACAACAAAATGAAAGATAAACTTGAAAGTACAGCATTGATGCTTGACAAGAAAAATCTCCTTCAAATTCCGTGCCTAACTTACTTATTTATTGTAACTTCACTATGGTTGTCGGGGATACATTTGCCATCCCGAAACTTGTGCGCCGATTCCAAAATTTAAACAGCTAAACAATCTTATAAATCAAGAAATGGTCAAGCAATGATTTTGGCCAGAGTGTTTTTTTTTTTTTTTGCCATCCAGCTTACATTGATGCCGGCCATGAAAGCATCTAATGGGTCTTCTTCACTGTCGCTCTCCTCATGTTTCTTTGTTTGGGCGTCCTCCTCATCACTGTCAGCTTCAAAATACCTGCAGATACCAATGGCAATAGGGAGTCAGATTAGCCCACGGATAATTTCTTCGCCTCCACACCTCAATGACCCGGGTTCGATTCCCAACCAGACCCAAAAGTGAATTATGATTTGTATTCTGTAAATACAAACTCAAAAATACGCCCATAAAACTCCAATGCACAAATACGCCCGTGATACTCAAAACTGAAATTATGTTCACCGCTTTTCTTGCGGATTTCTTGTCTAGGGCTATTATGTAGGTCCTGAAACTTAGGCAATGCTGATAACAGATGTAGTAGTCTTGGGACATGTTGTTGTAGAAACGCAATCAATGCCACCGCGACAACCCCACACCGCTGCGAGAGGGCATTATCACGATGAACCGCTATCACCCACGAACCGCCTGAAACAACAGCTTGGGAATTTTTTTTTGGGGGGGGGGGGGGAGGGGGGCCGTTTCAGATGGGTCATTAGGGCCCGTTGCCACATTTTGACAGAAAAATCTCGTCCACTTACTCAGCTTCTGTGCGATGGCGTTTCAGCATAGCCTCCATGTACTGTGTGTGAGAGTAAGAATTGGCAGGCGCTGGTTTGGCGTTGGGGACAGCGTGGTAGGATTTGCCCGCCCCCAAGTTACTGTAGCTCCTCCCACCACCCCCACCTCCTCGCCATCCTTGATTAAACATCCTTGGCTGAAACTTTCTGTAGGCAGAAAAATACATTTATTAATTTGTCGAAGTGTTTATATTACAGTGAACTGGTCCTGTATTTTTCCGTTCTTAGACCGGAACATCGTACAGCGTCCTCATGGTCTCATGCGCGCCTATTCAAATAGGCCTACACCATATAAGATATTAAAGTACCAATCCAACTCGAGTAGACACATGGCCTAATGGATAGAGTGTTAGACTCGTATTCGCAATGAAGGGGATGTGTTCTGGCCCTGCCAGTGCCACTCGTTTTGATTTTTTTCCTCCCAAAAATACTTACAGTCATCTTCTTTTATTGTTTTAAATCAAATCACACATTCAATTCCTGAATATTTCATCTTCTTTTCTGATTCGTGGCTCTGGAGGATTAATTCAAAGGGAAAATAAAGTCTGAAATTGCAATAGGTCTTCCCATCTCCTTAACACGATGTCGGGACGACAATGTTGTGTGAGTGCATAACCAGACAAACACTAACGAAGATTTGTCACTAGCATAAAAAATGTCTAAACTTTTAGTCCCAAAAACAGTCATTGTGCATGTTCAGTGCCTTGCCGGCACGCCCGGTGCAATACTGAAATTAAAAACAATCCAGGGTCTGGTTCAGAGTCAAACATACACCGCCTGCTTAATTTTCAATAAATTAAAAAAAATAAAATAAAAAAATATATATTTTAGGCCCAGGCCCATCATTTGCCCATTGTATTCAATTACTTATTTACGAAGGCAGTCCCTTTGAAATATTTTGCACCCCCTGCATAATGTATACACAACAAAGTGATATCTGAACAATGCATGCTGTGCATAAATGAATCATGTTCAATCAACTCAGCTCAAGTGTCGGAAATATACGGCTGGCCGATATTCATTGTACAATTAACTGCAGTGGGAGTGTAGTCCAGAAATATGCTAAAATTTACAAAATGAGACGTACAAGGATGACCATTGGAATTTGAAAAGATGCACAGGAAATGCTTCAATATCAAATGGGAGAAATGAAACAAAAACGTTACGATAACTTACTGTAAATGAGTAAATCTCGGAACTGGATCGCTCTCCCAACATCCAAGTCAAAATATAAAGGGCGCCCTCAATTTCCAAAGGGGCATGCGTCTAACGATTGAGGGCGCTGGCATAAACAGTTTTTGTCAGCTGACTGGTCACATGGGCAACCCGGTCACATGTGACTGTGTTGATCGATATTTATTTGCAACAGCTGAAAAACTGTGGTCTGTGGATAACATCATAAATAACACTTTCTTTTTCGCCTTTTTATAATTCCGTTTCATAATGAGATGGACCAACTTGATCGCGGCAGCAGTTTTACTGCTGGTTTTCCTAGAATCTGAAGGGGTAAGCTAATGAACACGGAAAGTGGGTAGTTTTTGTCTTAACTTTTTGAGGCAGGGCCTTGCTTTTGCTTGGCCTTGGCCTTGCGTTCTTTCATGTCTTTTGATATCGCCCCGGTCATTTTGCCGGTCCCGAAAGAGGGGCAGTGGAGATGCCGTACAGCGCCCTCACACTGCGGATCGGTCTTTTTTCCTCTATGATAGAAAGCTGCCCTCAGTGAGGGCGCTCTGTGCAAGCTATGATTGACTGCTGCAATATTCGTATCCTGTGCAATTTATTGTCACTGTTTTGCCCTTCTTACAATTAGCTGAAATGTACTTCACTATTTGCAGATATCTGCTGCACGCTCTTTCACCATCGACTATGACAAGAACACATTTCTTAAAGATGGCCAACCCTTCCGCTACATTGCTGGCTCCATGCATTACGCCAGAGTTCATCCAATGTACTGGAAAGATCGACTGACGAAGATGTATATGGCTGGACTGGATGCTGTTCAAACGTGAGCATTCAAACTCAGTGGGAGATCTACAGGGGACCCCCCCCCCCCTCCCCCTCCCCCTCCCCCTCCCCCTCCCCCTCCTCCTCCCCCCCCCCCCCCCCCCCCACGCCCCGCCAACCCTGCCCCCGACCCATCCTCAATTAAAAAAAAACAAATCCACTTTTATAGTTATAAAATGCTTATCCGTCAGTGATTAATGTTTTCAGTATCACTATATTACTTTTAAAAAGTTTCCCTCAGCAGTTTGAAAAAAAAAGAGAACTCCAATGATAAAGACAAATTCCAAAGATCCATCGTTTTTTCTTTTATCCCCATAAAACCAGATACGTCCCGTGGAACTTTCACGAGCCCAAGCAGGGATCCTTCGATTTCGAGGCTGGAGCTGATCTGGAATCATTCTTGCAAATGGCTCAGGCTTCGGGGCTGCTGGTGATTCTGAGGGCAGGGCCATACATCTGTGGAGAGTGGGACATGGTATGCTTTGATGTAAAAGAGATGTCCTGTAAAATGCTCCAAAATCTCTAAAACATTTCATCCTTAGACTATTACAATTTGAGCTTGAAAGTTTTTATTCCTATTTTCAAAGTTAAAGCATTTTTTCAAGAAGTATCAGATGTAACATTGATAAAGTAACTTGCAAATATGTCTAGCTTTTCATAGTATAGGCTCTGTGCACAAGTACTCCTTCAACGGCCAGAAAAGGAGAGTTGGGGGAGACCTAGACTGGTTCCCGACCCATCCACTGCGTATTTCGAATGATCAGTTTAGGGGCAGGGATTTGTCTGGGAGACCACCGCAAGTTAACTTTGAACGTATTTGCGTGCCGACGACGCCTGACGCTCACGCGAAGACGCTCTGGCTAATAGCTTTGGCACATTGAGGAAGTCGTTCATACTTTGCGCCCGAACCAGTACAGTACGCACACGCTGTGTGCTCGTCCACGGGGCTCTCAAAAGTGGTAAAAACGCGCCCTCTTTTGTTGGCGCATGGAGCCTATAGGTCTTTAACTTTGGTAAAGAATTTTCATAATGAAGTTTTTTCTTCTTTTATGTACTAAAGGGAGGCCTACCGTCATGGCTCTTGAAAAACCACGGCATCAAGTTGCGTACATCTGACCCAGGTATGAATGGACCATTGGCATAGCGGTACTTTCCTGGCCTTCCATCGCTGTGACCCAGGTTCGAATCACGCCCGGGCCAACACGTGGATTGGGTTTTCAGTCCCTGCCTGATTCCGTGGGTTTCCCTTATACTTCTGAACCTGTAATTTCTTCTCATTGTCTGCTCTCGACAGTTTCTTCAGGTTTGCAAACTACAGTGCCTAGGGCGATTTTGAGGAATCCGTGGTTTCATTACCAGAAATAAATAATAATGTTCATCTACACAACCTTGTTATTCAAAGAATTAGTTTTAAAAGGGCAATGTACTGTTAATAATTCAAGATTTCTTCTTCAAAACCATGCCTGCCAAATCTTCTGTATTTTTATAGTTTGGTCTGAATCACCTCATGACTCGACAAGTACATTTAGCAGTTCGGTATTTCAATTTTATCCTGTTTATGGTTTGTTTTTTCAGTATACTTGAAGTACGTTGACCAGTGGCTGGATACGTTTCTACCCAAGATTAAGTCCCATCTCTATGCCAATGGCGGACCAATTATCACAGTTCAGGTAGGTTTAAATATCTTTTAGGAAACTCTCAGCTATTTGATTTGCAACCAGACAACGTCTTCTTTACTGAATATATATTTAATGACTTGAGACTTGACCAGAGTGACTGAGACTTATGAACTGAGTGACTTGAGACTTGACCAGAGTGACTTTAGACTTGACCAGAGTGACTTGAAACTTGACCAGAGTGACTTTAGACTTGACCAGAGTGGCTTGAGACTTGACCAGAGTGACTTTAGACTGGCCTAGAGTGACTTGAGACTTGACCAGAGTGACTTGAGACTGGACCAGAGTGACTTGAGACCTGACCAGGGTGACTTGAGCCTTGACCAGAGTGACTTGAGACTCGACCAGAGTGACTTGAGACTCGACCAGAGTGACTCCAGACTTGACCAGAGTGACTTGAGACCAGACCAGGGTGACTTGAGCCTTGACCAGAGTGACTTGAGACTTGACCAGAGTGACTTGAGACTTGACCAGAGTGACTTGAGACTTGACCAGAGTGACTTGAGACTTGACCAGAGTGACTTGAGACTTGACTAGAGTTACTAATAAGCTCGACCAGAGTGGCTTGTGACTTGACCAGAGTGACTTTAGACTGGACTAGAGTGACTTGAGCAGGGTGAGTTGAGACTTGACCAGAGTGAAATGAGACTTGACCAGAGTGGCTTGAGACTTGACTAGAGTGACTTGAGACTTGACCAGGGTGGTTTGAGACTTGACCAGATTGACTTGAGACTTGACCTGAGTGACGTGACACTTGACCAGAGTGACTTGAGCCTTGACCAGATTGACTCCAGACTTGACCAGAGTGACTCCAAACTTTATCAGAGATACTTCAGACTTGGCTGGAGTAACTTTAGCCTTCCCTTTTTAACTGACCTCCAGATCGAGAATGAATATGGCAGCTACCCAGCCTGTGATCACGAGTACATGCGCCATTTGCTCAGGCAGTTTAAATCTCATCTCGGGGAGGATGTTGTGTTCTTTACAACGGATGGACCGTCTCAAAGACTGCTGGAGTGTGGCTCCTTACAGGGCATATATGCAACAGTGGATTTTGGTGCAGGGGGTGACCCAAGTGCACGTTTTGCTGTACAGAGACAGTTTGAGCCAAAAGGTCCTCTGGTAAGTTGGCTGAGGTCCTCATTGTTATTGTTATCTCAAGCAACCCATTGTTCCAAGTCCTCAGTTGTAAAAGTCAACTTGGTCAACGTAAAACACCTTCCATCATGGACCTCTTATTGTCCTATTGTTTGCACACATTTTGAGAAGATCCCCCATTGGTTTTGTACACGATTTCCAACTGGGGACCCTCGCCCAACCGTGGACCCTATACCTTTATCATGCTGCCACCATTTCAGTCATGTTCCCTGTATCCAATAACAGTACTGAATGATGGTTTTTTGTGCAAAAAGGAACCAGACTATTTTTCCTTCCAGCCTCACTTTGGTTACGTTGATTTGAATGAGGAAAAAATCAAAGATGGCTGCAACATGATAATGGCCTATTGTCATCTATTGTTCAAGGTCCCCTATTAAATACTTACTCACACACACAGATACTTTCTAAATTTCTTGTCAGTAATTTTCAGGGAAAATGTGTGCAAGCCCTACCAGTAACAACCCAGCTTCGATCACACTAAGAACACTGCCTGTTTTCTGATATGTGTGGTCGAAATGGAGCTTTTGGAAAAAGACTGAGATTTTCCAAGTTTCAAAATTCTTCTTTTCGTCAGAATTTTTTATGTAATTTGATTTTCAGGTCAATTCTGAGTATTACACTGGCTGGCTGGACCACTGGGGGTCACCGCATCAAACCAGGACGACGACAGGAATTGTTGATTCCCTGGATAAAATCCTGCATCTTGGAGCTAACGTCAACATGTAAATTTCACCCTATTTCCCTCGGTTATTTTTACGTTCAAATATGCTGAACCTATTTAAACCCATAAAACAATCCCTATGTGAATTGTTTTGTTTTGCTGAAAGAACACTTACCATTTTTGTGATCCGTGGACAGAACTTTAAAACGGTGGTTGTGTTTAAAATTCCATAACTTGAAAAGTACATGAGTGATTTGAATGATTCTTGTACTAAAAGAAAGCTTATTAATTGGGCTTTCATATCCTAGATTTTGATAGTGATACATGCAGAACTTCATTAAAACATTGGTCCTGCCATTCGGTTTTCCTTTTTGTTGGACTCACCCTGTAGTTATTTGTTAGCGAAATCTGTCTTTTTTCAGGTACATGTTTGAAGGTGGGACCAACTTTGCCTACTGGAATGGAGCCAATGGGAACGAGGCCTCGTACTCACCGCAGCCGACGAGCTACGATTACGACGCACCACTGACTGAAGCTGGTGACCCAACCCAAAAATACCTTGACATCAGGACGCTCATTGGAAAAGTAAGAAGCATAAGTCAATCACTTATGAAATCACACGGGTGACCAAGAATATTTCACAAGACGGGAATGCCATGGGTGGAGAGAGGCAAGTGTGGTGAAGTGTCTTGCCCAAGGACACAATCACTGTGTTTCCCGCCGTTAGGGTTCGAACCCGCATTACATCACACATGGTACGGACACAATAACCATTGGACCACAGTGTTCCACCTTAAACATTTAAAAAAAAATTCCCGTTAATATCTTTCTGTTTTTAGTACAAAAAACTTCCACCGGGAAATGTTCCACCGCCGACACCGAAGCATGCCTACGGCAAAACGGACATGAATCGTATCGCGACGCTATACGAGGCATTGGGTGTCATCTCCCCCACTGGACCAATAAGCACGGACTATCCTATGAGCATGGAAGATTTGCAACAGGTTTGTAATTATTCATAAGATGGAATTTGCATTGGGGTGATTCAATATTAGGTAAATTGGGTAAATTCAATATTAGGTTTTGCCCTTCAATTACATATAAACACTGTAAACTCGTTGTGGTACATCAAGTGAAAATGAGAAGAATCACTCCGGTGGGACTCGAACCCACGACCCTAGTGCAGACGTCTTCCCACTCGACCACTGAGCTTGCCGGGAATCAGTTGGCTGGTTCAAATCTGATGTAGCAGTGGGTACCACAATGAAACTATTCACAAGATGGAATTTTGCGTTAATATTAGGTTTTGCCCTTCGCCGACGTGTAAACACTGTAAACACTGTATACTCGGTGTGTTACACCCCGAGTGAAAGTGAGAAAAAAATCACTCAAGAGGGACCTGAACCCACGACCTCCTGCTTTGTAGTGCAGAAGTCTTACCACTTAGTCTGTAATTAACCTTTAATCGCTCAGTTGTATAAATCTGTGTCAACTACTGGGGGAATAATAATGGCAAAATCCTAAAACTGCCGGACGTGGGGGGGGGGGGGCTTGTCCATTCCTGGCTATTTGTACCATAAACTGGTTTTTATTTTTTAATTTGCAGGATTTCGGGTTCATGTTGTATCGAACCCAACTGAAAGCCAACTACACAAAGCCCACACCGCTGTTTATTCCTGGCATTCGTGATCGTGGATACGTTATGGTAGACCAGGTATGATGTCACAAATTTTCATTTGTTATTTTGGCATTGCCCTTTAGTTTTTAAATGTGAAACATTTCAGAACGCAAAATTTGCAGAAAAATCTTCCAGCACTTGCTACAAGGTTCAATTATGCTGTATATAATTTTACAGATGATGCATTTAAGATTGTAAATTACTACGCCAAAGCTGTAAAATATTGTGTACTTTTACTAGAAACCTATAGGAATTCTTCAGCGCAACACACATGTGACCCTCAACATCGATGGTCACGTCAACTCAACGTTAGACATCCTCGTTGAAAACATGGGTAGGCTAAACTACGGATGCTGCATAAACGACACAAAGGTAAATGTGAATGAAAAGATTTCTTTTTTGAGAAATTACATTCCATGTTTTGAAATCTATGGCTGTGAAAAGTTAAAGGAATGGTTATTAGAATTATGATAACTGACATCCTGTATTCTGATATTGATTACAGCGTCCCATTTTTAAAAAGTAGGTTTCGTTTGAAACATTTTTGTTAAAATTTGTAAACAGTTTGATGCCTTTTTAAAATCATTTTTGATAACGTCACATTTTACCACAGGGCATCATCAGCAATGTCACACTCGACAATGTCGTCCTAAAATCCTGGCAAATCTACTCCCTCAACCTAAGTAAGGCTCACCCAATGACCCTTCAGGCCATTGCCATGACAACGCCGGCCAAACTAGAAGACGTTCCGTCAGGACCGTTGGAGATTCCGTCATTCTATATTGGCACCTTGCCAAGCGGTCCGGCGGGGGGACCCCAAGACACCTTCTTGCAGATGCCCGGTTGGTCCAAGGTGAGAAGTTTGTAACTCTTCCCACTCCCCGATCCTATACAAAATCAATTAAAAGGCTATAAAGGATTTTGTAGGATAAAGGAAGGTAGCTCAGCAAGTTTTACTTTACATTGGGGCTGGATACCCATAGAAAATCTAACTCTAACCTCTAACCATCCTCGTTCCTACAAAATCAATCAGATGGTTTACAGGATTTTGCAGGTTTGAGGAAGGTTTTACTTTACACAGAAGCTTGAAACCCATGGAAAGTCAACTCTAGCCCCTAATCCTAACTCTCTGCTCTCGCATTCCTACAAAATCCATCTGAAAGTTTTGGAGGATTTTGTGGGATTCAGCCATAAAAGAATGCGATCGATTTCATTGACAGTGGTGGATTTTAGAGGGCTTAGAAAGGTTTCTAGCAAAGACATCAATGTTGATACGTTTAAAAAATATTTAAAATAAAAATTATAAAAATTGGTTTTTTTTATAAACCTTATAACACTTATTTTGTGACTACTTTTCTTAGGGTCAGGCTTTCATCAACGGTTTCAATCTGGGTCGCTATTGGCCAGCAGAAGGTCCGCAGTTGACCCTCTACGTTCCAGCTTTCGTTCTGACGGCAACCAAAAACACCCTGGTCCTTTTTGAGACGGAACACTCGCCCTGCAACTCGTCCAACCCCTGCTCTGTGGAATTTGTCGACAAGCCCATACTCAACTCGACGATTCCGCCTGTCGGGGATAGGTTTGTCGTACCCGAGATACAACAGGAAACGGAAAACATGGACACTATCCAAGATTTTGACCTAATTGATGAAGATGTATTTGAATGGGAAAGCATGGCGTTGTCGGAATTGGATTCATCCGAGAGCGGTGCTTCTTCTTGGGAGTATGAAGTTGATGATCCTAGATGGGTGGTGGACGGGATACCAGACCCAGTTGATGGACCTGAACCGTCAACTGATCCCGTTGCCGAGGAAAATGGCAAAAATGAGGACAATTCGTGGTTGGGTGTTGCAAAAGATATCGCCCTGTCTGCGGTGGAGATCTTTGTTTACTTCACCAGCCTACCCGTGCTTGCCTGGGGTTATTTGTAGGCACCACAATTAATCGCGCAAGGTGCGCAACATTTCACGCTGCACAACTTTTCAGTTATGACAATTTCACGAAAGTTTCAAAGTGCGTAAATTGGTGACTTACACAACAAACTATGGTATAACTTGTGCAGTCATTTTAGGTGGCATATTTAGTTGTGGTGTAGCGACTGAAAATGACCTCTTGTACCAGCAAATCGTTATTATCATGGAGCCTGTTTATTATGCACAAACTTATCAAGGTAGTGATACAAGATCACAGATTTGAGTTTTAAGTAAAAGAACAGCTGTTTTGTTGAGTCGGACAAACTACATGTATTATTCATAATGGCGGGTGGAGTTGATTCAACGGCTGTATCATGAACGAACAAAATCATAAACGAACAATCGTCGGTAATGCTGTAATTATCCTTGTCCCAGATGTCAAGATTATTGAAAATGTTCTGCAGCTACGCCAAATTTCGTGAAATTGATCGTAGCTTTATTGTGCAGCTGCCCAATGAATGTGTTACGCAAGTCCTATGCTTGGTGTAAGTTACTCACTGTTTCGTGAAATTGGCTGCATCGCCTCAGTGCTTTTGCATAGAGGGCGCTATTTGCATAATTACTTGTGCGCTTATTGATCGTAATAAATGACGACCATATGATATAATGTTGCCCAATTTGATGGAGTTAATGTCAATCAGAATACAATGAACATAGCAGGCATGTTGTCTGGTTAAACAAATATCAACTGAGCACCAGTTGCAAGAAATTAATATTGTACTTTGATTGGCTGGTAACCCGTTTTTGGTATAAGCAAATGTTTCATATGCTTTGCATTTTCTGTGCCGCTTAGCAGTTTTTGGCATAATTGAGCTGATCTGAGATCCATGTTAAAAGATGGAACAAATTTGATGTAAACGAGGATGATAAATCATGAGTCTGGTACCTATAAGTCTTTTAGGCATAGTACGCTGGAGGGGATGCAAGGTGCCTGTTGGACACATGTCAAAATACAAGTACTAAACAAAAAATGAATTATTGTACTTGGGTTCAATGGTGATACTTTACTGTGCAATTACTTGATTTTTTTTTTCAAATGGGGATGGGTTTAAGTTTATAGCCAAATAAGTATCTATAGATTGTTGTTTTTCAATTTTGTAATTTGTTACATTTTACTGAAACACATCTCTTAAAAAAAAAAATGTGTAAAAAACAGTAAACCCTGTTAATGGGTGAATTTCAACATTATAAGGGTGATCGGTTTTAATTTTAATTTTTGGGATATGTGTTTATTTATAATTTGTACACTTTTAAACTTGAGGCTTTATTTACATAAATCATTTTTGTAATTTATTATTCATATGAATGTGGGCTTTAAATTGTGGGCACCATTTTTTGAACAAAATTCAACTTTTAACAAATTTGTTAAAAAAAAAATGTTTGAGTCCCCCCCCCCCAACCAAATCCTGGGTGCGCTACTGCACCGCCCTAACACACGTGTGTTTTACATACCTAGTGTGGACATTCCTTTGTTTCTGTGTACATGTAGAAACTCCTTTTACTCACACTGTTGAAACTCTTTCAACCCATTTTTTTCCTATGATTCCCTTTAGTGTTTCTCTTCATTTTGCCACGGATAAACCTAACCCTAAAATGCCTCTAAACCTGTTTTCCAGAGAGGGAAAAAGCTTGTGTGGACGTGGGCAAGTGGTCCACACAACGTCGCTGCTTTTGTTCGGAAGTCCGATGAATGTAATGCAAGGGCGGATCCAGAACATAATTTTTGGGGGGGCCAAAAAAATTTTGGTCCCCCCAAAAAGTGGGTCTAAAAAATTACGGCGTGGGGTTCGGGGCCCGCTAGGGCCCCGAAAATTTTTTGGATTCTAGATGCTCTGTGGTGCAATCTGAGGCAATTTCTGACCACTTTAACCAATTTTTTTTTAGGAAAAGATGGTGGTGTACTCATTGCCTGCCTTTATTGCGATGTCACATTAAAAAAAAAAAATTGGTTTCGTTTTGGGGGGGGGGGGGCCATGGCCCCCTTTGGCCCCCCCCTGGATCCGCCCTTGATGTAATGCACTATCGCAATATGCCCCTTTCTCAGGCTTACAGGGGGATAATAAAATCTAGACTGGGGATAAAAAAAAAGTACTATCAAATATCAATTGTATTGATATTGTACACAAATAAAGTAAAAGTGGCATATAGACAAAAGTTAGAAAAGGCTTACTGTCATGTTTCAGTTGATAACTGCTTTGAACAGTAATTTTATAAATTACAAAATTGTAGACAGGCTTTTAATTTTGGATTGCAATTACTTATTTGGTGTATTCTGAAGAATCCAAGGCCACAGGAAATAACCTGAGTGAATGAATGACTTAATAAGTTGATTATTTTCCAATTCAGATTATTTTTATGTTAAAAATGTGCATTAAACTTTTCATTTATTTACTTCTGTATGAAGGTCACCGTCTTCCAAATTCTTTGTATGTGAAATAGATCAAAAGTATTGGGCTATGCCAATTGAGAATGTATGTAATTGACTGCTATAAATGTACCTATGTTTTCGGGGATTCATTTTTACTTTTCTGTTGTAGACTGCATGTTATTGAACCAACAGATTCAATGTGTACCCTGACAAAGCCTTGAATGACTGACCTCGTGTTTTTTCTGTACAAAATGCGCCTGCGCAACACAAGTGGTCATTTCTTTCCATACAAGTGCAACCTCGTCCCCAGTGCATACTTTATTTCCAACCGCGTTTCCAATAGTAAACCCTGGATAGGAAACTTTCTTCCTGTATCCTGATTGGATACCGCAATTGGCTAGTAATGGATTTTTATCGTGTACTTGGTGCTATATATTCACAACGTGCAGTACGTGTTTTCGCGATCATTCGTCCACGCCTTCTCGAAAATACTAATTTCCTTTCCAATATGCTCATATTAATATGAAATATGATACTGCATGTTGTCCTGATAAGATCGTAACAGTTTGATTTCAAAAATCGTGTTTTCGTAACTCACGCCGTGCTCGCGCTGTTACGAATTGACTCTGTTTTTACCCCAGACACCGCATACAAAAACAAACGCTAATGTGTAACGCATATCCAGGCACCAGACTGTTCCTCATTTGCATACGTGTGCAAAAATCTTGCACATGCAAATGATCCAATACCAGGATGAGAGAGCAGGTAGTGGTGGGCGCGTACTGCTCGACACCCTGGGGACGAGGTTGATACAAGTGTGCATAGTGTGACCCACTGATCTCTATATAAAGACTGGATAGCTAATACAGAGCCGCATCCACAATGTACGAATTTGACGCCATATTGGTGAGACCGGCTGGTGATCTACAAAGGACAAGTTGTCGTTTTTATAGACAGCATGATTTCTTTTGTAACGTCGCGGTTCACTTGACTTATATTTTGACCACCATCACTGACCAAGGTTAACTACAATTTTTCTAACGTCGTGGTTACTAAAATGCCGCAAATATAACTTTTTCGGCGTTTTGAAATAATAATCACTACGGAAATGTGTCCCTTTTAGAACATCATAATATGTGTACGTGACCAAAATGCGCGTCAACTGTTGATACAACGCGCGCGTATTTACGCGTAGAACGTTTGTATATACGCGGCCATCTTCGTGAGACCGGGGGCGAATTGGTCTACTGTGTGAATGTTGTATGCATATCCGCTATCCAGTCTTTATATAGAGATCAGTGGTGTGACCTCGTAACGTGGACACGTACGACCATGGTAGGCCTACACGTAGGCCCTATTATATTTGTGCAGGGCGAGGGTACCTCTATGGTGACCAAAAGATGGCGTCGACTTTAAGGACTTTATTCCACGATCCAGACTACTATGTGAAGTCTTTCCATTGTTACGCTGCCCAATGTGACAAGTTTAGCTTGCTCGCTAGCTGGGGCGAACGTGTGTTTGGCGATGCGGTGGTCACCAAAATCAAGACCGCACTTGGCGACAATGAGGAGTTGCGAGTTTTAGGGGTTGGAAGTGGATCAGGTACGTATAGGACTAGCTGGAGTTACCCAGCCCTGAGTTTTATCATTGGGTTGTCTATTAGGGCTGGAGCGCATTTTTCTCGTAACTTGTAGTATTTGCAAAAAAAATTTGGAAAATGTTCAATTTTGTCCCCGTTACACACTAATTGCAACTGCAACTCACCCCAAACTTGCCTGGAATAACCATTACACAGGTCCTTGAAGTAAAAAACGATCCACGATGAAGATTCAGCCTACAATTGCAGTGAAAACGGGAGGAATAACCGCTAACTTGACAACCTTGCTGGATTGGCCAGGACCGCTGTTGGTTTGTGCACAAAAAAAATTGTGTACAAACAATGAATGGCGGTCGATTAACAGGCACAAAGAGCGATCGCTGTCAACTACTCGTTTTTGCCGGCTGCGCTGGCTGTTGGCGCATGACGTCACGCGGAAGCGTAACACCCGATGACTGTTTCATGCACTAGTATAAGGTTTACCACTCGCATCACAGCTTTGGTACTGGAACCGCAACAAATAGTGCATGAAACAGTCATCTGGTGTTAGTATAGGACCAAAATAGCAGTCCTTGCTCTATGGTTCAATCATGGAGGTAGAATCAATTAACACCACCTGACTGATGATTTCATTAGACACTATATAGCTTATCATATGGTATAGCTTTATACGGTATATAGCGGTCTATATGGGTTCATTATGTTTTATGCACAACAAAGTCACAATTACGAGCGCTGTCGGATCATGGAGCTATAAAACACATGGTCGGATCCGCTATTAAACGGGGCGCCCTTTTCCAAGAGTACACGCTATTGTGGGACCTACACGCTATTGTGGGACCTATCAAGAGTGTGTATGTGTGTGGGGGGGGGGGCAATGGCCCCCCTGTGCCCCCCCCCCCCCCCCCCCCCCCTGGAAGTTCCAAGAAGCATGACAAGGAGCCTATAGACTTTTCTACGTTCAGACGCTTGGTTGGCAAACTGCACATTTTGCAAACCACGGGTTGCAAAACTATAGCAGGTCCAACGCACTGCAAAATGAAGAACAGTTATAAATTACAGATAACCAAAATATAATTTGATTCACGGTTGGAAACATTGTCAACAAAGCTACATCACAATTCCTATAAACATGCCTTTTCACTATGTATTGAGGGCCGTGGGGACTTTTTTTGAAAAACTGTTGCCAACCATGGCTTCAATTTATGCGCTTGCGGCAGCCCATATAAAATGGTGCCAATGTTTACAAACAAAAGAAAGGTCAATCATCTTTGACTCTGACGTACAAGTTCAGATTGTGTTAGCAGCGGTTTTTCATTTTTTGTAAGTGATAATTGGTGGATTTCTTACTTAAATAAGGTGAGATGGACGTCACAATGTTGACCAAACTTCTGCAGCGCTTCCCACTCATCAACAACCGTGTAGTTGAGCCAGCAGAGGGCCATATAGCAATGTACAAGGCACTTGTACAAAGCAAGGCTCACGAGCTACACGGTGTGAATTGCGACTGGCGGCGGCAGACAATTGACCAGTACGAGAAGGCGGGAGATTTGACCAAGTTTCATTTCGTCCACGCGGTGCAGTCTTTGTACTACGCGGAAGATCCCGATCGCTCATTGATGTATCTTTACAACCTCGTGGAACCCGGCGGAGTTTTGCTCGTGACAGTTAATTCAGGTAAACGATTTTGTTTGGTCAGATTGAAGTATGATTTTGGAAGGTACCTATTAAAATTCATAGCAGAGGACATACTGAATGAAATTCATAACTCAAGTCCAATGCGAATTTTTTTTCCCCTCAGAGAAAAGCCAGCATTGTCTCTTCTGGTGTTTTCAAGACGACCTGTTTAAACACGTCACCACAGCCAGCATCCGGGACTCTTTGGACAGACGAGGCATCCCCTACGCAGAGTACGCCCAACCCTCGCGCATCGACGTCACCAAGTGCTTCGATCCATCGTCAGAAGAGGGCGCCCAAGTGCTGGACCTAATCACCCACATCATCAAGTTCAAGGAGACGGCGTCTGCGGAATTACAAGCGGAGATGATGCAGCGACTTGCTGAATGTTCCGAGGCGCATGGGGACGGGGCGTTTGTGAGCAATGACTGGGATGCGGTTGTCGTCAGCAAACCAGTGGATTAAATCATAGAGCAAACAGGCCTTCATAGGCCGATGTGATTTTTGTAGACACAACAGAAACTGGCAAAAACAATTTTTATTTTTTAATATACATATCTTCGGACAATAATTAAAAATCTATTTAAAAAAGATTTGTTGATGTACCCTGTAACGTGGCGCGGCCCCCAATGTGGCGTGGCGCACTTTGATTTTGCGCCTGTAGCGCCTAGCTAGAGCAAAAGTTTTAACTGAAATTTTACAGAAAGTCAAATTTCATCAAGTTCTCATGTTCATAAATCGCGAGTTTATTTATCCGGTACGAAGTTAGAAGAAACATTTATTTTGGCGTGATTTTCCGATTTTATTTTCAAGTGCAAAGTGAACCCTGTGAAAATGTTCCGAAAAATAAAAAAATAATTTTCTGACAAACTAACTGACGTATCTCTGATGACAGTTTTTACAAACGTTTGTCTAGACCAGGACAATATACATGTAGTCGTGCTCCCTAACGCGTGGCGCACTTCAAAGCTTACCTAACTGTCCTCGTGTAGTGTTGCCAAGCCTCTTTGTTGACAAACCTCAACATTCATGCAGTACTTTTTACCTTATTAATGCTTGCTATTTAACCTCCGTGAACAATTTCGGTTTCCTAAAATTTAATCCGAAATTCAAAAACGGTGGCGTCCGGAAAATGGCACAAATTGAAGGAGTGTTCCCTAACGTGGCGCACTTAAATATATCTCGGAAAAATCCAAAAAAGTTAAGAATTTCTGTAAAATTGATAAATTCTGATAAATCATTATTATCTCTACTTAATACATACCCAGCCAGATCTTAGTTCCAATTCAGATTATTTTTATGTTAAATATGTGCATTTAAACTTTTCATTCATTTACTTCTGTATGAAGGTCACCGTCTTCCAAATTCTTTGTATGTGAAATAGATCAAAAGTATTGGGCTATGCCAATTGAGAACGGTAATTGACTGCTATAATGTACCTATGTTTTCGAGGAATCATCTTTTCTGTTGTAGACTGCATGTTATTGAACCAACAGATTTACGTACCTTGACAAAGCCTTGAATGACTGAAAGGGTTTGTGACCTTGTGCATTTCTGTACAAAATGCGCCTGCGCAACACAATTGGTTGAGGATGTGTGTGATCCCCTTGATACTGAACTGATCCTACCCCTACACCTAAAGCTACAAAATCCCTGCAGTATGCATTTCTTTCCATAAAAGTGTGCACAACACATGTAGTGTGACCTCGTATGTATGTGTGCACAATACATGTAGTGTGACCTCGTATGTGCATGTATGTGTGCATAATACATGTAGTGTGACCTCGTATGTATGTTACGCCCCAACTATCGCATCGGTCCCAACTGTAGTTGGGACTGTCCCAACTATAGTGCGGCAGTTGGGTCGGCCCAACTATAGTGCATCAATGTAAACTATAGTTGGGACCATTGATCTCCATATGGAGATCAATGGTTGGGACCGAAAAATAAAACGATTGGAGTGGCCCAACTATAGATTGGCGGTGCACGCGGTGCAGTCTTTGTACTACGCGGAAGATCCCGATCGCTCATTGATGTATCTTTACAACCTCGTGGAACCCGGCGGAGTTTTGCTCGTGACAAGAATTTTTTTTTTTAATATACGTATCTTCGGACAATAATTAAAAATCTATTTAAAAAAGATTTGTTGATGTACCCTGTAACGTGGCGCGGCCCCCAACGTGGCGTGGCGCACTTTGATTTTTCGCCTGTAGCGCCTAGCTAGAGCAAAAGTTTTAACTCAAATTGTACAGAAAATGAAATTTCATCAAGTTCTAAACTCTCCCGTTCATAAATCGCGAGTTTATTTTTCCGTTACAAAGTTAGAAGAAAACATTATTTTGGCGTGATTTTCCGATTTTATTTTCAAGTGCAAAGTGAACCCTGTGAAAATGGCCCGAAAAATAAGAAACTAATTTTCTGACAAACATCTGGCTGGGTAGGTAAGCAGAGATAATAATGATTTATCAGAATTTATCAAGTTTACAGAAATTCTTAAATGTTAATTTGGAATTTTCCGAGATTTATTTAAGTGCGCCACGTTAGGGAACACTCCTTCAATTTGTACCCAATTTCCGGACGCCACCGTTTTTGAATTTCGGATTAAAGTTTATGAATTCGAAATTGTTCACAGAGGTTAAATAGCAAGCATTAATAAGGTAAAAAGTACTGCATGAATTTGAGGTTTGTCAACAAAGAGGCTTGGCAACACTACACGAGGAAAGTTGGGCAAGCTTTGAAGTGCGCCGCGTTAGGGAACACGACTATATTGTCCTGGTCTAGACATAAGTTTGTAAAAACTGTCATCAGAGATACGTCAGCCTGATTATTAAAACAGTTGTAGAACTATAACCCTTACCCTAACCCTAACCCCCATAACCCTTACCTATATCTTGTTGTTGCCCTAGTCTATCCAGCTTTCTATCCCTGAAAAAAAATCTACAGTGGAAAATCGCCCTATAATCACCATTCGCCAGCAGATACACACGGAATGTTTGTATAATATACACACAATTGAAACTGTGTAAATTAATTGATACCTCACGTATCTCTAAACCTATTTTGGTCTAGAAACCTACGGGGATATTGCTGCATGTTGTTGCCCTACTATCTGGCTTTCTATCCATGTAAGATTTGTTTTGATAATCCCAAATTCATGTTTAATCATTCTTGTCAGCCACTGCGGCCCTCGGCCACCATTTCATGTCAGTCATGTTCCCTGTATCCAATAACAATACTGAATGATAATGGTTTTTGTGCAAAAAGGAACCAGGCTATTTTTCCTTCCAGCCTCGCTTTGGTTACGTTGATTTGAATGGGGAAAAAATCATGAAGGCCGCAACATGATAATGGTCTATACACGCGGGATGTTTTCTTTTTTAACCACACAACTTATGGCTAAGATTCAATTAGGCCCAAAAAAAAAAGTCTCCGGTTTCTGGTATGGAGCTTGCCCAAAAAAATGGTGCGGCGACGAGGCTTTTTTTTTTTTTTACCTGATTTTTTTGGCTTCCAATGTCGGCTGATGACTGCAAATGGTGCCCGACTAAACTTAGTGCAAATATATGGGAGTCCAGAGAGGCCACATAAAGCTTATTCTCGACCATAACCCAATCTAAAAACACGTTAAAATTGTGCAGCAGCATGATTCCAGTCAAACCAGTGAGTTTGGCGGTTTTGAGACATCATCTTTCATTGAAAAAAAAACTTTTTCATTTTGCCGACGCGCATGGCTACGGCGACGCGCGCGCATACCAGAAACCGGAGACTTTTTTTTTTTGGCCTTAATTTATATGTGGTCGCCGGTCGTATCTCGAAAGCAAATTGTCTAGAAACTTGGGAACTGTTGCATGCCATGGTGCGTAAAGTTATACTATACTATCCAGCTTTCTATCCGTGTAAAATTATTCCGATCGAAATAAAGACATATATGAGAACAGAATTCTGCATTCTTTTTTAATCAAAGATTAGTCCAAACCATGCTCGCAGGAACGGGGGGTGCTGTGGGTGCTGCAGCACCCCCAACTTTTTGGATTGGGGTGCTGGAATATACTTCAGCACCCCCTACTCCCGGGCAAAAATGTGTTCCAGCCAGCAGTGTTCAACGACGACGAAATTGCGCCGCTACGCTATACATCATGCTTGCTCTACAAATATCTCCTTCGTTTTGTTCGTTTCTAGTTTTGCCGCGGCTAAGCGCGGCGCTTCGAACGTCGTGCACAAACACTGTAAAATATCAAGAGGAGGTATTTTCTAAATCTTCAGGCAGTGCAGAATCGATATTTCTCTCAAGGTATCTAAAATCATGACATGTCTATCATATTTCCGCCATTATGTAAATTTGACCCAAATGCCATAACCTTGGGCATGACAATGGTGGCAAAGTTGATAATGCTTGCCAGGATTTTTTTTTCATTCGATCTTTCAATAGGGGCAAATGAATACCTTTCCCCTGATGGTTTTTTTTTTCATTTAAAAGTTTCATTGACGTTGCTAGCATTCTGTGCTCAACACTAACAAATAGCAAGGTTCACACACAAGTCATCCCCAACCTAGGAGTGGGACGGGCTTTCAATGAAACTAGTCATGCATCACGCCAATTCCAGTGTAGTTTCGTTTTAATAAAAAAGCTATTCATGTATTACCCTCTGCAAGTTTTTCCTCATAAAAACTCAGTAGACCGATAAATCCTTGCCTATAGCCCCAAACTTGCCATCTACCGATCATAAACATAAAGATGCATTTTGTCTTTCAGTCTTTTATATTTGCCATTCCCTGTAACAAACAAATAACACTGCAAATATATCGAGAGCTACATCGTTTGGTCAGTTAGAACTATGTGAATATATTTATGAACAGAAATTCATCCGCTTCCAGTGGTTCAAGTTTTAACTTGAACCAAAAAACATCCTTTCGGGTTTTATAAGTTTCAGTATACTTCAGTATATTTCATCACAGTGCATCCAGAATTCAACATTTTCAGGGGCCTTAAAGCGGGCCCCTGGCCCGGTGGCCCCACGCCGTAAGGGCTCAGAAAATAAAACAAAACATACACGTAGGAATTTAATAAATGTAAGAAAGCAGCCTTGCAACAGTAATAATTACATGCGATGTCATGCATAACGATACAATTCTTTTCTAGAATTAAATGGAACCAAATATGGACATAAACATACAGGGTTCTCCACTTTTAAGTACAGTTAAACATTTTAAGAGCAACAGTATATTCTAAACAAAATAATGAAATAAATTGTCTTTATAATCTCAAAACACTTTTGCTAAAAAAAGTCAAATGACCGTGGATTCTAGATTTACTCGGGTTTGCTTGAATACATTTCTTATAAACGCGACGGTCGTTTTAGATTTGTTTGTATATGAGAACTAGTCATTCAAGTTAATTTAAAAATAAAAAATGTTTCCTAAAGACATTTCAGTCACCTATTTCAGTTTCTTTCTTTTTTACCCAGTGACCGCCACACAGTTATTTCATAAATTGTCATCTTTGTTGGAGTGCTCCGAGCGCTCCGAGTTCCAGAAGTGCCGGTCAATTTTTGGCATGATATATTTTCTCTTTCACGCCATGCGATTTTTTTCAGTTTCCATAAATTGAGATGTAAGTAACAATTTTACAAAGGACTTTTCCAAGGGTGATTTTCTTAAGAAATCAATGCAAGCCTGGGCCTACCAAGAACAATTTTAAAAACTTCGACTTTTACACGCTAATATCCTAATCGAGGGCCCGTCCGGAAGCGCGCCACCATGGGTCACCTTTCAGGCTCTGCTGATAACTGATTGAGGGCTTAGACCAAGTAATTTTGAAAGAAGTATAAGGTGGAAACAATATAGGTGAAGTAATTCAACTTCATCGAAACGGAATTACTTAAAATGAAGTCGATTTTTTTTCTCTCGCCATGTTTCATAGGTAATGCAAGGAAACTCACAGTGGTTTGGAAGTGTATTTTTAAGGTGCCGCACTCCGTTATCACCAGCGGACAGCCATGTTTCAATTTAACACAGCATGAATATAGTGCCGTAAGATGCATGCACTTACAGTTTAGTCCCTGTGGCGCGACTTCACTGAAAAATTACAAATTTTAACCCAAATGGGTTAAAATTTTAACCCAAGCTTAGGGTGAAAACTGCAACTACCCAAAATTGGGTTGTGCCTATACCCAATTGTTTAGGTTAGAATTTCCGGCTAATACAAGACCAGATTTGGTTATACCTACCGAATTGAGTTATATTTACCCCAAAGCTTGGGTTACGAAATTGTTTTGGGTTGTGTTTACTTAGAACTTGAGGTTATAATTTAAAAGCGTTTTTTTTTTCGCTTTTAGAGGGCGAGTAAATTATCTTGGGCTATGAAGCTATGCTTGGGTTGTTTTTACTTATAACTTTGGGTCAATTTAACCTTAAGCTTGGGCTATATGCCTGGGTTGTATTTACTTATAACTTGGGGGTCAATTTAACAATAACATCGATTATAAGGGGAGTACACCCATGGTGGTAATGGTGGAAAGTCAGCCCAGTAATCATTAAAAAAAAACGTGGCAACTCGGCCTTGGTAAATTCAAAATTCGGTTTTCTTTCCTCTTCAAATTCTAAGGGCGGGGAGAAGGCGCCGGTTGCCACTTTAATTCCCCCGATATAAAGTACAGGTTTTTCCCGGCCAATTTCCTGAATTGTTCATTTACTTCTGAAAATCGGTCATTCGTTTTCGTCTGAATTTGAGAATCGCTCTGAACACGCGTTTCATTTTCGCTACCAGTACCAGAGCATTCGACTCCATTTCAGTTCAATCATTTAAGTGATTGAGCAGCACCTTTCGTTTATTTACATTCAGATTCGTTTACAATACTTCTTTTTTGCTTTTAGAGGGCGATTTCAAAGTTCACCATTCTATTTCACTTTTAGTTTAATGCCATCGGCACCAGATACAATTAGGGGTTTCTTTTTCATCAACCGTCAATCAAATTAATTGTACCTGAAATCAATTTATAAAAGGTATGCTTGCGTAAATGATTGCGCAGATAACGTAATTGGCCGTCTGTTTCTCAAAACCGAATGCACGGACAGTGAAAACGATTGAACTTTCGTTGAATTGAAATGGGATTAAAGACATGCATTCAAATTCAGACGAAAACGAGTGAACGATTTTCAGAAATGAACATTTCATGAAATTGGCCGGCAAAACCTATATAGTAATGGATTGATCCAGTAAGCTCCGCCCAGTGCGCATGTGGGCAAATTAACACATGCTCCTCTCCAATGCCACGCTGCATTTTCCTGCCGCGCGCATCATACGCGCGTGCACGCATGTCGGACTTTAGTGCACGCACGTCGGACATAAATCACGGCTGTGATTGGTCAGAACACCATGGGGCGGTGCTAACTGGATCGGTCCATTAACCACACACGATAAACAGTTAATACGTGCTTAAGGGCGCGTCTTATTCCATTGGCTTGAAGACAACAACTGCATCCCAGTCGTTGATCATGACCACCTTGTTCCCACGCTTGTCTGAGAACTCAGCAAGTCGCTGCATCACCTCCGCTTGCAACTCAGCAGATGCCGTTTCCTTGAACTTTATGATGTGGGTGAGTACGTCCAGCGCTTGGGCGCCCTCTTCTGACGATGGATCGAAGCACTTGGTGACGTCGATGCGCGAGGGTTGGGCGTACTCTGCGTAGGGGATGCCTCGTCTGTCCAAAGAGTCCCGGATGTTGGCCGTGGCGATGTGTTTGAACAGGTCGTCTTGCAAACTGGGTAGGCCTACCCTGAAGCGATGCGTCTGGCTTTTCTCTGAGGGTAAAAAAGGTTTGTTAATTTTTTTCTGCCGAATTTAAAAATGTTCACATCGGATTCAAAAGACAAGTAGGTCGCTACAGTTATGGATCACATTCTACCTTCCAAAACCTCGACAAAACAATACCTGATGAACTTAAAGTCACAAGCAAAACTCCGCCGGGTTCCACGAGGTTGTAAAGATACATCAGGGAGCGATCGGGATCTTCCACGTAGTACAAAGACTGCACCGCGTGGACGAAATGAAACTTGGTCAAATCTCCCGCCTTCTCGTACTGGTCAATCGTCTGCTGCCGCCAGTCGCAATTCACACCGTGTAGCTCGTGAGCCTTGCTTTGTACAAGTGCCTTGTACATTGCTATATGGCCCTCTGCTGGCTCAACTACACGGTTGTTGATGAGTGGGAAGCGCTGCAAAAGTTTGGTTAGCATTATCACGTCCGTCTCACCTAAAAAACAAAATTTGTAAAGACTCGATCAACTGTAATTAAATCACTAACGACGTTTTCAAAAAAAAAATATGCAGACGAACTTTTCTTCCCCCCCCCAGGCCGCAAATATAGAAATATAATACAATGTATGCCGAAAAGTGGCACGCGCCCGCTAGCGCCCGCTAACCCCCCCCCCCCGACCCCCTTTAACGGCAACCGTCCCGTCCTCGCCCCCTTCCCCATCCCGAGCGCGTAATCTTTATTCCTAGGAGGGTTAATAGGGGCAATGACATGAATAATTCATGTTTATCCATGAGAACGGACAATAACATCAACAGCATTGTTGTTAGTTACTCAACTAGTTACAATAAATTAAAGCATTTTAAAGAACGGTTGTCGTCGAGCTATACCACACAGTAGCTCGACCCTGGATAGTAAACTTTCTTCTTGTATCCTGATTCGATATCGCAATTGGCCAGTAATGGATTTTATCGTGTACTTGGTGTTGTTATTCACAGCGTGCAGTACGTGTTTTCACGATCATTCGTCCACGCCTTCTCAAAAACATTCCTTTCCTTTTCCAATGTGTTCATATTAATATGAAATGTGATACTGCATGTTGTCTCGATAAGATCGTAACAGTTTAATTAAATAAATCGCGTTTTCGTAACTCACGCTGTGCTCGCGCTGCAACGAATTGACGCTGTTTTTACCCCAGACACCGCATACAAAAACGAACGATAATGTAACGCACATGCAGGCTAGACTATTCCTCATTTGCATACGTGTTCAAAAATCTTGCACATGCAAATGATACAATACCAGGGTGAGAGAGCAGGTAGTGATGGGCGCGTACTGCTCGACACCCTGGGGTCGAGGTTGACCCTGCATCGTTTCACAATTGTTCCATGCAAATCAAGCTTATCATGCTCAGTTACTACTGTTTTGAACCCTGGCAAGAATTTCAACCCGGGTTGAAAATCTCAATTCTGGTCTGGAGCAGGGTTGAGTTCAACCCGGGGTGAAATCAATCTCGGGGTTGACGCAGGATTTACGCAGGGTTGAAATTCTTTAAGTGTGAAACGATGCATGTTTTCAACTCTGCATGAACCCTGCGTCAACCCCGAAATTATTTTGTCTAGCGTGAAAAGGGCTTTTGTGGTGTAAAATACACTATGCGTGTCTTCATAATCATAACACTTCAGGACAGTACCTGATCCGCTTCCAATGCCCAGCACTCTGAACTCCTCTTTTTCGCCAAGCGTGACCCTGATTTGGGGGACGATTTTCTCGCCAAACACACGATCAGCCCAAGACGCATGCACATCGAACTTGTTGTAGATGTCAGCGTAGTACGAGTGGAAGGTCTTCACGTAGTAGTCTGGGTCGTGGAAGAGAGACCTCATTTTCGACGCCATGGTGAATTGTGTTCAGTATTACGATAGGACGATAACCAGGGTGACCGTAAGGTAATGGCAAAATTCTGCTAGATACTCTTCAAAAATCTGCTTGAATTAACAAAAATCTGCTAAATCACCTATTATTACACGAAATACATTATAAACACTTATACTCACATGCAAATGTTATAAAATTCCTGAAACAAAACAAAAATCATAAAATTTCCTTAAAAAAAAAAAAATGCAATGGTCTAAAGTACTTAACTGTGTACTAATACACCTCAGGGAACCTCAAATTGAAGCTTTTTCAAAACAACTCAGCCATATTTCTCAAATTTACCATATTTTACTGTCAATTAACCAACTTTACAGAATTCTGCTAGAAATCTGCTAAAAAATTCTTTCTGCTAAATTTTCTGTCCAACTCGTTTAAGCGCTACAGCATTGGGTTAAAACATTTTCGTAAAGGGGTGGTTTGGAAGAGACAAATACATTTTCCTCCAGGTTTGTATTGAAATAAAAGTTCAAATATATCAAATGACAAGGATCTATATGTCAGTTATATAAAACAAATATTGAGTGGCTTTAAATTGTGAAATGGGAGGAATATTATCGCTCGGTAAAATCTGGACTTTTCCATTTCACTCGGCTTCGCCTCGTGAAATGGAAAAGTCCAGATTTTACCTTGCGATAATATTCCTCCCATTCCACGCTGAGCCACTCAATATTTGTATAATTTGATGTCATGGTTATACAAATAACGAATGTTTGTGAGTGCGACGGTAAGAATAATTTCATGAGGTGACAGATTGAATGTTCTATTCCACGAGGCGAAGCCGAGTGGAATAGAACATTCAATCTGTCACCGAATGAAATTATTCTTTCCATCGCACGAACGTAAAACATTCGTTATTTGTTTTATACAACACCAGAATAAATTCTCGTCATTTGATTGGTAAATTATAAACTACAATTTATTATGATTTTAAAGATGTTGAACTACTCCTTCACGAAAATGTTTGAACCCAACTCTGTAGTGCTGGCTCTTTGGAACAATACGCGCTACACTGAACGCGCACACCAGCATGCATTTTGCACGCAAATACCGCGTCATGGAACAAGCGCAAAGTGAAACGGTATAACGCATGGGTATAACGCATGGTCGCACCGTGCATTATACCGAATAATAATATGTCACGTGATCTACAATTCACCAATCAGATGACGGGGATTTATTCAGGTGTTGTATAATAAGGGAATAAATGTGTGCTCCGGAGGTTTTTATCACTCGTTTAATACCGCTTAGAGTCTGGGTGCTGATAATTACCCGAGCCGGAGGCGAGGGTAATTATCAGCACCCAGACTCTAAGCGGTATTAAACAGAGTGATAAATACCGACCGAGCACATATTTATTCCCATTCATAAATACCTTATCCGTAAAAAAATATCAAATAATTCGTTCAAAAAATCCCGATTTTGTTCAACAAGTTCACTTCATGCTTTTTGAAACATCCCTCTAGCAAAATAATGGAGTGTTCAGCTGGCGAGTAAGATGTAAACAACCCTTTTATGGAGGTTGACGCGCGCGTAGCATGTTCTGCGCGATGTCACGCAGAACGCACCTGGGGCGTTGCGTTTTGAATTTAGAACTATAAAATCCTGACTCGCTTGTAGTGTTGCGCATGCCTACGTGAGGATTGTGAACGTTCAACCAATGAAGCGGTAAGAGGCACTGGATTTTTAGGAGTCCACATTTTATTGTGACACTGGAAAAGTGTTTAAGACCAGCTAGCCATGTCTTTATCATCCGTTTAAGACCGGCCACGTGACGGGCTCTCGACCAATAGGAATAGCTAAACTGTCTGAGGTATTTATGAATACCGTATAACAAACTGCAAGTGCACCGAACCAGCAACTTCAAACTATCAGGCAGAATTATTATTATGCCCACGCCTTTTGCCAGCGGTATATGGTTGATTGTTCCCGTCACAATACCCCATGCACAAAACACCGAAGTTCACGCACTTGCATGATCATAGCCTTGGTCAATACTCTCGTCGTTATTCGTCCCGTACGCGGTCAATCGTCGGCATATATCCTCACGCGCTATGCACATGCATGTAAAAATACAGCGCGAACAGCGACCTCACGCGGCCACTATTTTTATATGCAAATCAGTTGCGGACGATCGAGAGCCTTGGTTCAATCGTTCATGTGAGGTTTTGGGGGTGGTGCCTTAGTTGACCTTAAATGTCGTTTTCTTATTGGTCGATTGTTGCGTGGAAACTTGCATAGTTAAACGTGGCACCGTACATAATCCATACACGTACACGTTGTGTGTCTCTGCACACGGCACCAATGCACAAAAACTGTGGTTCCTGTCACGTCCGCAAAAGGCGAATAGCTGCAAATACATGTAATTGATGACGTCCGGATTTACCAAGGTGTGATTGGACACTCAACATATTAACCCCGCCTACACTTATCTGTATTCGCATACGAGGTCGTGCGCTAGAAATCCAGCGCAAAATAAAGAAAAACATAAGCTTCTGCCAACGATTGAACCAAGGCTCGAGATCGTCCCCAACTGATTTGCATAAAAAATTAGTGGCCGCATGAGGTCACTGTTTGCGCTGTATTTTTACATGCATGTGCATAGCGCGTGAGGATATATGCCGACGATTGACCGCGTACGGCGGGACGAATAACGACGAGAGCATTGACCAAGGCTAGCATGATCATGGGCGTCGCGAGGGGGGGGGGGGGGGGCAAGGGGGCACTTGGAAAACGAAAAAAAGAAAAAACAAAGGAAAAAGGGGGGGGGGAGGGAAAGGAAAAAGAGGTGCGAAGCCACATTGCTGTTAATTTGATGGGGGGGGGGGTAGGGCAAATGGTCCCCTGCTCACGCTCGGAAAAATGATAAATTGAGAATATAATGAATTTTTGGGGAAAATTTGCTTTGCCCCTCCCGGAAAAAATCCTGGCAACGCCCATGTGTGCATGATGATCTCTCAATGTTGCATTCAGGCGACACGAATGGGTTTGCCTAGCCTATGCGCGCACTGAGACTATTCACAAAGTTCATGGACGCGACAAACGGTGTCATTATATTGTACCAGACAGTTGTATAGCCTTTTGTTGCCATGTTAATCTGTTGTAGGCCGCCGGCGGACGCGGAGGGCCTCCAGCGGATCTGCCCCCTGACCTGTTTCTTTTGTGCTGGGCGCGCACCGGAAGTTGGGTTCTATTTCGGGATGCTTGTGGTTTGGCGGGCGTGGGAGGGGATTTGGCAAAGTGCCTGGGCGGCCTGTGGATTGTTATACATTGTTATACATTGCTATCTGTCAGAGTTGTAGTGCCTTGATGCTGGGCCTTGGCCTTAAGTGCGTCAATATAGAAGTAAATCATTATTTTGTTTTAGTTAAACCATATTCATGAAGACCTGAACTTATACTTAATAGATACAATGCAGTCATAAAACATTGTATGTGAGCATTTTTATTGCAATTTAATACAAGTTGTTCTTCTTAATAAGCGATTCGTGATGATGTGACTATAATTAGTTCTATATTAGTGGTCATTTTATAAAACAGGGCCTTGGCCTTGGCCTTGAGGGTTAAGCCTTGGCCTTGGCCTCGAGGCTTGAGGATTAATGCCCTGGCCTTGGCCTTGAGGGTCAAAGCCTTGGCCTTGGCCTTGAGGGTCAAAGCCTTTGCTCCAACACTGCAAAAGTATCTGTAGTGTGTTTTGAAAGAGCACTAGTGTAACCTTGTAGTTGTTGTTTTGACAGTTGCGCGGAATTGTTATCGGCTGAGTTTTGTTGATAAAATAAAAAGTGTTCTTGTTGGAAGTCCTGTGCCCGCTCCCCTTTTCCGTTGTTACCGGTCTTGAGGGACAAGAACCCCTGGTCCACGCTACAATATAATGAGGGAAAATGCTACTCAAGTTGTATTCTATATTCTATGTCATTCTGCTGATGAGTGCGTAGGCCTATACGGTACAGTCTGTCCAGAAGAAAAATATGCCAACGTTTCGGATTAACTCATATCCTGAATTTATTGCATAATAAAAAATTATTATAGCTCTGCAGAGATGTATGGGGCGCTGTGGGTTTGTGATAGATGACGATTTCATTGGATATGTACATATATATATTTTTTTTAACAGAAAAACGAGAACACTCTACTTTACATATTAAAGCTTAATGAAACTCAGTTGAACCTTATTTTATGGTAAACGATATGCCGTTGTTTTTTAAAACTATAAGGGTATGTGAAATTATATACCTCTAAGACTTGAGCCGCTCGACGATCGCAGGCCGCACCATACCATTTTTAAGTGGCCTGTTTAGTTCGGGAGGGATGATTTAAATGCTGTGCTACTCCAAACATCATCGCCCCCTACTTCTAAAATTAGAAGGCACCCGTAATTCTAGAAGTCCCCTCCCCCCCGCCCGCGATTATTTTCCCCCAAAGTTATCCGTTTCCCATCTTCTGATTGGTCCATTACATGCATATCTAATACATTGTACCCAGTACACAAACACAAGATAGGTTTTTACGTCTTGTGAGAAATGTTCCTTCCTCGCTTTAGTTATTTAAAAGGTAAAATGAGAAGAAGTGAAACGCTCACTGAGCTGAAATTCGAACTTGGACCAGCTGATTAGAAGTCATGACTACTTTACGTTATTCTGGACATCATGAATAATAATAATAATAATAACAAAGGACATTTATATTGCGCAAAACCTATATGGATATACTCTTCTGCGCATTACAAAAAACAAACAGAAATGCAGAAAAATACAAAATACTAGAAATACTTAATTGTGAAATAAATGTGTTTTTAACCTGGACTTAAATACATTAAGTGAAGAAGATTGTCTGATACAAGGAGGGAGATTGTTCCATAGTGTAGGAGCAGCGTGCACAAATGCCCGATCACCGAGGGTAGCCTTTGATGTTCTTGAAGGATAAGCCAACAATGTGTGGTCTTGCGAACTCCTGAGATAATAGGTTGTTTGAGAGAGTGATTTCATGGTTATGAGCTCCTGAATGTACACCCTGGTATTGGCATGTGCAAGATTTTTGAACACGTATGCAAATTAATGAGGAATAGTCTGGCGCCTGCCTGTGCATTACATTTGCGTTTTTGTATGTGGTGTCTGGGGTTAAAACACAATCATGAATGAATATGCATACGGCCCGGACGCAGCTCGCAGAGAGAGAGCGTTGTATCTTCATTCGACGGATGAGGGCGCTATATGCACCGGGCAAATTTCCGGGATTTCCCCGCGATTTACCCCGTGGGGCGGCCGTCACGTGCAGTTTCATCATTCTGTTGTGTTGTTGAGTAATGACATCATTTTGGAAATTTTCCATCAAGAATATGGGCAGGAAGACAATAATCCGGAAGAACAATGCTTCATTTTCTTCAGGGTTTTGAACCCGCGATGCATGATGCCATTGATGGCAAACAAGAGCAGTCATGGCAGTTGTGGCACTTTGAATTGAAGACAAGGTAGGCCATGGAGGAAGGAATTCGTCATTTACGTTGAGTGACAATCAGTTTTTATTGACAAGTCATTGAATTGGAAGTACATGTATTGAAGTACAAACACGACAAAAGCAACCTCGTCCCCAGGGTGTCGAGCAGTACGCGCCCACCACTACCTGCTCTCTCACCCTGGTATTGGCATGTGCAAGATTTTTGAACACGTATGCGAATAGCCCGACTGTGTCTGGCCGTACAGTACTATCGCAAGCTCTGTAGTACGTAGCCCCATAAATGTGGCCTATTTACTGGACTGCCTCCGTAAACATAGGCCACACATCCACATGTACAAAAATCGTGTCGACGGAGCCAAATTTTGATTTTCACATTTAGGCTTAGTTTGTAGGTTTTTTTTGCTTTAGAAGCATACTCACCCTCTTTACAGGCTAATCAGAAAGTGCTGCCTTTTTCAGATGTATATTTTTCGTGAAATTTCCAGATTCATTTTTACACGTTTGCGTAGGCCTATCAAAATTTCAACATTTTCATTGCAACTTGCGATAGTACTGTACGGCCAGACGCAGTCGGGCTAGTATGCGAATTAATGAGGAATAGTCTGGCATCTGGCATGTCTGGCGCCTGCTTGTGCATTACATTTGCGTTTGTTTTTGTATGCGGTGTCTGGGGTTAAAACACAATCAGTTCGTCTCTGCGCGAGCATGGCGTGAGTTACGAAAACACGATTTATTTCAAATAAACTGTTACGATTTTAAGAGACAACAGTACAGTATCACATTTCATATTAATATAAGGCCTAACAAATTGGAAAGAAAATGAATATTTTCGAGAAGGCGTGGACGAATGATCGTGAAAACACGTACTGCACGTTGTGAATAACAACACCAAGTACACAATATATATTTATTTCTAGCCAATTGCGGTATCAAATCAGGATACAGGAAGAAAGTTTGGTAATCCTTACTTTTAGGACCCCTTTCCTATATAAGGTTAAAAGACTCACCAAAACAGCTGACTAAATGACACTCAAAAGTGACATTCTGATATTTATTGACACATTTGAACATTTGGCAATGACACCTCTTGAATATCAGCAGGTTTGATTTTGTAGAAAGAGGGCAGGGTTTTGATTTATGAGGGGTTAAAGACGACGATGACAAACAGAAAATAAATTTAAAAAGCAAGATGGCGAACTGCAAAAAAAGGTAGGAAAGTCACATTTTCTTTGAAAGTGCTTTCAAAATTATAACTAACATGAGTTTGTCTGAAGAAAAAAGACTTCTTTAGGCCAAAAAAAAAAAGTCTCCGGTTTCTGGTATGCGCGCGCGTCGCCGTAGCCATGCGCGTCGGCAAAATGAAAAAGTTTTTTTTTCAATACAAGATGATGTTTCAAAACCGCCAAACTCACTGGTTTGACTGGAATTCTGCTGCTGCACAATTTTAACGTGTTTTTAGATGGGGTTATGATCGAGAATAAGATTTATGTGGCCTCTCTGGACTCCCATATATTTGCACTAAGTTTAGTCGGGCACCATTTGCAGTCATCAGCCGACATTTGAAGCCAAAAAAAAAAAAAAAAAGGTAAAAAAAAAAAAAAAAGCCGCGTCGCCGCACCACTTTTGGGGCAAGCTCCGTACCAGAAACCGGAGACTTTTTTTTTTTGGCCTTAGCCTGTAAAAGTCACTTTGGTACTGGACAGTCATCTGCAAATGTCAGTTTTGAACAGAACTCGTACAAAATTGAGGTGTCCTAAAAGTAAGGATTACCGAAAGTTTCCTATCCAGGGCTTACTATTGGAAACGAGGTTGGAAATAAAGTAAGCACTGGGGACGAGGTTGCGACAAAAGTGTCTATCATTATTTGTGCGTCTAGCCCAGGTCTGTCCTCATCAGATGTGACATCAGATGGAAGGAGTCAATTAGGAGCTTGGAATACCCAGCTCTGTCCATCTATCCATCCGTCCCAAATGCTATTGTCCAGTTGCGTATCTCTGCCAATTGAACAGTTTATTTGCTTTCTTTGTTTTACTAATTGGAACCGGAAATCAACTTGATAAATGATTACAATTTTTATTTGCCATCGATCAGTAAAGAGGAAGTGATACAACACTCTATCGGAGCACATATCATGTTATAATCGACAAAGTAAACATAACACGTCACCCTCTATTGTGTGTTTACAGTATTAACCCAACCTGCCTGGATTGGTTTAGGCCAAAGTGCCGACCTCAAACTGTTTTTTTTTGGCCACATCTAGCCAAAAATTCAAATATAACATCTTCCTGTATTTCTTTTTTTTAAATTGTAAACAGTACTAAAACGGAATTGTAACAAGCATGCATTGGCAGGGATAAGCAGAGAATTCTTGAGCAGCATCTTCAACCCTGACAACTAGCCTTGAGATGGGATCTGATGAGGCATTATCGTCGGGGGATGAGCCACAGACTTCCTCTGCAAGCAGCACAGGTGCCATTGCAAGTAAGTCTGCATTGCATTAACATGGCTACGGCTAGCAGTACACATGTATCTATGGGAAGTGGACTTAGCCACGTCCATCTATAGTGTTATTCGCTGAACAAATTAGAAGCCATTTTTTGAGGTGGTGCCAAGTCCACGCACATGCCACAGCCACACGTGTTCTTAACCAGTTCGCGTCGGAGGAGGTGATAACGAGCACTTGCTATTTTTATACACAAACATGGCTGACGGGTTAAGACGTCAAGAATGCCTTGACTAATTCCCTCGGCGTGACGTCTAAACACACTAATCCCTCGTGCCTTTTGTACACACGCACAAAGTCTGTGAAGTCTGTGGAGGCAGACCGTGTGTTGATCTTGAATTGGCCGTTGTGCACCGCCTACTGTTGTTCAATTTACACTTCAGTCAGTTCAGTGCACGCCCTGGAGTATTGAAACATAGGAGTCGGCAAGAAATACCGTACAAATGCTGTTGAAATGACTCTTGCAAACAGTATTTGAGGCGTTTGGCAGTATCTCAGAAGTTGGCTGGAAAAGTTTGCCTTTTGTGAAAATCGAAATTTTCGGCAAAAATAATCCCGGCGCGAAGTGGTTCAAGACCATGTGCGTGTGCATTGTGGTAACTTTGTGCATATTAGCTGAGCGTGACTCGCGCGTGCCACTGCTGAAAATGGCTGTCGTCGAATTAGTCTATGGACGCAAATTTTGTTATCGCCGGCCATAATGTGGACACAGCCTCATCAGCTTAGCCTGAAGTGTGGGAACCAGCCACAAGGACAGCATGCATGACATTTTGGCTGGTGCCCTGTTTTTATTAAGCAAATATTTTTGTGTCCTTAGCAAAAAAATTCTGTGCTTGGTAGCTCTGTGTAATTGGCCTCTGATGTGTGAAACAAACATCTGTGGACAGAACTGATTTCTTAATTTTACAGGAAAGAGGAAAAGAAGAAGAAGAAGAAAGAAAGCTGTCGAGAAATCTCAAGAGAAACTTCAACTGGACCCTGATGACAAACTTCAAGAGGACCCTGAGAATGCCGGCAGTCTTGAACCTCGCAGTACCTGTGCTGACAATGCTGGAAATTGTGGAAGACCTCAAGGCGATAATTCTGGTAAAGTTTGGAATTCCACAGATTTCCTAATAAAAATCCACGAGACATTATGAATTTACAAAAAAAAAAAAAATTATAATTTCCCACTGCTTAAAGAAACCAAAATTATTTAAAACATTTTCTTTTGATGTAATTTTTAAATAAGAAATTGATGGATTTGGGGGTTTGTATTTGATAGCAAATATTGTTGCATCGACCTGTTTAAAGTTCTGTGGTCACTGATGCTGGAAAAAAAACAAGAAAAAAAATGCTGTTCTTGTAGTCTAGTTTCCTGACCCTACTTAAGATTAAATGGAGCAATTTATAGACCTTTGGGCATTGTCAGGTCAGGGAACCAGACTAGCTGGCTCACACCTGTTCATGGATGTGTATTGCAAACAACATGTGGACGAACTAAATAAGTAAAGTGGGGGCAGTATTTGAAAAATTCAGTTTTTTGTCACAATGATGGTCAGCTGACCATCGTTGGAAATTGATACAAAAATGCCACTTTTCTTAAAAATGACAGCATACCAGGTGCCATGATTTCAAGGGATGCTTGTGACTATTATTCACTTACGGTCAAGTAAGGTATTTCATAATGATGTGGGATTTTTGGTTGATGTTTGCAAATGTTGTATATTAGTACCTTTAACACTAGTTTCATACTTTTCCTATTGTTTAAGTCGTGGTGGAATTATAATTTTGAATTTTGAATTTTTTTTGTGTGGATAGTTGAAGATGTCTTGCCACCAGAATTCGGCACTAAGCATGCATCTTCTGTATCTGCTCAACACGCGTCTCAGCCACCTTCCGTAGACATCAGTGGAAGCCATCAGCCGATATTCTTGGGACCAGCTACCGGCAACGTTTTCATCAATGTTTTGCCTGGCAATACGGGTAAGCGTGCCATTCTCTTCAACCCGTGGCATAACTGAGGGGAGGGGGAATGGCGACAAACTCCCCAGCAGGCCTATTCCCTCCCCCAGGACTGTTCCCTCCCCTGTGACTGTTGCCCCCCCCCCCCCAAGTTTCCTTCCCAATACAAACTGCCAGTTTTGCAAAAAGGCAACATTTTCCAGCCAACTTCTGATATACAGCCAAACGCCACAAATACTGATGCGCAAGAGTCATTTCAACAGTATTTGAAGTGGAGTACTGTGGCCTCGTGGTTAAGGGCACTGATTCGTGGTCTGTGGGTAAAGCTGCAGGTTGTGGGTTCGAGTCCTGGCGGGGTCATGGTGCGTGTGCCCTTGGGCAAGGCACTTTGTCACTCATTGCTTCTCTCCACCAAGGAGTAAATGGGTACCTGTGAGGGCAGAGGTGGTTATTGTGATTGAATTAGCTTCCTTGCGCCTAACAGGCTGCATCGAGCTGTATACTCCCCAGGGAGCTGAGATGGTATTTGGAATGTTTCATGTGCCCAATGAGTAGGGGTAATAATGATGTAGCGCCTTGAGCACCAGTCCTGGTGGATACGTGCGTTTTATAAATATCCACTATTATCATTATTATTTGTAAGATACTTTATGTCGAAACCTAATGTTTTTCAGTACTCTTGGGTGTGCGCTGGAGCGTAAATTGTAGAACAACGGCTAATTCAAGATCAACACATGGTCCGCCTCCACAGACTTTACAGACTTTGTGTGTGTACAAAACTAAGACACGAGGGATTAGTGTGTTTAGACATCACCCGGAGGCGAGTCGAGTCAATCTTGACGTTTTAACCCGTCAGCCGTGCCTGTGCATAAACACAGCAAGTGAGTGTAATCACGTCCTCCGACGTGATTCGTGGACTGGCTAATCAAGCTTGATATTTCCCCGTTTCTTCCAGAGAATATTGCTCCGTTGTTGCAAAATCCTGTACCACAGCAATCGGCTCCACATTGTCTCCAACCCACATCTGTGTCCATCAGCGGTGATAACAATCCTACATTTGTTGGAGAGACTACCGGAAACACCTTCACTTTCAGTCAATGTGGAACAACGTACAGGTCAACAGGTACAAATCGTTCAATCACAGTCTTGATTATTAATTCTATCTATCTTTATTTATTCCCCCATTAATATGAAAGTGAAAATCATCAGTGTTTTCATCAGTGAAATCATCGGCAATTTATTCGTGAATATAGGGATGAAATGTTTGGAAGCATTTTCTTTTATGCAGCTTTGTATTTTCAGGTGCAAATTCAACTTTAATTTGAAGACTTCACAGTATGTATTCTTATATCATGTTTGAATAAATGAAATTCTTTTTTTTTTTATCATAACAGCTGACACACGGTTGAACACCGGCGATCAGAATGCATGCAGCATCCAACATGAAGACAGCACTAGTCATGTTACCAGTCCAGCCAAAGTCGCTGCCGATACTTGCGAAGCGGCCTTAAAGACTCGGTACATGACCACGGGTAGCTACGTGCAAATGATCCCGTGGGTCGATGACGACACAAAACATATTATGGACATATATACCCAGTTACACTTAGTAAGTGATGATGATCAAGAAAGGCACAAGGTGTTGTACGAGGATTTTTTCCTCATCAAAACCAGAGACGGTCATGTAATCAAACGCATAATCTGTAATGGGTTTCCAGGTCTAGGCAAGTCGACCCTCATAGACAAAATTGCCTATGATTGGGCTCTTCGCTCGGTCGAGGTCCTCAGAAAGTACAAACTAGTTTTTGTACTGAAGATGCATGCGCTGGAGCAAAGTTCAGAGCTCATCGATGCGGTCTTCGATCAGTTGATTGATCAGAAGACTGTGAGGAAGGAGGATTTGAACACGTACATCGTTAACAACCCTCACAAGGTACTCATCCTTCTGGATGGGTTTGACGAGTTCATGACTACCAACCTCCGCCCGAATGCATTTGGTTCCCTCCTGAATATGCTAAATCGAAAGGAGTGCACAGAATGCTGTGTAGTTGTGACAACCAGACCCTCGCATTTTGCAAGGCTAGCCAGCAGAGCCCTGATTCAGAAGCCTTACACTCACGTGCATGTCTTAGGGTTCAGTGCAGAGGATGTCAAGACATACGTAAGTAGATTCTTCTCCAAAGAGCCCCGAAAGTCCCAGGGGCTTTTTGAGAGGATTCAGTCTTCAAATGTCTTGTCTGATCTAGCAAAAAGCCCGATGCTCCTCCTCTTGATGTGTCTGCTGTGGCGAGAAGATTCCACTCTGCCAGACACAATGTTTCGCCTGTACAGTGAGGCAATCTGTTACACCTTCAAAAGGAAAGGTGTCTCTGAAGAAGAGGTATCCAACGTTATGATTGGGATTGGAAAGGTTGCTTTGCGTGGTCTTATCTCTCCTGTCCAGATGCTTTCATTTCAAGAGAGAGAATTTGACGATAAGGATGTACTTGACATGGCGATCAAGGTAGGTCTTCTAACAAGCCAAAGGGTGTTGAAAGGACTTAAAACTCACAACAGCATACAATTTGCCCACAAGACGTATCAAGAGTTCTGTGCAGCACAGTACCTTCAACACCTAGTGGCATCCGGAACCGATGAGTTTCAGAAGGTCTTGGACCAGATGGCCAATCCGTTGACCTATGAGTATCTTCTGCGCTTCAGTTGCGGCGACAGTGAAGTATGTACTCACATGATATTGCAGATGCTGCAGAAAAACCAACTGGATGATAGAGTGTTGAAGCTATCGCTGAATTGCTACTTTGAAAGCCAGTCAGATCATCTGCCCAGTGCGGACTTCATCAACTTAGTCGTGTCCGGTTCATTGTGCTTGAAGAACTTCAACAGTGATGACCTCAGCTCTTTCATGTGGTTCCTCAAACGTATCACTGATCCCAAATTGGGTGGGCGAAGCGTTGTTCTTGCTCAAGTGCAAGGAATGGAGATGCTATCGTGCAATCTGCAGAGCTGTAGTAAAGATCTAGGACACTTCATAAGCAGGATGACTAATCTTTCCTCTTTTCATCTGAAGTGGTCTTGGTTGAGTGATAGCAACCTGAAGCACATTGCCTCAGCTTTGGGCAACTTGGCAAACCTGAGACAACTTGGCATGGCTTTCAATAAAGGCTTGCAAGGCTCTGTTCTGTCAGGGGTGCCTGGTTTGCACAAGATGCAACAAAGCGAGCTAGACTCGAGTTGCAGCACACTTACAGGTAAGGGCATTGATCTGATGGGAATGCAAGCAAGTAATATCTTCACCTTGGTTGATCTTGATCTGTCAGGTAGTACCTTGTCTGGATCAGGGGAATCACTGAAGTTGTTGCAACCTATGAAGCATCTCCAGAAACTGAGTCTAGATGTCTGCAACTTGAGCAACCAGGATTTTGTCCATGTTGCGTCACTTGTTGGGCAGATGGGAAATCTTGACCGATGTTGTGTTGACGGAACCTTTCGGGTAAGGCCGAGTGGTAGGGGTATAAGGCTGACCATGAAGTGTCACTCATTCAGTGGTCGGGACATGGCAGATATCTTAAAGGAGATGGCTAACAGGACTGACTTGGTTGAAGTGATTCTTGATCGCATCGATGGAGTCAGTGGTTCAGCAGCTACGTGGGCTCCTCATCTGAAGCAGCTGAGGCATCTGGAGCGGTTGCTGTTACAAGACTGCTCTCTGCAGAGTGCGGATTTGGAGCCCATTGTGGCATCACTGAGCGAAGTGGCAACTTTGGTGGAATTGAACCTGTCCTCAAACAAATCCTTGAGAGGGTCAGGTGCGTCATGGTCGCACTTGCAAAGTCTGACACAGCTCCGAAAGCTGAAGCTAGATTTTTGCAGCTTCTGTTCGGAAGATCTAATACACCTCGCTGCTGTTGTAGGTAGCATCGGAAGTCTCATGTACTGTTGTATCGACAACACATTTTGGGTCAACCAAACAAGTGCTGGTATTAAGGTGGTAATGATGTCTTGCCCGTTAGATGCTGCAGAGGTGATTGAAGTTTTCAAGGCATTGAGTATCAGGATTGACTTGGTTCAGTTAGTCGTTGGGGACATACATGGATTGAGCGGCTCTTCGGCTTCATGGGCCCCTCACATCCAACAACTAAGACACCTCAAGAAACTGGAATTAAAGAACTGCTCTTTGCAGAGCACAGACGTTGAGGAAATTGTAGAATCTGTCCGTCAAATGCCCACTCTAGTTGAACTTGACTTGTCTAAAAACGAATCCCTGCGCAACTCGGGTGCATTGTGGGACCAGATACAGTGCATGACCAACTTGAAGAAGCTGAGACTAGTGGCTTGCAATCTCAGCATGGAAGATATGAAGTATCTTGCTGCATCAGTGGGTAGCATGAAGAATCTTGTGCATTGTAGCATTGATGATACCTTCCGGGTTACACCAACCGTTAACGGCGTGAAGCTTGACCTAGGACATTTTCCGTTTACCGGGACAGACCTTGCAGACATCATCGGAGGAGTGAGCAACAGAGCAGACTTGGTAGAGTTGATTCTCAGCAGTGTTGATGGACTGGATGGTTCGACATATCTGTGGTGTCCTCATCTGATAAAGCTGAAGCATCTCACAAGACTGGAATTGCACCGTTGCTCCTTGAGAAGCAAAGACCTCGCACCCATTGCCGCCTCACTGAGTAACATGCCGGCTTTAACAGAATTGAATCTCTCCAAGAACGAATCTCTGCGTGACTCGGGAGCTTCGTGGGCTCATCTCCAGAGTCTCAAACAACTGGAGAAGCTGAAAGTCAACTCTTGCAACTTGAACGTACAGGATTTGAAATGGCTGGCCAAAGTGGCCGGCTGCATGGACAACCTAGAGTACTGTACCTGTGCCTCTGGCCATGCCACCTTTCAGATTAATCCCACTCAGACTGGCGTGCGGATTACTGTGAGTTCCTGCCCATTTGATGGGCAAGACATGGCAGACATCTTGGAGGCAGTGTGTTGCAGAGGGGATGTAGTTGGCTTGTCAGTCTGTCACATGTCAGAGCTGGGTGGATCAGCTGCTTTGTGGTCCCCTTCTCTGAGACACCTCAAGAGCCTAAAGCAGCTCAAGTTGAGTTACTGCTCCTTGCAGAGTGAGGACAATGAGCACCTTGCTGCATCGGTAAGTGAATTACCGAACCTGGCAAAACTTGATCTCTGCGGGAACAGTTAATGTTCCAGGTCTAAGGCTCAGCTGAATTGTGGGCTCCTTGGCTGCAGAAAGTGAAACGTCTTGGACGTCTAGAAGTGCAATAGTGTACATAACAAGTGAAGATTTGAAGCACACCCAACCTTGCTTTGAATCCATTCCTGTTGAAATTGGACTTTGATCATCTGTCCTGCAACATGTCAGGCTAGTGAAGTTGGTTGAGTGTTTCTTTCCTTACCTACTACATGTATCTCTGTTGCAGAGGTGTGTATCTTAGGGGTGGATCCAGCTTTGGCTCAGGGGGGGGGTTTGCTTTTAAGGAGGGGGGGCTAGTAGTTATATGCCACTTTCTTTCTGCGTGGTTTTCGTTTTGTTGTGAAAGGGGATTTAAGATCTATGACAAATAGATCCTAGTTAGTTATTCTTGTGGGTTATCCTCAGGGAATTTTTTTCAGGGTTTTTCTTCTATCTGAAAGCTACTTTATTTTTTAATATATTTTAAAATATATTATTTTATATAAGATATATTTTATCTCTTCATTTTCCAAAGTCCCATGAGTTTCAAATTTGAAGGTTCCCGGTTCTATTAAAAGTACCAAAGAGAATTAAAGAAACCAATAAGAGAAATCGTAGTTGCCAAAATCAAAGGCTGATTTGGTTTTTTAATATTTTCTGTAAAAAATGTGCTGATCTTGTATCTTTCTCAGGAATTCCAAAGTATTTTTAAGGAACTTAACAAATCATAGGTGTTATATTTGTTCTATCCTGTTAATCTATTCAAGTCTAAAACCAGGCTGTTGGCGGTGTTGTTAAGGTAAAAACAACACAATATGACCACAATTTTTATTGTGTAAATTTCAAAATTTGTAAAATATTAATGATTTTTATGCCCCGCGGCGAAGCCGAAGGGGCATACTGTTTCCGCCTTGTCCTTCCGTGGGTGGGTGGGTGGGTGGGTGGGTGGGTGGGTGGGTGGGTGGGTGGGTGGGTGGGTGGGTGGGTGGGTGGGTGGGTGGGTGTGTGTGTGGGTGTGTGTGTCCGGACAAATCTTGTCAGCGCGATAACTTGAGAAATACTTAACATATGAACTTCAAATTTGGTTGGTGGATTGTTCTTGGTAATCCTAAGAAGCCTTTCGCATTTGGGGCCAAAAGGCCAAAGGTCAAGTTCACAGTGGCTAAAACAATAGAAATCTTGTCAGCGCGATAACTTGAGAAATACTTTACATGTGAACTTCAAATTTGGTTTGTGGATTGTTTTTGGCAATCCTAAGAAGCCTATTGCATTTGGGGCCAAAAGGCCTAAGGTCAAGTTCACAGTGGCTAAAACAATAGAAATCTTGTCAGCGCAATAACTTGAGAAATACTTTACATGTGAACTTCAAATTTGGTTTGTGGATTGTTTTTGGCAATCCTAAGAAGCCTATTGCATTTGGGGCCAAAAGGCCAAAGGTCAAGTTCACAGTGGCTAAAACAATAGAAATCTTGTCAGCGCAATAACTTGAGAAATACTTTACATGTGAACTTCAAATTTGGTTTGTGGATTGTTCTTGGCAATCCTAAGAAGCCTATTGCATTTGGGGTCAAAAGGTCAAGTGTCAAGTTCACAGTGGCTAAAACAATAGAAATCTTGTATTTATTCTGAGATTATAGGGATTAGGGATTAATTCATATAAAACCTACAGAAGACACTAATGCTGTCAATGAATGTTCCATGTGACCAAGGTACATGTAAGTTGATGTTAAAAGAGTGGTGTTATGTCATGGGAACAGTCACGGTTGCGGGGCATTTGTGTTTGTAAACACACCTGACTTGTTTACTTTTATATTGTAATTAGATTTTTATATATATGTACGTTTCACTAACTCTAATTTTTTCAGTAGTTCTATTTTGTAGTCATCAACTTAAGGCCTAGCAATGCAATTATGTTCCAAATATATACATGTATAGCTTATAATAATGTACTTTAATTCATGTTTGTTTGGAGCTTGTTTCAATGTGATTATGTAGAAAATGTTAAGATGAAGAACGCCATGGTCCAGTGGTTACGGTGTTTCACTCATGTACGAAGGTGCATGGGTTCGAACTTGGCCAGGAACATGGCGTTTGTGCCCTTGGGCAAGACACTTAACTGCAATTGCCCCTCTCCACCCAGTAGTATAAATGGGTACCTGTGAGGGTCGAGGACCGATTGAGCGCTGATATCGGCTGCCGCGTGGTCCCATGGCCTGATGAACGGGGTAATAATTGTAAAGCGCTTTGAGATGGTTGATACGATGGAAAGCGCTATTATAAGCACAATTATTATAATTATTATCTTTTGTAATTATTGCAATAGAAAATGACGATAACATCGATTACCAATTAATCTTATTATGAAAAAAATCATTTGGAACATTGTTAAAACAAGCATGTTCGGCCACCATTTACTGGCATTAATACAGGTTGGATACAGGGGAATTGTGAGGTGTAGCAGGCTTGTACTCATTCATTGGTGTGTGATCGATTGCAAACAAAATGCAGTCTAACTAAATATGGTAAATTGGGGGCATTATTTGAAAAAATTAAAAGCCAGTGTTTTTTTTCGACAAGCGTTAAAAATTAATGCAAAAATACTACTTTTCTTGAAAATTACAGCACGTGCACCAGGTGCTATGATTTTGCAGGATGCTTTAGACTATCATAACAGTCCAGTGTTATATTTCATAATAATTTGTTAGTTTTGTTTTTTGATGTTTGCAAATGTTGTATATTCCCTTTAACTATGCACAGGCGGAAAAGGAAATGATGGCAGTTTATGAGAAAAAAAGTTGCCAGTAGACAAATACACCGTCCATGTGTATTTTTTTTCCAAAAAAGTGTCCTTTTTTTAATGAAAACAATGTAAATAGCAAAAATTGATCATGTTAAATGCCGTGCCCTTGCCATGAACACTGTTAAAATAAAAGTGCTATTTGGATTTCTAGAATAAGCTAACAAAGCATCCTGGCATTGTTTTTTTCTTTCATTAATTTGTTATTCTGATAAGTATTGTTAATTGAACTTATGATATTGTATCATTGGTAGTTCAAGTTTGGGTAGTCAGCAAATTTTGATGTTATGCCTTCTTTGGGTATCCAAAACAACACCCCAATTTAGAGTAATCACGAAAAAAAGGGGGAAAAACAGGCTTTCCACAATATTTACCCCCCCCCCCCAATTTTATTTTAAATCTCCGCCCATTGGACCACCAATGATGAAGCCCGCCATCTATTGACAGCTAAAATTGTTCGCTATAATAATCTGGTACCGTTGTCAAATTGAGCACCAAAGTGTATAAACTGTGTATAAGAGTCCAGCTACCATACAGATAAATCAGAAAGCGTTTGCGTTGTCAAGCAAGTGGAGGCCGTTGGCTGAACTTTTTTGCGTTTTTATCCCTGCCTTATTGTCAATTTCACGTAATGTTAAGAAAGGGGAACGACGAAATAATGATTGGTACAACTGTAAGAAGATAACGGGTCGGGCTAGATGTAAATCAACCACGCCCCTACACAGCTACAAAGTGTTAAATTGGCTTGAAATTTGGTGAGTGGACATGAAACTTGAAAGTTTTCTTGTTTGAGGCCTGTTTTGCATCAGACTGGGACCTTAAGTGCTCAAAACGATGCAAAAAAAGATCAGGCCAACTTTACTCACTCTTTAACCAGCAAATTTCTCCAAATCTGTTACTGGGTAAAATAATAGTTTCTCAGTATTTCACCAACCAAGTTTGAAAACTCAATTCCATTTTTAAAGGAGAGTTTTCTTCAATATTTGGCAGTAGCTTGCACAAGAGAAGGAAGTCAAGTGATTTCAAAATGAGGCTAAAGACTAGACTTCTACATGCCCATCCATGGTCCAACTGTTTGACATGACTGGCTTCTTCATTCATTGTCATTAGTCTGGTGCCTGACTAAGGGGAAATGTGCAGAAATAGTGGTATGGTACCCGACATCCTATATATTTCTTTTGGCACAGTCACAGTCAGCTGACAGTTGATTAATGCAGTACTGAAGAGTTGTTGGACTGGTTGTTTCATGTGCCAGTCTATTTTCTTGTATTGCATGTTTTCAGTACCTTAAGTTTTGGGACTCTCATACACAGTATTGAGAGTCCCAAATTTTCGGACTAGTTTTGCATTAGCCCTGTCACGCCCCAACTATCGCATCGGTCCCAACTATAGTTGGGTCTGTCCCAACTATAGTGCGGCAGTTGGGTCGGCCCAACTATAGTTAGGACTGGAGTTGCGCCGGATGCTTCATGCTTGATAGATCTTGTTGGATTAAATGTTCCGTGGCGCTGGCACCGTGTATTCGTCGTGCATGCATGCCGCAAGGCTGGCCGGTCACGTGGTACTGCCTAGTTGGATGAGTTGTCCAGCTTCTGGGTTTTATTGTCCAGCAACATTTTGCAAAATTCAAAGATTGCCATGGCCGGCCAACTATAGATGGGCCCCACCCATAGCTAATGTCAAAGGTCCCAAGTAAAGTCGGACAGTATGTAACAGAGCTGTAGGGAATGTTTTATAGTCGTACATCAATGTAAACTATAGTTGGGACCACCAAATAAAAATATTGCGGTGGCCCAACTACAGATGGTCCCCACCCATAGATAATTTCATTGGTCCCAAGTAAAGTCAGATGTGTATTAGAGTTGTAGGGAATGTTTTATAATCGTACAACAATGTACACTATAGTTGGGACCGCAAAATAAAAAGATTGGGAGTAGCCCAACTATAGATTCGCCCCATCAATAACTAATTTCAGTGGTCCCCAGTAAAGTCAGACGTGTATCAGAGCTGTAGGGAACGTTTTACAGTTGTACATCTATGTAAACTATAGTTGGGACACCGCAAAATAAAAAGATTGGAGTGGCCCAACTATAGATGGGCCAGCCCAACAGTGGAACTTACAGTTGGGACCGTCCCAACTATAGTTGGGACAGGCCCAACTATAGTTGGGCCAGCCCAACTGTGGAACTACAGTTGGGACAGGCCCAACTATAGTTGGGACAGGCCCAACTATAGTTGGGACCGATGCGATAGTTGGGGCGTGACAGCCCCATAAATGTGGCCAATTTACTGGACTACCTCCGTACCTCCGTAAATATAGGCCACACTTCCACCATGTACAAATACATGTCGAATTTTGTCAAATTTTGATTTTCACATTTAGGCTTAGTTTGTAGTTTATTTTTGCTTAAGCATATGCCTACTCGCCCTCTTTAAGTTTAATCAGAAAGTGCTGCCTTTTTCAGATGTCTAATTTTCGTGAAATTTCATGTTGAAATTTTGATACGCTAACGTGTGCAAAGGAATCTGGATTATAGATTCGCAATGGTGTTTTTGCAAGGCAATGCCGTAACGATAGCAGTTGAAAATTGCATTACACAGCTGCCGCAACAATAGCCACTGCATAATAAATAACAAGCGATAAAAAAAGAGGGGGGGGGGAGGTTAAGGCCATGGAGGTTTTTATAACAATTAACATAGCCTATCATTACATTAGTGTAATGCCACTTTATTGGTTGTGTGAAGACAAGGGAATTATGAAAATTTGTGAAGAATTTTTTCATGAAATTCAGATATGAAAGATTTATGAGCATGCTGTGTTTGTGTTAGGTTTTAATTTTTGTTTTGTTTTATTTTGTTTTGGAGTGATTCTTCACGATGGCTGCTAAAAATCTGGACAGCAGCATGCATGGCTTGTCCATCGGTGAGGATCCAGCTCTGATGGCCACGGCTACAGCCAATCGCATGGCCGCCCAGTTCTTCGAGAAGTTTGAGCGCTTTGAGCTCCAGCAAGCCCTGGCCCAGTCCTCATACCACTGGTTCCTGTCGGCCGAGGAGCATAAGCTACAAGCTGAAGCGCCGTCTGGTGTTATCATGTCCATGCAGCCCTTCGCCGACAACAACTGCGTCTTGCTGCTCCCCTACGACCCTTCCATTGAGCCGTTGGAGTACCGAGAAATCCACCAGGTCTTGCGAGAGCTGGTCGTGGGCATCTACGGACTGAACCAAGCTCCGTCGCTGTCGCTAGAGGCCAATTACGACCAGGCCACCGCTTGTCAACTCCCCCCGGCCTACTTGGACACGCACTTGGGCCAGTTGCTCATCAACGTGGACTACATGATGAAGGGAATGTGGCACGGGGCCTACTTCCCAAGAGACAAACGGGTCAAGTTCAACGAGCGATGGCGATCCAGTCTGGACTTGAACGCCATGGGGGAGCCACAGACCAAGAAAGTCTTCCTGACAGAATTTACAATGGCGGGTGAGTTCTTGGTGAATCATTGTGCATTTGTACCTCTATTTTAATACTTTCCTGATATTTGTTGATGTTGTTTGCAATCAAAGAGTGGATACACTTTCTGGGTGTGGGGATGGTCGAAGCTATACTGTTCCCCCTGCGTATTTCTCTTCCAGGCATGATGGACATCACAAAGGACCCTGACTTCGCCGGCATCTACGACAACATGCGTCTCTTCCCGATGAGCGAGCATGACGCGAACGCAGACAAGCGCCTCTTCATGCAGTACGTCGACGACCTCAGCATCCAGCTAACCTGGCGACAGCGGACAATTCAACAGCACCAGAACCTCTTTGTGGTGGACGCTGCGTACGAAGCAACAAGCCTTGTCCGGTTAGGCGAGGAGCGTATCGATCGCGACACCTTTGAGCGGCTGCAGACGCGACTTCACGCCCACGTTGACGTGATTCAGCGTCACCTTGGCAAGAAGGCAGAGACGCGACGGCAGATGGAAGTGATCAAACTGGTCAGTTTCTTAGTGCCGTTCCTGATCGGGATGAGACGACGGAACAAAGTGCCGGACATCAAGAGATTAGTGGCCCAACTGACAGGTTAGAACTCATGAGATAATGAACCTTTACCCCTCACGATCCAACATCGTAATCCTATTTTTTTTCATCAAAAATTCTTCTTTTTCATTCTCAGCCGACGAGTGTAAGACAGAACGCGAGCTCCCTCCCCTCATGCTTTCCCCAACTTTCCGCTGCCCGAACTTCAACGCCAGCAGCAAGTACTTCCACCTCCATGGGGGCATGACCTTTGACATCGAGACCGACCTCTGCGAGCCCCCGCCGGCCGAGGTCGTTGAACTCTACGAGCAGATCCAGCTGGAGGCGACAGAGTATTTGGCCAAGATTACTGATCCCAATCAAAAGCTGCATGAGAATCTCCATGTGCCTGTAAAAGAGATCGGAGGCAAAAAGTAAGTCGACGGTTTCCAGAAATCACTAGCCCAGCCACGCAAAGAAACTCTTGGAGATAATCAAGTTTAAAAGTTTTGTTTTGTGCTCGGCCAATCGAACTTCTTTCATGCTCTCAACGTTATAATAACTTTTTTGAGGACTAGTTACATGTATTACTTTTGATTGCTGGACCACAACCCAATTTTCATGCTTGTCTTATCCTTGCCCTAACAACATGTCTTGTACTTTTACCTTCCCAGATATTACATCTTATCCATGGATTTTGAGACCTACTACCCCGTCTCCCCGCCCCAGCCCCTCTGGGCCCACTCCTTCTATGACAAGATTGCCGAGCTGAAACCTAAACGTCTTCCCCTGACGGATATTCAGATGCACGAGCAGTGGAAGAAGAAGTACGGCTACCACCAAGCTATCAAATACAAGGTAACCCCTAAGTTAGTGGATACTTCAGTACTTTTGTGGGGGAGTGGTTAAGAAGTATGTGACTCATGATCAAAGGGTCAGGGGTTCGAATCATGCTGCTGGCCCCGTATGTTGTGTCCTTGGGCAAGCCACTTCACCCCACTTGCATCTCGCCACCCAGTGTAAATAGGTACCGGCATTAACTGGGGAGTAACCTGGGATGGACTGGCATCCCATCCAGGGGGAATAGAGATATTCTCAGTTGTTTCATGTGAAGTTCAACTTAACCTATGGTCTCAAAGAAATCTGCCCGTTACTCCCTAGCCACTCTGTTCACAAGTTCACCCCCTCACTGGCAAAGAAAGTACAGTTGGGGGTGACCGAACGCCGGCATCTTGCCTGACTGCAAAATTTTGCCGTGCGTGTACATAGTACAAATCCCCTGGTGTACGTGCGTCACACATAAGCAACAGTGTGAGTGCGTCAACCAGCGAAATGTATGTTTCTCGCCCATGGGACATTGTTGCAAAGTGAAAAGGTACGGAGCCTATGCTGCCCAAACCGTCCCCGTACTGTATGGTTCATGAATTGATCAGGGAATAAATACAATGTAAATATAGTGAATAGTTATACAGGTGCTAATTGGTTTAGCATGTCCCCTGATTACAGAACCTCCAGTCTGGACTCAAGATGTCCTCAGTCCGTGGTCTGGTCTCCATCCTCCAGACCCTGGCCCGTAAGTGTCCCCCGTCTCGCCTGAGCAAACAGGACGAGGACGGTTACACCTGCATGCACCACGCTGCCAAGCACAACCGACCGCTCGTCATTGAGCTACTCCTCATACAGAGGCAAGACATCGATGTCCGGAGGCATCATCTGACCAACCCAAACGGTGAGAAGACTTGGGCAAGTCTAATGCCTGCATTATTGCATTGTGGGCATCACTGCACACAAAATTGGTTGAGAGGACTGTGCAAGTCTACCCGTAGATAGGGGGTTTCTCCTGCGATTGTGCAGTTGTTGATGTGAAACCAAAGCCGTGTCCAAATTACTTGGCTGTGGTTAAAAATTGCACACAGGTCTATGGCAGCGGCTAGCAGCCACTTCCCATTGACCCATGTGTAATTTTAAGCCATAGTCAAGTCATTAGGACAAAGTCGGTCTATGAATGCCAATAGACTTGCATTAGTCAGCCGACTTTTTTTCCGTATTGGCTGTAGTTTTTTGGTTGGTTTGAAATTTGTGTCGGTTTAAAGGTAGAGTATATCATTTGTCATTTCTGCATTTTGTTTTTTTGTTTGAAGCAGCAGAAGTGCTCGAAATCTAAGGAAGGGTGCTTTACAACTAACCTGGTGAAATTCCAGCTCAGTGAATGCTGTATATTCCGAGAAAACAATATTCTAGGATCTTGATTTCAATTCAACAGTTGCCGAGTTATGTTTTGAATTGCGCCCGAATTCAACATCCGGGACACGTTCTCATTCAGACGATTGCAGCTACGCAACGTCACGCACTGAACCGCCGAATTATAGCAACTGCGCGCCCGTGTGCGTCGTGTCACCACTTGCACGCACTCATTCACGGCTTCGCCGAATTAAAAAGGAACTGCTAACGGAAATTTCCAAAAATGCGTCTTTAGGTGCATCTTTGGAAATGACCTTCTTTTATCATTTTCTTCAAAATGACAGCATACCAGAAGGAATAATTTCACAGGGAGTTTAGTGCCATTACTATCTTTAAACCAAGTATGCTTTTCAAAATAACTTTGTCAGTTACTTTTTGGATAGCATCAAATGATATATTCTACCTTTAAAAATTATTCAAAAAGTTTTGTTTTGAAGCATTTAGCTAATTAGCAAACTGATGTGCTGAGTGAGAGTATCGGAAAAGAGTTTTGATGCATTCTAAAATTGAGGATATCACAGTTTGATCGGGAAAAAAAAATATATTTATTCACTTTTCTTCATATTTACCTTTTAAATTTTCACTTTAATTGTGATTTAACAATTGAAAAAAAGGTGGTGGAATTGCTAATGCCCATGTCCAACTACGACTAACAACAAAATAATTTGAGATGCAAAGTTTGAAAAGTAAATATTTGGAGACAATCCATGTTTAAAAAAAGAAAACTTTAAAAAAGATGGAGAAAGTAGCAAAGTATTTATTTGTATTCAGTCCAAACTTGTCAAACGTGGAAGGAGTTTCGATCATTTGTCCTCATATAAAAAAAATTTTGGGGGGCATTTCTTGGCAATTAACAAATTTACCCAATATTTTGTTTTCCTAATCTTGAACCATTTTTATCTGTCATGTTAAAATCAGCGAGTGAAATTTGTGGAGGTAAGAAAACACAACCATACAATCTTTTGCATGACACCATGTGCACATGTGCACGTTGCATCACAATTTGATCTTGTTGTTTGACCGTGTTTATCATCGAGTACGTTTACAGTTGTTGTCGGGAAACTGAAAATTTGCGATTTGTTTCTCCAATTTTAAAGAAAGTTTTTAGCACATTTATGGTTAAGCCGCCCTCAGGTCGACCTTTTGACAGCAAAGAATAGTCAGCGACTGACTTTTCAGGATCAAGCTGCACCTGGGCTTTATCCAGGCAAATCTCAGGTTGACTTGAGGGTGACTTAAGACGTCTTTGCGTGGTCATCGTTTGATGAATGCTTCGTTGACTTTGTATCGTTCCGTTGTTCCTTCCAAATGAATTATCAGCTATTCTTTTGTTGTGTCTGATTTTCCTTTGCATGAAATATGCATGTCTCGTCCGAAGCTTGGCCCCTCCGTCCCAGTTTGCTGTGTCTTCATTGTTGACGCATCTGTCAACCGTTTTTTACCCTTTCACATCGGGAGCTGTGTCAAAATTGTCTTTAATACGTACAAAGGGTGTGTCCCGAACTTCGGAAAGTTCCAATTCAAATCAGGACATAAAAAGTATCTAACGGTAATTTCACACTATTGGAGATAGCCATCCCTGTTTAAAATGGACCATTCCAGATTCAGCCATAAGCCCCGCCCACTTTTGGGTTGTGTACAGTGCTTGGGATCACGCGGTCACCTGACCAAAATGCGAGATTCGATTGGTCAGTGTACACAGTTGATTGACTGGCAGGAAAAGTCCATTCTTGCGTGGACATTGCGCATGATTTGTGTATGATGTACATGGAGACACAAACGTGGGTGTCTTTTATCACCGTGTGTGTTTGTATGCATGTTTTCCTTTTTTTTTATCCATCTTTTTTTTTTTATGTCATCCTAACTCATTCATTTCTAACATCAGCTCGTAGAGCCAATAAAACCAAACGGGTCCAGCTTGATTCGGATATCGGTGAGTTCTGTGGTAAACAATTTTGTCTTTTTTTTCCCGTCAATTTCATTGATGTCATCACCATCCGTTTCCCCATCATATTTCTCTTCTTACTGAGAAATCACAATTTCAGAGAAAGTAGTTTCCTAATATCCTCTCAGTACTGAGGTATGGTAAGTTTTATTACTTGATGTTGGTGAGTTCTGTTGTTGAAAAAAAAATGGCGTAACTCTCAAATAACTCTCATATTTCTCTGACTCTGCTTGAATATTTCATTATACTTACAGACATTTGAACAGATTTAGAACTCTTAAATAAACAATGCCTCCATAATTTGACTCTTGTTCCTGCTGTAAAATCCAGTGTTTTGGTGAAGTTATCACACAGCCTCATAAATCATGAGTTAAGAAAATTAGTTTGCTAGATAAACCTGATATTTTAACCCCGATATTTTCAACTAAAAGTGCCCATTTTAGGGTCGGATCTAAACGTAGAAAATAGATCAATGCTTAGAAAGGGATGGTGTGCTAGTTGTCCACAGAGCTTGCAAAATTGCAGCATTTACATTTAACAGTAATTTACTTAAAAAAAAAAAAAAAAAAATCTTGTAAAAAACATGAAATCAAGTGTTTTTAGTGAAATCATTACAGGCTCATAAATCACAAGTTAGTAACATAAGTTTGCTAGATAATCAGTCTAATATTTTAGCTAAAAGTACACATTTTAGGTTCGGATCTAAACGTAGAAAATTACATCAATGCTTAGACAGGTATGTTTGCGCTAGTTGTAAAAAGAGCTTGCAAAATTGAAGCATTTACATTTAAGAGTAGTTTACTCATCCACTTGTAAAAAATATGCTGTACTTTAATGCTTCAACTTGTTTTAAAAAGAAGAAAAAAAAGCTTATATGAATATAAATAATTGTCATGCTGTCGGTAATTATGGCTTAATTTTTAGTGAGATTGAGTCAGATGTATGCATACCGCAATCGTCGAAAAATTGTCAGTGTTGTAGAATTGCGAGATGCGCACCTCTAGTATTTTCCTTTAGGGTTGTTCCGAAAATGCAAATATTCGAATATTCGATCATTAGCTGAATATTCAAATAGCTTTTGCTGGTTTGAATATTCGAAAGAAAAAAAATCTACGTATGTACACACATGAGCGTGGTGTAATTTTAATCCTAAAGTTGCTGCGCTTTATTGTCGGATGCCACTTTTTGTTGTCAGGAACGTTTTCTGTCGACAGCAGTTGATCGTTCCCATCCTTTCAGCAGGTTTTAAAGCCATTGAAAGTTATAAAATCGTTATTGCAAAACACTCCTGCGACCCATAACATCGATCGCCGCGTGTACATTTTAATCAGCGTGATTTGCGTGCAACGTTTGACAGGTGTGGCATGCAGTTGCAGACTCTGGCATTTCTGAACTGCCGAGTTTCGAATATTCGTATATATGCTGTCAAACGTAGTTTCGAATAATCAAATGCTAAATTAGTCGAAAAAGGACAACCATATTTTCCTTGTATGCAAATATTCATTAAAGCGACTTTGATATTATATGACTGCAAATACCTTTTCATTTGTCTAGTATGATGCTTTCCATGTTGTGTCACAATCATGAGTGGTTTTATTTTTTGACTGAAACCTAACATTATCTAACCAAACTAATGTTACAGTGTAATATTACATATGCACACTTTTCCTTGCGTGGCTGTTGCAGGCTTGACGTTAACCCAAACAAAAGATGTACAGGCCAATTTCACGGCGCTGCTAAGCACAAAAATTTGCTTAGCACAAAAAAAAGTCCGGCTTATAAAAGCAGGTTACCAGCCAAAACTCCATGCTCGTGATTAGTATTCAGCTGTTGTTTGCTTAGCATGAAAATCACTTGGAGTTTTGGCTGGTAACCTGCTTTTATGAAGTCAGACTTTTTTGTGCTAAGCAAATTTTTGTGCTTAGCAGCGCCGTGAAATTGGGCCAGGTATGTTGTAGTAAAGATACCTGACTACATTGATTGAGTGCTGTTCCAAAAGATAATTATTGGCATGAAGTTCAGGGGTAATAGAAATATACTGAACTCCTTGCCTCATGTGAGTAATACATACAAGCATAGAATGGCAATGATCGTAGAACAAGAGAAGATGTGTCCTCTTGATTTAGGCCGACTACCAGACCAGTTGATCAGAAAGATATGTTTTGGAATTGTAGCAAGCCAGCACTTGCAAAGGAAAACAAAGTTGGTATTTCTTTGCAGGTAGGTCAGTTATGGCATATAAGGGTCTGTGCGTAGCAGTCTGAGCATTGCCACTGCAGCCTCATTATCAGTTCTGTTATGCAAATGACCCGTAGACACTTTCATTGTAACCGCCATCTTAGATTAGCTTTGGAAGTCACTTGAACTTGTTGAGGGAAAACATTGGGACAACCGCATGTTGGCAAAGCTGACGCGACAACAGCGATCAGTGTTTGCCACAAAATCTCGCAAGACACCAGGTGACCATAAAATACCAGGAAAGAAATCCAAGATGTTGGCGTCTGTGAAAAGGTCTATTAGAACTCGCTTGTGTCACCACGAAACCCAATATTTCAGCACTTTTTTTAGAGCTTCAAATTTCACGTTCTGATGGACCATTGTATCATCTTTCTTCCCTAGGCACCACCCCTCTCCACCTCGCCGCGCGCTGTGGTTCCCTGGAGGCCGCCCTCTGCTTGGTCTCCAATCGCGCTGGGATGATTCTGGCCGACCCAGACGGCTGGGCGGCCATTCACCACGCGGCGTTCTACGACCACGCCCCTATCGTCCGGATGTTTGTGCGCAAGTCTATCGACCTGATGGAACTGGAGACGTGGGATAAGTAAGATAATGAGAAAACAATTTTCTAGTGAGAATGTCCAAAAATTCAGAAAAATAATCGGAGCAGCCCCAGTATTTCTTCCAACATGGTTTTTAAAATGCAATCGTTATACTTTTTAATAAGTTTTTATAAGTTTTGTAGAGGATATTTTGAGAATAATATTTCGGATTTGTAGACATTTAGGTTGAGCAAATATAACAGTTGACAAATTGGGAGACCGCCAACTTAGGGCTGGATAGCTCAGTTGGTAGAGCGCCGTTACGGTCTTCCGGAGGTCGCAGGTTCCAATCCTGTTCTCGTCAATATCTTCACTCAATCTGCCTTCGTAAAAAGTACACCTAATCAGTTCTCATCTGTGGCTCATTTGATGAGTTTTGGGTAGTTGGACAGAGCTAGAAAGTGTTCGTTGGATCTGGTTACGTATGGCACCAAACAGACTTTTACTCATGATGAAATTACTCCTTCCTGATTATTTTCCCCCAACCCTCAGGCTAAGAAGAACCCCGCTACTCCTAGCAGCCAGCTCCGGTGCCTTAGAATCAGTCAAGATCCTCATCGACTTGGGCGCCAACATCCGCAAGACAGACATGGAGAGGAACACCATGATACACCTAGCGGCGCTGCGATTCCACACCAACGTGCTGGAGTTTTTCATCGAGTGGAACCACTCCGATGTGCCTGTCTGGCAAACTCTCATTGGTAGGAATTTTCTTTTATTCATGAGAATAATTTCCAACAACTCCCCCCTTAATTTTTGTTCTACGCATACTAAAAAAAGGTCCCAGTTATGTGTCCTCTTGTCAAATTGTCCTACAAGGAATCGCAAGTTGTAGTGAAAATGGAGAATAAAGGAAAGAAGACCGCATATTAAAAATATTCTTGTATTTAACTCACACCTAGTTAACAGTGGGAATGTAGAGAATTGATGATAATTGGTACGAAAAGTGACGAGAACGTTTATTTACAAAAACTGGGGACAAAGTGGAAACATTTTTGAGTAATTTAAACAGAATCTTGGAAAACATTGTTTGCAAAATAAGGCATGATAATATTTTGGGGTGCGTGGGATCAGGATAATAACAATGTGTATTTATATTAAGCGCACGTAATTGGGCCAATGAAACATTCCAAATACCATCTCAGCTCCCTGCGGAGTATACAGCGCGATGCTGCCATTGCGGCACAAAGCAGCTTAAATCAACCACAATAACCATCTCTGCCCTCGCAGGTACCCATTTACTCCTTGGTGGGGAGAAGCAATGGGTGACAAAGTGCCTTGCCCAAGGGCACACACACCATAACCCTAGGCTGGACTCGAACCCATTTGACATAAAAGTGCACTGGGGACACAGTTTTGTAGAATTAATTTTCAGATGATTTACCTTGTGTAATTTTGGATTATTTTTTTATCGTAGGCATGCTAAAATCCAAGACCTTCCAATACAAAGACAGTGCCGTCAGATCATTAGAAGTTTTAACCACATCAAGCAAGCAATACTGGAAAGCTATCCTAGAAGCAGGTTTGTCAACTATAACCTTTAACCTTTAACCTTTAGATCTTTTTGTTTGTCCAACTTGTATTTCTGAGATTGTGTTAGATTGTAAAGAACATGTTTGGTCCAGTGTCCAAGTACCAGTGTCACAAAAATAGTTTGAGATGAGTATTTTGAGGAGCTAATATTTTTTCATAAAAAAAAAAAAAAATTTGAATTTTTTTTTGTTTTGAAAATGCTTAAATATCTGGGAAGAAATGTACAATGAAATGAGCGGAAATTGTCAGTCCTGCTTTATCAGCTAGATGAGCAGGGGTAATAATGATGCAAATCTTTGAGTGCCAGTGGATGCCAGTATACACTTAACCAGTTGGCGCCAGATGACGTGTATACACGCAAAGGTTTTGCGGTATTCGGATGGGATGACGGATAAACACACAGTGAGCGAGGCCGGAAATATGAGTGTGCTGCCCGAGGGTGATGGCTTCAACCCGCCTGGCTTGAGGTCGATTGAAAAATAACCCCGCGCCTCATTCTGTTCTTGTCAAAATAATGGCGATGCGAACTGATTAAGGAAGACATTAATTGATATTCTTTGTTCTATGCAGATGGCATTCCAGCCTTAGTGGAGATTCTTAAACTCCCCCAGCGCGAGATGCAATCCCTAGGCGCGGCCGTCCTCTGCAACCTCTCGCAGCAGCCCGAGATTCGCGACGCGACGGCCGCCGCTCCAGGCGCCATCCCCACCGTGGTCAAGCTCCTGAGCTCTCCCGAGCCGGACATCCAAGCCCGCGCAGCGATCCTGTTGGCCGATCTAGGCTCCGACAGAAACGACGGCACTAACCGGAGTACCATCAGCAGTGAGGGCGGTATACCACCGCTGATCGCGCTGTTGGAGTCGCAGCTTGAAGACGTGTTGGTGGAAGCGGTGAACGCAGTGCGGGTGTTGTGCCTCGGACATCAGGAGAACCAGACGCTACTTGCTAAGCACGGAGGTGTGGAGCCACTCGTGGAATTCCTACAGGTCAAATCAGGTACGAGATTGAAAAGTGCTCAATGAATTTCGCTAAGCACGTAATTCAAATAGCTTGAAAAGCCAGAGCATGATCCAATTTCTTGCAAAACTTTTGCCTTGGAAATTTCTGTAAGCAAAGTCATGTCTGTCACGAGTCAGCATGGCCCATTAGGCCTGCATTTATCTCTACTTTCCTTGGCATGAAATGACTGAGAATATTATGTATACAATCACACGGAACGACTTTGTCCATTTTCCGTAGACGTCTTAAGAGCAGCAAGTTCAGCAGCCCTAGCCGCCCTAACCTACAACCATCGGGAGAACCAAGACCTCGTCGTTGAGCGTAATGCTGTACTCCCGCTGGTCACCCTGATCCGAGGACGCAACATCTCCGTCCAGACGAAGGCCGCCGCGGCGCTGGAATCGCTGGCGGAGAACAACCCCAAATGCCAGGCAGCCATCTTGGATTTGCACGCGCCTAGCGCCCTCATACGTCTCCTCAAGGTACTGAATATTTATCGTACCGCCCTAAACTGCCCTACCTGTTACTCCCTGTAGCGCCCAAACCAACCCAGCACCATATAGGGTTACAGATTTATCAGGGGAAAAATACAATGTAATGTAGTGAAATATAGGTGCCAAGGGTTTAAGAATAAATTTAACCTGCAATCGCTGGCATTGCATTCCAGAAGCTGAGATTCAAGTTCTACTCCAGTTGAGTGCTTTCATTTTATGTGTGAACCTTATATTGTCTTCTTATTGTTCAGCTCTGGGCTGTTGACATGAAAGAGCAAGCAGCTTGCATTCCCTTGGCCAGAGAAATTGATTTAAAGGGTCCATGAAATGAATTTTTGTTAGGAACATATTTTGTGTAACTTACTCCTCTTAAAAGAATAAAAAAATATTTGACAACCCTTTTTGTTGATAGGTGCACTTCTTTTATACATTTAAAAATTGTCCATGCTTTTCCGGACAACTGAGGGCGCTGTTGCTGTGATGTCATTTGAGGAAGACACTGTTCAGTTAAGGGGGTTTCTGTTCAAATTGTGAACCCAAAATTTGCTCATTGAAACAAATTGTGGACAGACTTTGCTCATTGGCTTACTGTCATGTACCGACACAGCGACGAATCACCAAAGAAAAGAAATGTACAACAGCAAAACATCCAAATCCAAAATTCTGGCAAGTTTTGGTGCTGAAATAGGTGTAAGGCCCAAAAAAAAAATAAGTCGGTCTCTGGTCAGCGCGCGCGTCGATTTTAAGCATGCGCGTCGATCTTTTTTTTTTCCAAAATGTTCCGCGGTAGCTCCAACAGCGCCCTCTATTTCCGCACCTCCTCAATTTTTTTTACCAAAGAGCACCAAGGAATGGGAAACTGCACCAAGGCAAATGATCGAAAGCACCAAGGCAAATTATGGAGGACACCAATGTACATGAGGACACCAAAAAAGCAAAATAGTACCCACCTTGACTGTACAATCCAAGCTGAAGAAAAAAAAAAAAAAAGGAAAAAAAAAAAAAAAAAGCCGCGTGGCCGCGTCAAATCCGGAACTTTGGTCTGACCAGAGACCGAATATTTTTTTTTTTTGGCCTAACATTGAGGTTTCTGCCTGGAATGACATCACACTTTTGCTCATGAATATGAAAAATTTGCATTAGCATAAAAACCAAAAAGGCACCAAACTGCAGGAATTGAACGTGGGATCTCTGGTACCGCATTCCGAAGGTTGCAGGTTCACATCCCATGCCAGTCAATTTCTTTAACTAACCTAATGATTGTTTAGATCTGGGTTCTTGACGTGAAGGAAAAAGCGACTTCCATTCCCTTGGCCATAGAAATTGACTTGTGAAGGAAAGGAACCCGAGACCTCTGGAACGCTATTCCAGAGTACAGGGTTCAAATCCCGCGGCAGTATTTAACCTGAAATTGTATTTTCCTTGTTTAGATCTGGGCACTTGACGTGAAGGAGCAAGCAGCTTGCAGTCTCTGGGCCTTGGCGGGACACACCAGACCGCAACAGAAGATGATTGCCGAGTTTATCGGGATCAGCGGTATTATTGATCTCATCGTCAAGTCGGAGAAGTTGCAGCATGTCGGTGAGTAGAACAGTTTTATGTCAAATTTCATTTGCCTGCTAAGAAAAATAACTAAATTCTGTTAAAAATAAATTCTGCTACTGTTAAGAATCAAGTACAGCCAAGACTACACTAACTTCGGAGGAACGATTTGCTCAACTGTGAAATGTACTCGGATGGGACTTGAACCCATGACCTCCTGCTTACTGGTACCGACGTCTCACCACTCAATTCAGGCGATTAACAATGTAGTGCGCCACCAAGAGTTTGCCACGGAGAGTTCATTTTTCCCAGTGCATTGTGGGAGATGGTCGACAAATTTGCAGCGCTGGATGTTAAATTGTTCGTTTTTCCAGTCAGTAGTTTCGCAAACGTATGATTCGAGTATATGTTTGCCCTTTTCTTCTCTTTTTATCAATATGGTGGTTTTTGGTAAGGCGGCAGAACGCTATGCCCCAATCTATAACAAATTAGCTCAAGTTGTCTACTGACACTCATTCCAATGGGTCATGTTTTGTCGACCGTAAACTTCAAAAGTTGACTCTCCATGGCAAACTCTTGGTGGCGCACTGCATTGTGAATCACCCGAATTGACAAGCCTGTCGGAGAAGGCTTGCTGGTTTGAATCTGATAAAGCAGAACGTATCTCGACCAATCACTATTTGCATGTTGGATTTTTTTATTAATTGATTTTTGCAATTATTCTTTTCACCCAGGTTGCATGGCAATGATTGCACTCACAAGAGCCAGCTCGGACAACCAGAATCGCATTGAGAAGGAGAACGGAATCCTTCCCGTGGTGAGAATCTTAAGATCCAGCAAGACGTCAGAGAGAGTTCTGCATATGGTCATAAAGGCGCTTGGGACACTCTGTGTGGGTGGGTATCATTAGCATTAGAATTGTGATTGACTTGTGATAGCCTTGTGATTGACTCGTGTTTTGATTGATGATAATCGACTTGTGATTGAAAAATTATTAAGTTATGATTGACTTGTGATTGGCTTGTGATACACTCATGATTGACTTGTGATTGGCTTGTGATACACTCATGATTGACTTGTGATTGGCTTGTGATTGATTTGTGATTGGCTTGTGATTTACTCATGATTGACTTGTGATTGGCTTGTGATTCCCACATGATTGACATATGATTGGCTTGTGATTCCCACATGATTGACATATGATTGGCTTGTGATTCCCACATGATTGACATATGATTGGCTTGTAATTCACTCATGATTGACTTATGATTGGCTTGTGATTCACTCATGATTGACTTATGATTGGCTTGTGATTCACTCTCAGTTGACTTTTGATTGGCTTGTGATTCACTCCCGATTGACTTGTGATTGGCCTGTGATTGACTCATGCTTGACTTGTAATCGCCGCAGGTGTTGCCAACATCAACAACCCGATCACACAGAGCAAGATAGCAGAGGAGAACACCATCTCCACCCTAGTCAGCATCTTCCTGACCACGCGCCACGACTACATCAAGGTGGAGATTGCCAACACCTTAGCCTGCATCATCCTAGGCAACAAGGAGAACCAGGCACTGCTCAAGGAGGAGCCGCAGTTTGAGATGCAGATGCTGCTGAATCTACTCCACTCCAAGAACAAGGTGGGAAATAATATGGACGCTGTACACAAGTACCTGTGGTCGAGTCCATCACAAGTCTGGTCGTAAAGTTAAAAGGAAGTTTGTGGCTTGACTTGTGATGGACTTGTGAGGATTTTTCACGACTTGTGAGGACTTGTGGTGACTTATGAGGACTTGTGATGGACTTGTGATGGACTTGTGATTGACTCATGATCGACTTGTGGTGACTTGTGAGGACTTTTCACGACTTGTGAGGACTTGTGATGGACTTGTGATGGACTTGTGAGGACTTGTGAGGATTTGTGAGGACTTGTGGTGACTTGTGGTGACTTGTGACGACTTTTGACAACTTGTGAGGATTTGTGAGGACTTGTGGTGATTTGTGGTGACTTGTGATGACTTTTGACAACTTGTGAGGACTTGTGAGGACTTGTGGTCGACATCTGAGGACTTGTAGATTTATAGGACTTGTAAAGACTTGTAAGGACTTGTGATGGACTTGACACTGATGTTTTGTTCTTAATCTAGATTAAACTCATGGTTTGAATGTGCTTTCTTTTGTTTCTTTTTTTTTTCATAGGAAATTCAACTACAAACCGGCAATGCACTAGCCACCTTCGCCTTCAACAACACCGGCCAGCAAGTGGCCATCAGAGAGGCAGGAGGACTGAAGATGGCCATGTTCCAACGCTTCCTGGACGCGGAGGACGAGTCCTACCAAGCCCACGGTGCCTTTCAGGTATTCTTACAATTCCAGTTCAGACCATCGTTCCAGAGTTGCTCCTGAGCAAAAGACTTGTGACTAGTCTTGTGATGTATCTGTGGTACATGTACCTAGACCGGTTTCAAGCAGTCTGAATTTTTAAACGCTTCCAAATGAGCGCCTGACTAAGAATAATAGGAAGAGATGTATAAACTGTCGGTGTGAAGAAAGATTAAAGTATTTTGTTTTTGTGTTTGTTTTAGATTGTGGTGCTTGCAAGAGTGATCCTGGACCGTGATCAGGTCTCCTTGTCCGCCGAGGGCGTCACAACTCTTGTCCGATTACTCAAATCTCAGGACGATAATACTGTCATCTTGGCAGGTATGCTTGTATCACTTCGTTTAGTAAAAGCCTGTATGCTAACGGCTACGGCTAACAATTTACACATGTGCCTATGGAAGCGCTCAAGCCACTTCCCATAGATGCATGTGTTACTGCTTAGCCGTAGCCGTAGCCAAGCAAATAGGACGCAGCCGCAATCAGTGCAAGACAATACAAGCTACAGCATGGTGCAAAAAGCCATTCTAAGAAACTTCGGACATTTTTCCATTTTGGACCAAATGTTTGTAATTATTCGGCGTTTGGCCGGGATTGCCCGCGAAAGTCTCTCGACATATTTCCATTGGGGTCCCTGGGTAGAAGATGTGGAAGAAAATTACAGTTTTAGTGGTGCGAGGAAAACCCTAGAATGTGATTCTAGGGAAAACCCATGGAATCAGGTAGGGATTGAAAACCCATTCTACATATTGGCCCAGGCGGGTTCGAACCCCGGTCACAGCGGTGGAAGGCGAGGAAAGAACCGCTACGCCCACCTGACCCCCTGATCTGCCTAGACGTGTGCACAATGAAATCATCGTAGTATCCAAGACCAACCCTTATTGTTTTGTATCTTCCAGGTACTTTGATAGCTAGCCTAGCCCATACCCGCGCCGGCATCACGGACGCCATGATCACGTCGGGCAGCGTGGAGGTTCTCATCGATCATCTCTTCTCCCAGAATGCCGAGGTGCGATGCGCGGCGGCCGTTGCCCTGGGATACCTGACTTTCAATCGCAAGGTACGCGACTTAAGAAATTTGACAAGGGAGCTGAATTTGTGAGAATTCCCTGGATACGATTTTTGCATTCAAAATGCAGAATGCATTTGTCTGATGTATTGAACAAGATTTGGTAATTCTAGCGAGAGGGTTGGAGTCCAGCCTGAAGGATTGCTCTGCTTGTGTCCTTGGGCAAGACACTTTATCGCAAGCTGCCTTCTCTAATCCAAGGGAACATAGGTGACGGCAAGGATTCTCTCTTTATTCATGACATAGGCTATTGTAAACTTCATGACAAAAATTGAAAACAATTTTTACGGTTTTCTCCAAAGGTGAGCAATGTGCAATCCAAAGCAATCTTGATTTTTAGAATTGTGATTAAGGAACAAATTTATAACTGATTGTCGTTGCTTTTTTACAGGCAACAAGGCTGCTGCTGGTGGCGACACGCAACACCCCAGGTTTGTACAAACGTCTGATGGACAATCTGGACAAAGATGGCAAGATATCGAGGGACTTTACCGAAGAGTTTCGACGGGCGCAGGTGGTTGGGTTACCAGCATTGAGGTGAGAAAATATAAACAAGGGTCAAACGTCATGGAACTTACAATCGATTGTAAAGCGTAATATTTGCTGTTACGCACAGCATACCTCAGAAGACGAAGCAAATTGCTTTCTTAATTTTCGACATTTCGTCCTGAAATCCCCGAAAGTTTTATGCTTTGGGATTGTTTACTTATCCTATTTCAAAGGTCTGGTTGAAAGGAAACTAACCCAATGTCTTACCGTTCCCGAGAAAAGAAACAAAAAACCTGGTTGTTTACATCGGACAAGGTGGACATTTTGTGGCATACGTATTTCCAGTCAAGTCAATATACAGTACACTTTATGTGTGTGTGACACATAATACACAAATTTTGCTTCTCGCATGTCCGCAGAATGCGATGCACTGGTGGAAAACGTGCAGCAGGATTCTCGACTAGCACTCAACAGCTCAATTTTTGAGGGTCAAAATTTTGACCCCCGAAATTTGTTCTTGCAAGAATAACACAAAAAATCCCATTTTTAAAGGATGGTTGTGTGGACGTTTATATCCTACTTTTAAACGCTCTTTCCAATGAACATGATTTTGTTTAAAATGCATTTTGTAGTCAATTGGACACATTCCAAGATGCAATGTCCCTTGATGTAGGACCACTTTGGTATGTTTGGGTAGAGGCCTTTTGACAAGCATTAGTTTTAATAATAACATGTCGTGGAATTTTCTTCTGTTTTTTTTTAGTTTGGAGATCCATGGAGGCCCACCAGTTGTCCCACCGCCAAGGCCCAGAGGGATGAGTAAGTGAACTTGAAGGAAATAAATAGCGCCCTCTATTGTGTAAACAGAGAGAGCTCCTTATCTATCTAGTGAAATAATATTTGTTTGCAAAAGAACGAAAAGTTGATACCGACTTATCCTCAAAACTTCGTCCGTGTTGGAATCTGTCCAGGCAGTTGTATTGATTGGACTTGTTTTGTTTTCACCACAGGACGTCCTCGCACCACCATAGGTTTCAACAGTCACCCGCCCACCGAGCTGCAGAAGACACGCCCCCAGGGCCCCCCAGCCCGGGCCGTGTCGGCACCGGCCATCGCGCGACGACACAAAGCCAGGTCGGCCGAGGCGGTGATAGAGGGCGACGTGGAAGGGGTGAGGGTCATCAAAAGACGGGACGTGGGGCCCAGGGGCGATAACCGAAGAGTCCTGCTCAGGAAACCCACGGATGACGGGAAGATTGCGTGGTCTGGTTGAGGCGTTCAAATACCGCCCTCGGTGGTGAAAATGAGAGACCTTGAAGGACGCTTGTGCACCACTGCCGTAGTACATCTTTGCTCTGTGATGCTTCTGTGAAGAAGCAACAGGTTTGTGTGCAATTCATCTTTCAGAGCTGTTAGTGTTGGCGCAATGAAGTTAGGCGTCACAATTTTTATATGGAATAATGTTTACTTTAACAAAAATTGCAATATTTCTCTTTTTTTTTATAAATGAAATAATCTGTACATATTTTGTGGTATTTCGTGTGAGGAAAAGTTGCTAAGCTAATGAGGTGTATATTTTTAAATTTAAAGAAACTTCCAAGTTTTATATAATTGTATATGACATTTTAATTCATTTTTTTTATGGGTGTGGGTTTGTATATTTTTGCGATTGCGCATCGGTGATTTTATTTATGTGTATTTGGATTAAAAATTGCTAAAACCAAAGGTTGTATTTAGGTGCATTAAAATGAAATCAGAAATATTTTGAAATTAATATCCCTAAATTGTGTACATATGAGATATTTTAATTTTTACTATATTTTAAAAGAGATTACTAATTTCAAACTTTACTCTTGGAACATGTTACGTCACAACACAGTTTTGAAGCCAGTTGCGTGAGAAATAATGGTATCATCAGTGTAGCATTTTTCACTTCGTTCACAGCATTTCAACTTTTAGTGTTGTATTCCTGGTTGCCAAAATGTATGCATTTTTTGGAGATTTTACAAAAATTAAAAATAAAAAAATTGAAAAAAAAGAGCAAATTTGTGGCAACGTACAAAAATATTTCACTAAAAATGCTGCAAGAACAGTTTTACAGTCTTTTATTCCGGTCAGATTGCATTCCGTCCTTATCATTATTAATATCTTATATTTATATTCTTCAAAAACTTCATCTTTCCATCCACAGACATTAAAAAACTGTACATATTTACGATTTTTTGAAGGGAAAATACTAATGTATATTTTTGTGTGTCAAGCCAAGCTGGTTTTGTAATTATTTGAAAGTGGCTGTTCACACAAATTAATTTGTAAATAAAGATTGGCTTTATTCTATAAAATTGTCCTGTTGATGTTCTTCTTCCTTGTTGACCTTAATCTTTCACTGCTGCGATGCGACCTTTTCTCCTATGACCTTTGACACCACCTCACCAGAACTTGACACGTTTGATTTTGATGTCTGCTGCCCTCACCTGGTCGGAAATGTCCATGCCAATAGGATACCTGTAAAATACCAACACAATCAGTTATCACGAAACTCTCTTAAAAAAAAGTTGAAGATCACGGAAATGTTGTCGTTTCAAGAGTTTGTGGAGACACGTACTTTGGTTCATATCGGACGCTTTGCAGATCTTCAACAATTCCTAAGCCCAGTTTAAACTTCTCCATGCCGGCCCATGCGATCATGATCCCATTGTCCGTGCACAGCCGTGGCGGGGGACAGTGTAACTGGTATCCGTGCTTGTCGCAGACGAATTGGAGGGCGCTGCGGATGTAGGCGTTACTAGCCACACCCCCTGAGACGACCTGAAAAGAATGGCCATTTGACAAAATGCGTCGCCTTAAAATACTTCCTTTCTCTTCACAAACTATAGAGGGTGCTATTTACCTGCGCAACAAGGGTAAGTGAAATCAAACACATAATGTTTGTATTTTGGTAACAAAGAAATTTTGGGTCAGATTTGAAAAAAAAAAGATTAAATAACTGAATCTGTAAGTGTTTTCTTACCAATGACTTTGACGTTCCAGCCAACATGTCTCTCTGCCGACAGAATTCCATCGCCCTGGCAACCCTTGTAACCATGTGGTGCGCCACCTTGTGTTGGAAGGAGGCAGCGATGTCCGGAATGGTGGACAAAAGAAGGTCGTCTTCGCGGCTGATACCTACAGAGGAATACATGATGAAAAAAAAAATCCCCCTTAATAAAAGTCAGCCTTATAATTTAAGTGAGGTTTCCCAAGATTTTGTTCTCATTCAGCACAATTTTCGTATTTTTTTTTTTTACAGAAGTTGCCCGTTTTGCAAAATTTGTAATTTTCATCTAAAAACTGAAAACTGGTGTCGTTTCTTCTGAAATAAAAAAAAAACTGTAAAAAAATTTTCCTTAATAAAATTGTTTTCAATTTCCTTATCCCTGCTTTCTAAGTACAGGTATCGGTGAAATTTTAGCGTGCCTTTCAAAATGCACCCTCATTATTGGTTAAACTTAAAGAGCGCCCTCTATAATCCACGCACTAAGCCATTACCTTCTTTGACTTCGTGGTTGTATATGAGCCAGTTGGCGAAGGTCTTCAGCCCAGAGAAAGAGAAGCTGCAGTCGCGGTGCTTGAGCAGCGGTCTCTCTTTGTCCATGAGTAGACGGATGTTGCCCCCCAGGGATAGGCGCTCGATAGCCTGGCCGCCAGACAGGCCGTGGCACGCTGGGTGGAGGTGCAACTTCAAACGACGCGCTACCTGAAAGAGAAGAATGATTTTGGTCAAGACGTATGTCTCCTCGACTAATTTGGTGATGGCCTTGCTGAGAAATGGAAGGAAACGAACATTTGGAGGGAGAACATTTTGATGTGGACTGCTGTGGCCTCGTGGATATGGGCATCGGATTTATGGTCTGCGGGTAATTCTGCAGGTTGTGGGTTTCGAGTCCAGCCTGGGGTTATGGTGCGTGTGCCCTTGGGCAAGGCACTCTGTCACTCATTGCTTCTCCCCACCAAGGAGTAAATGGGTACCTGTGAGGGCAGAGATGGCTATTGTGGTTGATTTAGCTTCCTGGCGCCTAACAGGCAGCATCGAGCTGTATACACCCCAGGGATCTGAGAAGGTTTCAGGAGTGTTTGACCGTTGAAACAAGGTTTCAGGAGTGTTTGACCGTTGAAACAGGGAAAATAATAATTGTAAGGCGCTTTGATACCCTGTTGCGACGTAAAAGCGCTATATAGATGCCTGCTATTATTATTATTATTATGTATTGGGGGAAAATTGGCATTTTTGAAGACATGGAGTGTCACGGCCTCTATGTCTGGTGGGCTACATGTTAATATCTTGAGTCGTTTTCTGTAGAGAGGGGTTTTAAGTCTGTAGATGTGGTTGACTGTGTGTCCATGGGCAAGGCACTTTATCATGAATTGCTTCTCCCCACCTCGGAGTGAAGTGAGTACTTGTGAGGGCAGAGACGGTTATCGTTTTAAAATAGCTGTTCTCATTGAAATACCGGAATTGAGCTCTATACTTCCCAAGAAGCTGAGAGTTTTATGGAATTTTTATAGGCACGATGAGCAGGGGTAACAGAGTTTTGTTTGGTTGTACCTTGTCAAAAGCTTCACCCGGGGCGTTGTCTAGCGTGCTTCCGAGGAGGAGGAAATCATCAACTCCCCTAGCAACAGCCAATAAGCAATGGCCGCCAGAGACGAGCAGAACGAGGTATGGAAACTCAATCCTAGAACAAAAAAAAAAACATCTTCTTAAACAAGTTAACACTTTCCTCTTTGTACTGCAATATTTGAAGGGAAAATAAGACAAATTGTTTGAATATGACCCTTCCTACCTGCCAACCAAACAGTGCACCTTGACCAATCAGATCACGACTTTTGGTCAGGTGACCACGACAGCTTGGTGACAGTCGGAAGCACTGTGAGCGATGTACCCAAACCAAAGGTGGGCGGGGCTTATGGTGAAATCCAGAATTAATGATCCCCTGTAGATCCAATCAAATGGCAGTAATTTGAATAAATCTGAATATGGATTGTACTTGCTTTTCAATCATCCTTATAGTGAGTGCATGGGCAATCATGTGGTGTACCGGTATGAAAGGCAACGGCAGTCGACGCAGCAGGTCTTTACTGTACTGCAGACCGACTTGAAGGCATAGGGCCAGACCTGGCATGGTGGTAGTTGCCAAGGCTGAAACATCCTACAAAATAAAGGAGAAAAACCTGAAAGTGAGGATTTCAAATGAGGACATTTTCTTTTCAGAACAAACCTTTACAAAGTCAGTGTTTTTGATTTTGGAGAAAATATGAATTTGCTTTTTTTTCACCTTAATAATGTATTAAAGTGTAATCTGTGTCGTGTGTTGAAATGTCTCCAAAGATTTCTGTAAGAAAATCTAGGTTTTCTTAGAAGTTTTAAAATTTTACAAAGTTTTTACTTTCCCAGACAATAATTTATTTTCAGTCGATAGCTTTGCAATGTTTCTTTTTGTAGTACCCAAACCCTTGCCCCTGCACCCCCCAAATATGATGTACATTTGTACTCAACTTTACAACCCCCCCCCTTTTTTCATTACAAAACCTGCCCCTTATTGTTCTTAATGTATTAATTGCTGACAATGAATGAAAAAAATTATTGCCATTTTTTTCCCCAGAAGAATTATCAGTACCTTGAGCTGAATTCCAGCATTCCGCAATGCCTGCTGTACCACGGAGTCAATGTGTTGTCTATGGAGATCCTGCGCCAGTGTCGGAATCACGCCTCCATTTCTAGATTAAATATTGAAAGGAGTCAAGATCAGTCTAAGATGTTGGGATTTAAAGAGCTCAAACAATTAGGGTCCAATGGTATCTGGCTCTTGAATTTTGCTATATTGACCACATCTTTATTTATGTATCTTGCATGTTTAATAATAAGTTTGGAAGGTGTAAATTTGTTTAATTTTTCTTATTTAATGTCTTCATGTCTTTAATTGGTTTAATAATTCTTACAATAGCTATTTTGACCTGAAGTGGAATAGTGTACCTAAAAGCATTAGACCAAGTAAAAATATAGAAATATTTGAATTCATACATTTGCAATATATTTTGCAAATGTTGTAAAAATGTTGTCTTTTTATTTGTTTCCAACAAAATTTTAGCTACAAAGAAAGGGGTGACAGCTCCTTTGGACAAATTTTGTGTCAGCAAAAGAGTTTAGAAAATGGAAGAGTCCATCCGCCATCTTGAAAAATTTGCCGTCTTAGGAAAAAAAGGGGGAGAGGGCGCCTCCTTCGTATTTTTTTTACTTAGCCCTATCAACCAGATGAGATGAATGAAAGGGAAAATTTGAGGTACAGTGATATATACAAGTGGCCTGAAGAGTTCTCATGGATGCAGTCATGGCGGTTGCCATGGAGATGCTGCATCCCAGTGCTTTCTGGAATTATGGCATGAGAATCGATAATCACTGAAGCATGTTTATTTTTCCAGCAGACAGGACATGCCCGATTTATACCCACTTGACATGGATGCGTTTCTGTGAGTACAGGCCTTCTCCGAGAACCTTTCCCTCCTCGTCGACCACGGCTGCTCCAGTCTCATCACAACTTGTCTCGATCCCAAGAACCAGCTTACTTCCTCTCGACTCACTCGCCAAGGATGACACTGATGAATGAAGTCCTCGTCTTAAAGACAGCTCTGCTTGGTGATGAGATTTCTTGGAGTCTATAGATGTTATAAAAGCTTTGGGGAAATTGCGAGTTCTGTTGCCATGGTTGCAAATGTTCAGCCATCCAATGTAATTGTAAAGTTTCAGAAATCTTATTGTTGAATTTGACATTTTCTTTATCAAAGTGCAATTGACAATTTTCCAAACCAAACCTTATTCCCAATTCTTTGAAATTCAGATGTCTGCGAGCTTCAACTTGGCTTGCACTTAAACACGCATTGTGAAGCGTGAGTGCGTCGTCTGCAAATCCCAGTTTTCACGTCGGCATTTGATGTTGGACTAGAACATGAGTACAACTTGCCAAGGAAATCCGATCTGCTTCTATATCAATGTAGGATACTTCAGTCTTTGGTCAGCTTATGGCTGATTTCAGAGTGACTTTACAAAAGCTGAAAAATCGGCCTCATTGTGAATGCGAAAGTCCCCGAAATCTTGGCGTGAATGTGATGAAAATTGTCGATAGCGCCCTCATTTGACAGCATTATTGTGAGTGTGATTTTATTTATCACAAGAGGGCGCTATTTATGTTTAGTAGCCAACTCTGTTCAATAAAATTGAAGTAAAAAGTTGCCAAAAAAAATACCCCTAAGCCTTTTTTCAGATGAAAAAGTAGCGAAGCTTTTACACACGTCTGGTTTTAAAAAAACGTACTAACATTAACAATACGATACAACTAAAACAAAGTAAATAATTATTTATTATGGACACTTTCTTGTCAGATTCTGGGCATTATTTACACAACACACTAGAACACTATAAAATTCAACAGTTTTTTGTTATGTCAGTAAATTATCATTTTTTTCAGCCGGGACGCGATGCTGTTATGTTTGTTTTTATAGTCTTTGTATCAAAGTAAAAGCCTGAAATAGATAGAAAAACGCCCTCGAGTTAGGGGCCTATATGGTCTGAAAACTTAACTTAGTTTTTTTTTCAGCCAGTTCCTTTCATCACGCGATCCCAATTTCCCGCGGTACATTTTGATTACGAAAAGTTGTTGAGAAACATGGAACAAATAAAAAAAAAATACTTTCTTCAGATAATGGGTCCCCTACGTACAGTTGGAAGTTAATAAAAATTGATGGAAGTGCAGGTATACTGGGATGACTAAAACTTAATTAAGCATAATTATTAAAAAAAACCAAAAAAAACCACATGAGTTCTTATTCCCGCCCCGGAAGTTAGCATTAAGGTTTTGACATATTTGGAAAAAGCGGTGAATATATCCCTTAGATCAGTTTCCACCCATTCTTGAATTTTGGAAATGTAATTATTTGGTTAAATGGTTAAATCACGATATGGCGGAACCGATAAGTCAAGATTAGTTGTAAAATAATAACAAACTTTTGTGGGGTCATGTGATCCCAAATGAGCTATTGGATTGGTCAAAGATGTAGAGCCGCCATATTGTGTTTGCTCTGGGCATCGCGTATTGCGGAGGACTCGCCATAAATTTTATGCTACTTTGGTGGGTAATTTTTCGCTTTTATCACTACTGGTTCAGTTCGAAATTGGTAGGATAGAGGGTATGTGTATTTTAGTTTCATATGATGTGGTTGTAGGCAATGGTAGGGAATGTTGTTTGTTGAATTGCGGTGTTTTGTGGGACATGGAACTCGGGATGTAAACACGTACAAACGTATTGGTTTGTCATGTTTGTGGTGCGTGTGTGTGAAGCTAGCTTCGAATGGGGCCCAGATCCCGGACAATGGTGGTTTTCAAGTTTGGAGATTTGGAAAGAAATGTTGCAACCTGACGCCTCTTTTTATTCATATATCGTCTCAATGAAGGTCATTCATTGCAAAAATGATAATAAGACATAAATCTGGGACTGAGATTGAGAAAAATTTCCAATTTTGTTTCTTGAATTTACATAGACTTTGTAATTGTACACGGTCGAGAAGTGGCATCAGGTTGCAACATTTTTTTCCATATCAAAGTTGAAAACATTGATTGCAACCGTTTTTTTTTTTTTTTAAAATATACAATCTAATAAGAAGTAGGCCTAGACCCCTAGTATTATTTTAAAAAAAAGTTCAAAAGTTGTAGGACTTTTTGCAGCAAAACATGATAAAAAATGGTAAGTACATTGTAGGCCTAGGCCTAACGCATTTAACTTTAAGTAACGTTATTTACGGTTTTTTTTTTTTTTTTACAGCAAGTGAAATGTAGCTGCCAATCACTGGTTCCCTGCCTGAACCAGTCAGTCTGTGCACATTGCAGCCACCGGTTGTGTTGGTAACCTTTATGGAGTAGTATGGGAAGTGAATTTGGCCTTCTAAGAATGGATATCATTGTGGCCGTCGCCATAGGGATATTATGCTTCCTCTTTGTCGCCTCGTTGGGTGTACTCGTGGTCATCTGTCGACATCGGTACTGTCGTATGCTAGATCTGACTCTCAAGGAAAAAGTTAATCACGGGTAGGTGTTAAAATGGACTGTCACAATACGTGTGTTTGAAAAATCCGTATGATTCAAATTCGTTTTTCGACTCTAATACTTACTTATTATTAACACTTTACTCCCTAGGCATTTTTGCTAGGATGCAACATCAATCCTGCAAAATTCCTTCAACTGCCTCCATTTAAAAATTGCATACAGCCTCAATCTTCCAAAATCCTCTGTTATTTCTTGAATGTGGTCCTTGGAGGGATGACCACTGCCTCAATCCTGCAAAGTCCTCCAACAATCACTGTCAATATGTTGAGGCAGAGCCAGTGACATCCTCGAGCAGTGCAGAGGATTTTAAGCATAATTTTGGCCTAAATTTAAGCATTGCCGAGCATAAACAACACAAGGTCCGACCTAAGACCTTGATACAGAGCATCCTCCAAAATCAGCAACACACTTTAGCCATTTAGCCTCAATCTTTCAAAATCCTTCATTTTTGTAAAGAGGATTTTGGAGGATTTGGGAAGGTTAGGGTTAACTTGCAGTTTCCTACATCAAGCAGGTTTTTTTGTTGGGGTAAGCTTAACACCCCCCCCCCCCCCCCGATAAAATATGGCAAAATTTCTGACAGCTTCTTGTGGATAATTATGTGCTCAGCTCCAGGTCAAGTAACGTGACCTTAGTAAGCCACGCCGAGCTTCCCGATGAAAACTATGAAGTGGAGCTGAACGACGTTTGTTGGAACAACGCCAACCTGGAGGAACTACTAGACGACGATGCCAAATGGGTCGATGATGCTAGGTGGGTACTGAGCTGTGATGAGTCTAAAATGATTTTGATGATCCTAGTAGCAGTGGGAGAAATTGGAGATTTCAAAATCCTGGTTATCCTAATTTTTTTCTAACCGAATAACGTTTTTTTTCTAACCGAATAACGGAAGTTCCCATTCAGCTCACAGTCATGCCAACAAAATGTGACGAGTGAGGTGCCGCATGCAATGCCCTCCCAATGACTGGGTATAGTTTGCAAAATTCAATGACCACTGGGCCTTTACGAAAACAGAAGGGTGGGAACTCTCAGATAAATCAAATGGGCAGGCTATTCACATACCAAGACCACTAGCAAGTGAATGCAGTTACAATCAGAGACCATCTAGAGCACGTTGGGGGATGTTCCAGTTGTTATCGATAGCCTGTGTCTTGAAAAATGGAAGGCTTAATTTTTTAAAAGATTGGTTTCGAAAATCCGGTTTCCAAAATTGTAACGGCATAGTGGAATTCAAACCAAATTTTTTTTAAATCCGGAATTAAATCCCACCACTAGATTCTAGTATCAATGTTGTAGTTGACCCGTCTAAATCTAGCTCAAAGTAAATAAGAAGTCTTTTCACTATCCATTTACAAGTAAGAGGTACGAACAATGACAAAAGAATTCATTTGAATTGCTTACGTTATGACCAACTGGATGACTTGTGATGACTTGTGATGACTTGTGATGACTTGTGACGACTTGTGACGACTTGTGACGACTTGTGATGACTTGTGATGACTTGTGATGACTTGTGATGACTTGTGATGACTTGCGATGACTTGCGATGACTTGTGATGACTTGTGATGACTTGTGATGACTTGTGATGACTTGCGATGACTTGCGATGACTTGCGACGACTTGCGACGACTTGTGATGACTTGTGATGACTTGTGATGACTTGTGACGTCTTGTGATGACTTGCGATGACTTGCGATGACTTGCGATGATTTGTGATGACTTGTGATGACTTGTGACGACTTGTGACGACTTGTGACGACTTGTGACGACTTGTGACGACTTGTGACGACTTGTGACGACTTGTGATGACTTGTGATGACTTGTGCTGACTTGTGCTGACTTGTGATGACTTGTGATGACTTGTGATGACTTGTGATGACTTGTGATGTCTTGTGATGACTTGTGATGTCTTGTGATGACTTGTGATGACTTGTGATGACTTGTGATGACTTGTGATGACTTGTGATGACTTGTGATGACTTGTGACTTATTTTTTCTTTAAATTTTTGGGTTCACAGTGGTCTGATTCCACACTGCATCGGCATCCTGAAAACGTGCCATCACCTGACGGAGAAGCTGGTTGCCATGACAATGGGCAACCCCGTGTCCGTCAAGAAGCCAGAGAGCCTTAGTGAGATTGTCAAAGTGGCTAAGCGTATAAGCCCAAGGTATTTTACTTTTTGAATTTTGCTCTTCACCAATGTAAATTTTATAAACACTTTGTTGCAATGCTGTCCAAAAGCTTGTGCGATAATCAAATTGACGAGCTTGCTGAGCGAGACTCAGACCCACGACTATCTCATGACCCAATATTAAAGTTTACATCTTCCTGATCAAAATGCCAGCATAAGAAACTGAGTTATAAATTTCTTAAAGCGGAAATTCCCGGAATCTTCGAAATCCTAGGTTTTGGAGGATTTTGTAGGACTGAGGAATGTACATGTAGAGCTCAGTCACTGATGTACTTAAACTTAATGCCCCTGGATAGTACAAAAATGATCAATTAGGTTTCTGCACAGTTTAATATTTTGAACGTTTGAAACTTTTCTAGAAAATTACAGTTAATCGTTGTCATGTTTTTTCCTCATAAATTTCAGAGTGGACGATGTAGTTCGGTCCATGTACCCACCCTTGGATCCCAAGCTGATTGAAGCTAGGTAAGAATTACTCATTTGCTCGAAAAAAAGTTGAGGTAACTGAGGTTAATGTCCCTTTAACGCAGCACCCTATCGGTTCGTGCGTAGATATTTATATTATGTTAACTCTTAGCCATAGGTCGATCTGGCAATCGACGTGCTGGCAGCAATCTGACTTAAAATGGCCCGCCTTGGTCCGCCTTTTTGAGTTTGTGTTCAGACTATTAAAGGCTGTAGCACACCTCATAGTTCTCAGGGCCAAATGGGTTAGGATGTGCTCCATTCTCACTGAAGTAACCCATTTATAGCATGGCGTCTCAACATTAGCGTCTCCTAATCAAATCCTACTGACTGACTTCTCGTGCCGACCCTGTTTTTACAGGACAGGATGTAGGGGGGCCCCTGGCGCCTAAACCAGGTGCTCCGGGTAGGGAGAACTGGTAAGCCTTAGTGTGGCAATCTACCTAGGAGAGGGACAACTCTGACCCCTAACCAAGCTAGGTAAAACTCATTAGCCTTGGTCGGCAGTCTACCTGTAGGGCTAGAATCCTAATCCAACTGGTGTCTCCCAGTTTGTCATTGGTTTGATAGAGGCTAGACAGGGGGCCAACTATTCCAGGGCTCAGATGAGGACTTGCAACCTCTGAGCTTTCAAAGGCTTTAAGGCTTCAAAGCCCGGCTGTGGTTGACTTGATGATGATGACGATAGTCAATCAGTTTCAATTTCCTAAAAAGAATCGCTCCTCGCAACCCCTCCGCTCCCCTGCAGGTCAGCGGCCCTCCTGCTGTCCGTCAACCACCTGGTCCTGGTCACCAAGCAGGCCTGCCGCCTGCCAACCTCGGTCCAGTGGATCGACAGCTCCCTAGGGGAGATGGAGGAGCACCTGACGGCTCTCCGAGAGATCGCGCTGGCCAGCGAGGCGGATTCTGCTGCCGGGTCCATCTCGTCTGGCACGGAGAGCGCCCATCAGCCCATGCTGCGCAACGACTTCGGGTACAAGAAACCTCAACCCCCGGGGCCTAGCTCCAATTCCCTCGTGTGATGGTCGCCGGACGGTCAGTTTGTCTTATACCCCTTTTTTTTTAAAACCAAGCTACCTTATATCACTGAGAACTAAATATAATAGCCCCCTAGTAGTTCCTCAGGACTACCCTGCTAAATCCAACAGAGTCCAGCCGGAGTTTCCTGCTCCATCCACTGTGCCTTATTTTCAGTTGTCTGCTGAATCCAACGGAGACCAAATTGGTGTTATGCGGTTCAGTTGCCTGCTGAATCCAACATTTTGCATCAGGAATGTACACAAGGGGTTTCCTGCTCAATCCAACAAGCTCCATTGGGTATATGATATAGTGGGTTAGGGTTAAACATTTGAGTTTCAACAGTGTTAAAGTCGTAATCCTGTGAGTATAAGAGTTGTTGATCTTAACCATGCAACAGAATTATGCTGGGCTCTGTTGTTACAGGTTGTAAACCAAAGACCATTTGTTTGCGTCGTGTCTTCTGCTAAATTCAGCTGGTGTCAAAAGAAATCAGTACATTCTGTGTTACCCTTGTTTCATTAGACCCTCCAAAACATTTCAATTTTATTTGCAAAATGCCCCGTGTTTAAATAAATACCAAGATAGCAATAGCAATCTTCTGATCAATGAGTGCTCCCCTGATATCCGAGGATTCACCGGGGCTGTGCTGAATAAACTGAATATTCGATCACCGACCGAATATTTGAATAGCTAATTACCAGTTTGAATATTCAAAGAAGAAAAATTAAAATACCCACGTAGGGTTGAGGCTGTATGGCAAAAAAATTAATGTGTGGCTGATTTTGGAGGATGCACTGTGTCAAGGGCTTAGGCTGGACCTTGTGCTGTTTATGCTCAGGCGTGCATACATTTAGGCCTAGATTATACTGGAAATCCTCCGCACTGCTCCAGGATGTCACTGGCTCTGCCTCAAGATATTGACAGCGATTGCCGGAGGCTTTTGCAGGATTGAGACAGTGGTCACCCCTCCAAGGACCACATTCAAGAAACGTTGGACAATTTTGGAGGATTGGGGCTATTTTTACATGGTGGCAGTTGGAGGATTTTGCAGGATTGAGGTAGCTTCCTAACAAAAATGCCTAGGGGGTTAGGGTTAATCACTTTGCAGCCAGTACACTGGTTCTTAGAGTAAGGCGACTGTTTCCTGCCACATTTCCCCCCATTCTACTTGCTTGCTTTTTCAATTCTAAGTTTCGTGTGTAAATATGTAGTGCCATCAGTGTGGAGCTAGTTTTCTTGGGTGTAACGGCATGTGGATGCTATTTGATCTCGACAATTGTACATAAAGAAAAATTCAGAGTAATTTGAATTTAAATATATTTTATATTAGAGATACATTTATACGTGATATACAATATTTTTAATTCAATTTTCATGTTGGATGTCATCTTAAAATTAAGAAACCTTTATAAACATATTTCCCCTATACTCGTAAACATATTTGCCATTGTTAACATATCAAATAGTTGGTCTATTGGTGGTTTAGTGCGAATAATTTCTTTTGTAAATAAATGCTTGCCTCGTGATCATGGGCAGATTTAGACAATTTTATCATATGGCAGCTTGAACAATTCATGTCACAAAGAATTTCCATCCTTTTTATTTTGATGCAGCTTTTGTTCTTGAAATGTCTCTTAAAACTTCCTATAAAACCTTACTTTTTATCTTTAGATGTGTGGAGAGGATTTAGCTACTTTTTCCCCATGTGATTTCTGTTTGGCAGTTCAAAGTTTTAAAACATGTTAAAAGTAAAGTGTTAAAGGGTTCATGAAGTGAATTTTTTTTAGGAACATATTTTGTGCAACTTTCTACTCTTCAAATATTTAACATGCTTTTTGGTCAATTTTACATTGAAAAGTGCACTTCTTTTAAAATTTTAAAAAAAATTCCATGCTTTTTCGGACAACTGAGGGCACTGTTGCTGCGATGTCATTTCAGGAAGACACTGTTCAGTTTAGGAGTTTTCTGTTCAAATTGTTAGCCAAAAAAATTGCTTCTTAGAAATATTTGTCAGAAATTTGCTCATTGGCTTACTGCCATTTACTAAAACAACAACGAATCACCAAAGAAAAGAATATTTACAAAATTCTGGCAACTTTTGGTGCTGAAATAGCTGTAACATTGCCGTTTCTGCCTGGAATGACATCACACTTTTGCTCATGAATATGGAAATTGGCATTAGCATAAAAACCGTAAAAATGTACCAAAATACCCTTGAAAATGGCAAAACGAAAATTGAAGATAGGGTAAATTTCCAAGGATTGCATTAAAAATAATCACATTGCATGGGCCCTTTAAGTGAAGTGTCTTTGAGCAAATTTATCATCTTCAATCATAAATAGACGCTGAACTTCACAAAATCTGTTAAATGTTCCTTTTCATTTTATCATACAAATCTTACGAAAAGCAAAGCAATCTTGTATTATCAAAACATATATAGCTTGTTTAAACAGAAAGTCTCAAATCTCATGGCGATTGTTTTAGTCAGTGACGTTTGAGGCAGTGTTATATTTGCCCCCTCATTCCAAACATTTCTACAGATTTGCTCTAGAGGTATGCGAAACAATTTTTAGAGATTAATACAGTAAGATAAAAAAGGTCATATTAACAACAATATTCCAGATTTTGTTCATACTTAACATATCAGTTCTTACAAAACGCTTATTGTTTTGTCTGCATATCTTTATGAATTATCTTTATAAATTTTATAGGGATCTACCGGAAATACCGAATATTCAAATTTTGATCATTGACCGAGCATTCGAATATAGCTTTTTGCTTTTTTAAATATTCAGAAAAAAAACCAAAAAACAAATACGCACTGACTGTTGGGCACTTTATTGTCAGATGCCACTTTTTTTGTTGGTGGTAACTTTTTTGTCGACGGCAGTTCAGTGTTCCCATCCTTTTAGCATGTTAAACCCTTGACAATTAAAAACAAATACTGCAAAACAATTCAGTGACCAATACTCGCCTCGCACAAATGTTAACCAGCGTGCTTTGCGTGCAACTTTTGACCGGCATGCCGCGTATATGCGGCTGATGCGTGTAAAACTAGATCAGAGAGTCTCGAATATTCAAATATCCGGTCAAACGCAGTTTCAAATAATCGAATACTCAATTATTCGAAAATGAACAGCCCTAGAATTTTTGGGTGAAATTCTCGTAATCTCTTTTTTCTTCTAGACTCATTGTATATATTTGTATAGTTTTATTATGTATGTCCCTTAAGGTTTTAAACAAATTGACTGAAATTGTTGGGTTTTGTAGACCAGCACCTGGTGAGTGTCAAAGCATAGAGTATTTTTGAATGGAGTGAACCCCATTTTGAAAAATGGAGTGTCAAATTGAGATTGTTTTGTAAAGTACAGGTTTTAATCGTTCTATCCCGTCTGTCCCGTCTGTGGGCACGTGTGGTCTGGCAGTGGAGCACAGGCCCCATGATCGTGGGATTGTGGGTTCGAGCTTTGCCGTGGCCATGCGTGTTGTGCCCTTGAGTAAGGTGCTTTACCTCAATTACTCCTCTCAACCCAGGTGTTAAATGGGTACCGGCATTATTCAATGCTGGGAAGGTAACAGACTCGCTGTGGAGGAGGTGTGGCAATCCCCCCACAGCAGCTTATGAGTCTGGCCCAATCGCTAATGAAAGAGAGATGGGCACTCTGTTCCTGTGAACACAGGTTCTTTACCTTTACCTTTACCCGTCTGTCCAAAATGGCGTCTCCTTAGACAAAAAAACCTGTCAGAAAACCTTTTAATTGTTTATGTAAAGTGGACATTGCAACATTGAATACTCTATTTACTCAGAAATTTCATCTAGTCATGGATCCAAAAGTGGCCAGGATATTTAACTTTAGGGGAGGGGGAATCTGTTTTGAAATCAATTTTCATAAATTTCAATCTTGTTCAGTCTTTCTTAATAGATAGTGGATCCCGTTAGGCAAAATCTTTTTCACATAACATTTTTATCATTTACTCAGAAATGTTGTCTAGTCATGGATCCAAAGTGGCCAGTATAAAGCAAATTTACTGGTAAAATCTGTTGTTTTTGAAATAGAATTTGTTGTTTTTAATGTAAAATCTATTGTTTTTGAAATACATTTTCACTATTTTTAATCATCACTGCAGTCATAAAACGAAAAAAGAAATTGGAATTTGTAAACCACGTGACTATCATTGGTCGCCAAAAAAGTAAACCTTAACATATTGTGTGCCATTTCAATAATTACACAAAAACAACTTTCCTTTATATATTTTGATCAAAATTAATTGTCCTTTTCATGTATATGCATACGTAAAAATAAGTTGTAGAAGGGAGCAGAAATTAAATTTTATAACTTTTTCGTGAAAATGTGTTTCATTTTGTTTGGTTCTCAAAAAGTGATTAGAAAGTACAGGAAGCGTTAATAACATCTATGAAAAAAAAAAATCGAGAATGGCCTGCCGTTATTTTCTCTTCTTGGAATTGATATTTAAAGAATGTTATTAGGCAAAATATTTTGCCGGCTTCGTTGGCGTAACTTCACCTTGATATGACCTATCCATTCCGTTTACAAAAAAAAACCCACCACCACCAAAGATAATGTAATATTGCCAGTGATTTAAAAACAAGTGCGAGTGCACAAATACGCTCTGGCGTGTTGCAAGAAGTCTTGCATGAAAGTTTTGGCATGAAATCGATCAAAATGATCCCTGCTAGATCTTAAAAATGGGACGTCGATGGCACATATGGAACACCATACTTTTGGTCAATTTTCGGGGACAGACAGACCGACCGACAGACTAACCACCAAATGACATAACCTCCTGCCTCCAGAGCTTAAAAAAGCAATATCATGGTGGTTTACGAAACCTAGGAATTGTTACGGGGTCGGATTTAGGAGAAATTAGGCTCTGACGTTGGGGCTCTGGCTCAATGTGGATCTATCTTCTGCCTCAGGAACATCAAAATGTATGACAATTTCAGTTCAATTTGTTTGAACACCAACAGCTTCTAGATAATTCTTGGGCCAGAAACAAAGCCGCACGCACCGACAATGAGTTTCGAAAAATCCCGAGGTGAAGGCGAAGCTGAATACTAATCCTATGTTTCAAAAACCCCTTAGACTGACTATGACCGTAGCATGATAGAAACTAATGTTTTAACGTATCCAACGTGAAGTTGACTTAATAGAATTTGACATTAGGATAACTGCACGGATGAGTTGTAATCACAAACAGATGCGGTTATTATATGATACACTAATGTTGTAATACAATTGAATCGGAAGTGCTTTGTAAAATGCCGACGGTAAAATTGATACTGTATTTATGACTGACTACATGCGGTGTTTTTGAAATGTATTTAACCATACCGATGATTCAGCCTATTCGGTATTTTTTTATACAACCCTGAATAAATCCCCGTCATCTGATTGGTAGGTCGTTGATCACGTGTCATTGATCACGTCCCAGCTGCACCGCGTTCTATTCCACAGTATCATGATAGAAGTTCCGTTGCACGGTCACTCACACTATATAGACCATTATCATGCTGCGGCCATCTTGATTTTTCCCCATTCAAAATTCAACGTAACCAAAGCGAGGCTGGAAGAATTTTTTTCTGGTTTCTTTTTGCACACAAAACATCATTCAGTCCAGTTATTGGATACAGGGAACATGACTGAAATGGTGACAGCATGATAAAGGTCTATTGGTGGCCGGCTCTGACCAATCAGATGACGAGGATTTATTCAGGTGTTGTATAAAACAAATAATAAATGTTTCACGTGCGTGCAATGGAATATTAAATTCATTCGGTGACAAATGGCATATTCCACTGGGCTTCGCCTCGTGTAATGGAATATTCCATCTGTCACCTCATGAAATTATTCTTACCATTGCACTCAAAAACATTCATTATTTGTCAATATTCGTTTTTATAACTCAAATTGTTGAGGTACCTCGTTTTCACTTTGTGATTTTGCCTTCTTGTGTTGAAAAACCAATCCACTACATAAGAATGCGCCTTTAAGTTTGTCATGCATTCTTTCATGTGGCTGCATTAGGTAACGCATTCGCGGTAACAATTATAGTTAAAGCAACGTACGTACAGTCCGGTCTTCTGAAGTGTTTAATTTTTTTTAGTTCCACGGTTTACACAGATGTTTATATTTCATCACAAGGTCACCATCAACAAAGCCATGTTTCCCTCGCGCATTTGGTTCTGTATTTAACTGAATCCGTACAATTTTCATGGTAAATATTGAGGTGAAATCACTCGGACTTTTAATAACATTCAGTTAAGCTCTTGTAAAGGCAACCCCCTTCAAACTAGCCGGTTACTTTGGTTTTATACGGTAATTTTCCCGTGGAAAACATATAGCCTTCTAATCCCAGTAAAAAGATCGAGCTGTGTACCCGAAACCAAATTTTATTTTCCACTGCCCGACGACTGTTTTCGTAGGAGACGCAACGAGCAAGTACCATTGACCTTGCGCGCATACAGGTAACAGTGCCGCACTTGTTTGTTTAATAAGAGTTTCAAAAACAACATGCTGCTAAAATGAATTTATGGTATACAGGAGTTTCAAAAGCTACATGTCATTTCTTCCACTGACTCTTTAATACTGCATTTTCGAATGCGAGTCTCAGGCATGGAATGTGTTGTTGATTCAACAATACTTACCGGGAATGGAAGGACAAAAATAACCTTGCAGTTTGAAAATGTTATCTTAAAGATTACGGAACTTTTCGAGGGACTTGTTGTCATTCGGTCCCATCTAAATTGGAAAACGACAGTGATAACTAATTGGAACGGTGTCAGGTACGGGACATCCGACAGTGGGAAGTAGCCAATCACAGCGTCGTAGAAAGTGATGACGTCACTGGGGTTACTGCCCATGTATGAACTGCCGTGACAAGCACGAGGATTTGTTCTATGCGAAAACTTGCGCCCGAATTCTGACCGGTATTATACATGATGAAAACACACGTATAAGTGAACTGCGTCAGTATCAATTTTGCAGCGCATTGGAAATCAACTTTCATTCCGGGCTCCGTGACCAAAACATACCCCCTGCTAGCCCCATCATTGGCCCACCTTTGTAACCCGTCAGGTTCGATTAATCTTTGCTGACTGGGGAGTAGGATTCGTTTGGGAAGAAGATGACTGAAAAATCCGAAGATGTCAAAGGAGAGAGTTCAGTCGGTGTTGAGGCAGACACGAGAGACGGCCGGCAGCGGGCGGGAAGGCTTCAAGACCAGCCGCTGAACGCAAGCACCGTCGCTCAGGCCGCCATGGGAAAGCGCGGACGGGACCGCAAGAACGGCCGAGCCGCGGCGATCGGCGAGGAAGGAGTCCTCATCACAACTTCATCAACATCACCGCCGGAGGACGAGGTCAAGAAGCAGAAGAAGAAGAAGAAGGGGAGTTTCTGGAGGTCTCGTGGCATGGTCCTCTTCGTTGTCTTCATGGCATTGCTGCTGGACGAAACGCTGATGACGGTGATTGGTAAGTCTTGAGGTCTTCCAAAATAATGTCAGTGCAAAATGGTACGCATTGATCATTGGCGAACATTACATGTGAAATGGTGTGTATTCTCGATGAACCATGGTAATTTGTATGTATTACCCAAATTGCGTTGGTTTATTTAGGGCCTCCGTGTATCCATATTGGACGTGTGTTACAATATAGGCCTCCCACTGTCAGTTTTTTTCAAACAGTAGAGGTACATTGGATAATGTCAATTTTATCATTTTATCAAAATTATAATTGTTAGATTCATGAGATTTCATTAAGGCAACATTGAGGCATGCCGTCCACAAAACATCGATTAGGAAAAGAATGTTGCAACCTGACGCTGCTTTTGTTCTTCTTCACGTATCATCCCAATGAAGGTCAGTCATTGCAAAAATGATGAAAAGACATGGGACTGAGAAACGTTTCCAATTTTGGTAGGAAATACTCTCCATAGACTTTGTACACAACCGCTCATGGTGGTACGTCAGGTTGCAACATTCTTTCCAATAAGAGACTTAGGCCTATACCCATAAAGAATTTCACGTAGCCTATGTTTAATTTTCGACGTTGCATAACTGCAGTCATTTCTTAATCCCCGTCTGCCCTCGTATCCCGCCTCCAAATCCATCATTACATCCCCAAAAATCCTTTCCTAATCCCAGATTCGCCCTTGTTCATTCAAAAATTCCCACCATATTTCATCTTTCAAGTACCGGATTGTCATTGATCACGAATCGGTCTAACCATAGTCTAACCTTGTACCGACTGCCGTGCTTTGTGCACCGGTAGGCTGACCGGACCGGCTCCGCTAAGCTGCGGCGGGGAATTCTGACTTGGGGCCCTGCCTCCCGCTGTGAGCCGCGCCGATCAAAGAATTCGAAGGATGCCACTGTATTTACGGGCACTGAGGATGGCCTTTCGCATAGTTTCATTTTTTTTTCAGACGAGATGTCAAATTATTTTTGATGTAATCCTAACTATGCGATGGTCAAACCATCAACAAACACGGGTTGAAACATATTTTGTTCAGCTGTGCACAATCTTGGCGAAACAGTATGAATTGTAAATATTTCGAATTTTGCCGCATAGGGCAACAAAATAATGAAATAAAAAATCGTTCAAGTTGCCGTATGAAAAAGAAGGAACATCATGATAAAATTCGGAAAAGAGCAAACATCTGTCGCATGTACGTCACTGTCTCATTTTTAGTGTCAGTCATAAACCATAATTATGTCTGGGTTTTGATGGTCCAAATTCAACGGATAACGGAATACAGGTCGATTTTCCCCATCATCTCGAGCAAGAGGGCCATTAAGTTAAAATGGGTCAATCCTCATACAAAAGTCCCTCTCTTGAATCGTGGGACTTGACCTTGGTAGCTTTCGTAAAGCCCGCCCCCAGGCGTTGTTGCCAAGAAGCACATTTTTATTTAGCCGATTTCTGTCGGCAGTTCGTTTCATATAGCGAACACCTGTTTCAACTTTCTATACAATTCCGCTGACTGCATTAACCCTTTTCTTTTTGCTCACGGCATGAACTGAAATCTTTTTGCATGCACACTACAGGGTGAGTAAAAAAACCCAAACGAAACCCAAATGTCGGGACTATTGTTTTAGTGAAGTTCTCCATGTAGCACTTCCCAGATCTAGGATATGAAAGCCATATTCAGAAGCTTTCTTTTAGTACAAGAATCATTCAAATCACTCATGTACTTTTGAAGTTACGGAATTTTAAACACAACCACCGTTTGATAGTTCTGTCCACGGATCAACAGAAGGTAAGTGTTCTTCCAGCAAAACGACAACAAATCACATAGGGATGTGTGTGAATTGTTTGGTTTTGCTGAAAGAACGCACACCTTTTTTTGTGATCCGTGGACAGAACTTTCAAACGGTGGTTGTGTTTAAAAGCCCGTAACTTGAAAATTGCATAAGTGATTTGAATGATTCTTGTACTAAAACAAAGCTTATGAATTGGGCTTTCATATCCTAGATTTGGAAAGTGCTACATGCAGCACTTCACTAAAACAATGGTCCCGACATTTGGGTTTCGGTTTTTTTGACTCGCTCTTCACAGCAAATGTATCTTTTAGTTCCTCAATTCATGCATTTTATTGCTTTCTTGTTGATGTCTAGCACAGCTGCAATGAATGCTACGCATTCGTAAGGGCTGTGACCCGTTTGATTGAAGTAAGAAATCGTCGCCTCGGTCGTGAGACCGACAGAGCGTAAACACAATCTTGTTTCCTGAATTGTTAGTTTTGGGTGAGCTCAGTCTCTGCCAATTATTGGAAAGCTGGAGCAAATGAGCCATTTCTCACCCGTGGAGCGTCACAAAGACGAGCTTGAAAAAAAAAATGTTCTGTGTAGAAAGTTTTTGTAGGTGGCAAGAATTAATTGTGTAAAAATTCACCCAGCGTGCAGAAAGTGCCACATAGCAGAAATTGTTTTTTTTTTTGTTCGAGATGACGCCATCAATCTTGTATTTGTAAATACGACACAAAGCAGAACGAACATGGTACTAAGCATCCTGAAGTTATTAAAGTGAAGTAGGATGTGAAGTTTGGTTTTAAAACATGGGCGGGCCTTTAAAAGTTCCTTTCTGTTTTTCCCCCTTAAAGTCTCGCCAATTAGTGAAGCAATGTTTTTGATCGCGAACTATAAAGGGGGCCCAACTATAGGTGAGCAAACGCCGACCGCAGTGCCATTGCTTCGGCAGAGTACCGGTATAGAAAGAAAGAAAAGAAGAAGAACTGAGCACAGAGAGGGAAAAATAAAACCGTTAATCAAACAAAAGTGGGAAAATTGCGGAATAATTTCGGTGTTTATACACCACAATGGCTGGCGATGGCACAGTGGTTTGGGTCCCGGCGGGTGGGCTGCGGAACCGCGCCGAAAAGTGACGACTTTGTAAAATAATATGTTTTGATTCGGGGCGGTCCATTGTTGTCATTGTGAGAGTGTTGTCTGCGGGCTAAATGCGGCGAAAATATAACTACCTCAATCGTGTAATGCCATTGTTGGGGTGAGGGGCGTTCGTGTGAAGCGGCACAGCGGTGTAGATCGGACGGGAGTGGGATAGCAATTTGTTTCGCCGGTGAATATTTTTTGGTGAAAACTGAAGACTGGACGTGGGTGCGGACCTGGCCTTGTGGAAAAGCCTACAATCGCCGTAGATCGTTTTTGTGTCTGCTTGCCGTGCATGTCGATCAAAGAAAATGCTGACCTTGTGTCGAAGATGTCAAACAACTTGACGCTTAATTAACCAACACTGAAAAGCAAACCATGATTATAGCAGACGGTGAGGGCGCACAAACAAACAAGAATCTCCCGTGATGCATTCCGTACGCGGGGGCAAAGAGAATGCTTGATCTAAGGACCGACGGTCACGTGCGCGAAATGATCCAATGGTATCCTGGCATTGATTTGAATGAGATACTACCTGGGCATGTTGTCGATCTGAGTTTCGACCTTATTCTAGATCACTTGAGGCTGATATTTGAGTGAGAAGGTAAAAATGCCACCCAAAACTAGTCCAAAGGCTACCTCTACAATATATGAGGTTAACGACATTGGTAATGACACGTCATTGTGAACACTTGTGCTACTTTTTCTTAAGCTTTCAGGTCACACGCTCATGGCCAAAAAGTTACCCAATAAATAAAACGAAATTGACCCTGTGCCGATGATATCAAGGCGTGTTACTCTAGTTGCCTGATTTCTTAAGCCGACTCGTGCAATTACTGAAGTAATTGACTTACTTTGAAAAGTTGAATTACTTTGTTAAGATTAAGGCCAACTTAATATGAACCCATAAATTCGAACTGGCCCAGAGCACTAAAATAAAATGGGTCTTTGCCTTCTGTAATCGTAATCTCAATCAGTCATTGAGAGAACCTACAACCCAAAATGGCACGTTTTTTTATATAATGGGATCACCCACAGGCGAAGTAACATGCGATAGGATTCACCTTTGAACTTCCCCACATGACGTTTTCATTTGTGATTTGGTATAATGGTAAATATTGTTGCAGCTCAATAAATGAATCGATTTTGGTTCTGTCCTTCTGTAGTGCCGATAGTTCCCGACTATCTACTGAACCACTGCATCCAAGAAAGATGCGCAGAACTGAATACATCCACACCGAAATGCCAAGCGATGGACGCTCAAGGAGCAAGCAGCAACATGGACTCAACCTCCGCAATGGCGCCCTCTACGGATTCATTTGGTGTGATGTGGACTCCGCCCACTTTTTCCGCGAGTCCCGTCCACGTGGCTTCGGCCACGCCTACGGTGGGCGGGTCTACGGAATATTCTGTTACGGGATTCGCGGATGATGCTTTTGCTACTTCTCTACCGCCTTCGACGACAGTTGGCGTCAGTGATGACGTCACGAATACGTCAAACACAACATCAGGTATCAGTGAATTGTTTTATTTTTTGCGCAAAGCAATTGTTTTTTTGTTATCACTTTTACAATCATTTGCAATGATTAGAAACAGCATTGAATTACGAATATGAAATGAAACATTGTGGGCCTATAAAGATAAATAGGCAGTGGACAACAAATAAAAGCAACGTTAATACAGGTACCACATAAAATATATTATTGTTTTGCAGATCTGACGACACCAAATGTCGACGCCACGGTGCCTGGAGCGCCCTCTTTTGAGGATGAGTGCCAGGTGGACATCGTTCCCAAAACAGGCATTCTATTCGCCTCCAAGTTCATCGTTCGCATCGCTTTGAGCCCCTTAATCGGATCTTTTGCACATAAGTAATTATACTTCAGTTAAATTTATCCATAGTTCATTTTTTAGAGAAGCTTTGTTTGTCTGCAGATCTAGTTGTTTATACTTTATACAGGTACTTCCAGCTTAACTTAGGTTATTCACGTGTCGGCCATATTGAATTGAAAGCGAGGTAAAATCTTCATTTTTGGAACATGCTTATGAAAGCAATAAAATATAGTTAATTACAAATTAATATCAGTCTGCTCTGATAAATGATTTAAAATTTGTGATTAAACATACCCTAATGTTTTAAGCCACATTTAAAGAAAAAAATGAAAGTGAGGCTTGGAACGCAAAAATAGTCTGGCACCATCCCATTCAACAGTTTACAGTTGATAAAATACATTCAGGGCACACGACCAAAAATGGCTTCCTGGTGAGCTGTTAAGCACAGGATTTGCTAAGCGCAGATATATATTTGGCTTTGCAAAACCAGGTTACCAGCCAGATTGTCATATAATCCACATTGCTTGTGGCTGGTACTAGACTCTGCAGATTTCTGCTTTATAGCTGCTCCGTGGAGAAATTTGCAATGCTTTCATTGTAGCTTTTTCCCCACTGATTGGCTTATCACCTCCGCCAAGGAGGTTATGTTTTCATCGGATTTTGTTAGTTTGTTGGTTGGTTGGTTTGTCTGTTAACAAGAAAACTCAAAAAGTTATGGACGGATTGTCATGGACATTTTTGTCGAATAGATTTTGGAAGTGATCCGGATCTGGGTCTGGATCCAGGATTTTTTTTATGCGAGTATTTCTTTTGGGTGTACTGACAATATGACGGAAAATAGTTTAGCCTTGGCGGAGGTTTGCGCTTTCTGAGTGATATCTAGTTCTATCATCTTTTTTTTCTCTTTCGTGTAGGATTGGATTCGCTCTGCTTCTGTTGTCCGGATGCGTAATCATGATCGCATCGAGCCTCGGTTAGTTCTTGTTTCATTTTTTTAAAATTTATATATTTATCTGTTGGTCGATCTGAAGCTTTTAGATATCCAGTAACAAAAATTCCTCCTATTTTTGTTTTCATTTTGGTGACAGTTTTTGCTTTTGGTGTGTCCTACGAGGCGTTACTCACCGCTCGCATCATCCACGGATTTGGAGCTACACTCAACGAAATAGGAGGTAGGGCCTACGCCTGCAAACAAATTCAAAAATTATGATTATCCTAGATGATTGTAACCCTTCAAATGAGCCTTGGACCCACGACCTTGCTTAGTCCTAACGTCGTTGCTAACATGAGAAGTGCCACTGTCAGGGAAAAAAAATCCATGCTCAAAATGGCATTTCAAACTCTGAGCTGAGTCCACTAAATGCATCTTTAAAATAACCGTTGTAATGCGGTCAATATCGGCAGGTTTTGCTGGAGAGGAGTAGGCAAGAAAACGACCGTTACACTTTCTTGTTCATTTTAGTCTGCTCTTAGTGAACTCAACTGTTTCTTGTTCCATCATTTGTCGCTTTGTCCTTCAGGTCTCGGTCTGTTGGCCTACAAGTATCGTAACGACGAACAGAAACGAGGCTTCGCCCTCGGCCTCGCTATCGGAGGATTCGCAGCAGGAACCCTAAGTGAGTCAACTTTGTAGGCCTACATTTCCAGAAAATAGTGCGATAGTGGTGTATAGGTTTATTGGATGTTGTCTTGTGGGTGCAACCGAGTTAAAAAATATTCCCTATAGACACCAGTGATAAATCCCCACACTTAAAAACTCTTTTAAAAATACTCAGAACTCTCAGGTGTTCAGGCTGCATAGAAAAATGTTGATCAACATATCGTCTTTCATTTTTCCATCAATGGGTTGACTAATGAGTTTTGGAGAAATTCTCACCCAAAGAAGAACTCTCTAAAATAGAATAATTTGAGTGTGTAACAATTATTATTCACGAGCTCGGCGTGTGGATTTTTGGCCGTTTTCTTTGCAGTTGGACCTCCGCTTGGCGGGATTTGCTACGACTTCCTCGGCAAGGAATCGCCGTTTCTGATCATGGTCGGATTTTTCGTCGCGCTCGGAGGTCAGTTCACGAGTTTGTATCGATAACATTGGGCAAGTTCGCGCAAGAACTATTGTTGACAATTGGTTAACCATAGTTCGACTAAAGTTAGTCCGAACTCTGTCTAGTCAACGATGGTTGACTACGCTAGTCGACTATTTTGGAACCAGCCTACTGGGGCTGGTTCCATCGCTGGTAACCAATAGCCGCGCGCATTCATAACGTACAGCAGGTAGCCAGATCCAGAAGTTTTGCGATGACATTTTGACAAGCGTTCGACTAGAGACGTTCGCACATTGCTATTAGTGCGCAGGCGTAAGGTGCGTCACAAATCAACCACTAGTCGACTAATGGTCCCTGGCCATACTTGGCCATTGCTTAAATAAGGCCGTGTCCGAAACGGGCTTCCAGAGCTACGGCTACGTCTATTGTCAGCGCGTCCCCACGTATTTTCAATGGGCGCGGACCTAGACCTAGCTCTAGACAGTTGATTCGGATGCAGCCTTACAATGTGGCATCACTTCTAGGCATAGCATAGACAAGGGAGTGCGCCCTCTACTGACGGGCAGATGTATACCCGCTCCCTTCGTTCGTACCCCCCGCCCTGCAAACAGGGCGCTGGTAAGGGCTGATGAGCTTCACAGAATCTTGTGAAGGAAGTACAGATTGACCGTCGCATGCAGCTAGCGCGCACTACGCATGATGGGCACCGGAAGCTAGTTTGTGTGAAGTGTTCTACGTCACAGGTCACGCAAAATCTATCCAATGAGAGCTAAAAATGACGTCAGCCCTTACCAGCGTCCTGTTTGCAGGGCGGGGGTACGAGCGAAACCAGCTCACACGGTTCTTCAACTTGAATGATAATGCGATAAATCAATACAAAACTAAAGCAAAAGGGGCAAAGGAAATTAATAAAATGTTTAAAAGATTGTTCATGAACATTTTCGGTTTTTCCCCCATGGTTTAGTTTTGGAGTTGGCGGCGCTCAACCCTTGCACCAAACACCGGCAAGTTGTGAAAAAGGAAACTCCCTTATACAAACTTGTCTTGGACCCCTACATACTGGGAGCTGCCGGTGAGTCTAAGATTCCTCGCAAGTCGCTACCTTAAATTGCGACACTGTTATAGACCAACCATTGGTAATATAAGTCATGGAGAAAAGTTTGAAATATATTCTGATCCATCACTAAAGCTGCTGTGAAATTTCAAAATCTAAATCCTCTAACTGGAAAATCTTATGAGCAATAGGCATTATTTCTGACCGAAAGAGGGCGATGAACAGTAACTATGAACGGCATTTTGGAGTATAATCAATACTGAATCGAAGATAATTCACGTCAGTTTACACATTCCTGTACAAATCATAAGTTACATTTATCTTTTTTTTATTTAAGTAAAGTTCCTGAACTGCTTCAAGTTTTCTAGTGCGGGGTAAACCACAAAATGGCGGCATCATGATCACAGCCCTCTCAAAAATCATGCCTATCGTATAATCATTTGTACTAAACAGGTGCTCTGATGATAGCAAGTGGCGTAGTAGCACTCCTGGAGCCCACGTTACCCATCTGGATGAGGCACAATATCCATCCGCCGCCTGACGCATGGCAACTAGGTACCAGCTATAACTCAGCATGCAGTTAGGCTTGTGTCCGAATTACTATATCCGAATGTCCAAAGTGGCTGCAGCCGATGCCATAGACACATGTGTATAGCCGTAGCAAAGCCTTACGGGCGATTCGCAATAGTGCGCCTCCAAGAGTTTGCAACGCGTTGGCCAATCACAATGCGCGAAATCAGTCGACCTTTTCCAAACGCGCATTGGGTCGACCGATTTGGCGCATTGTGATTGGCCAACGCGATGCAAACTCTTGGAGGCGCACTATTGTGAAACGACCGTATTAGGACACGGCCTTATTATTTAATAATGCAGCGGCTCTTTACGCCCTGACTTTCAAAATCAAGTGATCGATGGAGAAAACCAGTCTGTTGTGGAGCAAGGTGAATCAGCAAAAGCTCTCAAATTTATAGAAGGCGGTTTCAGTTTTATTCTCCTTTTTTTATTGAGGTATCGGAATTGTTTGAACATTTAAAAGAGATGTTTGCAAATTCTGAAAGATTTAAGGCGTTTCCCTTGTTTACTTACTTTTGCACATGCACCGTATTTCAATATATAGCTAATATAAAAAAAGAAGTGTTTTGAACATTTATGTTTCTGTTTTGATGTCGACTCCTTTTCAGGTGCTGTATTTCTGCCCTCTGGCGTGTCTTACATCATCAGCAGCACTATCATGGGATACCTGGGCTATAAAATCGGCAGGTAAACTGGCAATTCACTACTGGACAGTAGGGGGCGCCCTAGGTTGAGCGCCACCCTGAGTTGGTAGCAGATGGAGTCAAGGCATGGACTGTTTCCCGCCCCCTAAAAATATGGGGACCGCGTTAGAAATTGATATTTGCCAGAGACACTTTCGAATTCAGCACAAATCGAAGCTCGATCATCACCTCCGAAATTGCGAATTCGTGGCGCGGCCTATTGCCATTTTACCGTTGTGATTTTCAATTCAGGGGGGCGGCATTCAGACCTGTACACGTCATGCATATCATTTACATACATCAGGAGGAATGCCTCCTGTTGTATGGAAGATTCATCGCTAGCTAGCTGTCCCCGTTTTTTAAGTCCGAAGGACAATGGGGTCAGGGAACTAGACTAGTCAACGCAATATTTTTGTTCCCGAAACAATTTAAAGTAGAGGCTCGTGCTACAAAGCATGCATTTTATCTGGGGTTTTTTTTTTAGCTCCTATCTTTTTTGTTTCACTGATTTTTCAAACTTGTTTAAATTGGCAGGTGGTCTTTGTCCATGTTTGCTCTGGTTGCATTGGCAGCAAGTGTTGCCGCAGTAAGTATTGGTGTTAATTGGTTATACATTTGAAAAATATTATGCAATAGTTGGATAATTGGATTTGGGTGGGGATCGAAAAACAAGGAAAAATGCTTGTTTTTTTTCCTCAAAGAAAAATTTCGCATGCCTCTGAGACTACAAATCCGGATCTACAGTTGCATTAAATTAATATTTCACAATTGTTGACTGCTGTGATGTGGGATGTGACGTTTTTAGCACCCGAGGGGCGCATCTTGGATTCTTTGGATTTGATGTAAAAATCACGAAAACAAACAGCAGTAAACACAACAATCACGACAATCGAACGGCAACTCACATGCATGTCGCGTGCTCGAAACAGCCGCTGATCCTCTGCTAGTTCGCTGCTCCCACTCATGTGTGAAAACATGATGAAATAGCGTGGGTACCAACGATACAAGCGTTTAACGCAAGCACGGTACGTACCGTACGTACCAAGTCATAGCACACTAGGCCAATGAAAATACAGTATTCATGACAGAGCAGTTGTGTTTCTCTTCATCGTCGTGAGCACTGAAGCTTCAATAAAATTTCACCCGTGTTTTATACCAAGGTTCCATACACTGGCACGTTCGTGGAACTCATCGGCCCTATGGTTGGCACAGGGTTTGGTTTTGGTAAGTTCATATACTCTCCGATTCGTAGTTTCAAAATAATGTTTCAGGTTTTATACCTAGAATGCAAACAAATCAGCCAAATGTTATTGAACTGTGTCATAAATGCTTATATTTCTCTGCTTTAATAGCAATGCCTTTTTTTAGACATCACTTTGGTTCCTGGTCAAAAAATAACCTCTAGACTAAATCAGGTGTTGACGACTATAGCATAACAGAAAATACAAAGTTTTTTTGAAAATATTTTTGTTTCAGGCACGGTTGACACCGCAATGACCGCCATGTTGAATTCCCGAGTTGACGTCCGCCACAAGGGGGCGTATGGGGGTGCTGCAGCCATCTCCACCTTTGCCTTCTGTCTTGGTTTTGCAATTGGTGAGTTACTTCAAAGGTACATGTAAACAGAGTGCATTTTTTTATTTCATCGATTTTGATTGGCGAACTCATTGTGAACGAACCGAATGATTTTATTCTCACATGTTTTAATATGATCTCCCTAGTTGTCTTACTTAAAAGACATGACCTGCCTTCACCATTTTCTTTGATTTGCATCTTTTAAAACTTCACAGGGCCGAGTGTAAGCGGGTTTCTGACCAACGCCATTGGATTTAAATGGTAAGATCGTTATAATCCTCAAAGTTCATATTTTTATCAGCCTTGAACACTCTTGAACTTCTGTCTAGTCTATTTTTTCCTATTTAATCCACATTTTTAGGTTGATGAGAGGTATAGCGGTCATCACAATCATTTATGCTCCGATTTGCATCGCCCTCCGTCGCCCAGGCAACGCCAATCAGAACGCAGCAAACAACAACAATAATGGATTGACATCCGGGAGCCGGACTGATGACGTCATGGATGACCAAGAGGTCATTCCTATTCCCGCCATCTCGAGGCGTCTCTCCAGGGTTTGAGGGAGTGCATGGTGTCTTTGAGGCTAAGTTTGTAATCGTATGGAATTCGTGAATACAAAGTACGCCCTCAGCGGTATGAAGCAGTGGCACTTGAGGACAATTAACCCACTTGAAAAGCGCCCTCCAGGTGTCGATTATAATCTTTAATTTTATGGTCACAATAAACGGCATGTGCTCAATCGAGCTTAAAAACAAACTGTTAATAATTTCATTTAGCTGCCTAAAATGATGTTTATTACAGTAATGAGTTATTTAGTAAGTTATATTGTTTCCGATTCTGAATCTTGGCTACAATTCTCTCATTTTGTATAAATTACTGTTGAACATAGATTACGTAAGGTTGGCGCTAATAATAATGAAGTAGACAATATAGGGCGCCCCGTTAGACTCCATGGTTGGACTTTTTGAAGGATAGGAGGGCGCTCGGTCCTTTTTAGCAGTTGTGTCTTTTCATTTGTTCATGTATAATTTATGACCTATGACAATTTACAGTGTCGTGTATTATATTAAGAAGGGCGTTTGTGGTGTTGGGACCGGCCAGATTCTACAGTGAATCTATGTATTTGGAAACACTAATTATTGTCTCTGTTTCTTTATGATGTTTTCAAGTAATGAATTGAGTTGGGCCTTAGGGTTTTGTTGGTTTGGGCTCGGTCGGGAAGTTGGTTGCGCAAGCTGTGGTATCGATACGCACGGTACGTGTATATTTGGCAACAGCATTTTGAATTGGGCCTGTGACGGGCACGTTTGGGTTTGATTGCAATGATATGTTGTTTCAGGATCTTCAACATAGCTGATGGCGGGGTCCAAAATAAAATTCGGGTCATTTCTCTCAATTCTCCAGCTTTTGTCGCTTTTGTTTTTAGTGAGAAAAGCCTCTAAATTCGCCTCAGGCTGATACAGGCACGGTGAAGTCAGGCGCTATTCAGCACCGCCGCTTTTCGGCCCAAAATTTGATGGATGGGCGCCCCGAACCACACGGTCACTTTTTTCCACTGTTGTGGACAGGAGCCTTGCTTATTTTCTTCGGCCTTGCGCATTAACACAGGACGAATTTCTTGAGGTTTTATCCTCCCCCCCCCCCAGAAAAAACCCAAACAACCTAACAAACACCATGGTCAGAAAGTATTAATTGAAAGCCTATGACGCGAATCCAAAATTTTTCACATGACCGGCTACATCGGTCATCCGCCCACTATATATTGCCGCAAAGGCTCCGCCGATTTCAAAAGACAGAACTGTAAAGCAATGAACCGTGTTGAAGGTGGAGCCCCATGAATCAAACTTGGGTCACAATTTGAATAGGAAACCCCAAAACGTAATCAGTGTCGATTGAGAAATCGAAACTGACCAAGCGTTTAAATCCATTTCTTTAACGTCAGTAAAGCTGTTTGGCCTTGCTTTATGGAGTCTCTTTTTTTTGTCTCCCCTCTGGAGATATCCCTTGACTTTGACCATTTTCGAGTTGAGTCGTTTGGTACAAAATTAATAACCTTTACAATTTGAATGCTGTGCAGTAAGTGTTTGGACTGTCTGATGTAATATGAAACGAAGGGTATTAGAAAACAACTGTACAACTCCTTGGTGTAGAGATTTTAAATACTGTACACTACTGTACACAAAATGTTAATTTACCTTTTAAAGACAATTTGAAAGCCACTGCGGTCTATGTAATGAAATAGTGAGAAATCTGTATAATTTTTGACTATCCATTACAAATTAATTATTATCACAAAAAATTATCTTAATTCCCGCCTACCACACATGCAACAGTATTTTTTATCAGATAATGCTACATTTACAACACTGATCTCCATGTAAAAGTTACGTGGAGATCAGTGGTGTGCACCCTTGTCGATGTCATGGCCAATTATGCATGTAGTCTGGTTCCCAGACCAAAACATTCTGGGGAATTGCCAGGTCAGGGAACCAGACTATTACACATGCGCACTCCTGCATCCAAGCTCGCGCAAGGCGTGGTGGGAAAAACACGGGTCACGGGACAGCAAGATCGTACCCGTCGGTCACGAGGTCGATGCAGTCATGCAGTGATTACCAGTAGTGATGGACGAACAAGTTCATGTCCGCATCTAGATTCCGGAATATGATTTTCGTGTCATCCATCCAGACTGTTAGGCTTTTGCTTTGATCCTTCCCATGATTTGCGCTTCTTAAGAGTTTCAGCCCATCGGTGCAGGCCTTATAGATGTGATAGTCATTATTCTGGTAGTCGTATCTATCCTCCAGAACACATCTGTTTCCATGGAAGCAAAAGACGGTCTTCAGGTGACCAAACTTGGCTAGAAACTTCACGTCGCAATTGCGCGTCAGGTACACCCCTTCGTAATTGCGATGGGGCAGCGCGCGCAGGAATAACCCGCCATTCACGAAGTAGTTGTGGATCCACAAATGACTTACGGACATTTCGAAGTCATCGACGGGGATGGACGTACATTCCCCCGTCTCGACACTTCGGACAACTACCCAAGTGCGTTCTGGTGCTTGGTGCAGGCTTGCCACAGTGCCGTAGCCGAGTTTCAAAGACTGTAGATGGTCCGTTTGTTTCGACGCGTGCACGCACCTGCCACTGCGCGCGTGCCAGACGCGGAGTTGGTTATCACAGTAAATAGCGGCCACGATCTTACCCCGATAATCAACATCTTTAAGCCTGGACTCCGAGTCGGGACTGGCTAAGACGTGCCGGCAAATACCGTCACTGACGGTCCAGACACGAATGTCATCATCGGAAACAGCTTGACTGACAACCATGTCACCGTCAAAGAAGATGCACTGAATGTCCATCTTCTTATGTCCCTTCATCGGAGGAAGTTCTTGGCCGCTGTTTACACTGAATGCCCGGAGCATCCCTTCAGTGCACCCAACAACCACTATGCCATTTTGAACCTTGACGGTGTTTTCGCGTCCACTCAAAACTGCCCAAAAGACGCGCTCGCAGATCCCTTTTCTAACGTCCCAAACTTTGATGGTGCCGTTTGAGAAACTCATGGTGAACAAATCGCCGTCACCGTCTGAGCATCGAACGTGCGGACGTCCGCTCTGTCTGGCGTGATGAATCAGCAGGTCGTCATCACCAAACACCTTCAAAGTGGTCACGTGACAGCGATTGTGCTCCAAGTTGCCCTCTAGGTGGCGCGCTTTCAGGTAAATCTCCTTCCATTTGCAAGTGCTGGGCAGTCCCGTTGGATTCCCTTCTCTTACGATGGCATCCATCGGGAAGGTTGTCTTTCCGTTGACTTCGCTTCCATCGCATGTTTGCTGCGGCTCGTACGGGATTTCCTTGCTGATGTCTGTCAGCGTGCTGTAGTAGTACTCCCAACCGTTTCGTCGACAGAGAGGGCGCCACCAAAGGTCCTGGTTGAGCGCACAGCGCCACCTACGGCAGCAGACTGCCAGCTTGCATAGGTCTGCTGGGCTGAGGTACTGGAATATCGCATCGAGTAACTCGTACGGTAGACACATCATCAGATCACCGTTGGGGGCGTCCGACACGGTCATGATGATTCTACTACGAGCCTTTTCTGGATCAGTCCTGGTTAACAGATGAGATTCTGGATCATAAATCAACAAACAAGAAATACAAGTGACTATATATTCGATCTTTGGACACTTTAATTAAGTCACAGCCATATATGGAAGACTATACAACGTTACGTTTGTACTAGTGTCAAGCCAATCACACGGTCAATTTAATAAACTACATGATTGTTGATAAAAAGGATTTTGTACAGCGTTCATAAGATATGCGTCGGTGATGGGCAATATGCGCCATTGGACCATACATGGACTGGACTGCAACCTGGCTATGAACATATAATTATACAAGCGAATGTAATATAAAGAGGCAATAATATATGCGTGGAGCGTAGGTTCCACAAGGGGAGTACCGTGAGGTTGCAGGATATCGTGAGCACACAAACATTACGATTCAATCACAGACGAATATTTAATTTAATGGCCGGATCCTTTATACTTCAAGAATCACTGTTCGATTCCAATGAGCGCTAACAACTTTGCACAACATACCTTTTGATGGAACACAATTTCTTCAACTGGGCTTATTATTTCCAAGATCTGCAGCATGGACTGATCCAAGTGGAAACTGCATTACATGATTTCTTGATTTCTTCTAAATGACAGCAAGCGGACGTACGTAAAAAGTTCACTGGTTGTCTAGTGGCGCATACCAGTACCATTGAGGAAGCTTTTTGATAATAATGCGGTCGTTTACTTTTGGGATAAATGCAAATGATCCTGGCCTTTAACATAGCTAGCTCTGTGGACTCAACCAACTCTGAGATATGCTACGTTGTGACTATGATGGTGGTCATAGATGCTCTATGAAAATACATGTATTAATCACTGTTATTTTGAGCCAAGACTATAGGGAGTTATTACCACTGATCTCTATATAAAGACTGGATAGCTAATAAAGAGCCACACAATGTACGAATTTGACGCCATATTGGTGAGACCGGCTGGTGATCTACAAAGGACAAGTTGCCATCTTTATAGACAGCATGATTTCTTTTGTAACGTCGCGGTTCACCTGACTTATATTTTGGCCACCACCACTGACCAACTGACCAAGGTTTACTACAATTTTTTCTAACGTTGTGGTTACTTTTATAATGCCGCAAATCACTTTTTCGGCGTTTTTAAATTAACAATCACTACGGAAATGTGTCCCTTTTAGAACATCATAATATGTGTACGTGACCAAAATGCGCGTCAACTGTTGTTACAACGCGCGCGTATTTACGTGAGACCGGGGGCGAATTGGTCAATATGCAAAGTCTACTGTGTGAATGTTGTATGCATATCCGCTATATCCAGTCTTTATATAGAGATCAGTGGTTATTACAGATGACTTTGACATCCGGTTTTATTTGCAACAGCTAGGGCTCCACCAACTGAGCTGCACGTTCAATCTCTCCAGCCCCTGGCCTTGAACTTGACAGTCTCCCATTAAATTGTCGTCTTCCTTGTCCACGGACGGAGCGCGCGTTTAATTCGGTAACCATAGTGTGCATGTCATGAATGTTGTTGTATGGCGGATGACATACATGCAGTGCTATCGATAGAGCTATATATAGCCGCGCGCTCAGCGATGGCGTTTATTCAAAGATGTCTCGCTCAGAGAATAATGTTGTATGTTCGTTACAAATCTTCGTGGTTTATTACTCAATATCATGGTTCAAATTAAAACAGAAGTATAAAGCAGATCTTAAATTAGAAATGGGAACATAAATTATAGAGCTTACCTCGGGGGTTGAATGGAAATGCTGAACTCGTATTGGCTTGCAGCAGAGCCAAGGCAACACTAAGTAATGTATACATAAGCATGTACTGGCTGATATTGAGCGATCTTGAACTAGGCCCCCCGCTGTGCCCCGCGAACTGAAGCTTATGTTGACAATTTGCGTAACCATTTTGTTTAACAAACCATTGGAGGATGACAAACAAACAAATCCTTATTCTGAAGGTAGCTATAATCAGCCCCCTGCATAATGTTTTGCATAATAATCGTTGGGCCGTGAAGAACAAACAAGCCCTATAACTGCCAGGAAGTATCTCATTATGCATTGAATATTATGTATGCCTCTTCTGGACTGGAATGCTCACGCACTTAACCATAGCTCCTTGATCATGGAGGAATAGGAACAGCCTCCATGCTATGACGTAGGGCATATTCATCACGTTGAGCATGTAGCTAGACCATTTCTTCATGCTTATACATGTGTAAATGTACTTTAGTACCATGTTCTTATAGCTCCATGAGCAAGCATACAAACGATGCGGGGTAGTGCATTAGCATAATGTTACTCGCTCTTCGACTCAATCGATGTGCCATAAGCCGGTCTTGTCTTTGCAAGTCTCGTTAACTCTCCAGCATGCAACGCAGATTAGTACATGGAGGAAGTTTGTGTTCCTTCCTCCATTACCGGTAAGTTTAGTATAAGCTTTCTTTTGTCGTTGTTTGCACTGAACATTAAGCACAGTAAGCCTTTTCATGGGTACCGCCCAATGGATTCGCGTCGATCGTAGTGAAGCATTAAAAAAAATAAGTCTCCTGTTTCTGGTATGCGCGCGCGTCGCCGTAGCCATGCGCGTCGGCAAAATGAAAAAGTTTTTTTTTTCAACGAAAGATGATGTCTCAAAACCGCTTAACTCAATGGTTTGACTGGAATCCTGCTGCTGCACAATTTTAACGTGTCTTTAGATGGGGTTATGATCGAGAATAAGCTTTATGTGGCTTCTCTTGACTCCCATATATTTGCACTAAGTTTAGTCGGGCACCATTTGCAGTCATCAGCCGACATTTGAAGCAAAAAAAAATCAGGTTAAAAAAAAAAAAAGCCGCGTCGCCGCACCACTTTTTGGGCAATCTCCATACCAGAAACCGGAGACTTTTTTTGGCCTTATAATGCTCCTGAAATGACAGAGAAAAGTGGAAAGCACGTTCACGTATGCGCACAGACTAAATTCCATACGCACAAAAGCAGGCAGCTATAGCAGGAGCTAAGTAAACAATTTACACGACTGCTTAAGAATCTAACGACTTGTCATCAAGTCTATCATGGGGGGGGGGGGATCTTTCTACTAATGCTTACTAGCGGGCCATGCCGCGCTTCGCGATCGCGGTCATGGTCCAATGGTTATTACACACAACATTTATCAACACAGGATCCACGCACACTGCAGGGGGCCACACACATCAGTACTGCCTTTGTTGTGTGTCAATTTGTTCCACAATATCGAAATTGTCAAGTCCGCTACATGCTTCAGAGGGCCTTGCGGGGGCCTTACAGTTCAAGATCGCTCATAAAAAAAATCAGTCAGATGAATTCAGCCAGCACGTGTTTATGTACATCACTGTTGCCTTGGTGTTACTATACGAGTTCTGCATTTTCAATCAACGCTCGAGGTACGGTAGGATCTCTGTTCCATTTTGTAATTTAACGTCTTTTTAATATTTCTGTGAATTGAAACATCTAGTAAACCACAAAGATTTGTAGTACACATATACTGCATCCTCTGATGAGCATGGCGGCGTCTTTGAATGTTAAACCATGGAGGTAGAATAAACGCAAGCTCTGAGCACGTGGTTCGTATATAGCTGTCGTAAAGGCACCGTGCCTTTGTTGTCATCCCTGGTCATACGGCGCACTGGCTACCCGGACACGCGCTGCCCACCCGTACGTGAACAAGGAATACGACAAAGGAGACATGACAGTAAGTATCGAGTAACATAGTGCACGGCAAGGGCGGATCCAGGGGGGGGGGCCAAAGGGGGCTATGGCCCCCCCAAAAACGAAACCAATTTTTTTTTTTTTTTAATGTGACATCGCAATAAAGGCAGGCAATGAGTACACCACCATCTTTTCCTAACAAAAAATTGGTTAAAGTGGTCAGAAATTGCCTCAGATCGCACCACAGAGCATCTAGAATCCAAAAAATTTTCGGGGCCCTCACGGGCCCCGAACCCCACGCCGTAATTTTTGAGACCCACTTTTTTGGGGGGGACCAAATTTTTTTTTGGCCCCCCCCCCAAAATTGTGTTCTGGATCCGCCCTTGGTGCACGGTGGATGAAACGATAGCTAGCTGTGCACACTGATATATAGGCCTTTATACCGGATGTCTCTGCAATACATTTTTGAGTTTCCTGTTCAGTGTCCTTTCTCCATACTTCCGCTGCATGGTCTTGGCTCAAAATGGATTAATATACTTCTTCCCGGCCAATATTCATTTACCTCTGAAAATCGGTCATTCATTTTCTTTTGAATTCAAGAATCGCTCTGAACACGCGTTTCATTTGCGCTAGTACCAGAGCATTCGATTCTTTAAAATCAACTAAGTGATTGAGCAGCACCTTTCATTTATGTCCATTAATCAAATTAGCTGTACCTGAAATCAATTTAGAACAGGTATGGTTGCGTAAATGAATGCACAGGTAACGTGATTGGCCGTCTGTTTCTCAAAACCGAATCCAAGGACAATGAAAACGATTGAACTTTCTTTGAATTGAAATAGGAATAAAGACGTGCATTCAAATTAAGACGCAGATCAAAGATCAATTTTCAGAAGTGAATGAATATTTCAGGAAATTGGCCGGGAAAACCTGTACATGTACATGTATTTTAATATATAATTTACATGTATACGAACAGCATTGGTATCACAACCGGGCATAAGAGTCAGTTGAGTCAACAGAACTGCATGGGTACATCAGTAGAATCATTTGCATTATCCCAAAAGTAAACTACCGCATTATCAAAAGCTTAATTGGATTAGATATGGTACTGCACACCCTGTGAAATTATCCCATCCAGATTGTTATTGATTTCCAATACTCATCCTTGGATCATAACGAACTCTATTGACGAACAGTGTTCTGTAATGATCCAATTGTGGTGCAGTATTTTTACTGTTTTCTCAGCTAATGTAATATCCACTGAGCTGAAATTTGCTCAGGTTTTGAACGTTCGTCTTTGGATTTATTGTAAATGTATTTATTTTTATTATTGGAAATTAAATATTCGTCTATGGTTGAATCTTAAACGATAGCGTACTCACGGTAGCCTTGGTTTTGAGAATATCAAACCTACAGCTATACAATGTACATGCATATTATTGCCTATATAATTATATGCGCCTATTATGTTAATAGCCAGGTTATGGTCAAGTGATTGTTAGCAATCACGGGTCCAATATTGCATAAGTTTGTCTTCTGACGCATATTTTATGAACCGTGTAAAAGGCGCTGACCATTGCGCACAGTCCATGACGTACGTCTTTGTGGTCAAAGGGCGTTTCTTTTCACTGTTTATTCATTTCATGCATTTTGTGCAAACAAGCATGAATTGACTTGTTTTGTGAATGGACCGATCCAGTAAGCACCGCCCCATGGTGTACTGACCAATCATGACAGCCGTGATTTATGTCCGACGTGCGTGCACAGAAGTCCGACATGCGTGCACGCGCGTGTGATGCGCGCGGCAGGAAAATGCAGCGTGGCATTGGAGAGGAGCACGTGGTAATTTGCCCACGTGCGCAGTGGGCGGGGCTCACTGATCTCTATATAAAGACTGGATAGCTAATACAGAGCCGCACAATGTACGAATTTGACACCATATTGGTGAGACCGGCTGGTGATCTACAATGGACAAGTTGCCGTTTTTATAGACAGATAGACATGATTTCTTTTGTAACGTCGCGGTTCACTTGACTTATATTTTGACCACCACCACTGACCAAGGTTAACTACAGTTTTTCTAATGTCGTGGTTACTAAAATGCCGCAAATATCACTTTTTCGGCGTTTTGAAATAATAATCACTACGGAAATGTGTCCCTTTTAGAACATCATAATATGTGTACGTGACCAAAATGCGCGTCAACTGTTGATACAACGCGCGCGTATTTACGCGTAGAACGTTCGTATTATACGCGGCCATCTTCGTGAGACCGGGGCGAATTGGTCAATATGCAAAGTCTGCTGTGTGAATGTTGTATGCATATCCGCTATCCAGTCTTTATATAGAGATCAGTGGCGGGGCTTACTGGATCGGTCCATTGACTTGTAATTGACTTATTGGAACACAGGTATTTTCGCTATATGGCTGTAAGAGCAAAAGTGTCCAAAGAATAATCTTTTTTTTTTCTTTTGTATTACTTTATGATCCAGAATCTCAATCTATTAACATAAGGGAACGGTTGGTAGAGTCACCATGACCGTGATTGACGCCCCCAACGGTGACCTGATGATGTGTCTACCGTACGAGTTACTCGAGGCGATATTCCAGTACCTCAGCCCAGCAGACCTATGCAAGCTGGCAGTCTGCTGCCGTAGTTGGCGCTGTGCGCTCAACCAGGACTTTTGGTGGCGCCCTCTCTGTCGACGAAACGGTTGGGAGTACTACTACAGCACGCTGACAGACATCAGCAAGGAAATCCCGTACGAGCCGCAGCAAACATGCGATGGAAGCGAAGTCAACGGAAAGACGACCTTCCCGATGGATGCCATCGTAAGAGAAGGGAATCCAACGGGACTGCCCAGCACTTGCAAATGGAAGGAGATTTACCTGAAAGCGCGCCACCTAGAGGGCAACTTGGAGCACAATCGCTGTCACGTGACCACTTTGAAGGTGTTTGGTGATGAAGACCTGCTGGTTCATCACGCCAGACAGAGCGGACGTCCGCACGTTCGATGCTCAGACGGTGACGGCGATTTGTTCACCATGAGTTTCTCAGACGGTACCATCAAAGTTTGGGACGTTAGAAAAGGGATTTGCGAGCGCGTCTTTCGGGCAGTTTTGAGTGGACGCGAAAACACCGTCAAGGTTCAAAAGGGCATAGTGGTTGCTGGGTGCACTGAAGGGATGCTCCGGGCATTCAGTGTAAGCAGCGGCCAAGAACTGCCTCCGATGAAGGGACATAAGAAGATGGACATTCAGTGCATCTTCTTTGACGGTGACATGGTTGTCAGTCAAGCTGTTTCCGATGATGACATTCGTGTCTGGACCGTCAGTGACGGTATTTGCCGGCACGTCTTAGCCAGTCCCGACTCGGAGTCCAAACTTAAAGATGTTGATTATCGGGGTAAGATCGTGGCCGCTATTTACTGTGATAAGCAACTCCGCGTCTGGCACGCGCGCAGTGGCAGATGCGTGCACGCGTCGAAACAAACGGACCATCTACAGTCTTTGAAACTCGGCTACGGCACTGTGGCAAGCCTGCACCAAGAACCGGGTCCCACTGGGGTAGTTGTCCGAAGTGTCGAGACGGGGGAATGTACGTCCATCCCCATCGATGACTTCGAAATGTCCGTAAGTCATGTGTGGATCCAAAACTACTTCGTGAATGGCGGGTTATTCCTGCGCGCGCTGCCCCATCGCAATTACGAAGGGGCATACCTGACGCGCAATCGCGACGTGCATTTTCTAGCCAAGTTTGGTCACTTGAAGACCGTCTTTTGCTTCCATGGAAACAGATGTGTTCTGGAGGACAGATACGACTACAAGAGAAATGTCTATCACATATACAAGGCCTCTGTGGATGGGTTTAAGCTCCTTAGAACCTCGATTCACGAAGAGGATCAGAGTGGCAAACGCTTGACCCTCTGGATGGATGATACAAAAATCATATTCCAGAATCTAGTCAAAGACATGAACTTGTACGTCCATCATTACTGGTAATCAAGCAATTATTGCATTGAGCTCGTGCCCGGTGGGTACGATCTTGCTGCGCCATGTTGTTTCCCACCATGCCTTGCGCGATCTAAAGTCCAGAAGTGCGCATGCTTAGTTGGCAAAGACAAGGCCAGGGTGTACATGCAGTGTGTGTATGCGTGTAATCTGATCAAAGTGTTGATGCAGGTGGGAAATGGAATGTCGATAACAATTTTAAGGTAATAATTATTCATAGCCACAGAATTACGCAGATTTCTGACGATATCAAGGAAAAGACAAAATTTTGATTTCAAATTGTCTTTGAAATGTAACTTGAATTTTTTTAACAGTGTACAATGTATAGCATTTTTAATTACCATTACCAGTAAATTATTTTGTACAGTTGTTTGGTAATGCCCTTAATTGGTTTTTATACTTTTTAATGCTTACTCAGCAGTCGAACACTTATAAGCCTGTTATGCGCATAGTTTCAATAATGGTAAAGCTTAAGTTAAAAAAAAAAAAAAAACAAGTGCGAGTGCACAATAATAAGCTCAAGTGAAAAATGCGACGCCGATGTCCCATATGGAACGCCACACTTATGGTCAATTTTCGGGACAGACAGACAGACCATCCGACGGACCGACCGACCACCAAGTGACATGTAAAAGCTCCTGCCAGAGCTAATATTTCTGATTGATAGCTTTTAATGATGTTATAAACGCAAAAGAAGAAATGTTGGTACTAAAAGATTTATTTCATGATACTTACAAAGTTTCCCCTGGCTATGTTTAACAATACCATATCTCAGTAAAAAGGGAATCTTTGCAATTCTTTTAAAAACTGTGCTGTTACTAATTTGAGATACGTAAAGTAGAGATACCTTGTTTTACATTATACATGTAGGCCTGATGCTATCTTTATGGACCACTTGTCCAGTTTACTGCATCATTTGTGAAATGTATTTAACGCCGCAGTTTGCCCTGTTCAAACATGTTTTCAAGAGAACATATAAATATTCCACTCCAGAAACATGATTATTCGGGACAAAATTTACAAACCTTTACAGATTTCTGGTGGTTTTTTTTAATTTAAGTTAATTATTTAGTTGGTGAAATCGGCCTAGTATTTATGAATTCATTCAATTTCAGAATGAGGTAGTTGCTGTGTATTATTTGTTTTTATTTTAGGACTGATCCTTACGTAGAGCTCTACTATTAAATAGATTATTGCTAGCAGAATTACACAGCCTCAATCATCTTTTATTTAATGTGGTTTGTTACGGCCGTGCGGTGCCCCCTTTGTCTCCAATTTTATGGCCGAATTTCGCATGAAAAAGACAAAAAAATCCGCCGATGTTTGTGGGGATGAATGCATTAACACAGTCAATTTTAACTACATGTGCATGTTTTGTGTTTTGACAAGAGCTCCATTGTTTTGCGCACTGACCTTCAAAATACAATCGATACGTTTCATGCCGTGGTCGTGACGTATATGCCACGTGTGCTAATTCACTGCCTTTGTATAAAGACTACAAAAAAATACAAATTGTTGAATTTCTGGTAATGAAACTAGAGATTCCCTGAAAGCATTGAAGTTCGAAAGCCGGAACGAACCTAGAGAAGACTTTGAAGAACTGCCCAGTCATAGAAATGGGATGAAAACCCAGATAAATATACCGGGAAAGGCAGGAACTATACTAAAAACATAGCCGACATTTTGTTCAGAGGATTGAACAAATTCACTCGGAAAAAAACACCCATCACCTCAACTTCTTACCACACCATCTTTAATTTAAAATAACCTTAAAAACCCGGATGGAGTTTGCATTCACATTTTACACTTTTCTCTTCCTCTGATTTATGAGATGACCATATTGTTTTATCCCAAAATCCATGAGAATTCCGGCCCTGATCCCAACCCATAGTGACTTATTTATAGTGAAAGTTTGTGATGTGCAGTACATCCATAAAAAAACCCACTTGGGCAAAGTGTTAATCCAATCGGTCCATCTGTTTGTATTATCGTCATCAATATAATTAATAGCGTGATCCGCAAATGAAATGAGCAGTTTTTCATTGCATGGTCGAACGTTTGTATTTGATTTCAGTTGTTGAAATTACACATTCAGATGTCCATAAAGCGATCGAGACAAGTTCCTTTGATGTCTCTCATCTTCCAGCAGGCGGTATCCCATCATGTCCATCATCTCTCGACATTGTCCCACCTCTTCGATAGCTTTGGCCACCTCAAAAGGCATGGCGCCACGCCAAGCCTGGTAAACCTGACTCGAGTTCCCGCTTGTAGAGTAAGGTCCGGGTGTTCCTGATTTGGTGTTCTTCTCGATCCACCGTTGCACTGTCTTTGGTACCTTCCTGCGACCGAGAAACTTAAATATATTGTTGGTGGTAGAAGTGGGATCCGATGCCATATCTTCGTACCTCAGGAACATGTACCGTCTTTGCCAAGACGGGCCTTTGCCCAATTCCAAGTTTGCCTTGCCGTACCTGCAGTATTTGGACAGAACGCCCCGGCAGTATTTAGGTAAGGTCTTGTTGGAGGAGAAGAGATTGCGACCACGCATGGCGCGCAAGACGGAGGCAGTCATGGGGCGAGGGTCTCGAATCAAGTTGATGACCTTCAAGTCCAAGCCGTGGGCTTCGATTAATGGAGTCAGCATCTCAATTTGCGGGATTCTGATCTCCTTGACGATGACGTATTTGCTCTGCTTACAAGACTTTGTCGCCATGCGAAGCGTGACTTTGCACTGGGTCGCATCGTGGGGTTGTCTGTAGCGGCAGGCTTCGTAGAGTCTGGGTGTTCTGTGTTTCAGCACATCCAGTTTCTGGTCGGAGAGGTACTTCAGGTAGAAGTCCAAATCACGAAAGTCGCACCGGTACAACTTAGCCAGCATGTTGATGCACAAACTAGCCACGTTGTAGGTGAGCCCTAAACTCCTCATGGATTCCAGTTTCGCGAGCTGAGTCGTCTGTAGAGCATGTCCGGGTTCGAAAAGGTAGAAAACATCTTTGCTGTTTCCAAGAGCCTCGCCCACAAAGGAAGAACCCGTTCGCATGCTTGCAAACAACAACACGGGGGTTGGCAGATGTCTAGTAGCCTCTGGAAAGCGTCCAGGAAGTACAGGCTTCGACTGATTGCGGACATCTCGAGCATCTGCGTTCAAGGAACTCGAGTGATCTCCATCGGAACTCTTGCTCCAATATGACACGTCCAAAAAAGGCAAAACTCGGGGCGGTTTCGTCAATTTTGGGCCCACCACGAGCATTACAATCCACACGGTCGCAAATAGCACTATGCAGATTACAAACTTTCTGTAGCAACGAGCTCGATGCATCGTGGTAATATTTCAATGCAAAATAAGCCCCAAAAATATGGTTTATGATAACACAGAATCCGAAATATTACTAGGACGTTAGGGATTCAGTGGGCTTTGTCGATAAGATCCATGTACGGTGAGAAGCTGGAGGTCCTTGTGCATCAACTTGTGTTCCTTCACTTAGTGTGGCAATGATCTTTTTAAACTCCACCATTCAAACGTTCGAGTGAAAATGAATAAATTCCCATGACTCGATTCTAACCAAAGATGCCATGGGTCATCACCGTGTTACAAAAATGGCAGATGTTAATTCCGCATACGGATTAATGGGGCCAAAGTCGATACGTTCACACCAGTACACGTACGTACTACATGTACGTACAAAATCCATCACACGTGTGCGTGATCGTCATTTTTGGAAAAAATTCATTGTGTAGCGCCCAGGTACTTCATGGAGGACAGAGCCCATTGCTTGCCACGCAAATGTAAAAAAATATGTTAACTTCCAAACCGCCTGCCTGTTTATTACCCTTGATGTGTTTACCAAGATTATGTAAACGGACACGCGCCAATCTATGTATTTAGGAACTAGTGTAAGCCCCCCCCCTCCCCCCCCCCCCAGTTCAATGTTGTTGGAAATCGGGCGTGCAGGCAAACTGGCTAATTCCCCTAGCAACATTAAATTGGGGGGGGGGGGGGGCGGGAGGAAGAGTGTTCACATTCACATAATTGAGTAGTCTAATTGATATGTTTCAACCGTGGAGTTTTAACTATGTCAACGCATAATAATGCCAGAAAGACAATTCGTCGAGAGGGGGCGCTATTAACATTTTCGCAAAATGCAGAATGGCTTGGTGCCAAAAGGAGCCACCGGTATTAAGGAAGTGGCGTCGACTTTTGGTGCCAAAACAAGCCCATGGTAGTGAAAGGGTTAAGCGATAGCATCCAAAAAGCTGCCACCGCTGCAATGCTATTACATATCTGCGCTGGAGTCATGAGTTCGCTCGTACCCCCCGCCCTGGAAACAGGGTGGGGTTTGCAGGGCGGGGGTACGAGCGAAGAGTCAGGGTGGAATTAAACCGTCTCACAATTCTATGTTTTATATTGTCCCAGCCACGTGCTGGCCATGCCTGAGGTCCACCAGAGGGGGTGTCACTCCGGTGACCCTATTGGAGGGGTTAAAATTGACAGGAAGACCTAGTGTGCTTGTGTACATTTTGCTTGTACACAAATGCACTGTTCGGATTGCCTGGGGTCTGAAGGATGCCAGGGTGAATGGTCTGGGTTTGAGGGCCAGATGGCTTGAATTACATCGTGGTATAAAAACGGGAATTTTCGCAGGGGTGGGGGGGGGGGGGGTTTCATCGGCAAAAATAATCTGAAATGCAGACAGGTTTTTTTCCTCCGGACAGTGACTTGTGCCTCCGAAAATCAATAAGGGGGGGGGGGGGGATCTCGTACCATACTTTCAATGGGGGTGCTGTTCAAATCCGACGATTAGTATCACTATATCACAGAAACGTGTAGATAAACCCCCTAACCAATTAGCTGGCTCAGTCCGTGTTTTGTGCAAAGGCGGACATTACCAGTAAAACAATTTTGGGTGTTGAGCACGGGGGGGGGGGGGGGGGGGGGGGGGGTTCGCATATATTTTCGTGCATTTTTCATGGAAAAAAATTGTTGACAGAGCTGGGGGTTTGACTTCCCACCCCCCCCCCTAAAAAAAACCCTCTGGATTCGCGCCTGTCTCTGGCCTTCTTGATCAATCGGATTAGACCTTGGAGAGAGAAAAAAGATAAATAGTTTACTGTTGTAACAAATCTCTTTTGTGAGTTCTAAGTTGTGAAAAGAAACGGAGGAAACTCAAAGTTTCGCCTGTCTGCAGAAGACTGTACAGAACTGAGTTCCAAAGGTGAAGGGATGATCATGTAGGAAAACTGGATCAGCAGTGAAAATGTCGAGGGGAAGGTCAAATGTAAAGCTTTATCGTCACACGTGCACATTATTGGTCGAATGTTTTGCATGTTTGTGACGCGTGACTTTTTGTTACACCGCCCCCTATCGAACGGCGTCCAGACATAAACTTACAAAATGCTTTGAGTATGCGAAACACTCTTCCCGCTGGCTCCACGCGTGAAGCGCTACCGTATGGCCAATTCCTAGCCACAGAGGGATTGGTACAAGTTTATTTTGAAGGTTAACATACCGGAAGCTATACGTACAACTTAGTTATCGCGATATGACTCAAATGAGTGGGTAGCGAAGTTTGTGTGCGAAAAGTCTGTCTTTTTGAGTTGAAATAACTGCTAAAGAACGAAATTCTAGTGTGTACGGAAAATTACAGTAAAAGGAGAAACACTACGTATTCGTATAAAAAACGAACGAGTCGCCAAAAGGGGACAAATTCTTCTGAAAATCGGTGAGTGAATTGTACCGTGTTTGAGTCTTGGAATGCGGTTTCAACTTATGGACGATTCATTGGACTAACATGACTAAATGAAATTTGTTGCCCAGTTTTCGGACATAGGGCCTATGTGATTCGAATGAAATAATTAATAATTTCAAACAGTGCCTGATTGGGCAAGGATTTGATAATGATATTCAGATGCATGTTGATGCTCATGTAGGCCTAGGCCTACTTATTCATTAATTGAAAAAAAATGCACTTTCTTCAATTTTCTTGAACAAAATGTAGCCTAGCCTAGCCCTAGTAGGGTGGTCGGCACTTTTGGGGTTTTTTGGTCCAAATATTACAAACTTGGTATCATTGGAAAGAGCTTCCAAAAAGAAATCTAATGGTACCAATTATAAGTTTATATCTTAAAGTATGGTGAAGTTATGGTCCATTAAAGGGGCATGTCCAACCCTAATTATTCTGTCGGCATGGTGCGGGGTGTAAAATTAAAAAGAAAAATCCAAATCACCTCAAAATATTTGAGAAAGGTTTTTAAAACATTTTCAAGTTCATTTAGATGAGATCATATTATTCTAAATTTGTATTCTCAGGTCATCTTTATGGTAGTCCTTTAATAGCTGGTATGTGTAAATTTCCTCGGAGCTGTCATATTTGAGGTTGATTTGAACAAGGATGGGAATCCAGGGACCTAAAATAGAAATGCATGGAAACCTTACATTAACATTCACCCAACTGTGTGTTGGAAGTAATATAAAGCCAAAAAAGGGTTTTTAACTTGGCAAAAGTATATCTTTAAAGTATGGAAGTATTTGATGACAGACAACATTTCTCCAATATGTAGGTTCCAGTGGGAATTAACTTTATATTTATTTTGTTCCCTTTTTTTGGCCTTATGCAGAGAATGAGATGTATATTCAAAAATAATTTAAAAAAACATTGAATCTTGTTCTTCATAATACATTGTACTCAGAACAGTCTGGTTAGACTCTGGACTAAACATATTCAGGAACTAGAAGCCTAGGGCAAAAAAAGGAAAGACAAAAATAAGCTAATGTTAACATGTTTAATGCAAATTTAGTTCAAGTTTGGAAAATATTCAGAAACAGTTGAAATATTACTATGTTATTTTTTTTAGCAGAATTGTATATTTGTATAATGTAAATTTCCCCAATAAAGCAATCCACCAAAATTTACCCCAGTAATCACAGCATTGAAATATTATTGCTTCATGCATGCATAAAGCATGGAGGAAGAAATAGGCAGCCATTGTGACACCGCCGTGCGCCATATTTTAATCACCTTGCCGAAGGCACCCCGACAACAAAACCCCCAGCGTCAAAAAGCGTCATGGGAAACATAACAAAAAAACTAGTCACACAAACTCCTGAAATTCTACCCTTTCAGAAACTACCCCTTTTTTAGTCTTTCATGAACTCCTCATGTGAGATTTTTAACGATTTTTCGGCCCAAAAATCATGACAATCTGTACCTTTATTTCGTCAGAAAAAATCTCCAAAATCGGAAGCCAAAACAAAATCGAGCGTACCTCTTCTTGGTATGAGTCGAAAGAGATTTTCTTTGGCTTTTCAATGATGTCATTTCTATTTTTGTCCGACGAAATCTCGGCAAATCTCGCCACAAAACGTGAGTGAATGTCACGAGCTAAAAACAAGATGGCCACTCCCAGGGCGACTGCGATCACAACTTCCCAGAAATAAACATCGTTTTCAACAGCAGATTTCACGATTTCGAATACGGCGATCATCCAAAACAAATATATCATTGGAAAGATCCATCATTTCTCTCTGTAATCATCTCATCAGAGAAACTGTTCCAGTTTCAAAAAAAGGTTAAACTGCGCCAGTTTGAAACACACTTTCGCACGCAAATAGATACAAATGAAGACCGACCCCGTTACGCCGACCTCCCTAGCCCTAGCCTAAAATATGTTCAGATTTTCCGAAGCGGTCTAACCCTAACTAAGTTAAACATCTTAAACTAAAGTTATAGTTATTCAAGTACTTAAAGTATCGGGAAAAAATATCCATACTGGGTCACCACTTTACCTGCCGCCAAACACATCAATTTTCACCTCAAGCTGTGATTTCAGTTTTCACCCAAGACTCAAGAGGAATCCAGGAAGCTCTGTAAATGCGGAAAAAACAATTAGGCAAAATGTGTTTTTAGAGCACATTTTGGATGCACACGGCGCGCAGAACTGAGTTGAAGCAGCCGGTCAAAACTGATTGAAGTGTCTGGAAGACAGCGGTACGTTATACGCATGACATCGACAACCATGACAATGCATGAGCCAGCCAAAGATAGTGCAATACGTCATTATGAATATTTATTTTCTCATGAATATTTAACTCATTCAATGGATACTTCAAATACGTCCAAAGATTGATCATTGCAACAGCGATCGTGCGCGGCCTAGCGGTTAAGGGTCTCATGTTTCAAGCAAGAGTCCGAGGTTTGAATCTTGATGGAGTAAGTAAATGATTAATAAATAGAAATAAAGGAAAGGAGGGGGTGAGAGTAGAGGAGGGAAAGTGGAGAGGATAACCATAAAGGAGGAACTTTTGGCGCTTGAAAATTAATTGAAAAAAGTGGTGATCCAGTACGGAATTTTTTTCCCCTTATTATTGTTTTAGGGTAGGTTACGGTAGGGTAACCGGAAGCAGAACTATTATTTGTTTTTAGCCTAAATCTGATCTCTGTTTAAATGTTTTAGTCTCTAGTATACATGTAGTATGACAAATCAGAAGCAATGACATCATTTGTTGTTCCCTTTAATTAAACCAACATTCTTTGAACTGTTGCTGTAGTGAAACAAACTTGAAAATGTTCTCTTGAATCAAAACCACGGTTTCCTGCCTCAGTTGTTGAAACTTGATGCATGATTAACAGAGGATGTAAACAATGCTCATACTTCAACAGGAACTTCGATGTCAGTGTCCAGCGCATGACTCACACAAAAGCATTTAGGCCTATAATTTTGCTTTGTGCTTTTGCTTTCTGATCGAAAAAAAAAACATGACAGACAAAAAGGATTTGGCAGTTTTCTGTTTTAGGTTTTGATTTTGAAGTACATGAAAGCCAAACACAGCAAGATTAAACTTTCATGTTTTGGATTGTTTACTTATATCCTATTTTAAAGGTCTTGTTGAAAGGAAACTAACCTAATGTTTTACTGTTCCCGAGAAAAGACGGAAAACCCCGGTTGTTTACATCGGACGCGATTGAGTACGCATACATGTCTCCTGTCATTTTCATTCAATGTACGATACACGTTACATAACTTACACACAGCACCAATGCACAAATGTTGAGTGGTTCAGTGCTAGTTGTGATTCAAGCCACACAGTGGTCGCCTGCTATGGACGTGTAGTCCATAGCAGGCAACCACTGTGTGGCTTGAATCACAACCAGCACTGAACCTCTTAAATTTTCGGAGACAAAATTGTGTGCCCTGAAATTCGTTCTCGCATGGTTCTCGCAAGAATATACACAAAAAAACACCCAGTTTTTAAAGATGGTTGCGTGGACGTTTTAAATATTCTACTTTGAAATGCTCTTTCCATTTGGTATCATTTCATTTTAAACGTGTTTTGTAGCCCAAATGGGCGCATTCCACTGATTCCTGGCCGTAATGTCCCTTCAATATCAAAAGCCTACAGCTTTAAGAAAAATGTGGTGGTTAACTTCCTAAAATGGGATTTACAAGTGAGTTCCCCTAGTGACGTCACAGCAACTGTTTGCATATGCATGACCTTGGCGACAGAAAACAGTACATATTTTAAACATATAAAGATCCGATATCAAATATGTACATGTACATGTACATTGTACACAAACTGTATTTCGGTGTTAAAGTCATGGTGTGGCTTCTTTAATTTGGGGTCAAAATTCTCGAGGCTTTACAGTTGGTTGGATAGAATTTCCTTTCCGTGAACAGAGAACAATCCCTTTTTGTCGCAAGAGTAAACATCGGTCGTTGGTGACTGGTGTTTTATGGGAACAGGGAAGGTCAAGCTTAATTTTGACGGCCAAAAGGAAGTTGCAGATCAGGTCGTCATTCTCAAATTTGGTTGTCTGGCTTTAATTATAGGTACTCTTGATTTTATTAGAATACATGTCGTTCAGATCAGTTTCACAAGTTAGGGTCATCATTTTGAATTGTAAAAATTTAACTCTAACTCTCAAGGATTCAATTATGCAGAGTCTCGTTGAATTGAGTACAGTTAGAGTTAAAGACTTGAATATTTGTGGGTTTTCCACATTTTTACCGGTTCCTATTATTTGCCATGAATTTATTTGTTTTCAACGCACCATCGGTTACTAGGTTTTAAATATTTTGCTTGTCTAGAACGCTAAAAAATGGTTTTCAATATACAAGTGTGTAGTATTATTTTTTTTTTTTGGCTCAATGATGCTCATTTGAAAACTTTCTCTAAGAGCAACTAGAAAATGTTTGGTTCAGATTTAGGAAAGACAAATTCCTCCAAAAATATTTGATCAGTACATACCAATAGTTTGTCTGTGTCAAATTTACATAATTTCTACAACTTCTCTGGAGGACATGTATAAATTGTACCATACCAGTAACTTCCTGTACATGTACATGTATGTAAAATTGTATGGTGTTTTGATTTGCAGTTTGCGAACGGTACAATTTACAAGGACATACGTGTATGTCTGGTATGCAGTGTGGCCATGGCCAAATCCGTATTGTAAGTTGGGAGTGTGGTATTTATTTCTGCAACGTAATAAGCTGTATTTCCTTGAACTGTGGTGTGGCCCACACATTCTGAGTCATTTGACTGATAAACTGTATGTGGTTAAGCAATGTTTATCTGAAGTTCAAAGGAATGTTAATATACACCTTTTTATAGCTTGATGGTACATGTACTTATGTTCATCAATCACATGAATAAAAATTAAGTGGTAAGCCTACATGTACTTGATGTACAAAAATACGGGTATCAGTATTACAGAGAAATTGCAATATGATCCTAATTTTCCTGAGAAATGAGTCCAAAATGTTTTTGTACCAGAGCCCAAATTAGCTTAAAGGGAATGTACATTATTGGCTTTTGCTGTAATTTACAGAAATGAACTATTTGAGGGGTAAGTATAATAGATCAAATATTGTTACACTGACAAGTTTGAAGTTTTGTGTTCGAAAATGCTGGAAAAACCAGGAAAAACAAAAATGTTCAAGTAGTCTGGTTCCCCGACTCCTCTTAAGATAAAATGCATCAATTTATAGATGCCGGAAAATTGTAAGGTAAGGAAACCAATCTAGCTGGTCTGCACCCGTTCATGAACATGGAACCAATAGCAAACAAAATTTGGACTGAAAAAAGGGTAAATTTGGAGCAGTAGTTGAAAAATAGTTAGGTTTTCCAACGGTGGTCGGCCGACCACCGTTGGAAATTTATTCAAAATACCACTTTTCTTGGAAATGACTTCATACCAGGTGCCATAATTTTACAGGATGCTTCAGATTTTCATTTACCAACATCCTAGTAAGCTATTTCGTAAAAATTTGGTAGTTTTGTTTTCCAATGTTTGCAAATGTTGTATATTCCCTTTAAATGAAGTACATATGTGCATCCTTTACTCTTTTTCTTTAATTGTTATGTTTATAAACAAAAAAATAAACAAGTAAACCGCATTGTCAGTCATTTGTGTCCTTATACAATGTTACAGCTATTTCAGCACAAGAAGTTGCCAGAATTTGTGATATTTTGTCTGTCCTAAATTGTCCTTTCTTTTGTGGTTTGTTGTGTCAGTACATGGCAGTAAGCCAGTGAGCAAACGTTTCTAACAGATGTTTTCAACGAACACATTTTTTGGTTCGCAATTCGAACAGAAAACCCCTAAACTGAACAACGTGTCTTCCTGAAATGACATCGCAGCAACAGTGCCGTCAGTATATCTGGAAAACCGTGGACAATTTCAAATGTTTATAGAAGTGTACATGTACTTTTCAATCAAATTAACCAAAAAGGGATGTCAAATAGTTTTCATACATTTTAAGAGGAGTAGAAAGTTGCACGCAATATGTTCCTAAGAAAAAAATATTTCACGGACCCTTTAAATGATGCGTTAAGAATGTTTGCAGATATGCATACGTACTTGAACTAACTTCATAATGTAATAAACAGGCCTCTCTGTTGTCTACCAATTTAATTTACCATTCTAATTACAAATGACTTTTACTGGTACGGAACTACTACACCTTTGGTTTTGTTTGGTGCTAACGCATTTTACATATATTCAAAGGTTACAAATAAAGAAATCAATGAATGAAAATTATTCAAACATGTTGGGTAGGAACATAGAGCTCTATTAAATTACTAGAGTGCTACATGTAACTCGCCATTCTGCACGCGGAGACGCTTTGAAGCTGTCCTGGGCGCAGACATTTTGAATTCATGTGCGTGTTTGTAGAACATAATGAAATTAGATGGATTGAATTTTGAAAGTGTACTCTACATGCAACGCGCAAGCAGAACACACGCAAACAACTTAAGTGCGTTATTGACGGTTCAAAAAACGTGACAGTAAAAAGCATGTTCAGCGAATACGGGCAACCGTTGCGCTGTTTGCGTGCGTTTCGGTGTTGGGCGATCGGCTTCGATAATGCACTGGTATGGAATACAAACGCAGATATGCAAATAGCCGTACAAAAGCCGTACAAAATTGCTAGGTCTCCTTAGGTATGTGCACAAACATGGATGCGCCCAGCAGGCATTACTTTGTACATGAAGTTAGCGCTCTAGTAATTTAATATAGCTCTATGGGCAGGAAAGAACATACCGGTATTTGCTGAATAATTGTGGCTGTGTGGGGTTTGTCTCTTAGATATTTCCTTAGTTCTACTGCAAAACTAGAAATAGATGGTGATTTCACTGGGTTAGTAATTTTCTAAATTTGATCGTAGTCCACACCCTTAACATGTAGGCTTGGCATATCTGTATCTGATATTAAGAAAGATTGATAAAAAAGGTGGTTTATTAAATGAGATCAAATAGAAATAAGTTGTCAATAAAATGAAAAATGTGAACTTACATTTAAGAGTATTCTCATTCTGCCAAAAATTGTTGGCTATGAATGTAATATTTTTTTGATTAAAACAAATTGTAAGTATTTGTTTTACCGTTGTTATTGAAAATATTGCTCCATAAACATACAAACAAGGAAGTGAGAGTACAGGCAAAAACATTGTTTAATTCATTGCCCTTCACTTTCCGTAAATATCCCAGAATCTTGATTTCTAATACATTGTTCCTGTTTCAGGCTTGTGACCCCGGAATCTAAGATGCTACCCACAGACAACTTGGCAAGACATTTAGCCTGCATATTAGGAGTTTTGGCCGTAGCTCTGACACCGTGCCTTGCGCAATGTAAGTATTTTGAAAATGACACAGAAATGCAGTAAATTGGGCCTGACGTTACTGACACATCAATAGTTTTGCTGATGGTTATATATATTTTTTTATTACTGTGCTTGAAAATACTCCAAAACCTGTAAATTAGCTTGCAACCCATAGTTGAAATCAAACCAAACTTTGTTTTGGAAATTTTTTTAAACAAAAGTTTTATTTTCACTTTTTAGCAAAATTTATCGCCATCAGGGAAATACTCCTAACGTGATCGGCCATGTTTCACCATGTATATGTTCCAGATCCATACATTTATAAGTCTAAGTATTGCTTACAATTTTGTCAGATAATAAGTAAAGAAATAATTATGTATTTAACCATATACATATATGAAAACACAAATTCCATGTAATTTTGTCAGTTGGTGAACCCCCCCCACCCAAAAAAAATTCCTCCTACGATTTTTGAAATATTTGCTGCTAGAAATATCAGAATATTTTGGAGGGGCAACATCCCCCCTCCTTAAAAACATTTCTAGTTGCCCCGCCCCTCTTCCCCTGTCTGTTGTTACCCTGGTTCAATATACATGTATGCCAAAGTAACTTTTCTCTGTGAATGGATATGCAAAATTTCAGCCGTGGATATTTTAACCCTAACGGTCCCCAACCAGCCAAACTCCAACACCAGGGTTTGTTGGAATCTGTTAGGATGAGTACTGCACTAGTAAACTGACTGTGCTTTAAATGTGGGATTAGGCATACCAGAAATAAACAGAGTCTAACTCTTTATATGCACAGTTTACCATATGGTGTTGGGATTTGCAAGGATGAGGAAGGTTCGGAGTAAATCACCCTAGGGAGTTTAACAGTCTCTGTTTTTCTAATAAGCCACTTGCGTGTTAAATTTGAATAAAATCTGGAACGCTGACTTAATACAATGCTTTGCACGTTTTAACCTAGCATTCTCCAGACCAAAGAGACTGTTACTATATCACGTGATTCGGGGCAAGCCTTATGCTAGCAACCCCCAGCTCCGGCATGGTCTGGTGTCTTTGTGCCGTTCTCACCCATTGTGAACGATGTATTGGTGCTGAGCGTCTCTTACGTAACTATGCAAGAGCTTGCCCCGAATCACATGTGATTAGCAACAGTGTCTTTGGTCTGGAGAATTCACAGTTAAAATGTGCCAAGCATTCTGAGCAAGTCATTGTACCAGACATTTTTCAAATGTAAATCCCAAAGGGTATAGGTTACACGCAAGTGGCTTATTGAATGACGTCGTATTATCCGATGTCAAACAACTCCTGTACCCAGCCTCCCCTTTCCTTATTTACCGCAAGCAGGCTGCCCTGACGTCAAGCAGCACTTCCTTAGGAAATCTGTGCCTTGAGGGTAGAAACAGAAATAGATTTTGTAAGACCTCATCCACGTATCTGTCTATAAAGACAGACTATGCTGTCCGAACCTCTGAAATTTCTTTAGTTTTTCACCACGCCAATCATTCCTTCGCATCAAGACCAGTTCTCATGGACGCATGCATGTATTTTATGCGTCGTTCCATAAATTCTGGGTCCAAAAGTGGGACATTTGTTTGTGTCCCTGTTACCCCTGACCTGTGTAAGTCGCCATGCAAGCATCAAAACAAATGACTTCAAACTATTTTTTATTCTTTGGCAGGCACTTTGCTTAATTTACATTATCACTCTTGGAGATAGACGACATAAACCCTAACCCCATAAAGCTACAAAATACTACTCGTAGTAAACTGAAGTATGCAGTACTTCAGCATAATATTAGTGGGCAAAGCACTCATGAATAGTATTTTTAGTATTCGGGTACTGCATACATCAGGCAAAAAAAAAATATATTTCTGCTTCCGATTACATGGCATTCAAAAATGGGGTAGATAGGTAGGGAATTTTTATTTGTTGCCATTTTTTTTGTGTACGATGATATGGAGGCGTCAGCATGTAATCAAAGGTAAAAGTCTGAAATTGATGGTTTTGGTGTTTTTTTCCTCATTTTTCCCATAAAAAAGTTAGGGTAGGGGCTGTCTAAATAGGGTAGGTAGGGAAACCGGAAGCAGAACTTTTTTTTTTTTTTTTTGGGCCTAATTTCTGTAGTATGTGGTACTTTACCCTAAAGTAAGCTTAAGGGGGTAAGGGATAAAGAATGTGCCGAGCTGAATTTACAAAATCGTATCAGTCACAGTGACACTTTCAAAAAGAATTGGGCCCAAAATTTATGAATGAACCTGATGTGATGTACATTTATATTGTAGTATGCCATACCTATACTACAATGAACGGCTTCTTAAGTATATTTCAGTGTGTTCTCAGTGTGTGTGAATATTTCTGTCAAGTCTGGAATGCAAACAGACACGTATCAAGTTACACCAGAAGAAGAAATGATGACTCTTCCAGATCTAGCCAATTTGTTGGGGGGGGGGGACATTTTTGTGGGCTCTGTGATTCCCATTTCGGTAGGATAGCTATAAAGGGAATATACAACATTTGCAAACATCGAAAAAAAAAACTACCAAGTTTTTGCGAAATACCTTAATAGGATGTTGGTAAATGACAGCCTGAAGCATCCTGTAAAATTATGGCGACTGGTATACTGTCATTTTCAAGAAAAGTGGTATTTTTGTATCAATTTCCAACGCTGATCGGCCGATCAGCGTTGGAAACAACTGGCTTTTTTTCAAATACTGGTCCCAATTGACCATTGCACTTGTTTGCAATCGATTACAAACCTATGAACGGGTACGAGCCAGCTAGACTGGTTCCCTGACCTTACAATTCCCCAATGTATGTAAACTGCTCTGTTTCTTCTTATATGGAGTCAGGGAACCAGACTACAGGAAAATGATCGTTTTTCTTGGTTTTTATAGCATTTTCGAACCCAAAACCTCCAAAAAGTCAGTGCAACTATATTTGCTTTATATTTCCAACCCCCCAATTCCATCCATTTCTGAAAATTACAGCAAAAGCAAATGATGTATATTCCCTTTAATTATGGTTGGGATATTACACACGATGACAAACGTGATTGGCGAATTCTCTGGCTGACTTCCAGAGCAATTTATAGATGTTGGGGGAAAGAGTCGGGTCCGGGAACCAGACTAGCTGGCTTGCACCCGTTCACGGATGTTAACCGATTGCAAACAAACTGTGGACTGACTAAATTTGGTAAATTTTGGGCACTACTCACTATTCTGGAAAAAAAACCCAACTCTTTTTTGTTCCAACGATGATGGTCGGCCATTGATACAAACATTCGTTGAAAAAGATAGCACACCAGGTCCCATGACTTCACAGGATGCTTGAGGAGATAACTGTTCAGTTCACTTACACTTACAGTCAAGCAAGGCATTTTACAATGATTTGGTTCTGGTAGTTGTTGTATTTTGACGTTTGCAAATGTTGTATATTTATTAAATCTATAAAGACTCTAAACAAAACACTTTGCAGTTGTCCTTAAACCACCCAGGGCCCAATTTCATAGAGCTGCTTAAGCACAAAATTTGCTTAAGCACAAAAACGTCTTGCTTAATAAAATCAGGTTACCGGCCAAAACTCCATGAGATGTACATTGCTTGTGACTGGTATTTAGCTGTTGTTTACTTAGCATAACAATTGCATGGAGTTTTGGCCGGTAACATGATTTTATTATTAGCAAGACGTTTTTGTGCTTAAGCAAATTTTGTGCTTAAGCAGCTCTATGAAATTGGCCCCAGATCTGTCCGAATCCATCAGAAGGTTCAGAGGTTTTTGTTGGATTTTGTAGGATTTTTTTTTGTAGGATTGAGGAAGACATTTCATTGTGTTTTCCGTGTGCGATTGATTGCAGCCAATATATGCACTGATGCTAAGACGTGTGGAGAATGCATTTCGTTGGATCCAACGTGTGGTTGGTGTACACTAGAGGTATGTAGGCAGCAAGCTTTTCAGTGTTAAATTTTTTTAACCCTACCCCTCCCTGATCCTTCAATATCCAGCAAAATTTTTTTGGAAGATTTTGTAGGATTGAGGAAGGCAGAGCTCTGCCACTATTACTTCACATGGAGCTTAATGCCTTTGAAAGATAAAGCGAGAATGTGTTCACTCTTTGCACTGAAAAATTGTACGAACATTTACATACATACTTTTTCTGTTCATGAGGTTTTTGGCAAAATCAGGACAATCCTATCAAATATATTTATGCTTAAGGGTAACGGTATGGTGATTAACTTTGTGTGCATAATAATACGAGGTTGGAAGTTGCATTCTTACTTCAATTTTATCAGTTACCTGGGATAAATTGTGTGAATTTTGGCTAATATTTAAACTTTTTTGGGCTGTGAAATTTGATTTTCATCAAAATGTGGATGTTCCTAATGGTTTCTGATGAAATCGGAAAACAAAATGCCCAGGGAGTTACTGTGAATGACAATCAGCTTTGTGTACTTTATTATCAGAGGTTGGAGGTTCGATTCCTACTGTGATCAATTTTCACTGCTCACTCCATTTTACTGTAATAACCCCTTTATTCAGGAGTACAAGAAAGCAGATGGGAATAGTTTCCCGCGTTGCGATCTCCTCAACAACTTGGGGCAGAACGGCTGCACGGACATCAGTAACCCCTCCAGCAGCTCCAACAAAACCAAGGTATTTGTGTACGGGGTGGGGAAGGGGGTGGGGAGGGGTATGACACTCCCCCACCCTATTTGGTCATTCGCATCAGCAAAGTCTTGTAACTGTCGGCAAAAGATGTTGTGGCTACCATCAATAGCGCCAGCTAGTGTCCGTTGGTGTCCAGTCCCGCCCGCCTTTGCTTGTCACACCATCCTATCGGAAGTCGCTGGTGACCGACTCTTCGGCAAAAGCTGATCGAGGAAACACAAAGCATTGTGGGTAGGGTATCTGCCCTAAGCAGTGTTAGTGCAGCAAAGTCCCACCCTAGTTGTTGGATGTACAGAATCCGTCCAATGAGCGCTTCGAGAACTTGCAGTTCGCAAACCCCTTTTGGATAGGGCTGTGGGGAAAGGCGATCCATCTGCCTTGAAGCCTGCCCTCTAGTGTCAGGCGAGGTCCAGCCGGTCGGCCCCCATATGAGGTCACACGATCACATTTTGTCATGTTCTACAGAAGCACCTTCGAACATTTTTTCTCAAATGTGAGTACTAGAAAGGGATAATGACTCCATATCGATAAAACTCTATCGATGTTAGACTTCTGATTTCATTAATTCCTCCTCCCCCTTTTTCCCCTTCAATCTCCGCCCCCAGGATGAACCCCTCAGCAACGCAGGCAACATTGCAGAGTCTGAGGCAGTACAAGTCAAACCGCAAGCGATACATCTCAAGCTCAGGCCAGGTATGAATAACAGTTTATAAATAAATAACAATTTCAATCACAATTTTAGGGTAGTTAGCTTTAACGAGATAGCCGCAAAATATTCAGTGAATAATAAAACAAAGAAGAAAGTCACAAACAAAAATATAACGTACTGTTCATTTTTTGTTCATAACGTGCATGTGCATATATACCTCGTCCAAGCTGTTTTTTTTAATAAATATTTTGAATTGAATTTTAATTTTTTGGGTTTTTTTTTCCTTCGTTGCCAGGGCAACCGACTGAGATTACAATGCAGGTCCGACAGGCAGAGGATTATCCCGTTGATCTGTATTACGTCATGGATTTATCCAAATCCATGGAAGATGATCTCAACAATCTCAAACAGCTCGGCACGACCCTCGGTACGTCACCATTAAAAATTGAAAAAATTAAAACAAATAAAACCCCAAATTTCTGTTTCTCTTAACCAATAAATACAGACAGCACTATGTAAGGCTGTGTCTCACACAGGCATTAAGAGCTATGGCTATGCCTACGGCTATGTCCTATGTCAGCATGTTCCCATACAGTTCACAACATTTGTAAATATCAAAAACAAAACTACCAAATTGTTATGGAATACCTTTTATAACTGTAAGTGAATCATAGTCTCAGGCATCCTTAGAAATAATAGCACCTGGTATGCTGTCATTTTCAAGAAAAGTGGATTTTTTTCCCCAGCATTTATGAACACAAAACTTCAAACAGGTCAGTGTCACAAAATTTGCTGTAAAATACCCGCCCCCAAATCCATCCATTTCTGAAAATTACAGCAAAATCAAATGTTGTATTTAACCTAAAAGCAAGACGTAGACAGAAACCTAGACCAGAGATTTGGGCACTGCTTTATTAAAGTTTATTGTCTTTTATTGATAATCTGTGGTTCTTTGTTTTTCTTTTCTTTTTTTACAGCCGAAGAGATGAAAGCCATTACCAGCAACTTCCGCCTTGGCTTTGGTTCCTTCGTTGATAAGACTGTCATGCCTTACGTCAGTACTGTGCCTTCCAAGTAAGTCTTCAACAATCGGTTACAACAGTTTCAAGGCTGACAGGTTTAAACGTCAAGGTTGCTTTGACTCGCCTCTGGGTGACATCTTAACACGCTAATACCGGGTGCCTTTCGTACATACACACAACGTCTGTAAGGTCTGTGGATCTGATACACCGTGCCCTCTGGAGACGTGCACACAATAGGGAACAAAAGATTGTATACTTCTCCACAGAACAATTTCTATAGATGAATACGTCTCCACAAGATTTTCACGAAAAAGATATATGGATTTTACTCAAAAACTAGGAATTTTCAAAGTGGGTTGATCTGAATGGAAGAGTTTTAGAAAAGGGATATTAAATCCGAATTTCAGCCCAGGAAATTAATTCTGGTTAAAATAAGAGCATTTTGAAACTACACTTTCAAACTCGAAAACTGTACTACACGAGAACAAAGAAATGTCTCCACAAGAATACAAATTTCAGTATGTGTGAAGTGGACTGTGTACAATTTTGTTTTTGTTCCAAATTCCACAACTCGAAAAGTACATGAGTGATTTGAATGATTCTTGTACTAAAAGCTCGTTTATTGGGCTTTTACATCCTAGACCTGGAAAGCTCTACATACAGAACTTCTTTACAAAATAGGGGATGCCATTTGGGTTTCTGGTTTTTTTTTACCAGTTTGATTTTCATGATGTCAGAGAGAGAGAGAAAGATGATTATATGAACCGTTAGTTCATATAAATCTATTTTGTTGGTTTTATGCAGGTTGATCCACCCCTGCCCTGGATGTGAGGCTCCCTACGGTTTTAAGAACATTCTGCCCCTGAACCTCGACACTGATCTGTTTACAGTGAGTAGCCCATGTTATTTTAAGCATTGACGTTGTAACCATTCGCTAACATATAATATTTTTCAATATATTCGCCCAAACATGTAAAGAAAAACGAGTACTGCATTTCACACTGACCGTACTTGTCCTTTATTACCACTTTTTATGGAAACGGCATCCCTCATTATTTGTACCTTTTTAGAATATCGTCGGAGTTCAAAATGCTTCCGGTAACTTGGATGCTCCTGAAGGTGGCTTGGATGCCTTGATGCAAGTCACTGTCTGCACAGTAAGTTATACTGCACAATAAAAGCCACATTGTTAGTATTTTGATTAAGGCTGTGGCTACGCACTGTGTCATGTCGATGGCAAGAACCAAAGCCGCAGCCAAAATAGTTGGTTTGGACAAAAGTGGGCTTTGTGAGGCTGAGGGGTTTTCGAAACCATGGTTTCGTCTTAGCTTGGGCTTCAGGAGATTTGACGCTCCTGACTAGGGTAAATTTGGGTACATGTTCTGCAGGAAGAACACCAATTTTTTATTCTCTTTGAACAGGAAAGGCTTCTCAAAAATTCTCGAACCAGTGATGTAGGCGAAGCTGGAATCAAAACCGTGGCTTGGGAAATGTCCATACTACATTGTTAGATTTTTCAGGCAGTTTGGCAAAATTTTATATTTTTAAAAATTCTTTGAGATCTTTTTTCCCCCCTTGCTTTCATAGAGTGAGATTGGGTGGCGCAAGCAAGCTCGACATTTGGTCATCTTTACCACCGATGCGCCGTTCCACTACGCTGGCGACGGAAAGGTATTTTAGAAATTTTGAGCCGTTCACAAAACCAAAAAAACTGCCATTAGAGATGTCAATCTTGCTTTACTTGGAGAGCATTATAGGCTCAGCAGTTTCGCACTTTTCAGACCAGTGCGTTTTTATTTTATTTTTGATGAATAACAAACTTGTTTTGTACTAAAATCTAAACAGTTCAGGCTAACGTTTCGATCCACACAGAATGTTTGTTAAAGGCCCCCCCCAAAAAAAATATATGTTATTAACTAGACTTATGTTTGTGGACAAACACAGGGCTGTTTTTAAGCAACTTTTTTGTGACATGTGACATGCAACATTTTTCAACCTGCCGCTAGAGGGCGCTCTAACATTATTTTATTTGTAAAGTACAACCTAGCCAGAGACTGACATCAGTGAAAGCAAGTTCACATCTTTTTCCTCTTTCAAATTATAAGGCTCTTCCGGTTTGGACCGGAAGGAAGGGTCACGTGATTTAGCACACATAAGATAAAATGAAGTTCTGAAATTTTTTCTCAACAGCTTGGTGGTATTGTTACACCCAACGACGGTAGTTGTCACCTGAACCTCAATGGAGATTACACACAGTCAACCATTTTGGTAAGCAGAGTCAACCATTTTGGTAAGCGGGTCATGAGTAATGTAGTTCCCCTCAAGAGATTTACAAAAAATGTTCTGACCCATCAGCCACGCCTGTGTATAAAAACAGCCAGTGCCTGTTACCTAGTCCTTCGACGCAAACTGGTTATGGAAGAAATCTCGTTTCCAGCACTACTGGCCATTTTAGGCGGCCGTTGATGTAGACCAACCAAACAGTGCGCAATTGACCAATCGGATCACGACTTTTGGTCAGGTGACCACGGTGGCTCGGTCAAACTCGGTCACAGGCACTGCGAGAAATGTACACAAACCAAAAGTTGTCAGGGCTTTTATGGCCTAATCGGGAGCCGTCCATTCAAAAACGATAATGCCGAAGAATGGGAGGCCCTAATTCTCTTTGTGTTGCCCATTTGCAGGACTATCCCTCCATCGGACAACTGAACGCCAAAATGCAGGAGAACAGCATCATTCCAATCTTTGCCGTCACCTACACAGAGTTTGGCATCTACTCGGTGAGTTAACACAGATCATGGGCTAAATTGGGTCACCGCAGCATGGGATCACCAGTCTTGAATCAGACATACGAGCTGTAATTGTACAACCATTATAACCATTACAAAACTTGTCATGATGTTTTCTGTCGTTCTTTTCCCGTTTCAGAATTTGACGCAGTACATCGAAGCGGCCACTGCCGGAATACTGGCTGTGGATTCCAGTAACGTAGTAGATCTCGTCAAAGAAAATTATAACGTAAGTGCCGAGACCCAGCGATCGAAGTTGCCTTTATTTGTACCCAGTTACTCAGTCAATCAGTAACTGGATCAGTCGGAGAACCATAGGTTCCGAGCGTATGACGTCAAAGTACCACGTGACCATCTGATTTCCCCGTGATCGGTCCGCAATTGCTGTCGGCAAGCGTTTAGATAGCGACCACATTGTGCGCTGTAAACTAGGACTTACTTGCACGTAAAATAACCATCAATTTTTTATCAGCCAAGCACTGGGTGTTTGGTCCATGTTTTATTTCCACAGTTTTTGCCGTCCATCACAGTTTGAATGCTTGCCTACTACCAGCGCTATACGATCTTTGCCAATTAAATGGTAACACTGGCCTTCCGGTACACGGATGTAGGCCGGGTCACGTAGGTCATTGAGAGAGCCGAATAGCTTGGCCCTTCCAAGTACAGAAAACAAAATTGAAGTTGCAGTTAATGTTTCTGTGTTTATATCCTCAGAAAATCACCTCCAAAGTTGAAGTGGTTGACAACGCGCCAGAGAACATCACGGTGGCGTACACAGCCCACTGCCTGAGGGGCCAGGTCCTACCGGGGTCCAGGGAATGCAGCGGACTGAAGCTGGGTGACACGGTCAATTTCACGCTGTCCGTCACGGCCACGTCGTGCTCCGAGCAACGCATTCAAACGTAAATATACCACTTAGCATTCCTCTTCGTGTCCAGACTTTGTTCAAGCTACTGGAGTTTGATTTTTGAAGCCGGACCCCTACAGATTCTGAAGCATACCTCCAGGGTGCACGTTAGCTTGAATATAGTGAAGTGCGCTCGGAATATCCGGGTCCAGATGCCAAACTTCTCGGGATTAGACTTCTTTCATTTTGTATGTAGCGCCCTCTGTGGCGGTGTTGGCTGACTGCTACAGGTCTCCCTCAAATGACGTCATTTCCTACAGACCATCCACGTGCATCGGCAATTTGAGCGTCAGCTGTGTCGTATTTCGAACACATTCCGAGCAACAAGCACGCGTGTTTGGAACATTTTCAACACTGCGCAATGCGTGCTAGATTGCGTAAAATACGCAGTTGCACTTCTACAGCAGAAATGGCAGTCATTGAGCGAGCCCTATTGGCAGTTATTGGGACAGCTACACGAGGGAAACAATTCAAATTCAGTCTAATAATTTGAAAGTGGAAAAAGATGTAAACTTGCTTTCAACGATGTTAGTGTCTGGCTGGATTGACCTTTCCAAAAAATGATCGGTGATGCCATGAAGTGTTCGAGCGCCCTCTAGTTTTCTTTGTTTTAGTATAAAAATATGTTATTTTTTGCTTAGACGTTATTTATTTAACTGAATTGCAGGTTTACTGTCCGACCGATTGGCTTCAATGAGGACTTAGTAGTAACCGTGGAAGTGGTCTGTGAATGCGATTGTGAAGCACAAAAGGTAAGAAAATGTTCTTGTCCCCAACTACAGACATTTTTAGAAGGGCTTTGGGTTATTAATGAACATTTTTAGCAAGAAATTCAGAGTTGAAATCAAGACAATGACAAGTTAATGACACTTTTTTGTTTTTATTAACCCTAAGATACCTTAATCCACCAAAATCCACACCCATGTTTTGGACGATTTTGGCGGATTCAGGATACCTCCATATTGAAAAAGTTGGGGGATTTTGATGGATTCAGGAAAGTAAGCCTAAAGGGAACTGCAGGATTTTGATGGATTCAGGATACCTCCATATTGAGTAGCTGGGGGACTTTGATGGATTCAGGATCTCAAAAGTTTAACTCCTTGGCTATATGTTTGGTGTGTTCGGTATATGTACTACACTGGTGGATTCTGATGGACTCACTGGTGGATTCTGATGGACTCAGGACACCAAAAATTTTTCCGCATGACAATATTGATCGATTTTTGCGGATTCAGGATACTTTCTAGTAAAAGTGCTCGGGGTTTGGTTAATTTATTTAAACTTTATAGTTTTCCAGTATGAAATGTAAAATACAATAACTGTCGTAAGAGTTGATCGTTGTAGACATTTCATACAAACTGTTAGATCAAGAGATTTAAAATGGACCAATCAAAATGTCTGTATTTTGACAGGTGATGAACAGTGACAAGTGCAGCATGGGTAACGGCACGTTAGAATGCGGCAGCTGCACGTGTAACCAGGGGCGTTACGGCGAGGACTGTGAATGCAGCGGCAACGACGCTGATCTCGGCGATAATGACTTGTCATGCAGAGCGTAAGTTAATCTGAGAAATGCACATTCTCGTTACTACGTTAACCTGCACAGACGGCCATTTTGAGAGATCAAAAAAAAAAAAAAAATGAATAAAATCTAATTTTGTGATGCACGTACTCTTAGAGTGTAACTTTTGTTAAATTTATCTTTAATTGGTTTTTGTTCATGACAAATGCTATTGTCGTTAATTTTGTTAACTGTTGTCATGGCAATCGGAGTGGAGGATTATTTGCCCGCAAATGCAATTGAAAACATTTTGTGGGTGGTTTTCAAAAAAGAAAAAGGAGGAAACAATGCATATCTACCAAACTGTCTTAGTTGTCATTTGTCACATCGTTATCAGCTTCGGTAAACATCTTGTAAAAACAATTTTTGTAGATTTATTTATTTTATAAAGTTGGTTCCTTGTGAGAGCTTTTTTGTGTCTTAAGAATGTATTCTTGCGCCATAATTCATAATATCACTGTTTCCTTCCTTGTTATTGTCAACCTTGAAACTGGAACTGGAAATGAACTTTTGAAAAGTGTTTTTATTGAGGTTTTTTCTCATCAGGATTGTCTCTGTCAAAATCAAATTGTTTTGATAATTTATTTACAGTGGCAATTCTTCCATTGTTTGTTCGGGTCGCGGGTCCTGTGTCTGTGGACAGTGTGTGTGCTTCCAAAGACCGGTAAGAACCAAAAAACTCCAAGTTTAAACTTCAAGGGAATACAGAATTCAAAGTGATAATTGTTGAATATTCATAAGTTGTACGAATTCATCTTTGACCCCTCTCATGTTTATTCAGGATCCCATAAAGTGATTTTGATGAATATTCATAAGTTGGAAGTGTTCAGTTTTGACCCCTCTCATATTTATTCAGGACCCTCCTCAAAGTGATTTTGATGAATATTCCTAAGTTGGAAGTAATAACCTTTGACCCCTCTCATGTTTATTCAGGATCCCCACTCAGTAAGTTTGATGAATATTCATAAGTTGGAAGTATTCACCTTTGACCCCTCTCATGTTTATTCAGGACCCCACTCAGTAGGTTTGATGAATATTCATAAGTTGGAAGTATTCGCCTTTGACCCCTCTCGTGTTTATTCAGGACCCTACTCAGTAAGTTTGATGAATATTCATAAGTTGGAAGTATTCACCTTTGACCCCACTCATGTTTAGTCAGGACCCCACTCAGTAAGTTTGATGAATATTCCTAAGTTGGAAGTATTCACCTTTGACCCCTCTCATGTCTATTCAGGACCCCACACAGTAAGTTTGATGAATATTCATAAGTTGGAAGTAGTCACCTTTGACCCCTCTCGTGTTTATTCAGGACCCCACGCAGTAAGTTTGATGAATATTCATAAGTTGGAAGTATTCACCTTTGACCCCTCTCATGTTTATTCAGGACCCCACTCAGTAAGTTTGATGATTCATAAGTTGGAAGTAGTCACCTTTGACCCCTCTCATGTTTATTCAGGACCCTACACAGTATAGTTTGATGAATATTCATAAGTTGGAAGTATTCACCTTTGACCCCTCTCATGTTTATTCAGGACCCAACACAGCAAGTGTCTGGCGCACACTGTGAGTGTGATAACTTCTCCTGTGATCGCTACAAGGGAGAGCTGTGTGGAGGTATGTAACCAAACGATGCTTCAACCCTGACTTCAAACCTCCCAGATCCTTCAAAATCTACCAGAAGGTTTTGTAGGGTTTTGTAGGATTTTGTAGGGTTTTGTAGGATTTTGTAGGGTTTTGTAGGATTTTGTAGGGTTTTGTAGGATTTTGTAGGATTGAGGAGGTAGAGCCCAGCCACAATTACTTTACATTCAGCTTGATAAATACCCCAACGTCCAGGGGATTGAACCCATACGCTACTGTGCATCAGTCAGACCATAAGGTTCATTCCTTCCACTTCAGAATGGAAAAGATTTCACAGATTTGTGGTGTTTTTTGTATTTTTTCATCAGGCCCGGATCGCGGGGTCTGCGTGTGTGATGAGAAGACCAAACGAAGCAAGTGCAACTGTAAACCGGGCTTCGAGGGGGACGCCTGCGAATGCTCAACCAGATTGGATACCTGCAGAGCCTCCAACGGGGTAAAAATTGGATCCTGTCCGAAATAAGCGGCTACCGCTTGCAGTAACACACGTGTCTATGTGTCATTGTGAGCCATAGCCAGATATATGCTAAGCAAGAAATAGGTTACCGAAATATGCGGATGCGGCTGCGGCTGGCAGAGACACGTGTCTATGTGTCATTGTGAGCCATAGCCAGATATATGCTTAGCAAGAAATAGGTTACCGAAATATGCGGCTGCGGCTGCGGCTGGCAGAGACACACGTCTATGTGTCATTGTGAGCCATAGCCAGATATATGCTTAGCAAGAAATAGGTTACCGAAATATGCGGCTGCGGCTGCGGCTGCGGCTGCGGCTGGCAGAGACACACTTCTATGTGTCATTGTGAGCCATAGCCAGATATATGCTTAGCAAGAAATAGGTTACCGAAATATGCGGCTGCGGCTGCGGCTGGCAGAGACACACGTCTAGGTGTCATTGTGAGCCATAGCCAGATATATGCTTAGCAAGAAATAGGTTACCGAAATATGCGGCTGCGGCTGCGGCTGGCAGAGACACACATGTCCATGTGTCATTGTGAGCCGTAGCCAGATATATGCTTAGCAAGAAATAGGTTACCGGCCATAACTTCATGCACAATGTATTGCGGATGACCGTTGCTCTGCTAAGCAAGTTTCTGAGCAAAATTTAAGTATTGAATTGGGCCGTGTTGTCACAAACCAAGACCTCACAAGTTCGTCCAACATCCATTCTTTTTTCCTTATTGATATTTTAAACAAATTTGTATCGCAAAAGGAAAGCTATGAAGCAAAACAAATGTTGGGAAAACCTTTCTGTGTTTGTAAGATAAAGGAAACAAGACTAAAATGGGTTTTCCAAATACTTCTACGATCTTTATTACAACAAAATATTTCCTGTTTTTTTCTCATCCAGCTGATTTGCAATGGCTTTGGAGTCTGCAACTGCGGCAAGTGCGAGTGCAACGTCACCACACCGTACCGAGGGGAACGATGCGAGGAATGCCCTGTAAGTCGTAGAGTTCAAGCACAGAGGGTCAAAAGGTCAACGAATAATCAAGGTTGCCGCTACCAAGTTGATGTGTGGGGTTATGCATTATGAAAATGTTTACAGTGTAAAATAGTCTTCCGGTCACCACGGCCGATTTTGGCCACTTACAGAATACTGTATTTTGAATGAAACAAGCTCAAAGTACCCTTACGCAGACCCTTTGATGTTCGCGGGTGAAACCTTTCAAAATCAATTTCTCCCGTTTTGAAGACCGTATCTTCATGCCACTTATCTGAGTTTGTTTCCTTCCAACTGTGTGCTAAAAATTGTTTTGATATGTTCAGTACGTTTCATCAAAAATCGGAAAAATAGGTTTTGGTGCGGCCATTTTTCGGAGCTGTAAAAACTGGTGTTTGTTACTGTCAAGTTTTTCAAGCCTCATGAATATTAATAATGTTCCTATCCACATATGGTGTGCAGTAAATATTGATACATCACCTCCTTCACGAGTTATTCGGTAAATATCAACATTTTTTGGAGGGCTTCCAGATTTGTCGATCGCGAGACCCACACGAAGTCAAGCCGAGTTATGCTAATGAATGTGCTTACAATACCCGTCCACCTCCAAGCGTGTGTACCCCGCGAAGTCAAGCGAGGTCATTTCGGCCGAATCGGCCATGGTAACCGGAAGACTGTTCAAATGTTGAATACTAAATGATTCAAAAAATTGACAGGCCAATGTCCCTCACTGACTGTGACTTGTGAATTAGACTGGTTACCTATCCAGCTTACTGAATGCCACTCGGGAATTAGACTTGCTCAGGTCTGTCGCTGACTGATTGTCCCTTTATTTTTATCAATGATTCAGGCTTGCCCAGGCAAGTGTGAAGTAAACAAGGACTGTGTTGAATGCAAGCAGTTTGGTCAAGGACTGAGTGAGGAGCAATGCGACCGTTGTCCCTACCCAGTCATTCCGGTGAAGGAACTACCATCAGGTTAGATTACGAGCGGTCTGGGGTTCTATTCCTGTCACAAATCCCTTTTTTCTTCTCTCTCTCTTTTTTAAAAATATTTTTGGCCATTTTTAACAGTGGAGTGTCGTGGCCTAGTGGCCTGGAGCAGTGAATTTGTGGTCTGCGGGTAATTCTGCAGGTTGTGGGTTCGAATCCTGCCCGGGGTTATGGTGCGTGTGCCCTGAAGCAAGGCACTTTGTCACTCATTGCTTCTCTCCACCCAGGAGTAGCTTGGTACCTGTGAGGGCAGAGTTGGTGACTGTGAGAGGTTGATAACGGCCAAGAGTGCCGAAATGGCTGCCTACCGGCCGTGTATGCTCCCCAGGGAGTTGAGAAGGTTTCAGGAGTGTTTGCCCGTTGAACAGTTGTTATAATAATTGTAAAGCGCTTTGATACCCCGTTAAAAGCGCTATATAAATACCGGTTATTATTATAACAGTGTAGTAAGCTTTTCAATAAGACAGTGCATACAAAAATTGGTTTAGGAAATTTCACAACTGGAGGAATTCTTGAGGTGATATTTTTCCAGAATTTTTCCGTCCATAACCCGAAACTTTTTCTCTGTATCCCATCATAGTTACTTTCCTAAAAAAAAGTGAGGAATTGTAAAAACAAATTTGAAAGATGCTTTTAAAAAACTCCTTTCCGTTTTTTATTTAAACTTTTTTTGCAGACGAACAGTCGGAGCGTTGCTTGTACCACAACGATAAGGATTGCTCAGTACTCTTCACATATCAGACGCTGGAGAACGGAACGTTCATCTTGCTAGTACAAGAGGAACCAGGTTAGAATTTCATTTTTTTTCAACAGGATAGATTTTAAGGTCTTGCAAGCTATTTTAAATTTTTCTGATAAAGAGTAGGTGTGTTAAAAAGCCGAGGCTTCAAAACCTGTGTCATTTTGGTCTCGTAATAGCCGTTGACCTCTCGTGACCTTTGACCTCTTGTGACCTTTGACCTCTCGTGACCTTTGACCTCTTGTGACCTTTGACCTCTCGTGACCTTTGACCTCTCATCCCCCTTACAGTGTGCCCTGTGCCAGTCAACAGCGCCTTCATCATCATCGGCATTGTCGTTGGCATCATCATCATCGGCCTGATCTTGCTCTTCATCTGGCGTCTCCTGACTTACATCCACGACTCGCGGGAGTTTGCCCGGTTTGAGAAGGACCGAGCACAGGCCAAGTGGGACCAGGTAAGAGCAAGGGGGGCTGGACACCATCTTCCCATGGGGGCGCTGTTCAAAACGTATATCATGGCTACATTAGACAATAACTACCGCTATTCACTTTCCAAGAGACGTCACAACACTCGCGAAAACAAAACAACAGAGTTTGGGTAAAAAAATACACACACAATCGCGGAAAAAAAGGACTTTATATTTTTCTTGCTAATCATGGTAACTTAAATGGATGTGCTTTTCTACGCATGCCAAATTTTCAGGGGGGGGGGGCTGGACACAATCTTGCTATAGAGTGCGCTGTTTCAAAGCAGACGATCATCGGCACTACCGAACAATGAGTGGCGCTTCTTATCCAGCACATTTTTTTAGTCAACGGACACAAGATTTTTCCGACACGAGGACAATTTTGCCAACAGAAATAATTAACACTTTCGATCTCAGGCTGTGCTCCGTGGTCATATATGGGTTGATGTGGCCGGCAGCCATAGGCGTCTTTACGTGCCAGCGGCCCGACCCATTGTAGCCGCGTCCTTCGCACTTCAGCATTCCAGCTGCGAGTAAGGATGATTAGCCTCCCAAATTATTGTCGTTATATCATATCTAATGAGTTTTGTTTCTTGCTGTTTTGTTTTTTTCCTGTAGAGCGAGAACCCAATTTACAAGCCCTCCACCTCGACATACAAGAACCCGCTGTACGGCAAGTAACTGCCTTTGTTTTCTCGACTCACAACTCTATTTTTCTAACTGGTCATTGTTTAAAACAATTTTCTAATCCTAAAACTGATTTTTAAAAACTGAGTTGTAAGTGTTAATGTTATAATTATCACCAGAGCAGAACAAAATGATAAGTGTTATCCATAAAATAAATTGAAATGTAGAAGTTTTTTTTGTGTAAATGTTACCACACAACACTGACCATCGTTAAGGCGTCCACGGTGGAATTTTCAAAGCAGCAACAATCTTGGGCCTTCCCTTTAGTATTTGGTTTAAACCAAAACTTTCTTTTAATTTCTTGGTTTTATATTCACAACTGGACGAGTCATTGTGTCGTTCTTCAGTGAAAATTAAAAAATGAGACTTTGAAAGCTAAGACAATTTTTAAGTCCGCTTTTAATGAATATTCCACTTTATGTTTTCGCACTCTTTGAACGTAAAGTCTACCAAGAAAAAGAAGTACTTTAAGGCCCCCCAAAAAAAATAGTCAGTCTCTGGTCAGGGCGCATCAATTTTGATCATGCGCATCAATTTTTAATTTTTTTTTCAAATTTTCCGCGGTTGCTACAACAGCGCACGGCCTCAAATGTCTGTTGGCAGCTCGGCCTCGTACCTTGTTTTTTAAAACATTTTGAAGGCAAAGTCCAAGTCGTTAAAGTTGCCGTGGCTGTATGGAATATGTGAACAAAAGCATTTAGGGTACCTAGGCAAACGAGAAGGGAACCTACATGTAGGCAAAAGAGGGGGTAGCAAGCAGATATGGAGGACACCAAGGCGTGGGGAGAGCATCCAGTCAAACCAGGAGCACCAAGAAATGGGAAAGGGCACCGAGGCAAATGATGGAGGGCACCAAGGCAAATTGATGGAGGACACAAATGTATACGAGAAGACAAAAAAAGCAAAACACTGACCCACCTTGTCTGTGCAATCCAAGCTTGAAAAAAAGAAAAAGTGCATTGCCGCATCAGTTCCGGAATTTTGCTCTGACCAGAGACTTTTTTTGTTTCGGCCAGATAAAAGTGATTTTGCAAAAACAAAACCAAATATAAAGCTACAAAAGAGAAGTCAACTCAACAAATAAGGGTAAGGCACAAATGCATATGCAATGGTGTACTTTTGCCCGCCGGCATCAATCCAAGCAAGTGATAATCAGATTTCAGATGTTAAAATGTATTTTGCGAAACAGTTTTGTTCCTGCTTGCAATATGGAAATAGTTGTTATTCAAGAAACCCTGATTGTGATCAGTGAGCGAAATGGATCGGTGTTTCTATCGACCCAGATATTTGTTTAATCATGCATTGTCTCAGATTTACTTACATTTTACGAGGAAGTGGTTAACGAAAAATCTAAAATGGCCAAGTCAGGGGAGAATCTGAAACTGTACCACTGTTCCGATGGAAAGTTCAATTCTATGGTCTGTGGGTTTAGTTGTCTGTCATATCACACATGTTTAGTTGGCAAATTCAACGTGTATCCGGAAGTCCACAACATACCTGGAACTAAATGAAACTAAAAATGATTAAAATAGGCAAACACAAGTATCCTGTTGGAGGATGAAAATGCCAGATCACTTTACCACAATTGCTTCTCTCCTGCCAGGAGTGTTATGCAGCACTATTGTCCCATAATCACAGTCTTATCCTGCACAATGTCAGGGGATGAGTCTGGATTGTGTCCCTAAGCTGGACACTTTACCACAATTGCTTCTCTCCTACCAGGAGTGTTATGCAGCACTATTGTCCCATGATCACAGTTTTATCCTGCACAATGCCAGGGGATCAATCTGGCTTGTGTCCCAAGGCTAGACACTTTACCACAATTTCTCAGTCCTTTCCAGGTTTAGGTGTGAGAATGGGGAATAAAATACGAACAAACTTTGAAAACATTTTCCAGACCATTCACGCAACCAGTGGCACCAGGTTGTAATTTGAAGAATAAATCCAGAAAAAAAAATCAATGTTGTGTGTGTTTAAGGATGAAAATGTTATGTACATTTCAGTAATATTTTTCTTTTTGGTATTGGCGCTGATTAAATAAATTGCACATGCGTGTGAATGTAGAGATTCATAGAGTGAATAACATGTAGTTGTAGCTTTGTATATTTATTCATTGGATAGAACACGCTGCGTTACAGTTTATTTTTTAACTATGCTTAGCTGTCAATTGTTTATTTGGAAAGCTGTATTAGAATACAATTATTTAGCATCCAGAAAGGGTTTTTTGGGGTAGGTTTTGGTTTGTGTAATTTGATACTAAGAAGACAAATTTTTGTAAACTTGTTAAATAAAAATTAAAAATAGTGCTTCGTCTTCCAAATATGATCAGGTTTTTACATTAAATCTTACCCTAAGCCCATAACCCACCCCCTTCAAATTTTAAACAAAAAAAGGTTTGAATCTTTTGCATTTGTGGTTCAACAGGAAGAAAAGCATTAAATGAGTAAACATGTCTACAACAATGCAATAGTTATATACAGTCGACTCTCGTTAGTACAAACTCTGTTAATACAAAATTCTGGTTATAACAAACATAAAGCCTTAGTCCCGACTGTGCATTTATGTGCACAATGAATGGGACTGATGTTCCTCATAGTACAAACTTCTGATATAACAAACAATTTGGCTAGGTCCGAACGAGTTTGTTATAACAAAACTCGACTGTATATGTGTTTTCCTAGCTGTTGAACAAAGGAAGTAAAAGTCGAGAAATTCTGTAAATATATGTCCTCCAAAACTGATAATAACAGTGGCTTTTGTTGCCTGAGCTGAAAGTTGTCTTCGCATTGTCTTCCAATTGTCACCGATATGTGTCTTGTAAGACTTTTTTTAACAGAGTCAGGGTTAAAGACCTAAATGAATAGCATCGATTAAGACAGGGTGCTGGAGACCTGGGCTCCTCCTTTTTGTAAAGTGAATCAAAAATAATAATGCATTTGTAATTGTTTTTGTAATATAATTGTAATTTCTGGGTGAAAGTTTCAGTACATGTACGTGAATAAATATTGGACAGTAGTGTGGTATTGTAATGTCTCATACCTTATTATATCACTTATGCAAATTATAATGTCTGTAGTGTGTAATATACAGTATGTCCCGAAAAATGTGTCCGTCTAAATATATTTGAGTATATTTTGAAATTTTTTAATTGTGCAGACACTCAATTGACCATTGTGCAGTGAGGCGTTGGGGGAAGTTAAATCAAACTCATAGGGGTTGAGGCCAAAGATAAGAAGTATCTGCACAATCAATTTTTTTTCTTCAAAATTTACTTTGTGGTTTTATTGTTATTTAAAAAATATTTAGGTGGACTTTTTTGGGGACATACATGTACTGTAGTACGTGCATACATGTAATAGTTGTATATAAGCCATTTATTTTAAAATGCTGGTCTTAGGATTAATTTCTGTTTGCATTGTGTGCAGCATAGAAGGAAGGCTAATAAATGCCTCACAAAATGTGACTTCGCAAAATTCTGTCTACAGACTATTCCGGCAAACAAAATTAGAAGCCATCTGGTGAAACCAGTCTCGCGCATAGGTAGTACACGGATCCTACACAAGGATAAGCGACTTTCCCAAATTTCCGGTTAGATGCGTGATGCGACACTTGCGCGTCCTGCGCGAGACTCGGCGTGCAACTGCCGTCTTTCAGTGGTCCGATATCTGTCAGGACGCCAGCTGTCAGCGAGGATCCGTGGGTAGTACACACGCACTTCGGGCTCCTTCGACCAGTAGAGTTAACAAAATGCAAGTGCGCCTCGAATATGGTCTACCTGAAAAAGGGCTTCTCATCTTGTTTGCCAAGTTACTCTGTAGCACTAATAACAGAATACACGCACTTCGGGCTCCTTCGACCAGTAGAGTTAACAAAATGCAAGTGCGTCTTGAATGTGGTTTTACCTTAAAAAGGGCTTCTCATCTTGTTTGCCAAGTTACTCTATAGCACTAATAACAGAATACAGATCCTATGTTGATAGGATCAATAGGATAGGTGTGTGGAGAACAGCAAAACATTCTCATTATCCTCCAAAGCAGTAACGTTATAAATTATTATTCTTAAGAATACGGTGCTCAATCTAGCTTTTTAGTAGAACATAGTAACGTTAACTTGTAAGCCGTGCTTGTACAGGGTGGACCAAAAAAACGTTAATACTGTTTTCAGACGCAGATGTCTTGGGATTGGGGAGACGTGTTAAAGTTTTTTTAAGGTATTCCTAAAGTACAGCATCTTGGTGGTTTATGGTGGAAACGGCGCTGAAAATAAAGCTTAATTTAAGAAACGGCGATGGTTTAATTAAAGAAAATCAGTTTGTCCACACGCAAATCTATGAGATATGGTCACACAATAGCACTGCACGCACAAAAAACAGCAGTAATTGTAATTAGGTCTACATGACTGCCATAGATGTGAACAAACTAGTTTTTGACCATTCTTCTGCAAATGGCCGCTATTTCCTACTTTATTTTCAACTTTTTTCACCATTTACGTCCAAGAACTTGTAGTTGAGGAATATCTTAAAACAATTTCAACATGTCTCTTCAATTTTGAGAAATCTGCCTCTGAAAAAGTGTAATTTTTTTTTTTGGAGCACCCTTTAATGTACCTGATTACATGTTGGTATTAAATTAATATAGAAAAGAGTGTAATTTCAGTGATTTTAGGTACCAGTAAAAGGCTTGTTTATACTGGCTGTTTCAGATAATTTTTTTTTAATACCACAGGATACTAGATGCACGTAAGGCGAAATAAATTAAAAAACATGTTTAGCATCCTGCCTTTTTGAAAAAAAAAAAGCGGGAGGCCCTTTTTTTTCCCCTCCAAAATGGCAGCTCGACCGGGCTATTTTTCAAGATGGCCGCCACTTTTTAAAAAAAATGGCCACCATTGGACTCAGGAAATGACATAACACCTTTATATGGGCTAGATGCAACAGATAGAGGCCAAAATGAGGTCACTTGTTGAAAATTTTTCATTTTTTCGGTTTAAAAAAGAAAAAAAGAAAAAAAGGAGGCGACCTCCAAAGAGGGAGCGGGTGGGGACGCTAAACATGTTTTTTTTTCTATTTCGCCTAACATATTCAGTAACTAATAATATTCAGTTTATTATTGCATCGCTTATAAGCTTTAGGGTTTCTTATCAATCTTTTATCATACTATAAATATTTATCATAGCATGTTGCTTATACATGTAGTCATAGTTCCGTTCCCCCCCCCCCCTCCCTTGGATTTCTTATATCAACATTCCACAATTTTGTTATGTTCCTTAACCAAGAAGCAATAAGTCATGTACAGCAAAAAGTCCCTAGCTCGGAAAACTAATCATGTTCTGGCAAAACATCAATTGTGAGTGAAAAAAACTCCAACAAAACAAGACAATTGCTTGGAATATTTTAAATGTCTTGAATAATGACGATATAATTTAAACGATCATCAGTGTGATTTTTCAACCAATATAAACTTTGTATGCAACTTTTGAACCTGTGTATTTTTTCCCTGTAAAATAAATAATTTCAGCTTTTTGCGCTTGTATTTTTTTTTTTACTAAAACAATAAAAAGCGAGGTATGCTATCTTGAATTGTGTGCGTCTTCCTTGTTTGGTGGTTTATACAACCCAAATCTACAGGAAAGCAAAGAGGAACTCCTGAGATTTAAAAAAGAAATCTTGTGTTTTTTTTCGTTATCTTAAAAGAAATCTTGTGTTTTTTCCGTTATCTTAAAGTGTTTATAAAAGTAGGCCCCTGGATTTGGCAAACGACCCAGTATTTTGGGCAAAATGTCAAGTTGGATTTTTTTATTAGTTTTGAAGCTCTGGCAGGACCTTGTACATGTCACTTGAATGTCGCTCTGTCTCTCTGTCTGTCTGTCTGTCCCGAAAGTTGACCAAAAGTATGGTGTACCATATGTGCCATCGGCGCCGCATTTTTAAAGCTCTGGCAGGGATCATTTTGATTGTTTTCTTGCAAGACTTTCATGCAAGACTTCTGGCAACGTCAGCCTCACTTGAGTCTAACACGGCCAGAGCTTATCCTGCACTCGCACTTGTTTCAATAGGAGATGAATGTAACGAATCCGGTTTTGAGGTTAACCATTTCCCTCCCTCTAGTAAAACATCCGTTTTGGGATCTGAAAGGTCAAAACCCTTTGACTCATATTCCCCTGCAGTAATTCGGGGATTCCCCCGCTAACCCTCGTAGGATGTAACTGCCCACTTGCACACCAACTTGGGATCCAGTTGTGGAACAAAATTTGTCAACTTCATGGTTCTTGCTTGTGCCAGCGGATTCATAGGAAGTGATTCGGTTCGTGTTTCCAGTGATTCGGTTTGTTTTTTTCAGGAGCCTTGGAGAACAAAAACTTTCCCATTTACCAGATATCCTGTTTTCAAGGCTTGTTGATTTTCTTTGTATCATTTCCTTTTTTTCGGTTGTTGTAACCCTTTTGTGGTAAAATAGAGGAGACATGGTCTATGAATTGTGGCACACCACAAAAGAATCAAAATTTGGGGTCAAAAATTGTACATGTAATATCTTTCCCATGTTTTTCAAGTTGAGTTTGACCCCATGTCCCATGCAAATACCGGTACATTCAAATTCATGTCTCAAACACTCCTTTCTAAGTAAATTCAGTCAACATTTGTGCATGTGTTTTTGTTCATGTACAAGAAAGTATTTACTGATTGAATTGCACTATTGGTTTTTATCGTAGACATTCTTTTCACGTTACTGTTTTTGCTCATCAGCGCATCAGACAGTATTTACTGATTGAATTGCACTATTGGTTTTTATCGTAGACATTCTTTTCACGTTACTGTTTTTGCTCATCAGCGCATCAGAATCACTCCCTACAAAACAATGCACTGTAGTTGGTGTATTTAACAACAACAAAAAGTCTTTATTTCGCACTCGAGCTAAATCTATAGTTCGCCAAAGAGAAGTCTTTTTGGGGGCTCCACGCAGTTTCGGAATGTTGGACTGAAAACAGCTTTCGTACTTGAATGCATATCTAGTGGTTTGCTTCTGAGTCACAAAATATAAAGAGAATTTGTTATGAATGATTGCTTTTAAATTTGCTTTGCAAAACAGAAGTCTTTTTGGGGGCTCCACGCAGTTTCGGAATGTTGGACTGAAAACAGCTTTCGTACTTGAATGCATATCTAGTGGTTTGCTTCTGAGTCACAAAATATAAAGAGAATTTGTTACAAATGATTGCTTTTAAATTTGCTTTGCAAAACAGATTAACTCGCAATAACAACTTTCTGGTATGCACAATTTGCTGCCTGATTGCTCCTGAATCCCCCCCAGGAAAAGTTCAACAAACAAATAAACAAAACTAACAGAACAATACCAAACAAAATCAGTGACTATTTACAATTACAACTGCTCTAAACAGATGATCACCGAGCCATCTGTCCCACATGTAGATCGTTCGTGATTGGTCCGTTAAAGTTTGTGTCACTGTAGGTCAGTGACAGACAGTAACAGAACCTGTTGCAGGAAACGTGCCAAATGATATCTTACAAAAACATAGATATATTAGCAAAGGATAATGTGTCTGCTCCATCGCTTCAGACGAACTTTCCTTGTTTCTGTGACATTGTCGTGAAAAAGGCTCATTTCCTGTTCAAGTACTCGAGCGTGTCTTCATGGGACAAGATCATTTTCAGTCAGTCGATAAACCAGCAGGACTCCTCTGAAGATGATCCAAGCAAGCAGGCCGAAACGTTTGTAACAACGCTGTAATCGTTTGATGATTTCACTTTGTGGATCACTTCCAAATTTATAAAGTGCACTTGATAAAAACAACTTGATTTGACTTCAGGATTGGACATTTTAAATTTGAGAATTTTTTGAAGATATGAAGAGTCTCGTTTTATACTTTGCGGCCTTGGGCCTAATCTGCGAGACATCCGTTTGGGTCTTAGCTTTCAACATCAATGCTGATGTTCGTCACGTCAGGACTTTCGACGGGCCAGCAGGATCATATTTTGGACTGTCGGTCCTGGGACATCAGAGCGATGGGGAGTTTTCGTGAGTCTTGCATTTTATAATGATTTCCTGAGACAGATGTTAAGATTTTAGAATTATTCATTTCTCTGTTTCAATGTTTGTAAAAATCTAGTAATAGTGTGTAGTGTACACGGATTCTTATAGTTCCCTTTGCACATATTTTTTTTTTTAAATTTGCAATAAATATCTCTAATTTGGAAATGGCATATATTTAAATTTTTTCTGTTGTTAGTCCAAAGTGAACACAAGAAAATTGAAATGAACTGAACAAGAATTATCACTTTGAAAATAAAATTAAGGAATATATCATCGAACAAGTTCTTTAGAGAGTTATAACTGAGAAAAATTGAGGTTTACTATTTTAGGGAGCAGGGGAGGTATATAATTTACATAAAACGAATTAGAAAAGAAAAAGGAAGAACCGAGAATGGATAGAACTGTTCTGGTTTAAAACTTGTTTTTTGTTCACGTTAAAGGATTTTAGTTGGTGCGCCAAACAGCACCTCAGATTGTCAGCCTAACCTGCCTGGACCACCGGGGGTGCTCTATAAGTGTCAGCCGACACAAGAGGGCGGGAGTTGTGACCAAGTGTGTCTGGACAATGAAGGTGCGTCTTTTATCTAATGTTTTTTTTTTAACAAAAAGCCTTGTCTAAGAGTGCTGCTTGTGTTGTTACACTACTTAGTTCAATACACATACTCAAAAGTCTCGACTTGACAGACTAAGTCTGTGATCTGACAGATTAAGTCTGTGATTTGACATAGTTAGTCTCTGACTTACTCAGGCTAAGTCTGTGATCTGAGAGACTTATTATAGTCTGTGACCTGACAATTAAGTCTGTGATTTGTCATAGTCTGTGACTTGACGGACTAAGTCTGTGATCTGAGAGACTTATTAGTTTGTGACCTGACAATAAAGTCTGTGATCCAACTGATTAATAGTCTGTGATTTGACATAGTCTGTGACTTGACAGACTAAGTCTGTGATCTGAGAGACTAATATTAGTCTGTGACCTTATAATTAAGTTTTTGATCCGACAGATGAAGTCTGTGACTTGACATAGTTAGTCTGTGACTTGACATACTAGATCTGTGATCTGAGAGACTTATTAGTCTGTGACTGTACAATAAAGTCTGTGATCCAACTGATTTATACTCTGTGATTTGACATAGTCTGTGACTTGACAGACTAAGTCTGTGATCTGAGAGACTTATTAGTCTGTGACCTGACAAGTCTGTGATCAGACAGATTAAGTCTGTGATTTGACAAAGTTAGTCTGTGACTTGACAGACTATATCTGCAACCCCACAGAACAACTCTGTAATCTGACAGACTAAAATAATCTACAGACTTAGTAATGAAGTTTGACAGATTAACGTCTTCACATGTGATCTGCGATTTCTGCATTTTCATCAAAACCTGCTCTCTGTTGTCATTTCCTGCAGGCAATGAGAAATATACTTTTTCATATCGAGACGTTGAAGACAAGAAGGATGGTCAGCTGCTGGGCATGGCGCTCACCAGGCAACCAGGTCCAAATGGGAAAGTCGTCGTAAGTTGCTAAGTGCTGTTTTCATTTTCGAGCTTCCTCCCCATTCTGTGACTGATTTTATATGGTGCTGGTGTGAAGCCCAATTTTGTGGCACTCAATTTCCATCCATTTCTAGAACTGAAGAAAACAGGTGAGTTTGTGAGGAGTGTTGCCAGGTCCATCGCCAGCCCTGAGCGTCGGGGGGGTCATAGTACCAACTAGGGGGCCCACTATCATAAAACTACAAAAACACACATGTATGGCTTTTACCATTGGGGGGGCCAATTGCTCGCCATGGGGGGCCCGGCCCCACCAGGCCCCCCCCCCCCCTTGGCGAAGGGCCTGAGTGTTGCCTATAGTGGTTAGGATTTTCGACTCATTATCAGAGGGTCAGGGGTTCGAATCCATCTCCTGGTCATATTTTGTGTCCTTGGGCAAGCCATGGAAACTGAGATATAAACTCCTGCGTGATGAGCCATATTTGGCTTACAACTGATGTCATTTTGCTACAGGTTTGCGGTCATAGATGGATAAATCAAGACCATGCTACCCACTACTCCTACCAGGTGGGTGCAATCCTCCTGTATCCTAGGGGGATCTGCTACGAGGTCAATGCCAGACTGGAAAGACATTCTGTGAAGAAAATCAGGCCCTGCATTTTAGGTAGGTGTGTTGAAGTACGAGAGGCCTTTTTCTCACTATCATCTTGCCTACCCATGTTGAAGTCAACATTGGTCCACTGTGAGTGGAACCTAGTTCTAGCCAGACATGAATGACAAGCAAAACTTTTCACACTAACACCAGCTTGTACAGGGATTGGCTGTAGATTTTCTGCCCCCTAAGAGCTCAACCTTGGTCTTGACCAGGATAAAATTTACCCGTGTAGAGCATCTGACCCATGTAGAAGCCGTATTGGATTCGTGCATGTGTGAAGGGGTTCCTTAAGGGTAGGGCAGATCATTTGTCATTTGTGAATTTTTATTCGTTTGAAGCACCAAACATGCTGAACATCTAAAGATGGGTGCTTAAAGGGGCATTACTGCCTGAAATCTCCAAAAATTTCATGTTTTGAATGTTTACTTTATACTTATTCCAAATATCTGGTTGAAGGGTAACTTTTTTTACCGTTCCTGAGAAAAGACGGAAAAAACTTGGTTGTTTACAGAACCGACGAGTAATATAGCAAACGCGCACGCTTGTGCGCTGTGTTGACGCTTTCGCGCTCCCATTCACAGATTCTAAACCAACCAGTGAGTCTAACGGAAATGTCTAGAAGTATAAAAGTTAAAAAGTTAAAATTCATGTTGGAGAAAATGTATAAACAACAACCGATTTTGTTTGATTGTGTTGGCAGAGAGAAGCAGTGACTGGTATCGTTGCTTGAGTGGCGCTAGTGCTGAGTATGCAGTTGACGGACAGACACTCTTACTGGGAGCACCAGGGGCCATGTACTACAGAGGTAAGCATGTCAAAATGATGTGATCCTGCTTGAATTCAATTTAAAACTACTCAGGTTCAAATTCCCCCCCCCCCCCAACTCTGACACCCCCCCCAAAAAAAATTGTTATAACAATTATAGTAATAATCAGTGTTGTAGTACTCGTACTCGGTACTCGTACTCGAGTACTACTCGAGTACTCTTTTTGGAGTACTCGTGCTCGTACTCGAATGTCAAAGTACTCGTACTCGAAATGACGGTACTCGTACTCGAGCAGCAAAGTACTCGTACTCGAATAGCAGTACTCGGGGAAAATATGTTATAGCTTCACTTACCATGGCCTTGTTTTATCGATACTTTCAGTTTGAAATGGTTGATTGGCGTGTTGAGAAATCGAGATTTCCTGATTTTCTTCTGTGCAAGTCCGGACAAACACATTTAACAACTAGCCGTGAGTGGTCTGTATATCGGTCGACTGGGCCTGGACAAATTACGCACAATGAACCATTTGCCGTATGGCCGGATTCGGAAATGCGAGTACTCGTACTGGTACTCGTAAGTACTCGTACTTGTACTCGGAGACCCGTTCTTGTACTCGGAGGTACAAGTACTTGTACTCGTACTCGGCAACCTAAGTACTCGGCAGTACTCGGTACTCGGACAAAAATACTCGACTACAACACGTGCAATAATAATTACCTATTATGTCTGCCTGTCCGCAACAATCAGACACACAAAAATCTGACGGGCCTGACCCACCCCCTGCAAAAATTCCTGGATCCGCCCCTGATACTTCATAATATTATTCTTATTATTTATTCAACCAATGGGCTCCGTGCGCCAACAAGAGGGGGCACTTTGAACCACTTTTAACATCCCCATGGACAGGACACACTGCTCGCGTGTGTTTACTGGCGTTTGTTTATGGTGTAAATCGAGGACACACACGTGCAACATCATCGATGAATTGAGGACAGGAACCAAATCGAGGACGACCTCGATTAGAAAACGTGTGCAAAACCAATGAGAGCTGTTGCGAAAAAGTTAGAGTATAAACAAATGAAAAGGGAAGAGGAACAATAGAAAATCCTTGATTTGCACCATAAACAAACGTGCGTGTTCGTGCATGCATAGCGGGAAGTACGCGTGACTTATATTTATTCTAAATGTGGACATAGCCATAGCGTCTTCGCGTGAGCATCAAGCGTCGTCGGCAATGCGTTGGAATGTCTCTGCCAGTGGTTATTCCCCAACTCTCCCTTTTTTTTTTACCAGTGAGGGGTACTTATGCACTGAGCTTATAACTTAAAAACACAGAGATGCATCACGGGGGGGGGGGGGGGGGGGGGGGAAAGGCAAAATTCTGTGGTCTGCGGACCTGTTGCCCACCAACTGGGCCAATTCAAGTCATCTTTAAATTTTTTTTATTTTTTATCAAATACAGGATCTGTCATTACTGTGAATGGAGATGACATAAACTACTTTTCTGGTATTTGGAATTATTACATCAGCAATCACCAATATCCATCTGTAGGTGAGTGGTGTTTTTTTTTTCATCTTGACTTTCAAAAGTTGAAACTCTAACCCTGGCATTTTCACGTTTGTTGAAAACATCAACGCAACTATCCCAGAGCAGTGGTGATTGAGAAATACAGGTCTCAAACAGATGACACATTTTCTTTGATAATCACAGGTTACTCAATGTCGTCAGGCCACTTCTCAAGCCCCTCGGCCAACGAGGGGGTAACCAGTGCACCGAGATACCGGGATATAGGTGCAGTCTACATCTTTGACGTAGTGCAACAGACGGTCGTGGCACAACTGATTGGAGAACCGGTAAGTTTTTCATCAAGATGTTTCATCTTGCTCCAGTTTTTTACAGATATAGTTCTCTGTTTTTTTGTTTTGGCACCCCTAAAAAATGAACTTGCCTTTCTTTGCGCAGGTAAACACATACTTTGGAGCCAGTGTGGAAGCAGTGGACTTGAATAATGATATGTGGTCCGATCTGTTGGTCGGTGCCCCGCTCTACTCCACCAATCAGGACGAAGGATGCGTCTATGTTTATATCAACGATGGAATGGTAAGTCTGTGTCTGAAACAGGCTTCAAGACATACGGCAAAATCTAGTAAGAAGAGATTCCGTTGTAGCCTTACCTTGAATGCTGCTTCAATCCAGTGGATTGATAGTCATAGAAGGCCCATGTGTGATTGTACTTTAAATAACCCATGACCTTAAAGAATTACATAATTAAGCCAATCAGAATACAGGGAAAGGAGAGTCAGCAAGGGACTCAACCAATCAAATCTCAGAAGGGTTGAGGCATGGCCAATGTCCTTAATGAGCTTGACATTTTAAGCTTTTTTTCTGTCTTTTTGTTCACAAGGGCAATTTGGAGATGAGGAGCAAACTACGAGGTTCCAACGCCATCGGAGCAAGATTTGGCTCAGCCGTTGAGACTGTCGGAGACTTGAATAAAGACTATTTCACAGGTATTTTTGATCGTTTATCTATTCATTCACTTTCGTGATGACTTCATGAGTTGTGCCCATCTAGTCCCTGTCAAGCTTAGTGTTGGAAAGAGATGGACTGCTCAGGGGTCAATTTAGAAAATAAAAGTTACATTCGCAACTGACATTTTTTCTTGAAAACGCATGGGCTGAAAAACAGAAATATTGCATGTACAGGCAAAATTGTACGTGCACAGAGCCAACGTTATATGCATCTGTGCATGTAAAACTCCTCTTAATCGACCATTGTTTTCAGGGTCATGTTGGGACGACCTCTACGGTGAGGGGCATTAGGATTCCAGAGAACACGACTCGCAGGCTCATTATGGTTTTTGATAAAACCAGAATGAATGAAGTTATAACTAAGTAGTTTTTTACCAATTAGCAAAATGGACTTGTCATGAATTGGTTCCGAAAAGAACTTGTAGAAACTCAGCTTTTCAAACCTTATTCAGAAAGTTGCTTTTGCAAGCGACGAGAATAAGCGACTAGCATTCAGAACACATGGCTATTTTTTACATTGTTTTATATTTAGATATTGCGATTGGTGCACCATATGAAGATGAAATGAGTGGAGCTGTGTACATCTACCATGGGGCAAGCTACGGCATCAATCCTAAATATTCGCAGGTGTGTTTTCCTTTTCCATTCTCAAACTTTTTTTAAAATATTTTTTGAAAAGATAATATGGTGTGAGTTCTACATCCCACGTGTACAGCATTTGCATGCAAGGTTTCAAAGTAATTTTTGTTATTGGGGCAAATTATGTTTTATAGAGTACTTATTTTTAGAAAATATTGGGAAATTTTTACAAATGCACTGCTTAATAGGAAAAAAGGGACAACTTTGAAAAAGTACGATCATCATATGGAAATTTCTAACAACATTGAGAAAACTGCTTATTTTTTGGGAACTATGTTGAACTAGTCTGGAACTATTCTTGAACCATTCTCGAACTACTTTCTCATACTTTATTGATATGTTTGTTTGGGGTCCGCAATTTTAATTTTTTTTTTTAAAAGAATTTCTTAATACCGTACAAATTTCCGTAAACTCTGCAGAGAATACCCGGCAAGAGTTTTGGTCTGATTAGCTTCGGCTACTCCCTGGCTGGTAGTCTGGACTTAGATGGTAACCAGTATCCCGATCTGATTGTTGGTGCACATCTAAGCGACTCAGTAGTGTATCTCAGGTAAAAATATCATAAGATGGAATTTTGCGTAGGAGTGATGTAGATCAATATTAGGTTTGTGCCCTTCACCGACATATAAACATAGTATACTCAGTGTGTTACCTCCCGATTGAAAGTTCAAGTTGTAAGACATCTGCACTAGAAAGCAGGAGGTCGTGGGTTCGAGTCCCACCCGAGTGTTTTTTTCAAACTTTCACTCGGAAGGTAACACACGTGAGTGTACAGTGTTTATATACGTCGGTGAAGGGCAAAAACCTAATATTGAATATTTATTATGATTATATACTGTATGTGTTTTCTTTCTTTTATCGAATTTCAGTGTCGTTTTATCGACTTGCAAATGATTCTTTTTTTCTTTTAGGACAAAGCCAGTTGTCTACATGCAAGCTACGATGGTCCTGTCTCCAGCAACCCTGATAATGCGCAATGCTAGCGATACCAGCAAAAAGCCCATCAGGTCCACGGTGATCGTATGCCTGACGTACCACGGCATCAACGTAGGCTCCTCACAAAGTGAGTGCCTTATTTGCTGTTCATTCAGGATGTTGTGTCCTTGAGCAAGCCACTTTTCCCAAATTCATACCAACTCTGAAAGCTGTCACAGAATCCTGTAGAATCCTTATAGGTCAGAGGCAGGCCCAGAACTTAGGGTTTTGCTGTCGAGGGGAGGGCCGGGGTGTTAGCAGGCATTTGCTGCTTTTTTTCTTTGAGATTTTCCTTTTTTAGACCCCCTATACTCCCTGTAGATCTGTTTCTGTAGATTTTTAGTTTTTGGTATAGCCATAGGTTCCCAAGATCCGATGGGGTTTCTATGGTTCCCAAGATCCCATGGGTTGTCTATGGTTCCCAAGATCCCATAGGGTGTCTATGGTTCCCAAGTTCCCATGGGGTGTCTATGGTTCCCAAGATCCCAAGGGGTGTCTATGGTTCCCAAGATCCCAAGGGGTGTCTATGGTTGCCAAGACCCCATGGGGTGTCTATATGGTTCCCCAAATCCGCGGGGTGGGTATGGTTCCCAAGATCCCATGGGGTGTCTATGGTTCCTAAGATCCCAAGGGGTGTATATGGTTTTCAAGTTCCCATGGGGTTTCTAGTCCCCAAGATCCCATGGGGTGTCTATGGTTGCCAAGATCCCATGGGTTGTCTATGGTTCCCAAGCTCCCATGGGGTGTATGGTTCCCGAGTTCCCATGGGGTTTCTATGGTCCCCAAGATCCCATGGGGTTTCTATGGTCCCCAAGATCCCAAGGGGTGTATATGGTTTTCAAGTTCCCATGGGGTTTCTAGTCCCCAAGATCCCATGGGGTGTCTATGGTTCCCAAGATCCCATGGGTTGTCTATGGTTCCCAAGCTCCCATGGGGTGTATATGGTTCCCAAGTTCCCATGGGGTTTCTATGGTCCCCAAGATCCCATGGGGTGTCTATGGTTCCCAAGATCCCGTGGGGTGTCTATAGTTCCCAAGATTCTATGGGGTGTATGGTTCCCGAGTTCCCATGGGGTTTCTATGGTCCCCAAGATCCCATGGGGTGTCTATGGTCGCCAAGATCCCATGGAATGTCTATGGTTCCCATGATCCCATGGGGTGTCTATGATTCCCAAGATCCCATGGGGTGTCTATGGTTCCCAAGATCCGGGTGTTTATGGGTCATCCATTTTGTGACTTTCTGTCTTATTGCAGGTGTTGTGTACACCCTGGAGGCTGACAACCAGGTGTCATCCATTCTTCAGTCGAGAGTCTACTTTGGGTCATCAGTTTCTGCCTCACGCATTGAGGAGACAACCTCATTGGATAACAGTATCCAAAAATGTGTAAATCATACGCTGACCGTCAAGGTAGAGATCTCCTGAGTCACAAGAGAGTTACAATATGTCAATCATAAGTAAATCATAAATCAATCACAAATTGATCGTAATAAAGTCAATTGCAAGTCAATATTACAAGTTGATGTCACGTCAGTCACAAGTAAATCACAAGTCGATCATAATTCAGCCGTAAGTCAATCACAAGTCATGCAAAGGTCAATCACACGTCAGTCATACTTGAAGACATCACAAGTCAATCACAAGTCATCGTTATTTAATCACAAGTCAATCACGTGTCAATCACAAGCATTAATGCTTTTCACTTTTTCATAAATTTTAATTTTCATGTTTTAGAACTTTGTAAAGGATTTTCTGAATCCGATCCCCGTTGAGCTTTCCTACCGTCTCCATGACGATGGGTCCCCCATGGCACCAGTATTGAGCCCATCGTCGATGAGTGGCATCCACAGGGAGGTAAGAATGGCATCAACCCTCCTGCTGTCTGAACAGTCACAGACAGTCAAAAAAAAATCAATCCTCTTCCCCTGCCATGCCTTTTACACAGGTTGGTCACCAACAGTCAGATCATATTTGTAAGCAAGCACTGTGACTAGTCAAATTCAGTCACCAGACAAAAGCAGGCAAGTGGTAGGCACAGCTGGCTTATCAATCACCTATAGACAATTAATCCAGGTCAAATTTTCTTTGACTCTCCCTATATGTACACCCGTTCACAATTTTTGCAATTGCCACAATTTTTTGTGTGTGTTTCATCTACATACATGTAGGTCAAGGTCATGAAGATTCGTTATTCAAAAATCCCGTCCGATTTTTTGACACACAGATTGGTTTTGGCCGAGACTGCGGAGCGGATGACATCTGCCAAGCAGAGCTACAGTTTGTCAATTATTCCTACAGCCTTCGAAGGTTTGTAAAGTCTGGAAGAAAGACAACATTCCTGTAAAATCATTTCAGGCAAGGGTGTCAATCGCTTCTCAAAAGTGGGGGACATACCTTGATCAAAACTAATGTGAGTGCGAAGCCCTAACAGCATGGGGTTCAGGGCCCGCTTAAGGACCCCCCAAAAATTTGGATTTTAGAAGCTCTGTAGTGCGATCTGAGGCAATTTCTGACCACTTTTACCAATATTTTTGGAGCAAAAGATCATCATTTATCAAACATCATGTTCGAGTTGGAGTCATTCAATCAGCCATTCTGAGCTTTAGAATCAAATGTAGGTTAACATTTTTATTTGGGTCACAAAAGTGACGGGGGGGGGGGGGGGGGGTGAAAAACGATATGATATCCCCCTCCACCGATTGACACCCGTGCTTTCAGGCAATGCAGTTAGCATGTTAATTCACACTCTTGTTTGTGAACTACAAGTATCGGTACTTTAATAACTGGTTGCAAAAATAAGATTGCTGTCCGCAAGCTACTCTTGACTCAAAAGGCATTTTTCAAATGTTTATGTAATGTTTCTGCCGATACTTATTCCAGTGGTCGCGAGGAGATCTTTTTGGGAGCAGATGCCAGCGTCTTCATCACTGTCCAGATATCCAACGAGGGGGAAGAGGCCCATCAGGCCAGGCTGGTCATCACGCACCCGGAAAATGTGGTCTACGAGGCTGTGGAAACCATCACGGTAAGGAACTCAACGAAATGCTAATTGTGTGGTTACAGGAAGAGTAGGAATAAATGAGTATGGTGGCTCAACATGCAAAAGGGACAGTACCATTCTATCAAGCCTTAATACAGACAACAGAATGAAAAGTTGGACCAACTTTTGTGACTGTGTTTTTTTGTTAACTAATTTCAATTTGAATATATTTATTTCACATCACCATCTTGAATCTTGGCATGTATAGAAAGCTTACTACTGAAAAAAATATTCTCTACTATAACTATTGGGGTATTTTTAGGGAGTAAATAGCTTCACAACAGATTATAACATTTAAGATTAGAATAGAGGAAGAGATTTGAAGGTTTACATGGTGGAAAGATACTAAGACAAGATAAGTTTGCGGTAGCACCATGTGAATAAATTTCTTTTGTGAGTATGTGTGGTTCTGAAAAGAACTGGAGGGACTGTGGTTCTTTTCAGAACCACACATACTCACAAAAGAGATTTATTCACATGGTGCTACCGCAAACTTATCTTGTCTTAGAAAAGAGGAACTCAAGAATCACCCATTACTCTATTCAGTAGATGGTACTGAATGCCTTCAAAAAACATTTTTATCTTTTTTTTTTAGGTTAGATGTTTGTAGATGCGAATCGTGCAAGATATGGGCCCAACTTATTTGGTCCATGTGGGATCTTTTCTCAAACAAACCAAGAAGATCTGATCTATGATTATTTTTATCCTAATGAATCACTGTTGTAGACCACAGAAAGGATCGGAGTGAAGTGTGAACCAGTGTCTTTGGAGGATGGCAGCTCTCCATACATCGACTGCAACATCGGGAATCCATTGAGAAGTGACGGCAAGGTATATAGTGGGATGAGGAAAAAATGGTGGCAGATGTGGGATTCAAACTTTGGACCAACTAAAACCAAGCCAAGCCTGCTAACCACTTCACCATGTTATTTTGCCCTAAAGGTCCCGTGGCGTAAATTTTACTTGGGAACATATTTTGTGCAACTTTCTACTCCTCGTAAATAAATGAAACTATTTGACATCCCTTTTTGATTAATTTTATTGAAAAGTGCATTTCTTTAAACACATAAAACTTCCCATGCTTTTCCTGACAAATGAGAATAGTTGTTTTGAAAATAAACTTGTTGCTTTATTTTGATGACTGATAACTTTGCTTTATGAAACTTTTTATTAATTGTTTTGCCTCAGGCCTTAGACTTATTAGGAAACAAAATAACGAATAAACAAACATTACACGAAAACCATTCCTGATCAACTTAGAAAAAAGCAGAAATCGTAAACTTCTTTCCACAGGTACTCCTACAAGTACGAATGGACATTGGCAACTTGGCGCCAAGCCAAACCAGCTTGAACGTGTCGCTGTCTTTGTCCACTAGCAGCAGCGAGTCGGACTTGGACAATAACGAAGCCTTGGTCAGCATACCGGTCACTATACAGGCAGACGTGACCATGGATGGGTAAGTATGACAGAACGGTAGCGATTGGCTGCAGAAGATCACGTGATCATGAGGTCACACCGGGGGTCGAGTTAGCATAATGTGCCCCAGCCTTATAATCTCGCACTAACAAGATTGTGCACCTTCTTGAGATGGAAAACTACCCCTTGAAAGCCCAAATACCCCTCTCGCAAAACTAACATTGTGCCCCTCTTGAGATGGAAAATTGACCATCAAAAACAATAGTGCTCCTCTCGCGATTCCTTCTCGAGATGGACAACTGCCCCTCGAAAGCACTTTTAGTGCCCCACTCGCAACATTAAAATTGTGCCTCCTTTGAAAAAATAAGGTTTCAATAACAAAGCAATTTTCAAAATGGCTGCCATTGTTCTTGTTAGTCTATTATTGTTTTCAAAGGACAAATCTGTGATGGCCCTATATAGCCAAATATCTTTTTCATTGCATACTTTGACTGTGTGCCAAATGCCATGCTTTTATCATAAAAGGCACAATCCCATCGCCAATCTGCCGTACTAATATTGTAAGATAGTGTCCAACTCTCTAAAAGCAAGCTACTCATTTATTTCCCTTTTTTAAAGTTGTTTTTCTTGTATCTTTACTGTCTTTGAAAGACTTCATTCATATTGCTTATTTTGATATAGGGCATCCACTCCTGAACAGCTTGTGTACAAGCAAGACAAAGACAACTTAGCACAGTACTTGGAAGACATCTTAAAGACCGTCCGACACCTTAGAGACGTCCGTATGTCTTCATCCTCCATAGACCGACCGAGAGTCATCGATGCGGGCGGGGGAGGGCAGGACAGGGGCGTCGTCTACAATACAGACTCGCCGATGGCGCTAGCGACGCCCGAACCAGACCAAGAGCTGGATGTCGATGATGAAAATTCCGACATGCCAGTTAACGATACGGAGATTGGGCCAGAGTTTACACAGCTGTTTGAGGTCAGTCTTCTTCATGTGTTGGAATTATTTTGCATTGGGGAGATGCAGAGTTAATATCGGGTCAGGCCTTCTCCAGTGTTGTACTGTTTCCCAAACTGAGGATCAATTTTCTTGGGAGATGGTAAGCACAATTAGCTTTCGCTTAGCAAAGCAGGTTACAAACTGAAATGTCTTGTATTATTGCATTGCTAGTGGTTGGTACTCAGCCGATTTTTGCTGAGCAGGTAAGTTAACAAAGAAAGTTTTGTGCTTTGTAGTTCATTGAAATTGGACCAAGGCATTTAGTCATCTTCCTAGAAAGTAGACCGAGAAGAATGCTACTTTAAGCGGAAAGCCTTTGAGGATTTTAAAAATAAAATAAAAAGTTCAATTTAAAAAATGCTACTTTTTTATATTTTACCCAATCAGATCGCCAACTTGGGACCCGGTCGTGTTCCCTATGCCGCTATGGTGAACATCTCAATCCCTTGGAGGACACGTGAGGGTGACTGGCTATTTTTCATCACAGAAGTCCAGGTAAGTTAACAATGCTTTGGATAGTTCAGTGTTTTCCCTGGCATTTCAAATTTTTCTGTGGGGGTGGGGGGAGGGAGTTGTAGGGGATGACACTCCTCAATTAATTTTTTGTGGTCAGGAACAATTGTTGGTCTGTTTCCATTTGTTTCTGTACAGCAGGGTAATTAGCCAGGTGTACCCCCCCTCATGGATTTGAACGTCGTTTCCCCCCCCCCCCCCTCCTTAAAAATGGTCTAGCAAAGCCCATGAGTTTCCCCCTTTTAAAAGAGGTTGCAATTTTTATATTTCAATGATCACCCTTCATTGAATAGGTGTTGGACAATAAAAAGACAAATTCCACACATATGATATTATAAACACTTGTCCCTTGTCCATGACATTGCAGGGCAGAGACGGCGTCGAGTCGTGTAACCTCGAGAGCGTCTTGAAGCAACAATATCAAGGCATCTTGGAGCATTATAACACATCGTCGAAAGATACAGCCGATCCGGATGCCAAGATGAAACCAGACAAGAAGAAAAGCGGAACGCTGAGAACGACATTTGTGAGTATCCACTTTTTATGAAATTCTGTGGATGTAAATTAGGTTTTGTCTTTCGCCAATTCATGGAGCAACTGTGGGCCAATAGATACAGTGCTTGACCCATGTGCCATGGTAGGCCTATGGGTTCAAACCCCGACTTTGAACGTGGTGCTTGTGTTCTTGGGCAAGACACTTTACAACACTTCTCTCCACAAAGGAGTATAAATGGGTACCTGTGAAGGTAGAGACCAGCATGCGCTGATCTTGAGCTGCTGCTGAAACTGGTCTCATTGCCTGACGACCAGGGGCAATAATTAGCGCTTTGTATCCTTTGGCAAAGGCGCTTTATAAATACATGTATACATATTATAAATGTACAGTTAGTGTTATTTATGTATTATTAATTTTATGAGCAATATTAAGCTCGATGTTCAGTTCTCTCTGGAAAAACATCACACCTGCCTGTTTTGGAAACTCAAAAGTCCCCACAACTCAGTCCCAATTTTCCTGACGAAACAAGAGTTGGGATGGGACACAACCTCATCACCCTCCACCTACAACTTCCGTTGTTGAATTCTCAATCCATTTTTGGTAATCATCAGAATTGTGAAACAGCAGAGTGCGTGATGTTGCAGTGTCGGGTTCAGCCGTTGGCCGCGAGGAGCAGTGCGGTGATAGAGGTCCACGCACGGCTCTGGAAATACTCCTTCCTGAAGGTGAGACAGGGTGTGTGGTTGGCCCCTTACGTGCCACTTTAAACCGCCCTGCCTGTTACTCCCCGTACCGCCCAAAATTGCCCCTGCACTCTGTGGTTTTATAGAATCGTCAGGGAATAAAGTGGAACAGTAGGGTTACAGTCTCAGTAGAGGAAGGACCTAGGATATAGCACTTGTATTACATTGTACACTCAACCAAAAAAGAAAGTCTCCCCTTCCAATACTTTTTGGTCAAACTCAAAAACTACTGAGCACCTCTCGCTCAAATAACTGTACAGAAGTTCCTTAGCAATCGAGCCATACTCTTTACTTGGTCCAAAACAACAATAATTTTTTTCTTCCCCATTCCTCCCTTCCCCACATTTTGCAGAATAAGACAAGGTTTTTGTACCTCCTCATTTATGTTTTCTTCTTTCCATTTCAGTCCAGCTTTGGTTTGGTCTCGATGATTTCCAACACGTCGGTCGAGGTCAAGGACCCACAGGGGCTGTTCACGCAACCGGCTAGCCACTTGCCGGACAAGACTACGGTAAGTAGCTAAGGGACCATTTTGCTTGAAGGTAGTATTTAGCGTATGAAGAAGCTTCTACGATGTATCCAGTGGTGTAACCTGGAGACCCTCCAGGCCCCCCTCCCCCGACAAATTCCTGTACCCAAGGTGCCCCACCCCCAGTCCCACAAATGCTAGGCTACAGTGCCCTCAGTGCCGGAGAGCTCCAAGAAATGCCACCTCTAGCACTCTTGAATAGGGTGGATGGGTACTAGGGATGTAGTCAAGTCAATCACCAGTCCCTGCAAGTCCATCACAAGTCCTCCAGTCCCAATTCAACTCACAAGCTATTCAAATGAGCTTCGACAAAGACATTCCTTTGCTATTGTTCATCCGCTGTTACTTGTGACTGGGCTTGTGACTGGACTTGTGACTTGACTTGTGATTTACTTGTGACTGGGCTTGTGACTGAACTTGTGACTTGACTTGTGATTTACTTGTGACTGGACTTGTGATTTACTTGTGACTTGACTTGTGATTTACTTGTGACTGGACTTGTGATGTACTTGTGACTGGACTTGTGATTTACTTTGTGACTGGACTTGTGATTTACTTGTGACTGGACATGTGATGGACTCGTGACTATGTCCCAGGTGGTCATGAGTGAATTCTAGGCTGCAGCGCCCTGTACGGGCTGTGCACAGATCCATAAGAACCTTGATGTGATGGCTTTATCACGTCATTGTCTGTTACAGGTTAAGATCACGGTCTCAGCTGAGGAGATCCAGTCCACGGAACTGCCACTCCCGCCCTGGGTCATCCCGTTCAGTGCATGCCTGGGTATAGCCCTGTTGGTTATAGTGGTCGCTGTGATGGCTAAGGTGAGTCATGATGAATCATTGTGTTTTTTTTATGTCGTGTGCACATAAACTTGTTGAGGGCAGCGTTGTTCTCCTGGGGTCCGTGTATTGGTCCGACACCTCATAGGTCCGACACCTCATAAGTCTGATGCCTCATAAGTCCGACGCCTCATAAGTCCGAACCATCGTTTTTCCCTTATAAGTCCGATGCCTCATTAGTCTGAAACATCGTTTGTCCAGTGTGGGAGTTATGAGGCGTCGGACTTATGAGGCGTCGGACCTATGATGGCCGAATCCCTAAGTCCAATGCCGCATAAATCTGATGCCTCACAATTCCGAAATTTCAGACTTATGAGGCGTCGGACTTACGATACAGCCCCGTACTCCCATGAACCCTGTCCTGGGTCATGCCATTTTGTACATGTGTGCATATAGTTCTGTTGGTTGTTTGAGTGGTTGAGATAGGTCATATAACAGATGATTGCGTCTCCTGTGTGCATGGTCTGTAGAGGACAGCACATAACTCCTGCAAGGGGTGACCCATCGCACTATAAGTACGAGTTCTTGCTTAATTTTGGACCCTGGAGCTTTCAGCCTTCAGATATGGCCAAAATGTAATTTGATCACAGACTATAAACTCAAATCAAAGCTAGGAGTTTACTACTAATGGTAACCATAGAAATGTAGAAGTACCCTCGAATACCATTGCTTTTGCCGTGGGTTACCATTGATGTTTTTGTAAGGATGTCAAAGATGTAAGGATTTGACACTCCAGTATCGCAGCTTGTACGGTGTTGATGTTTTTCCCTAATTTCTTCAAAACTACACAGCTGGGATTTTTCCAGCGGAAGACAGTGGAGGGCATGAAGCGACAACTGATGCAGGAAGAGGCCGATGCCGCAGAGCAACAAGACAAACTTCTGTGAGTTGAATAGGAAGCAAACCAAGACGAAGAGAGAGAAAAAAAATGAAGCTGTAGAGCAAGAAGCCAATTAGACTTTTTGTGAAATTCTACAAAGATTGGAGCAATTTCGATCGAGATATATACTCCATCTTACTTTAGTCAGTATCGTAGTTGAATCCAGTCAAAAGACAAAGGAATGCCTTTTAATTTGTCATTGTTACTTGGAACTGGAATCAGGTAGCCAGACCAGAGCATCGACCATTAAATCAATCACTTGTTGACAAATTATTCTTGATAAAGCTATACAGGGCGAGCCAAAAAAGAAAGTGACCCGATTTAATGCCTTTTTTGTCCTTATTAAAAAAGCAATCAAAATTGATACATCAATGAAGTAAGTGTTCTTTCAGCAAAACGAAACGATTCACATACGGATGTGCGTGAATTGTTTTTGTTTTGATGAAAGAACACACACCTTTTTTTGTGATCCTGGGACAGAACTTAAAACGGTAGTTGTATTTAATATTCCGTAACTTGAGAATTACTTGAGTGATTTGAATTGTCCTTGTACTAAAAGAAAGGTTATTAATTGGGCTTTCATATCCTAGATTTCTAAAGTCCCACATGCAGAACTTTATGAAGAAATGGTCCTGAATTTTGGGTTTCCTTTTTTTTTCTTACTCGCCCTGTATTTAAAGAGAAGGGTGACTTTTATGCTTATAAACATATAATCAAAGAATCACTGTTTTGTTTTGTCGAAATCCTGTCAAACAGGAGCAAAATGTAATCAGATTTTGTCAATTGTGATCCTGTTAATCAGTGTGCTTAAAGTGCTCTTTTTTTTTTACTTGTAAATGCTTTTGCTATTTTCATATAATTAAATTGTCTGAAATATTTTCAATTATTCAGCTTTTTTGTAAGAAAAAAAATAATTTAATTAAAGCTTTATGACCGTTAGAATAATGCAAAGTCAGCATAATCTTTTAAAAGTCATAGTAGCATATAAAGTTGGAGAATTTGGAAGAAACGTTTTAGCTCTTTACTGTTCTAAGCTGACTTTAGGCAAACTTTTCGATGCGATATTTGCATCCGTCCAGAACTCTGAAGTATCTCTACAGCAGTTTGAAGCGATTTCATTTTTCAAAAAATTCCGGCCAAAATTGAAAACATTGCAAGGGGGTTAACCTTGCATTTTTATCAAATTTTGGTAAAAAAAAATTCTGCAAACATCTCAGACATAAATCATGAAGCAAGAGAAACATATTTTAATATTTGTCAATCCATTATATCACAGATTTGTATGAAAATAAAGAATTTTTGAAAACGAAAGTACATTTTTGTTGTAATTATTTTGATATTAATCGGGGAAGGGGGGAAATCACATTTTTGACTGATTTTAGCCCAAATTTTAGCGCATTTTTCTTTGGTATAGTACACCTGTTAAGGCAAAAATTGACTTTTCTCCAAACAATGCAGAAATTCCTTTGGAAGTCAGAGGAGCACCAATCAATACTCAAACACGCAATATTTTGAAGATTTGGGCAAAAACCTTCGATTTTTGAATGATTTTACCCCATATTTTCGTCCAAATTTTCTTTGAAAAAGCATATCTTTATACAAAGTGTATTGGAATATGTTCTAAGGTCCCTTAGGCATCTTTCTGGCAAGTTTCAAGGAATTTCATTTTTTGGTCAAAATTGAAAAAAATGTAAGGGGTTAGCCTTACATTTTTATGAAAATTATGCCAAAAATTGACTTTTCTCCAAACAATGCAGAACTTCCTTTGGAAGTCTGAGGAGCACGAATCAATACTCAAACACCCAATATTTGGAAGATTTGGGCAAAAACCATCAATTTTGTGAGAAATAAATTAACATTTTTGAATGATTTTATCCCATATTTTCGTCCATATTTTCTTTTGAAAAGCAAATCTTTCTACAAATGGAGTTGGAATGTGTTCTAGGTTCCCTCAGGCATCTTTCTAGCAAGTTTCAAGGAATTTCATTTTTTGGTCAAAATTGAAAAAAATGTAAGGGGTTAGCCTTACATTTTGATCAAAATTTGGCCAAAAATTGACTTTTCTCCAAACAATGCAGAACTTCCTTTGGAAGTCTGAGGAGCACGAATCAATACTCAAACACCCAATATTTGGAAGATTTGGGCAGAAAGCATCGATTTTGTGAGAAATAAATTAACATTTTTGAATGATTTTATCCCATATTTTCGTCCATATTTTCTTTTGAAAAGCAAATCTTTCTACAAATGGAGTTGGAATGTGTTCTAGGGTCCCTCAGGCATCTTTCTAGCAAGTTTCAAGGAATTTCATTTTTTGGTCAAAATTGAAAAAAATGTAAGGGGTTAGCCTTACAATTTTATCAAAATTTGGCCAAAAATTGACTTTTCTCCAAACAATGCAGAACTTCCTTTGGAAGTCTGAGGAGCACGAATCAATACTCAAACACCCAATATTTGGAAGATTCGGGCAAAAACCATCAATTTTGTGAGAAATAAATTAACATTTTTGAACGATTTTATCCCATATTTTCGTCCATATTTTCTTTTGAAAAGCAAATCTTTTTACAAATGCAGTTGGAATGTGTTCTAGGGTCCCTCAGGCATCTTTCTAGCAAGTTTCAAGGAATTTCATTTTTTGGTCAAAATTGAAAAAAATGTAAGGGGTTAGCCTTACATTTTTATCCAAATTTGGCCAAAATTTGACTTTTCTAAAAACAATACAGAAATTCCTTTAGAAGTTAGAGGAGCACGAAACAATACTCAAACACCCAATATTTGGAAGATTTGGGCAAAAACCATAAATTTTGTGAGAAATAAATTAACATTTTTGAATGATTTTATCCCATATTTTCGTCCATATTTTCTTTTGAAAAGCAAATCTTTTTACAAATGCAGTTGGAATGTGTTATAGGGTCCCTCAGGCATCTTTCTAGCAAGTTTCAAGGAATTTCATTTTTTGGTCAAAATTGAAAAAAATGCAAGGGGTTAGCCTTACATTTTTATCAAAATTTGGCCAAAAATTGACTTTTCTCCGAACAATATAGAACTTCCTTTGGAAGTCTGAGGAGCACGAATCAATACTCAAACACCCAATATTTGGAAGATTTGGGCAGAAATCATCGATTTTGTGAGAAATATATTCACATTTTTGAATGATTTTATCCCATATTTTCGTCCATATTTTCTTTTGAAAAGCAAATCTTTCTACAAATGGAGTTGGAATGTGTTCTAGGGTCCCTCAGGCATCTTTTAGCAAGTTTCAAGGAATTTCATTTTTTGGTCAAAATTGAAAAATTTGGCCAAAAATTGACTTTTCTCCAAACAATATAGAACTTCCTTTGGAAGTCTGAGGAGCACGAATCAATACTCAAACACCCAATATTTGGAAGATTTGGGCAAAAACCATCGATTTTGTGAGAAATAAATTCACATTTTTGAATGATTTTATCCCATATTTTCGTCCATATTTTCTTTTGAAAAGCAAATCTTTCTACAAATGGAGTTGGAATGTGTTCTAGGTTCCCTCAGGCATCTTTCTAGCAAGTTTCAAGGAATTTCATTTTTTGGTCAAAATTGAAAAAAATGTAAGGGGTTAGCCTTACATTTTGATCAAAATTTGGCCAAAAATTGACTTTTCTCCAAACAATGCAGAACTTCCTTTGGAAGTCTGAGGAGCACGAATCAATACTCAAACACCCAATATTTGGAAGATTTGGGCAGAAAGCATCGATTTTGTGAGAAATATATTCACATTTTTGAATGATTTTATCCCATATTTTCGTCCATATTTTCTTTTGAAAAGCAAATCTTTCTACAAATGGAGTTGGAATGTGTTCTAGGGTCCCTCAGGCATCTTTCTAGCAAGTTTCAAGGAATTTCATTTTTTGGTCAAAATTGAAAAAAATGTAAGGGGGTTAGCCTTACAATTTTATCCAAATCTGGCCAAAAATTGACTTTTCTCCAAACAATGCAGAACTTCCTTTGGAAGTCTGAGGAGCACGAATCAATACTCAAACACCCAATATTTGGAAGATTTGGGCAAAAACCATCAATTTTGTGAGAATAAATTAACATTTTTGAACGATTTTATCCCATATTTTCGTCCATATTTTCTTTTGAAAAGCAAATCTTTTTACAAATGGAGTTGGAATGTGTTCTAGGGTCCCTCAGGCATCTTTCTAGCAAGTTTCAAGGAATTTCATTTTTTGGTCAAAATTGAAAAAAATGTAAGGGGTTAGCCTTACATTTTTATCCAAATTTGGCCAAAATTTGACTTTTCTAAAAACAATGCAGAAATTCCTTTAGAAGTTAGAGGAGCACGAAACAATACTCAAACACCCAATATTTGGAAGATTTGGGCAAAAACCATCAATTTTGTGAGAAATAAATTAACATTTTTGAATGATTTTATCCCATATTTTCGTCCATATTTTCTTTTGAAAAGCAAATCTTTCTACAAATGGAGTTGGAATGTGTTCTAGGGTCCCTCAGGCATCTTTCTAGCAAGTTTCAAGGAATTTCATTTTTTGGTCAAAATTGAAAAAAATGTAAGGGGTTAGCCTTACAATTTTATCAAAATTTGGCCAAAAATTTACTTTTCTCCAAACAATGCAGAAATTCCTTTGGAAGTCTGAGGAGCACGAATCAATACTCAAACACCCAATATTTGGAAGATTTGGGCAAAAACCATCAATTTTGTGAGAAATAAATTAACATTTTTGAATGATTTTATCCCATATTTTCGTCCATATTTTCTTTTGAAAAGCAAATCTTTCTACAAATGGAGTTGGAATGTGTTCTAGGGTCCCTCAGGCATCTTTCTAGCAAGTTTCAAGGAATTTCATTTTTGGTCAAAATTGAAAAAAATGTAAGGGGTTAGCCTTACATTTTTATCCAAATTTGGCCAAAATTTGACTTTTCTAAAAACAATGCAGAAATTCCTTTAGAAGTTAGAGGAGCACGAAACAATACTCAAACACCCAATATTTGGAAGATTTGGGCAAAAACCATCAATTTTGTGAGAAATAAATTAACATTTTTGAATGATTTTATCCCATATTTTCGTCCATATTTTCTTTTGAAAAGCAAATCTTTCTACAAATGGAGTTGGAATGTGTTCTAGGGTCCCTCAGGCATCTTTCTAGCAAGTTTCAAGGAATTTCATTTTTGGTCAAAATTGAAAAAAATGTAAGGGGTTAGCCTTACATTTTTATCCAAATTTGGCCATAATTTGACTTTTCTAAAAACAATGCAGAAATTCCTTTAGAAGTTAGAGGAGCACGAAACAATACTCAAACACCCAATATTTGGAAGATTTGGGCAAAAACCATCAATTTTGTGAGAAATAAATTAACATTTTTGAATGATTTTATCCCATATTTTCGTCCATATTTTCTTTTGAAAAGCAAATCTTTCTACAAATGGAGTTGGAATGTGTTCTAGGGTCCCTCAGGCATCTTTCTAGCAAGTTTCAAGGAATTTCATTTTTTGGTCAAAATTGAAAAAAATGTAAGGGGTTAGCCTTACAATTTTATCAAAATTTGGCCAAAAATTGACTTTTCTCCAAACAATGCAGAACTTCCTTTGGAAGTCTGAGGAGCACGAATCAATACTCAAACACCCAATATTTGGAAGATTTGGGCAAAAACCATCAATTTTGTGAGAAATAAATTAACATTTTTGAACGATTTTATCCCATATTTTCGTCCATATTTTCTTTTGAAAAGCAAATCTTTTTACAAATGCAGTTGGAATGTGTTCTAGGGTCCCTCAGGCATCTTTCTAACAAGTTTTAAGGAATTTCATATTTTGGTCAAAATTGAAAAAAATGTAAGGGGTTAGCCTTACATTTTTATCCAAATTTGGCCAAAATTTGACTTTTCTAAAAACAATGCAGAAATTCCTTTAGAAGTTAGAGGAGCACGAAACAATACTCAAACACCCAATATTTTGAAGATTTGGGCAAAAACCATCAATTTTGTGAGAAATAAATTAACATTTTTGAATGATTTTATCCCATATTTTCGTCCATATTTTCTTTTGAAAAGCAAATCTTTCTACAAATGGAGTTGGAATGTGTTCTAGGGTCCCTCAGGCATCTTTCTAGCAAGTTTCAAGGAATTTCATTTTTTGGTCAAAATTGAAAAAAATGTAAGGGGTTAGCCTTACAATTTTATCCAAATTTGGCCAAAAATTGACTTTTCTCCAAACAATGCAGAACTTCCTTTGGAAGTCTGAGGAGCACGAATCAATACTCAAACACCCAATATTTGGAAGATTCGGGCAAAAACCATCAATTTTGTGAGAAATAAATT